AGTAAGTCCCACTGAGTTCAATAGGATTTACTCTCTGGCACGTTCCTGATCATGCTCACCGATTGATTGATTGATTGATTGATTGATTGATTGATTGATTTCCCACCTTTTTCCCTGACAGGGGCTCAAGACAGATTACCACTAACATTTTATTTCATTCCATTTATCTGTGTGGTCTTGTACAGAATCCTTTCTCTTGCAGATTTTTTTATTACAACCCTGTGAGGTAGGTTAGGCAGAGCTTGCCATTGCCTCAAGGTGAGCAATGTATCTGTGTATATAATGTCTATGTGTGTGGCGAGATTAAATGCGGGAGAAGCCTCCTGACGGAGAAGAGGACGCCCCTATTTTCATTGGAGAAATGTTGAAGGGTATGCTCTAAGAGAGCCTAGGCCAGCCAGGTGCCCTCAACTATATTGGACTAATTGTGTTCTTACTGCCACTTTCATTGGCTGAGTACTGTATTTTTCGCCCCATAGGACGCACCTAGTTTTTTGGGGGGGGGGAAATAAAGGGGAAAAAATTTATTTCCCCCCCAGGCGCGGGGGAAGCCTGAACTTCCCCCGACCCCAGCCCCCAGAACAGGCTGCCGCCCCAAGCCTTGCGCGCCCGGCGGGACCTCCTACAGGGCGCGAGAGGCTTGCCGACATCTGCCCGAAGCACGGGGCGGGCTCCGCAGCTGGCCCCCTGCTTTGGGCTGCAGGCTGCCGCCCCAAGCCTTGCTCGCCCGCCAGGCGCGCGAGGCTTATGGACATCTGCCCGAAGCAGGGTCGGTGCGCACCGACGCCTCTCGCTCTCCAGGCTTCAGCAAAAGCCTGCATTCGCCCCATAGGACGCACACACATTTCCCCTTCATTTTTGGAGGGGAAAAAGTGCGTCCTATAGGGCGAAAAATATGGTATATGAAGTAGGCCTTAGGTTCTAGGAAGTAAAGTACAAGGTTTGATGCAGGCTCGTTGAGCATATGAGGTAGTAGGTTGAAAACCTCCTTTACCGAGGACCATTGTGTTTCCATTTTGAAGCAAGATTTTGTTACTTATGACTAAGTCTAGCAACATACAAATGAACTTCGTCACACAGGTGTAGAGAAATATATTTAAACCACTTTGAGTGCCCTTGTTAGGACCAAAGAGAGTTCTAAATAAACACCCTCTCCTTGACACTACGACTACAGGATTCTCAAGACATGTGAATGCCCTGTTGTTTAACCTGTCTAGGTTTCAAGGTGAGCTAGGCTATGCTCCACAAACTCTTCACACACAAAGTGGTGCTGACAGAAGTTTACAGAATCCGAAGGATTTAGGTTTCCTTTACTGGTTTACAGACAAGCCCATTCTTAGATATTATATGGTAGCATGCTGCAATCTAGTGGTATATAGATGAAACAGCAACAGTGAAAGGATCACACAGAATAGGATGAAGTCAGAAAGCATCTAATCAACAGAAATGCAGAGTGAACTGCCAATAAGTTAACCAGCAACTTTCACATGAAGTTCTATCAGCTGCAAAACTATACAGTCCTATGAGAAATGTTTTCATGTTTTGCCTGGGATGCTAATACACTAAGAACTACTATGCTAGGTTAGAAAAAACCCAACTTGTTCAAGCCATTTCCTGGATATCACCAAATTGCCAGAGCCAAAATTTCATGCCCAGCCAAGGATTTCAGTACAACAGTTCCCTGCCCTGTCCTACATACAGGATGCAAAGAGAGAGACCTTTAGAGAAAAGGCAAGTAAGAGGTGACACAACAGAAGTTTATAAAATTGTGCATGACATGAACAGCGTGGATAGACAAGTGTTTTTCTCCTCTCATAAAACTCAGAACTCATGGACATCCGATGAAGATGAATGTTGGACAGATCAAAGGAAGCACTTTTTCATTAAGCACATTGTTAAACTATGGAACTCACCCTCAGAGGAGGTACTGATGACCACCAACTTAACAGAGGATTGAACAAATTAGACAAATTTAAGGATAAGGCTACTGGCCATGATGGCTTTGCTTTGCTTTGCTCTGTCACAGGCATTATCCTTCTGGATTCCAGTTCCTGGAAGCTACAGAAGTGCTCTTGTGCTCAGGTCCCATCTGTGGGTTTCCCACAGGTGTCTGGATGGCTAGCGTGAGAAGAGGATGCTGGACTAGATGGGCCACTGGCCTGATCCAGCAGGCTCTTATGTTCTTACAGAGCTTCTTTAGCCCTGGGGAATGTGCTCAGAGCAACACTTAAGTGGCAACTAGTCAACAGACTTTTAGAAAGTAAAAATAGATCCAATTCACTCCATCGGCTCAAGACTTGTGCAGAGCTACTGGTTGATTTGGATGGACATGGAAGATGCAGATGGAAAACAGGCTGTTGAAGCTCAGAGGTACAGCACCTACTTTGTATACACCAAGTCCTCCCAGGTCTATCCTTGGCATCTTCATGCAAGGCTGGGAGTGCCCCACACCTGTAACCCAGGAGAGCCGCTGTCAGTCAGTGTAGACAATACTGATATGCCAGTGGTCTCATGGGCATTAAGGCAGCATTCTATGTTCCCATGCCAAAACCACATACACCTGGTTTAAAACTTCTTGTCGTTAGGGCAATAGCTTCCTTGCCTCTCTCCATGACAGGCAAAGCCAAAGAAATGAAAAATCGTAAACGGCTTCATAGCAAATTTGCATAATCAGCTTTTTCTTGTCACAACACATGAATTGCTCCAGTACACAGTTGTAATTTGTTGCTGACACAGAGAAGGATGGATTTCCGTAGGTCACTCACAAGTAACAGGATAGCTCTGAGGCATCCTTTCAGTCTTTCAAAGTCCTATATCCCTAGTCTCACCTTCGAAACTTTTGGAATGATGTTCCTGCCAGTGGACTGACCTTTTTTAGGTCTTGATGTGATAGTATGAGAAGGTGCAATACACGACTGCATTGCTGATGAGCAGCAAGGAAACTAGCGCTGCATTTCCATTTAATCCCCAGGACTTAAAACCACCTTTGTTTTTGGAGAGAGAAATGTGCATGGGGCACGTGACAGATGTTCCACACAAACAAAAAAAACCAAATTGCTCTAGCGGAAGGAGGTTTTGTCCCATTCATTCCCAAAAAGGATCGACTCATGAGGTTGTCGTACCAACTGGTTACCTTTATTGGTGCTTTGGTTCTAATAAAAACACGAGCTTTAATTAAAAGCATCAGTAGCTATGTTTAACAGGCCAAACTGGCCACAGAGCAAGACCAAAGGGGTCTTCATGCACAATTTCATCCCACCCCACAGATACAGCCGCCTGAAACTCTCAGCTGCCAAGCCAAGAGGTGCTCTCTCATTTTATAACTGGATCCCCTCAACACAACTTGGCTGTCTCCTTTCTGCTCCACATGAAGCTTCTTAAAAAGACATCACATGCTTCAATGCACAGAATGAGAGGGCGGGAAATGCACCCAATTTTTCACTGGCACAGAAGTGGTTCCTTGAGGATATTTATATACAACATCAAGCTTCACTTGCGATTCACTCTACTTTGCATTCTTTGAGGACAGTGAAAGGAGCAGAATCCTCTCACTGTGGAAGTAGGTACCCTGGGTGTTTACCAATGACCCACTTCAGGACAATTCAGCTTATGGTGCCTGTATCTGGAAGGAGAACACTGGCACACGCCTTTGCTTCACATGGAACACAATCGAAGGCAGTAGTGCACCTGTATAGCAGGCATGTAGGAATGTCATCTCCCCCGCCAGCCTCAACGATAAATGAAGAAGTTGAGACTCAAAATTAGTACATTCTAGGTTGTGGAAGAAAACCAAGCCAATGATAAGTTATTAATGAAACTGAGAATATGTAGAACAGATGCATGTGTGTCTTCAACTCCCCCTCCTGTTCTGAAAACCAAACCTTTTGTGTTATAAGATGTTAAACTTTACTTTCTAATCTACTTTTACAGATGGTTTCAAAGCCTTTCATGCCAAAACAAAAGCATGTTAGACACTCTGACCTGAGATGCACACACACACACGCTAATGTCAGGTATTCCAGTTCTATTCAAGGGTTTCCCAAAGGAAGCTCAATTTCCTCCCCACCACCCTGGAAACATATTAGAGAGAAGTTGGCAGCTAATAGGCGCTTCTCCAAATCCAGTGACAAAATCAACTGAGAAAACCAACTGATTTACAGTTGACACAAGCAGATCCTGTTTCTGCTTCGAACAACTATACATGAAACATTTGGGGCTACCATCAGTTTGACAAAGGGAGTAGAATAACTCCAGCCAGAACTTGAGCCAGTAGCTGTTGAATGTTATCAAGCCAAGGAGGAGAAAACAAAACAAGATGCATAAAAATATAGCCTGCCTTCACTCTGCAGGTGCCAGAGATGCAACAACACCGCTGACCCAGAGCCTGACAGTGTCTGCTTCCCACAGCCTGAAGCTGCATTCGGTAGTGCCAGAGGAGGAAAAGGCACATTGGCAGCAGAGCAACACACTGCACAGGTGGCACACACAGGGCCCCAAGAAAGCATTCAGGCCCCACTGAGGATGCAGAGTCCCTGCCCCAGCAACAAGTATTTTGGATTGGCTTCACTCAACATGCCAGTGGAGGCACTGCAGGTGCTCATGTGCCACAGTACCTGTAAAAGGGTCAAGGCTATGGTGGCCCTGCTGGTTTTGCAGGGCCACCTCTGAAAGGCATCTGGCAGCACCAAAGGAATGGCGGGGATGTGTGTGAAGAGAAAAGGAGAGAGACTTTTGCCATGAACATCCCCACTGGGGAAAAGAAGATCACCAGAACACAAGTGGCACACAAAATTGCTTTACAAAGTTGCTGAGCCTGGCTTCCAGTGGCAAGATCACTGCCCTCTTCCGAGATGGCAAAGGAGAGGGAGGAGTTAGAGAGACAGGAAGTGACCAGCTGAACTAAGGTCCCAAAGGCATCCCTGCAATCTTCATCCTTTCCAGTTTGCAGAATGAAAAGGCTTGGGCTGCCAACTCTCAGCGGGGTTGGGGAGCACGCTCCTTTAAGCATAGTCTATCTGAATAGGGCTGCAGGTCCCTTCACCTTTGTGATCCTGGCTGGGCATGCTGGCCTTCCCCTCCTTGCTGTCATTGCTGCCAGACTCCAGGGACTTGGCGGAAGAGATATAGTCCTTCACTTCGATTTCCATGTTCTTGGCTTTCAAAGCTGCCATGTGCAGTTTTTCCAGGAAGTCTGGCATGCCTGAAAAGGAAAGAAAGGAGGAATAACAGAGAAGTCAGCCCATATCAAACTCTCAGCATAAAAGGATTACATACTTTTGCTAAGGCCATGAATACAGACAAGAAAAAGGTTCTGTGGGTGGGCAGGTCTCAAGTCTGGGAACTGGTAGGTCAGCCACTTCTAGATGGGGTTGAATCCTGCCCCTCCCTCACAAGGAACAGATGCACAGTTCCTTGAGGTGTTCCTTGAGTCATCTGTCACTTGAGACCAAGGTGGCCTCAGTGGGTAGGACTGCATATGGTCAGCTTTGGCTGTTGCACCAACTATGACTATTCCTGGACAGAGAAAGCTTAACCAAAGTTATCCCCATGCCCTGGTAACTTCCACACTGGAGTACTGCAATGTGTTCTATGGGGCTTCTGTTGAAAATGGTCAGAAAGCTGCAATTAGTACAAAACACGGCTGCACACAGCACCAATTTTGATCAGACTGGATGCCTATCATCTTCCAGGACAAAGTTACACTGCTTATGTTAGTACTGAAAGCCCAAAACTACCTGGGTCCCTAGAACATGAAAGAATGCCTGCTCCCATACTGCCTAAATATTAAGATTTGTGGGGAAAGCCCTGTTAGAAGCGCCCTCACCCAATGAGATATCTGGGGTGGTGATCCACAGTTGGGCTCTCCTGGTGGTGGCCCAGTGCCTCTGGAATGACCTGCCCTCTGAAGAACATCTCACCATGACAGTGTCATTATTTCATTCTCAGCTGAAGATGCACCTCCCTGCTCAGGCTTTTGGGGGAAAGGCAAGGCACACTGGTTTGGACTTTTATTGCTGCTGCTTTATTTGTATGGATATTATACTGGCTGCTTTTAATTTTATTGTTTAATTTTCCACCCTGGGACCATTAGGTGACAGGCAAATTATAAACACGGGGAAGTAAGTAAATAAACATTAAAAAAAAAATCTGTCCCTAAACCTCATGGTTGTGCCTCTCAGGGCACTTTGTTCTGGGACTCACTGAAGGCCTGTGCCATCTTCCGTGTGTAAGACAGTAACATCGGCCATCAGCTGCTGACTTTGCCATGTGGACTTGCGATACCCATGGCATCCACAGAGTGTGGCCTCTTTGGTGCTTTAAGAAATGGAGGGAGGCGTTAAGCCCAGGCAAACTCAAGGGCAAATCCCACAAAGTCTGTGGGCAGTTGCTTCCACATAAACCTGGATATGCCTGGTACTTTAAAAAAGTTATATGTAGTAATTCAAAAGGGACCATGAGTATCTCCTGTGAAAGCACTCTGATGAAAGCATCTAAGGGTTCAGGAATCATCTTTCTAAAACAGAAGCAAACAGCCCTCAAACACCAAGCACAGTGACCAGCAGTGCTGCAGAACAATACAGCCCTACGAGCCATCATGCTGGATCAGGACCTTTGATCTTAGGATCTAAAGGACTGCTTATGTCAGGAAGGTGCTGGTACCAAGGAATCCCCAAGGAACACAGCAGTCACTTCAAGTCAAACCCCTTTGAATGGCCCTTGTATAGCAGCATTTGACAACCTGGTGCCCTCCTGATGATTTAGACTGCACCTCGCCATCAGTCCCTGCCATTACAAAGGGAGTATTTTGTCACTGATAATTTAATCCATGTATCTGGCAGGGAAGGTTATCAGAGATGGCCTTCTTCAGCATCTTGATTTGAAAAATGAGAACTCTTTGATCCCACGGCAAGCATTACACATCTGCCGGCAGAGAGTTCCTCTGGTCAACAAGGTTTTTTTGCTTGTTAAACCGAGAGATCCCAATGCTGTGACTCACCACTGGAGACCATCCAGCTGACACAGTACCGGGGGAACACTGTCTGCGGGTTGTCACTGTACGTTAGCAGGTAGTCAAAGCCATTCTGAAAAGAGAAAGGGAGTTAGCAGGCCCATCCTGGGAGGTTGACCAGCAAGGACAACTCCATCCCTTTATTCATTCAATTTCTCACATACACTTCTACATAAAGCCATGGACAAAAAATGAAAAACACAAACCAAAGCAGAACCGCTAGAAAGACTAAGGCAGCATGGAAACAATTAACAGAAGAAAAACCACACTCCAGGACCACCAAACTCAAGGTTCTAATGGACAAAGGCAATTCTTGGAGAACCTGACTTCTCAAAAACGTAGCACCAACACAAATAAGTAGCCAGTCCGTAATCCATTTGGCAGGGGCTGCTAGCTTTTGGGGGCCTGTGGCATACTTGCAAACTGAAGAACCTGTCATAGGCCTCAAGCAGACACCACACCCCGTTTTCTTGGGCTGCAACAAACTGCTTCTTTCAAGACTAATTTTAGTGGGGATAGGGACCTCTATGAGTCCCAGAGAAAGCAGCAGTGGGTGCCATAGTGACAACCCCTGCAGTACAGAACTGATGTGTTCTGCTTGAATCATCTGGAAATGGCATAAAATGTTTAAGGGAACTGTGTATGTTAAGGAGGCTAGCTCCCATCTGGCCTTCTGAGGTGCAAAAAAGTTTATGAGCATGGCATTGCCTCATGCAACAGCAAGACTAGATTTTATACACAGGCTTTATCCACCTGCAAATCATCTGACATCACATGGTTCACATTTCAAGCCAGGAGCAGGCACACATTTGCCCAAAAGGGCATGGTAGGCTTAACCGAGAGGGCCCAGAAGCCAGATGTTCCCAGTCCTGGAGTATTTTTATAGTATTGTCCATCCTGACAGCCAATAGCTATACAGGGTCTCAGGAGGCAAAGAGAGGCTCCCCCTAACAATGCTTCCTGACTGAAGCCCTTTTAACTGGAGGCACTGGGGTATGAACGTGGGATCTTTTGCATTCAAGGCACTGTGCTGCAATAGCTCCCCAAAAAGTAAAAGCTTGGCAGCCAATCAGAAGTCATGGAAGCCCCGTCGGACATTCGGGTTCCAAAGAACATTCCCAAACCAGAACACTCACTTCCGGGTTTGCGGCGTTTGGGAGCTAAAATGTCCGAGGACCAAGGCATGACCATACTTAGCATCTAAGTATTCAGGGCAGACAAAAGAAAAGATATGCACAGTGTACACTTAAACAATAGAAACTACTCTCCAGAAGGTAATGATGGGCATAAACTTGGACGGCTTCAGAAGAGGATTAGAAGTGGTGGTCCTGTCCAGTGATTTTGGATAAAAGTATTTCACAAGGCTGAAATGATTACTAATCAAACAACTATTTAGATGCAAAGATTGCTCATTGGTCAATACATGATTCAGAAGCCCAAGACCTTACCCCAAAATATATTTTTGTTCACACCATGACAGCAGCAAAAAGAACAATTTCCCAAACAAAGCTAAATACAAAATTGATGGAAACTTGCTTTTCACAATTATAAGACCTGGTCCTCAAGGAAATTAACCAACAAGCTACAAGAATGAAGAAATGAGAAGTTTTATGGTGTTTTATTAGTTGTGCTGTGACAAAAGAAAATGGACGCAGAGGACAAACATCTCATGGTCATCTATGGGAAGACATATTTATAAGATGGGCATTATGATTGGAATTGCTTTCATTCAGACATGATAAGTTGTACTCATCTGTGTGGGATAAGGTTATTCATGTTGTTTATATTTGAAATTTAACAAAATGAAGGGAAGAGGATTAGACAAGATCACTGAGCATAAGGCTATTGATGGCTACTAGCCACACTCACTATGCTCCACTATTAGTATGCCGCTGAATAGCAGTTGCTGGAAATCTCAAGTGGGGAGCATGCAGCTGTGCTCAGGTCAGATCCTCCTTTCATGCTTCCCATAGGAGGCATCTGGTTGGCCGCTGTGGGAACAGGATGCTAGACGAGGTGGGCTGATCTTATGCAGTGGTGCTGCACCACAGGCCCATAGAAAATTAACCACCCCTTTTCAAGACACACTCAACACCTTTGTAGGAATTCAGATCAGCCACAGTGTTCTAGGTGAGGGGACCTTCCAAATGCATTTTCATACTCTGAGGCCTTGATATGGGTCTCTCCAGAAGTCATACAATACAGGGCACATTAGAAGTTAGACTCAACACAGTTTAAAAAACTGGGTATTTTAATTCAATGACTCCCACTTGGTTCAGTCTCGCCTCTTGGGTAGATAGTTCTGGAAAAACCACCCAAACAAACTTTCTCCTGTAAAAGTTGGGCACTCACCTCATCAAACGAACTGTGAGGGCGGATAACCATTTGAGATTCATAGGTTTGAACACGGACAAATTCGGGATCTTCAGGGACACTTGGGTGTTCAACCGCTCTGGCAACCAAACAGGAGAAAGGACAAACATTTCAGGAAAAAAACTTCAAAATTCCCCTCAGCTCTATGTGCAGAATTCATCACAGTTAAATAAATATTATAATCTGAGTAAGAATATATGTCCCACCTTTCCCCAAACTGGGACTCAAGGCGGCTTACACAAGTTAATGTAGATAAAATATGAAAAGCTAAATACATATAAAAGGTAATAATTAAAAATAAATAAACTGAAACAGAATGGACACAAATATATTAAATAAACAAACAAATAAACAAATATATTAAAATACTGCAAGTTGAACGTATTCCACAGCTCAAAGATTTTTAGAAGAGTAGTGAGGAAAGTTCATCTAAACCAATCAAAAAGTATTACAATATAAATATATCTCAAACATATAGGTATTATCAGGTGCAACCAGCTGTAGGGCAAGTAGATTATACCTCCAGATGCAATTTTCATGTCTTCATCTCCTTTGATTTCCCAGCATTTCCCCCCATAACCTCTCCAAACCTTGAGGACAGAATTATGCAAAGTAAGTAGCTCTATAGAGAAGTTTAATTTGCAGAATAAATGCAGCTGTATCTTCCACTTGGCCCAGGATCCCTTACCGTGAGACAAGCACCATCAAATTGTTCTCCTGGTCCACACTGTACCGTCGCACATACACATAGTCCCGCGAGTACATTGGATACTGAAAGGAAGAAGACACAGCCGTTATCCTGGAGCAGCTGCCATCAACACACCAGTGTCATTATATGGAAGCCAGAGAAAGAAACACTCACCGGAAAATGAGTTACCCAGTGAATAACCTCTGATCCAGTGTCCTGGTCTCTCTCAATCACCTCCAGTTTGATGACTAGTGAGTCCCATTTCTTTCGATATTCTGTATCCAGCTAGAAGATAAGAATCCAGAAGAGTTCCCTTCAGATGATCGTACAATTTGTTTCTCACTTGTCGAAGTGCCAACTAAGAAATGATGAAATACTGTGACAATTCACTAAGAGGCAAGATGGGTTTTATGCCTCCTGGATTAATCTGCATTTCAAACACCCAGGGGAGGCAATGAAGCGATGTCACTTGAGCTTGCTGCGCCAGGTGGAGAAGCTCGTCCCAAAGACCCTCACCTTGGCTACAAAAGGTATTAACTCTGAGTCCAGTTTCCCTTTATTTCCAAGGAATGCAAGTAAGAATCAGAACTCAGTTATAGGGAGCAAAAGAAGGTACTAGCATTTAGTACAAAGCTTTCAGGATCCCCATTTACAGAAGAGGAGGAATGGCCAGACATGTCCAAAGGCACAGAAAACCTGGGGGAGGCATCATTTGGATGATGCCTAGGACATCATCACGGCCTAGGACACTCGTACCTACGGGACCGCCTCTCCCGGTATGTCCCACGGAGGACCTTAAGGTCCATAAATAACAACACCCTAGAGGTCCCGTGCCATAAGGAAGTCAGATTAGCCTCAACCAGAGCCAGGGCTTTTTCAACACTGGCTCCGGCCTGGTGGAACACTCTGTCTCATGAGACCAGGACCCTGCAGGATCTGATTTCTTTCCGCAGGGCCTGTAAGACAGAGTTGTTCTGCCTGGCCTTTGGCTTGGAGTCAATTTGATTCCCTCCCCCTCTTTCTTTTTCTTTTGTCCTCCTGTGATGAGGCTGCATTTTAATGTTGTATTTTAATCTTGATTTTAAGTTGTATTCATTCAACTCATTTTTATTATTGGTTGTTGGCCGCCCTGAGCCCGGCCTTGGCTGGGGAGGGCGGGGTATAAATAAAATTTATTATTATTATTATTATTATTATTATTATTATTATTTGGAAAGGTGGAGCTGCACTTCATCTTGGCTCTCCCACCAACCACGACCAATTACTGCAGCCAGGATTGTTGGCTGCTGGTGCTCCTGGCAGAGGAAATTGAGATCACTACTCCCCCTAGTAGTCGGACATCTCAATGAACAGGAACAGCAGCAAGAACAGGGGCATTCAAAACACAATATGAGCTGAATCTTCATTGCACCAGCCTTTGCCAAACTGGAGTCCTCTAGGTGTTTTAGACTACAATTCCCATCACCTTCAACCAGCACAAAATGGACAGGAGGTGTAGTCCAAGGGCACCAGGTTGGTGAAGGCTACATTAGAGACATCCTTCAGTCAGTGAGGGGCATGGAAGAGGGATGAAAATACTCACTTGCACATTGAAAAACTGCCTAGGTGTCACATCTGTGTATGTCCCAAAGACTACAAAGGAACGACAAGACATAAATTGTTTTTGTAAATTGTTAATGTTCTATATGATGGTTTTTCTACAGTATAATGCATTTATGTTTTTGTTAAAATGTAAGTCTAATACAACTAATAAGTTTAACAATAAGTGACTAACAAGTTTACTGCTGGCAGTGATAATACTACTACTACTACGATTAATGCATGGATTTCAGTTACTCTGTACATGCTAATCTCTTTGCTTCTCATCAAGCGAGTCTCCAACCCCATCCTCCCATGAAGATGACATCTTTTTTTCTTGCTGTTTACAATTCTAATGTGTGTTTACATAGTGCCCATAAGACAGTGCCACTTTTCCAATTCATGTCCACCTGCAGACTAACTCTACAGCTACCAGCAAACTTGTAAACCATGCATCCTCTATGGTGTTTCCCCTGAACAAGCAGGTGTCCACACCAAATTTCCTCACTCTGCTTGCCTTCTGGTGAGAAAAGATACCCACAGCCTCCAGCCCGGCTAAGAAATAAACTGCAGGTGTCCCTCCTGCCATTTCCTTCCTCAGCCAAACTGCAGCACAAGCAAGGGTCTCCCTGGAACTCTCCAGCAAGCAAGGGGCTCAAGGAATTGGGGGCAAGGACCGAGGGGTACTGCATTTCCTGTGCATTTCTCTCCCCCCCACCCAAATGCAGAGACTTTTCAGTTTGTTTCTGCTGATTAAAAAAAAGGCCTTGAACCCAGCCCAGGTTAAAAATAACTGTTTTTATCCCCTTTTTTTGTCTGTGTTCTTCTGAAAGCCCCTTAACAAGTTTGCTGTTGTTTTTTCAAGTGTTCTTGCCACACAAATGGGCTTCCAAGTAGGAAGAAGCAGGAACTACCTCGGTACTGATACAGATGAGTCCCTCCAATCGGGCGCCGCCATAGCTTGAAGTGCTTCTTGTCCATCACCATTTCCCAGCTCTGCTCCCTGGAAACAGAACCTGCGTCCTTTGGCTCCTGTGTCTGGCTCATTCCTTTGTTACTCTGGAACACACTGATTTCTTCCATGCGTTTCATCTCTTCTGCAGACCTTGTGATGAAAGGAGGACAACAGTCATCAGTCAGGGCTTGCTCAGTCTGATTCAACCTATCAGGACAGCTTAGATTACCATAATCACTCCGATTCTTTGGTTTAGAAATGGGATGGGGAATGGGATGGCATTTTTATGAGGGCCAATGTTGTGTGGAAGCTGCAAGCAGGATGTATGCATGAGCAGCACCAAGTCCACAATTGTGTTGTGTAATAACACCCATTTCCAGTATTATCATTTATTTCATTTAAGAATCCCTGACATCCTTGCCCATCTTGGAAAATATTCAACAGAGCTAGTTATGGGGTGGATTCTAATACCTGTTTAGTTATTTTGCATATTTATTGTAGGACTGGTGTCCAAAAGGGTTGAATTTTGGGGCAATCCCACACATGGGAGATATGTACCAATAGAGGTGCAGCCTCTCCAGCATTTTGGTGAGGTTCCTGGGTGTATCAGCGCCAACTTACATGGTGTTATGTAATATCTACAGTATAGGTAAGTTTCAAGGTGAGTTCCCTTCTTTTGGCTGAGATGGATTTAAAGGGAGGTTTAGACCAGAGTTTAGTTCATTGGGTAAAGTTTATTTTGTAGCCTATGTCATGCTCCCATTGTTTTCTGATTGAGATGGGGGGGGGTTGTGGGATTCTGGAGCAGTCTTTGTACATTGTGGATGCCATCCCCTTGCCATGTCCCTCTACTGTCAGCAGAAGGTTTTCAAAGGTGGTCAAAGGCTTAGTGGCTGCTATTTTTACTGCTGGGTTGTTTAAGAAGCATGCAGTTGGCAGTGTGTTAGCCAGGGCATTGGGGTGTCCCCTAGTTTGTCCTGTATTTCTTGTGTCAGTATGGGTTTATTATTTTTGTAGAAGCCTGTTAGGCAATATAAGCCTTTGGATCGTCAAGTTTTTGTTAGGTTTTGGACTGTGTGATGAAATAGTGGATGGTTTTCCTAAGTTTGTTTTGGAGGAATGGGTATCCTGTGGTGGGAGCGTTTTCAATCGTGTCTATCCAGTGTTCCAAACTAGCTGGGCACCACCCTTTGTGCCTAGCATCTCCACCTGCCTGGCTGCAGTGAGCTGGTCTGCTGGACATAGCGGCAGCAAAAGATGTGCGTCTTTTGCTGCCATGCTATCCCTGCGAAACACCTGACTCACCCAGCAGCGCAGCAGCAAAAAGAAATTTCTTTTTTGCAGCTGTGCAAATCAGGAGTTTTGCAAGGTAGCAAAAGATGTGTCTTTTGCTGCCACGCTGCCCTGTAGACCCTGATTCACCCGGCATCAATAAAATAAAATAAAATATAACGAAAAATATTTTTGCTGCCAGGTGAATCAGGTGTTTTGCAGGGTAGTGCAGTTGCAAAAGATGTGTCAGAAAATCCTAGGTAGAAGGATTACTAAGTATTGGAGGGATCATACCTTAGCAGTAGGACACATGCTTTGCATGCAAAAGAACACCGGTTCAATCCCTGGCACTTCCAGTTAGGGGGCTGAGAGAGCATCCTGTCTGAAATCACTACTAAGCAGTGTAGGAAACACTGGACTAGAGGGAGCAATGGTCTTGACTCTGTGGTTGCTCCCATGATCATATGACACTTGGACAAGATAACTCTTGCCCAAATCTTATTCACTTCAATGGAGCTTGCACAGCTCCATCCTGGGCTGCTGGGCCTCTGCACTAATTTATTCACACCTAGCTCTTGTACAGTTCTATCCTCAAGGATAAAGGAATTTTTTTATTTAGGTACTTAAAGGCTGCCTTTCAGGGTTGCTCCACTCAAGGCAGCTCAAAACACAATCCAGAATACATTACAAACTATTAAAAAATGAAAGCATAATCTAAAAATACAGTAACACATCTAAAAGAGATATTGTCAGATAAGTATAATACCAACAGTACACACACATAAATGCATGCAGCAAAAATAGCAAACTAAAACAACAGTGGCAGATAACTACCAGTTTAAAGTAATTCATGTAGGGGCCAAATGTAGCTACTTAGAGAGGGAATTCCATAAGCATGGGGCCACTACTGAGAAGGCTGCATCTCTAGCGCCTGGCAATCTAATACTTCTTAGCAGAGGGCCCAGAATTGAAGCTTCATAGAGGTTTTATTACATAATGTGTTTGTTTGTTTGTTTGTTTGTTTGTTTGTCAGTCATTCATCAGCTGTGCAATTCTCACAGCCCACCAAAAGCAAGTTGATGATGGCAGCAAAGGAAGACACTGATACTATGTTATTTTGGAAGCTGCTAGAAAAGATAAGAAGAGTACAGCTGCTTAATCTTGACCTTGTTACTAGAGACAGAAGCCTTAACAAAAGGAAGTGCTGGTTTCAGGTGGCCTCTTGGGACACTGCAACTTGAGCATGATTACACAAAGGATGAAACATTTACACAAGGCTTAAACATGCAGAGAGCTGAAGTCAGCAATACAGTCATACCTCGGGTTAAAGACACTTCGGGTTAAATCTTTTCAGGTTGCATCTCGCGGCGACCCAGAAGTAACAGAACGGGTTACTTCCAGGTTTCGCCGCTTGTGCATGCGCAGACGCTCAGAATGATGTCACACGCATGCGCAGACGTGGCAAATCGCGACCTGCGCACGCGCAGACGCGGGTTGCGTTCTGCTCATGATGCGAACGGAGCTCCGGGACGGATCCCGTTTGCATCCAGAGGTACCACTGTATGCTAATATCTGAAAAGGTTACCCAGTAGATTCCCTTAGACTGGGTCAAGAACAGGTTTTCCAACACATCGATAAACAAGTTCCTCTCTATAAAAGCTGAGAGCATGTCAAAATATTAAACACTACTTATGGTGAGTTCGAGTAAAGTTAGCCTCATAGCAGTACAAAAAGTTCTTACCAGCCACCGCCCCCTTACAGGCACATACTTGAAGACTGCAGTCCATCTTGATGGTAGGAGGCAGGGTAGCAAAAAGCCACTCGCACCAGCAAACTAATGAAGCTGAAATTTCATTGAAATTTCCCAATTCAGCTGTAAGTCCCAGAGGCCAACCAAACATGCTTCCAAAAGGCTAAAGCTGAGCACTTCTGCAGTCTGCAGTAGGACGTTCTAAAACTGTGTGTGTGTGTGTGTGTGTGTGTGTGAGAGAGAGAGAGAGAGAGAGAGAGAGAGAGAGAGAGGGAGGGAGGGAGGGAGGGAGGGAGAGGGGGGGAGGGAGAGAGGGAGAGAGGGAGAGAGAGAGAGAGAGAGAGAGAGAGAGAGAGAGAGATTGCATGCCAAACATGCACCATGAATAGCTAGCTTCCTTCACGCTTTTAATCTCTGAACCAGATTCATGAATGTAATCATTAAGAGGGTGCTGCCATCAAATCTTTGAAGAACACTAGGGGTCACAAAGGGAGAGAGAGTCCACCACACAGATGTCTGACACACAGAGATGTCTGATGCAGGCACTTTGCAGCATCTTAGGATCCAGGAGGAGGAGGAGGGTCTGGAAGGCAAGCCAGCCATTCCCAGGTTTTTACCTCTAGGTTGTTGTTGGCATCCGTCTGCCTCAAGAAACAATGGAAGAGTGCACCATCTGGGGTAAAGTCAAACCGTTGGAGTTACAGTGCCTGTTGTGGCTGCAGAGACCAATACGGGAGAGACATGTTTTGCAAGAGAATTAGAGATAAATTAGAGTGATGGGTCTATTGCTGGTTATTAACTCAATGAATCACTGGTGGACGTAATGATTTCAATGTTTTTATAACAGTTAAGTCACTTACAGAAAACTGTTGTTATGTGGCATATTAAATACTTTTAGAACTCAGTGCGAAGGCGAGTCCAGAGAGGGCATGGGAAGCCATATTTCTGGTTGCAAAGATAGTTTAAACTGAAAATAAACTGCACCTCTGCATGACAAACAGCAAAATCCCCTCAAACTGGGATTTAAGGGGAGGAATTACCAGCCCTATTTTACTTCCCTTATTGGGAGAATGAAGATGGTTCAAGGATAGTCCAGCTCCAAGGGCCTTCTGGCGGTTCCCTCGCGGCAATAAGTGAAATTACAGGGAACCAGGCAGAGGGCCTTATTGGCAGTGGCGCCCTCCCTGTGGAACACCCTCCCTTCAGATGTCAAGGAAATAAAGAACTACACAACTTTTATAAGATACCTGAAGGCAGCCCTGTATCAGGAATTTTTTAATGTTTGGCATTTTATTATGTTTTTATATGTGCTGGAAGACGCCCAGGCTGGCTGGGGCATAAATAATAAAATTATTATTATTATTACTACTCCTACCACCATCATCTCATCATCCCCAAGCGATATGCAGACCTATCCTGTTCCCACAATATCATCTGCCACTTAACAGCTGCAAAAAGTTTCCATTGACAGTGCAATTGGTTTTACAGGCTACTAAACACATCATCCAATGAGGATTCTCCTAGGGTGTTTTTGCTGCTGTTGAAATACTGTAAACCAGACTCCATTCTCTTTATCCCAGATACTAATCACTCACCCCATCTATCGTGATCCACTCTTTACCATAATTAGCTAAATGCTTGCAAGCGTACTCATACACACACAGCTAGCTACTCATGACAAGAGTTGATAGAACAATTCTGATCCCAAATACCCAATCAGAGGAGTGAAACTCCTTCCTATCTAGTGCTCAAATAAAGAGGTTGACTAGGATGGTAGCAAGGGAGGGGAAGACTTGTGGAGTCCAAAGAGGCCTCAACATGGAACATTATGGAGTCTTGTAACTACTCATGGGCAAGGGGCTCAGCGAATGCTCTGTGGACATGACCTTCCTTCCTTCCCTCTCACTGCCTCAAAGTCACCTTTTGGGAAATCCTGCCATTCCTCCCCACAATCAAACATCAAGTAAGCCACATTGCTCCTTCAGGACAACATTCTTATTATTAAATGTGTACCCAAGCTCCCCACACTGCACACACACGGCAGCTAGCACACACAATGTACCCCGCAACCCTGCCCTCCAACAACAACAGAACAAAATAAGAGAGCAGCCACTAATAAAAATCTGCAGAAGGCAAACAATCACCCCCTCAAGTCACAGACCTGCTTGAACAAAAAGTTCAATGTATGCCCCAGCTTGTAGTTTACAGAGGTGGGGTGGAAGGAGGAAAAAGAGGCCCTTCTTACAGTTCTATTGCAGCAGATGGCAAGGAGGGGGCAAATCTGAGAGAGGACTTAGAAGCAAAGCACTTCCATACAGAGGAAGGGAATCCATCAAGTATCTTGATCCTAAGCCATTTGGGGCTTTAAAAGCCATAAAAAGCACTGTGATTTTTTTTCCTGGAAATGCCTCCAGTGTCAGTTATATTATTCAAACAATAGAGTCATGTGCTCTCCAAAATGGACCCTGTCCTCAGCATTCAGGACCAACTAAAATTTCCGAACACTTTTAAAGGGCAGATTCATAGTCATCCAAATGAGATTTAGTTATAGGGTAACATCCTCCTTCACAAATTACAGTCTAGCCTTTGGAGATTAGCCATTTCCAAATACAGAGTCTGTAGTCTATCCTTCACTGCCTGTGGACAGCTGCACAAGATGTTTCATTTAAAGATGCCCCGCTGAGGTCAGGGGAGATTCTCAACAGGCCTTATATACCCGCTACTAAATCTGGAATTGACCCCCCCCCCAAAAAAAAATGTACAATACAGGCAATAATAATCCCAAAAGCCACACATCCGAGCAGAACACTTCTGTTTTTTTTTAAAAAAAAATGCACCAGGGGGTAAATAGTATAGTGAAGAAAAAAGTGGTAGATTTTAAAAGGAAAGTTAACTAGTGCTAAATTGTTAGGCCAACCTATCTAGAGCCAACCAATCATAGTATCGTTTACTGGTGTTCAAAATAGATATGTAGTTGTCATGGACTGGTTGGATGCATAGAAGTGGTGGGAGGCCCAGTTGGGGAACCCCCACAGGAAGAAGGCTCAGAGCCTGGTGATGGGATGAGGACAGGTGGTCAAAGGGAGAAGAGGGAGCAGATTGGGGGGAGGATGTGTCAGAAGCTGAAGAGGTAGCAGGGCTCAATGAGCAAGTGGAGGCAGGCTGGTCCTGCTGTGATCAGCTCTCTTCCCCCCTGGTGTCCTAGAAGACACAGAGAAATGAAGAGGGTGGAGCATAGAGAAACAAGACGAAGGAGCCTTAGTTTGCTGGGGAAGGAACCTTAGACAGCAGTGGAAAGGCAGGGATCTTTAGTCTTCACAACTGCCACAATTTGGGAAAGACCTACTGGGGGAAAGCCTGTACTGTTTTGGTTTCTTTGAATAGAGTTAACTTAACTGAAGCCGGGTGTTTTATTGCTGAACTATGCCTGACTCCAGCTCCTTACAGTAGTTTAGAAAACACAATTTCAGCTATTTGAGACTATGTAGGATGATGAAACCTCTGCACCTTGACTGTAAGCCATAAGCCATCACACCTATTACTACCCATCTATCACCTCTCTACCTATTATCACTTTGCTTGAGTATTTAAATATTCCTAGCCGAGGATGACTTATAATTTTTTTGAATACCAATTAACAGAAATGCCAACTTCAAACTGCAGCAAGATCACACACAGCCCTATTATTCAAAGGACACTATAAAAGAATCACTGGCCAGTCCTCCAAGCCAGGAGCTGGTCAGTCATGCCCCACTGTTGTCCAGTAGACCCGGAAGAACTATTGTGCCACTAAAGGGACAAGGCTCCCCCTCCCCAACTCAGTCACAAGTTTCATTTGACAGAGAAAAAGATAATGTTTGTACAGTCATCCATAGAGCAACAAACACTTATTTGGGAGGGAAGCACGATGTAAATATTCCACCTCATCTGGAACTGCCTCCAAAAATACAGATCAAAGAAATTGAAATACTATTTTCAGAGCAAAACATGAAAACAGAAATAAAAGGAATATGCCATGTTATCCACAAAATTAAAGAGCACACAATGTTTTCTGCCTACAATGGCCCTTAGAAGGAAAATTAAGACCCACCTTTTCAGCTCCTCTTCTTTGATCCTCTCCTCTTCCCACAAGAAGACACCAGTGACGGCTGCCATCAGTTTGCAGGCACTGGTATAACGCCCTAGGAACTTGCGCCACAAGGAGGTGAAGAGGCTTTTGCGTGTTCTCTCAGAGTAGATGTTACTGTACAGCTGTCCAATCTGCTGAGCACGCTGGACCCTTTGGCCGGTCACATAGCTGCACTGGTTGGCCAGTAGTGAGAGTAGGTTTTTCTGCCTTGGACATTGCTCTGTTCCTTTCCGTAGCCAGGTGAGCAGCCACTGGTACCTGTCTTTCAAGGACTTCTCATTTTGCCAAACAAGTTGTAGTTTCCCTTTGTAGCCGATGAAGCGGGCAGTATTCGTGTAGTAGGAATAAATGCTGGAGGGAGGCCTCCAATGAAGTGGGTGGAACATTCCTGCCAAGCCTCACGGACTTGGGAAGAGAGATCAGAACAGAAAATTAGTCACAAAAGATGCCAACAGAAGTCAGTCTTTCACACCTACGTGCTTAGAATATGCCCTACTAACTTTGCAGCTCTGCCGTTCCCAGGCTTTAGCCTCACGCTAGGCTTCCAAAAGCCACCAAAGGATCAAAGAAGCAAGTGTAGCCACATTGGAAAGCACCCCTATCTCCCGCCAACAATCCATCAAAACCTTGACAGACTTCTTTACCTCACTAACATCAAATAGATGAAGAGCAACTATGGAATTTCAGTTACCTGAATGACAATAATGCAATTTCTAAAAGCTCTCACCATAACAGACCCTTGCTTTGTTCAGTGGGAGTATGCATGATTTTTCTGTGTTATTGCATAGCAAAAAGTTTCTAAAAAATTATTTTGCCCTGCTGTGTTTTATAGATGAAATCACAAACCACTTCATCCAATTAACATAGCACAACCAGAGGATTAGTGTGCTGTTATTCCCAATGCACAATTGTCGTTACTATTTTAGCTAACTCATTCTATTTATTTTAAAACAGAATTTGCTCAGTTGCTTGAAATTAGGCTAAGCAAGCTCATTTAGGCCAAAAGAGAAGGTGGCCAGGAAATTTATAATACACCAGCAGATAGGTCAGCTCATGCATTGTTTGAATCTATGGTTTCTAACTTTCCCTTCTGTTCAAGCACAGTCTTTCTTCAAGTGCAGGTCCACAAGAAAATATACAAATTAATGACTGGCTTCTGTCAGCCAGCACAGTAATAGTCAACAGGAAGAATACAGAAAAGGTGGTGGTGGGGATTAGTCTGAAAAGTGTCATTTTGAAAGCTTGTTTCCAAGATTTGAGCAAGTAGCTTGTCTAAAAAAAATATGTCTCCCCAAAAGCAGTAGAATCATTGATATGACTTGCGGGGAAGTAATAGAATGAACACCACCAAACTACACAAATCATATGAAAGGGGCAAATTGTTCACTGCATTCCTTTGCCAGAAATTCTGCTTATCAAACTGGCTTAGGAGTAGACAAACCCTCCCACAATTTCCCAGTGATTTGACCTCCTCTCCAATCAGAGAAGGAGCCAAAAATAAACAGGCTCTCTCCCAGCTCCACCTTGCTTTCACAATACAGCAAAACCTGGCAGGTAATCTGCATTAGCAGCATTAGCTTTCAGTCTTTCAAACAGCCTAAGCTTAACAATCACCCAGCAATGACCCTGGTGCAGGACCATTAATAGTCACGTCTGTACTCTAAGCATGAAAGAGGAAGAAGTGTTTGACAGGCATCTTTTTGCAGACAAGGGTAGAGTATTCTGCAGCAGCTGCAATGGAACACCCTCACCCAGGATTGCTTCAGGCTTTGAACAAGAATATTAAGGTAACAGATAAATGAGCAGCAATTGCTTTTTTCTTTCAGCTGCTGTAGCTGATCTCATGCACAAACCTGTTAGTCCCTTAATGGCCAAGAAGTTTGTGGACAGGAGCAGGAAGCTCTGGGTGCAATCTTAAAACTGACATTCCTATCAGCCTTCGCAATTCTGTGCTGACAAGCAGCCATTGATTCTTTGACAGGACCACAGTAAGCCACTTACAGCCCTAACCTACATTGTGAGTTGAATGGAGATTAGTCCCAAATAAGTGCAGCCTAATTCTTTCAGGTGTCACAGAAAATTTGGGTTTTAATACAGCTGCTTTGAAGATTAGACATTAGCATGTCTTCAGGTTACAGAAGCCCTCCAACCTATCCAGTCAGGTGCAAAGACCCTTCCTCCTGTAAGTCTTTTGAGGCCTTTTGTTCCTCCTGGACAGAGGATAGTAACCAACTAAATTCTACTCAGTGGAAACCCACTGAAATTAATGGACCTCCGTGAGTCTTGTCATTAATATAAAGGGGTCTACTAAGTATGACTGTTGGATACAGCCTAGATCATCCTGCCTGCAAACCACTAATAATCTTTATTTAGGCTACTTTGTTTGCTGATAAAGTTCTGAGTACAACAAAAACACCAAAAAATTGCTTTCTCCCAAATTCTTTACATGGAAATATTTAAATTTGCAAATTATTTATAAAGGCTTTGTGTTTACTGGCACATGAGATGGTTACAACAAAGAACGGAAGCGAAGAACAATATTCCTTAGGTCATAAAGCAAGTAAATAGCAAAGCTTCCTTCAGGAATCCAGGTCCAAATCTCTAGATCAGCCTTCTTAGTGGCATAAGAAGTGCACAGATTTTCAGAGTGAACCAGGAATACAGTACTTAATTACTGTGAAGGCTGGCAACATTAACCCCTCCATGGGGGAATCCCTTGCAGATGACTGCAGTTCCTAGAGAAAGGCAGTAAGAATGTATTTCCTCAGCAATGCCCAAAGAAGAACCACCATGGTGCATATGCACCAGCAAAACCTTCATCTACCCCAGCTGCAACAAAGCATGTCTGTCCCATACTGGTTTCTACAGCCACATCAGGCACTACAATTCCCAGAATGGTTTACAACCAATCCTTCCCAGAGAACTCTAGAAATTGCACCTTTGCAAGGGGAATAGGGGGCCTCCTAAAAACTCTCAGCACACCTAACGAACTACAGCTCCCATACTTCTTTGGGAGAAGCCATGACTGTTTTAAATCCTATTACAGCACCAGAAATGTACAGTGTAACTGTGGCCTTGGTCAGGTCCATTAATTTCAACAGGGATCTACTCTAATGCCACCCTGCAACCCTAATCATTATTCTGTTTATTTACTGTATTTCTATACTGCCCTTCATCCGAGGATCACAGTTGGGGTGTGCGATATATTGATATTTTGTCTCTTACTGGTATGAACTCCAGACTGCGATAAAGGTTTCATATTTTTTCACCTTGTAATGTATTGAGAATGCACTGCCCAGCTGGCCTTGCAGACCTGGCAAGCAGGAAGCAGGGAGGTGGTACACTCTCCTTCCTTGGGGGTTTTTAAGCAGAGGCTGGATGACCATCTGTAACTAGGCGCCATGTAGAACCTAGACTGTCTCCCTGACTTTCTAAACTTGATCTGCACCAGTTCCCAACTTGTTACAGGGCCAAATTCAAGGTGTAACTATGGGTATATAAAGCCCTTAACAGAACAGTAACAGATTCTCCAGAAAGCTTTAATGGTTTAGTTCAACATGCTATCACTGCGTAATTTTCCATTTAGTTATACACATCAATTTTAGATGTTTATTCTTTTCAATATTTTCCTAGATTATTATAAGCTCCAACCTTATTTCAGACATGGTGATATATCGAGATATTGATGTTTAGCTGGCATTATACCGTGATATCGAAAACCAGAAACTGTCCAGCCCTAATCACAGCATAAAAACACACACAACATAGTAACAAAATCACGTGGCCCGCTTAGCAGCTCAGCTCCGGCCCCCAGCTACGCACCCACCTGTCGCGGCCGCGATCCGCGCTCTCGCCTAGGCGTGTGCTAGCATTCCATTGAGAGGCGTGCAGCATGGGGCAAGAGGGCCCCGCACGCCGAAGCGCCCCTTCTGGGCTAAAGGAGAGGAAAGAAGGGCGAGCCCCGCAGGCTCGGCAGGGAAGGAAACAGGCCCAGGCCGCTTAACGGGGGGAGGCGGGAGGGGCTTCGCTTGCCGGTTCTTCCTGAGGAGCCTCTTCCCGTCAAACTCTGGCCGGGGCCTCCCCGAGAATTCGGCGGCACCGACTCCCGGGCCCTCCCGCCAGGAGGCTGTTCTGCGGTGGAACAGGCGGGCGACCTTCAGCACCGACTCACCTGGCGACGTCCGGCCCCTCTCGCGGTTGCCAGGGGCGACCCGCGCCCAGCGGCCTAGCGGACTGAGAGGCGACGCGCTCCGGGTGGCTCCAGCCTGCCGCCCTCCGCTTCCCTCACAGCCAAGAAGCCCCCGCACGAGCCACACTCCGCACGCGCGCTGCGTCCCGCCCCCTGCCCTCTAGGCCCCGCCCGCCGGGCCTTCGACAGCGCCCCGCCATTGGCCGCTCCCTCACCGTCCTCGCCGTCCGGTTGGAGAAGAGGGGCATCCGTCTTCTTTCCGCAGCCAGCAAGTTAGGCTGCCCCAGCTTCTTCGTTTGATCTTGCTGTCAGGCGCCGCCAACCCTCACCTCTGCCTTGTGACCCGCTCAAGGGCGCCTTGGAGACAGCAGGTCCCCACTCGGGGCTGCCCCTCGCGATGCCTGCGTGGGTTGCTGGAGGACTAGCTGTGTTTTTGGTAAGGTCAGGCCACCGCCGCCGACTCAAAGGTGGACGCCTTTTCCCCCCACACCAAGCTTCAAAAAGAAAGCCTCTTATCGCACTTAAGAACGGCGTAACTGCGCCGGGTATGAAAATCAGCAAGCGCTACCACCACCCTTTGCTAAATCTTCATGTACTGAGGAAAACATTTCACCCTTCTGCATTTATTTATTTATTTTTGCGTACAAGTGACCGAAAAGGCAGTGCAGCATAATGGTTGAGCCGGGACACCAGCGTCCCAATCCCCAGCCAGCCTTGAGGCCCTCCTAACTCAAAGGGTTGGTGTAAGAACACGGCGGTCCCTTGTACGTCATCCTGAGCTCAATTATGAGTTAGGCAATCATGAGTTACTCAAGTTCAATTAATTAATGTTACTATGCTGCTCTTTCTCCTCCCTCTCCACCACGTTCGGAGGCAAATATTTCAAAGACTTGGAACTCCTGCTAGGACCCGGAGCTTAGAAGCCACACACTTCCATTAAAACAAGGAGAACCTGCACCCTCCAGACATTGCTGCGCTCCAACTCCCAGCAGCAGCCAGAACTTTTATAAAAACAGAACTTTTATAAAGCTCCAAATGATTCCTGTACTTCAAACACCTCAAGCCAATTAAAGCTGGCAGCAATCAAAATCAGTTTCAGTAAAACTTTTAATTCTAGATTTTCAATAATTCTCATAGGCTTTGAACACATTTTGAATCATTTTAAAGATAACAAATCTAACAAGAAGTGGCTTTTATTAAATGTTGTTATCATATCACACGGAAAACTTCCCTCCCATCAGCATCTTCAAAACAACATATTTGTAAAGGTAAGGTAAAAGAACCTAGGACAGTTAAGACCAGTCAAATGTGACTAGGGTGCGGCGCTCATCTCCGTTTTCAGGCTGAGGGAGCTGGCATTTGTCCCCAGACAGCTTTTCCAGGTCCTGTGGCCAACATGACTAAGCCACTTCTGGTGCATGGGACACTGACGAGTGCCAAAGCGCATGGAAACGTCTTTTACCTTCCCGCAAAGGCAGTACCTATTTACTCACGCTGGTATACTTTTGAACTGCTAGGTTGGCAGGAGCTGGGACAAAGCAACGGGAGCTCACCCCATTGCGTGGATTTGAACTATCGGCAAGCCCAAGAGGCTTGGTGGTTTAGACCACAGCAGCAACCACATCCTCTTATAAAGATGCATATTCAAACCCAAATGTATCAGTTGCTTAAAATACAGAAGTTAATCATTTTTTTAAAAAGTTTACGTAGATGCCACCCTGCAGAACATTTGTCTTTGAATTTCTGTTGGGTAACATGTTGCCATACCTTTTGAGTACAGTATTTTACAATTAGGTCAATTGGGGGTGGTAGTGTGAGAACAAACAAATACTTGGATGTGAGATGCTACCATCCTCTCTGGGGCATAGATTTTGCTCTGAAAACGTGTACCTTGTGAGAGAACTTGAGTTGGCCAAGGCAAGACAGTCAAAATAACTTCAATCAATATACCACTCTATGTAATTGCTCTCATTTTGCAAAGCCACAGGCACCCAGATCTTAGTGCAAGAAAATCCACAAGAGCTCTACTCTGTAACAAAGTATTTCATTCTTGTCTTGGCAAATTCAGGACCACTTCTATCCCCATCCTTTCCATGTCAGCTGAGAAGCCATGACATACTCTATACCTCTCCCACCTCCTGGAGTCAAAATTTAGACTGTATGTCCATAATAGCAAAGACATTTGTTTTGTGATTATCTGTTGATCTGCAGCTATAGAGACATTCTCTTGGTAGAGTGTATATTGGTGTTTTCACAGGTAGTTCCACAGCTTTAAAACTGCCTTCGTCCAGAGATCCAAGTGCCCTCCAGTAGTGATGCAAGACCCCTACATATATCACTAGCCTTCACAGATAAGAGAGACTAGAAATTCTAATTCTGGAGTCATGCATTAGCCTTAGAAGCAACCAAGTTCAAGACAAGTTGTCAAGTTGGCTAAGGAACAATTCGCGCTAAAGGACAGTAGTATAATGGTTTTGACAGCAAAGTAAAAAAAAAAAAAAGCTTTTTAAGATGCACATGCAAGGCAGTGGCCTTTGGTGACTGACAGACAGCTTATACACAAGCAAACAATAGGCAGGTTTGGTTAATGCTTTCTAGTGGTGTGTGGGTGAACAAGATTGCCCAGTTATGTGGTAATTTCTCTCAGCCATAGTATAAACACCCCCAAAAAAAGACTATTTACATCCTTATTTTATTTTTGGTAGAAAAGGGTATTCAGAATTTTACAGATGGATTTAATCAACAGTGCTTCATGAATGTTGTTCAAGGTCTAAAAATGATCACAGTAACCAAGTACACATGGAAACCAGTTTTGGTCAAGTCCCCTCTGTGGAAACAAGCTGAATGGAGCCACCTCCATACTGGAGATAAGTCAAACTCCCTTTGGCACATGGAGGTGCTGCCAGTGTTGCTTTCCCTTCTCAGGGCCAGAAAAAGAGAAGACTGCAAGAGTGACCAGCAAAATATTCCCGAGACCAACCACTGATCTCTTCGATAGCCAAAGATTAGAGATTAGGTGGAGATAGTAAAATTATGCATACTATTTACAGCCAAACTCTTTTCTCATATGCAGCAGTGGGGAGGGGGAGGAGAGAGGGGGAAGGGACAGTCTCTGCTCACACCACATACAAAAGGAGCTACAGAGTCAACTCTGTTGACATGTGGAAGGCCCTCTTCTGGTAAAGACAGTGAGCAATAACAAGAAGAGAACACAAAATGAGAATGCACCAGTGGCACATTCATCATTCACTGGACTGGAGCTGAATGAAAACCACTCTTTGTCTAATCTCCTACAAACTGCTTTTTAAAGACAGACTTCTTTCAAATTCTACAATTTAGTCCCATTTCTCTATCTTTTGAAGGACACAGAGAGGGAAGCACCTTAACAAAATCCAATTAAAGCCCCCGTTTTCAAGTGATTAGGATAACACAAAGGAGTCACTCCTCACTGTGATGTGTAACATTTCATACTTGTAGCAGGAAAATCTCAGCTACACTGCACATTACTTTTGCATGAACCAGTTCTAGACAGAGAGAAGTTAGCAGACTGAAATCAGATAGACATCTGAAAGACAGGAGTGTCCTCAGGATATAGCTTCAGCATATCCTGAATGGCAACCTGTTTCATGGAAGTTTCACTGTTGAATCTCTTGTCTTCCTAAGTTAAAGCAGGTCTTGCTTTTAGTTCTCCAAAGTGCCATCCCCTTATTTTTATTTTAAACTGAAACAGGCATCTCTTTCATCCACTCCCTCCCATCTTTTCAGTTCAACATAACATCCCACCTAGTCATCAAAAAAGAGCTGCAGTGAGTAGGTCAAGTTCCTGGCTTATTCAAAGCAATTTTAGTTCAAAGCACTACAATACACAAAGAAAAAGGGGATGTCAGTCATTACACAGAGCATCATGCACCATCTTGCATCACTGCCTGCAACTATCAGGAATATCTCTGCCTCTCAGTTAAACAGTGGCTTAAGTTGGAAGAACTGCCTTTTGGGCTAGAGAGCTTAAAAACCAGAAGTAAATATAGTTTCAATTAAAATAGATTAAAAAATTAAAATCAAGCCTAGGATCAGATTTTGCATATAGTCTTGTGATACACAAATAGGTGCCAATACTATTTCTCCAAAACTGGGACATGAGTGTGCACAGAGGTATGTACACATGTGCCAACACAAACACACACACCAGTGCCAACTGGAATGATAACCCTTTAAAAGGTGCTGTTCCTTTACCTCAAAAGGTAGCCCAGTCCATCCAGGAGATATTTAGTAGTGGCAACATCCCGGAGTTGGCTCTGCCAAGTTTTGTTGGTCCTCCCCCCCACCCTTCCCAATGCCTATGGAGGAATGGGGGCTACGAGAACAGCAAATAAAGTGCAAAATGTTTCTCTTAAGTAGCATGAGGCAGAATGTGGGAGAGGAAGAAGCAATGGTGGCAGCAAGCTTACCATGCCTTTCAGAGAGCACATGAATCAACCCAAATGTGTCACCTCCCCACAAACCAGTGCATAGAGAAGGATTCCCACCTTCTGATGTGCTAAATGAAGAACATCTTTGCCCCCAGGTGTGAATATCAGTGAGAGTCACATTCCCCCCCAAAGAGGCAGCGCCTCGGAGTGCGGGTGGATGAACAGTGCAGGACTGCTGAACTCACGACCACAAGTGTGCATACTAGTGTGAAAGATCTTATCACAATGCAAAAAAAACTGTGGACCCCTCCCCCCTCTTCCCAAACACTTAAGTCAAGCTTGCACATGCCATCTCTTTCACATACAAGGCAAGACCTCTCCTGAAGTAGCTGTGCTTTGCCTCTCTGTACAGGAGGACACCCAAGTGAGTGCAAGTAGCTGGACTGCCTGGGTCGAGTCTGTTGAGTCACAAAAAAAGCACAAACCTATAGCTGGGTCACACCAGTCAGTTCATTGAGTCACTTGCTGTACGAAATGCAAGGGGCTGGGAAAGAAAAATCACCCATAGGGCTGCTTTGGAAGTCACAGCATGAGCAAAGCTTCAGTTTGCAGCTCCAAAGTGAGTTCTCTTCCTGGCTGGGAGGTCATAAAAGTGAGTGAACCACCTGGGAAAGAAAAGCACCAGTGAGTGGCTCCAGGCAAGGGAATGCAGTCCCAAGTGATTGTGTGCAGTTAGGATCTGCAGCTGGGCTACAAGAAAGCCTTCTTCCCCCAGCCCAGTCGTTCAGTGGTAGCATTATGGTGTATATGCTGGAGGTGGCTGGAACTGGTTGATCACTTCGTATTCTGCTGGATAAGGTTCATTCTCTTCCATCTCGGAGAGGAGCTCCAGTGCCTGCTCTTCCTCTTCAGTTGGGTAATGGCGCAGTAGGTTGGCAGCTGTGGCAAGGATGGAGGCCCCACCAGCTCCAGCCACCAGGTAAAAGCTAACAGCAAAGGTAACATACACTTGTGAGCCATGGTACTTTTTGTGCTGCTGCTGCTGCGCAAGGATGAGCTCCGAGGCCCAATAACAAAACCCGATCACAGTGGCACACTGCAGCACTGAGGGCAGAAGCAAGAGAAAAGAATTAGAAACTGTTCCCCAGATTCTAGATTTAGGTATTTTTATCACAAGCATTGCTCAGTGGAATTCGTTTGGCTCTAATGCGACTTCTTAAAAGCTTGTGGATATGGGTAATGTAGCACATAATCCTAGAATGGTAACACATTTACATTTGACTAATTTGAATTTGTGGATGTGCATTTTCTTGTTTCTATGCACAGACATGGAGATTTAAAGATGCAAGCTATTTATCAGACTCCACCATGGCTGAGCATGTTCTCGTTTCTCAGCCCCACCCTCTTGCCTGATGTCAGAGGACATCAATGGAGCTTTGCCTGGTTAGTGAGGTTTGAAGAACAACTTCAGGGAAGACAAAAGGATGACAAAAGAAAACAAAGTAGGTCTCACAAACCTGAGGTCTGCCCAGCCCTGGCCTAAGTAATGCATGCACAACATCTGAGATTTTTCTGCGCAAAATTCCTAAGTCTCAAACCAAAGAACTCAAGGTAAAACTCAAGGCAAAACAAGGTATTTAATTGCTACAACTGTTCTAATATTTTTATTACTATTTATATAGTCTTCAATGTACATACCACTGTATAGAGTAATATAAGCAGAAGGCAGGTCACAGGAATCATAGAATTGTAGAGTTGGAAGGAACCCCAAGGGTTTTAACCTTTAAAGCCCTATACGGCCTAAGACCCTTGTACCTACGGGACCGCCTCTCCTGGTATGTCCCACAGAGAAATTTACGGTCTGCAAATAAAAACATCCTGAAGATCCCAGGCCACAGAGAGGTTAGGCTGGCCTCAACAGACAGAGCTGTTCCACCAGGCCTTTGGTCAGGGCGCAGCCTGACCCCCTCCTATGGCAATCTGCAAAGAATTTTGCTTAATGGTTGCCATCAATTTGATTTTAATTAATTTTATAATGAATGTTTTTAGAATGCTGGATTATTTTGATTGTTGTTAGCCGCCCTGAGCCCAGCTTTGGCTGGGGAGGGCGGGATATAAATAAAATTTATTATTAATTATTATTATTATTATTATTATTATTATTATTATCTAGTCCAACCCCCTGTAATGCAGGAATCTCAGCTAAAGCACCTATAAGAGGTGACTATCCAACCTCAGTTTAAAAACCTCCAAAGGAGAGTCTACTGCCTTCTGGGGGAGTCTGGTCCACTTTTGAACAGCTCTTACTGTCATAACGTTCTTCCAGGTGTTTAGTCAGAATCTCCTTTTTTGTAACTTGAAGCCGTTGGTTCCTGTCCTACCCTCTGGAGCGGGAGAAAACAGGCTTGCTCCATCTTCCATTGGGCAGCCCTTTAGATATTACCAATATGCTTCTTAAATTATGGCACCTAGAACCAGACACAGTACTCCAGATGTGGTCTGATGACAGAATATAGCATTACTATTACTTCCCATGAGCTGGACACTATACTTCCATTGATGCGGCCTAGAATAGCATTTTTTCTGCATCTCATGGTTGACTCATGTTAAGCTTGTCGTCTACTAAGACCCCTAGATCCTTATCACATGTACTACTGACAAGCCAAGTGTCCCCTAACGTATATTTGTGCAGCTGGTTATTCTTGCCCAAGTATCAGTAAAGGTAAAGGGACCCCTGACCATTAGGTCCAGTCGTGACCGACTCTGGGGTTGCGGTGCTCATCTCGCTTTACTGGCCGAGGGAGCCGGCGTACAGCATGACTACAGCATGTGGCCAGCATGACTAAGCGTCTTCTGGTGAACCAGAGCAGCGCACGGAAACGCCGTTTACCTTCCCAACGGAGTGGTACCTATTTATCTACTTGCACTTTGACGTGCTTTCAAACTGCTAGGGTGGCAGGATGCCCAAGTATAGAACCTTGCATTTGTCCCTACTAAAATTTATTTTGTTAGTTTTGGCCCATTCTCCAATCTGTTAAGGCCATCTTGAATCCCTGTGTATTATTCTTGACATAGGAATGGGTAGCAGAGGGAGAATGTGCAGATGAAATTGTGTTTTGGTTCGGTTAAAAGGCAAGAGGTTCATAGAAAAGGAGGGTTTGGATAAGGAGAGAGGTGGCACTCCAAAGGAACCAACCTAGAATACAATTTAACAGCCACATGGGTCTAGAGAAATTGCAGAGGCCATGAGTAAACTATGAACCAACCACATGGGCAACCCCTTTTTGAACCATGGCTTGCAAGCATAAGCTTCAGGTGCCCAACACAGTAAACGGAGCAGATCAATCCCCTTTAACATTACCTGTGAGGATGTGGGCAAATGCGTAACGTCGTGTGATCTTCAGTGCAGGATGCTTTGGTCCAAACACATCCAACAGGAAAGCTGAAAGGCTGCATATGATTCCCAAGAAGCAGAAGGCAGCAATAACCCGAAGCAACAACACTGTCTGGGGGTTCATGCAGTACTCTGCGGGGGGGGGGGGGAGAGAGAGAGAGAATTCAAAGTTAGGTTTCACACATGTAATTTACTATTCCTAAGACGAGCTGCTTCCTGGAGCTTTCTGAGAATTAAACATATTAGTCTGTAGCTGTGCCAGGATTTACGTGGTACTTGGCATTCTTTCCACGTTATCTACACAATATAAATTCTGCATCTATGATGAGGCAGAAGTGAGGCTGTTCTTGTCCATACAGCTTAAAGCAGTTTTGCATTTGTTAGCTGAAGATGATGAATTGCCAATGGCATGCTGAAGACAAAAATAAAAGTTGTCACCATTTTAATGAAGTATTATAATATTGCTGGATCAAGTTCTATGTGCCATGCTGATCAAACTGCTTGACACCTCTGTCATAAGAGCACGGATGTGAAAATATTGTAGTCTGATGTGGGCAAGACAAACCTTTTCTTCTGTGGATAAAAAGGAACCTCTCTCTTCCAGACTCACCAAGGGTTATTGCCAAAAGTCATTGCGCAAGCTGAATAACTTCTGCTCATGGAACATAATTTGCCCTCATACTCCATTTCCCACCCCCTAAATCAGCTCTGATGCTTCCCTCAACCCTTTGGATGAGATTTGGAGTAGTGAAGGTAGTCATAGGGAAAAGAAGGGAAAGTTTAATTGTGGAAGCAGTATTAGTTCTACTCTGTGATGACTTCATTTAATGGATACAACCACAAAACAAAGGACAAACAAGCCTTATCTGATCTTATTTAATGGCTGCGTAGTCCAGCACATATTTGATAAATGAGACAGCTTTTTCCTTGAATACATCACTGACATATCAGTCCCCTTTGTTTGAAATGGGAATTGTGCCCAACCTCCCAGGGTTTTGTGGGAAAGACTATTATATAGCACTTTTAATATCCAATCACTTTACAAGTAGCATATTGGTTATGCGAGAGCACATTTTGCACTATACCATCAGAAACAGACCACATTTTACAGAAATAAAAGTACTGGGATATCATCCAGTCATTTATAAAAGCCTTCACAAAAAACACAACGCACTTTTCAAGCTATATTCCACAACCTTGAGGATCACAAATGTTCCTTCTTGCTTTAAATAAAAATCATTTTGAGAGAATCCAACGACAGAGGAGATGCACTACAGAAATTTACAGAAATCTTACAATTTTGGATCGGCTACATTAATAACAAATAAAATGAACTTGGGGAACTTGCTGCTCTAAAATCACATTATTTGCCATTGGCACAAGCAGAGTTACTCTATTATAGGTTTCTTGCAAGATTCCATCACAGACTGCTTCTAACTGGATTCCAGCAGGATGTCCTTCTCAGACTCAGGTTTTTTCCAGCTTCCCCCATGGTTGGGAACTTCTTTCTAGGCTTGCATTGATTTGATAATGTTGATCACCTAATATTTCAGCCATTCTGACCCACAAAAGGACTTACTTTAGTCCAAAAGCCTCGTACATTCTATTTCCTCAAGGACATTTTCTATAAGTTTAACAATGGTTTTTCTTGTTGCTTTTGCAGCTTACAAGATTGCTGCGTGTTCTCTAAAACATACAAAGAGGTGGAGATCAAGCTCCTAACACAAATAACTTGATCCAAAATATACAAAGAGGTGGAGATCAAGCTAGGTTAGGAGGCAGGAGGGTGCTGTGTGTTACTTGGGCTTGAACAGGTTGTGGTAGCCATGTTCAATTCTTGACTGAACAACTGTCTGAAAAACTGACATTCTCCCCCAATGCCATCATTTAAAACTCATTCCAAAACTCATGTTTGCCATACTGCATGAAGTGGGGAGAAGGGAGCTGCTGTTTAGAAGTAAACAAAAAGCCTCCTGGGCTCTGAAACTCATTTCACAGTACAGTAGGCCAGCCACTTATGGTTCTGGGGGTATGTGCGCCAAGGCAAAATCATCCAAAGTCCGCTACCACAAGGGACTCTGAGACCGTTGCAGAAAGGCCCTGAGAAGCTCCCAGGGCCCTCCTGGGATCTTTGAAGAGCCTGGTAAACAAGGAAAACCCGCTGGGTGCACGGGGGGGGGGGTGTGTCAGTGAGTGAAAATACATGGAGGAGAGAATTGAGCGCACTCTGTTTATTTATTTCTCCCCACCCACATAATGTTATGTTCATGTAAGCAAAGTGAGTGCAAGTTGTGGGCTTACCATACAATGGATTCTGGCCTAATTCACACACATCTTAAAATAATTTTTTGGTCACCTGCAATGCCTGCTTATCCAAACAAGAGCCTTCTATCGCTCCGGAAAGGATAATCACTCAGATTCATTCTAGCTTATACAGTGGTACCTCAGGTTAAGTACTTAATTCGTTCCGGGGGTCCGTACTTAACCTGAAACTGTTCTTAACCTGAAGAACCACTTTAGCTAATCGAGCCTCCTGCTGCTGCCGTGCCGCCGGAGCACAATTTCTGTTCTCATCCTGAAGCAAAGTTCTTAACCCAAGGTAATATTTCTGGGTTAGTGGAGTCTGTAACCTGAAGCGTATGTAACCTGAAGGGTATGTAACCCGAGGTACCACTGTATTGGGCTAGAATAACTACTTGTCTGGGCAGCAAGGGTCACTTCCAGGTGACATGGCAAGGGAGCGTTTGTCAAGTGGGAGAGAGCTGATTCCTTTTTCTTTAAAGCTACAAATCTAACAAAAAAGACAAATGTGTGGGAAGGCAGGCAAGGAGGAATTTTCATGGACTAGTTGCTTTTGCAGACCTCTTTGTAGGGGTCTTTAAAACTGAACCCACAGTGCTTTATCTTCTTAAATGTGAAAACTGAAAAGCCCTGAGAAGTGTAGTTATTTCCATTTTATTAAAATTTAAAATAAAATTTAAAAAACATTAAGTTCCTCACATTTTCCATCCTTTCTGCAAAGAGCTAGAAACAATTTAAAAAAAAAGAAACAGGGATTCTGAGATTTCTAAAGGAGCCCGGAAACTACCTAGACTTTCTTCAACATCTGTTGGATGCAGATCCTCCCAAGACAACAGGCTGTTTTAGGGCAGCTTCTTCATTAAAATGAGCACCATAAAAAACAGTTTAGTAAGATATACTGTGCTTTGTTTCAGATCAATTCATTTGCATCTAGTGCAGCAAATGGAACCGGATGTATAAAGCTAAATACCAGAAAACCAGCAATACCAGAATGAATCAGCCTCATATGAATATGAACTCAAATTCCTCTTGCTCCCATTAAGAGAACTATGGCATGTATCAACTGTTCATAGCAGGGACATAGTGGGGGGGGACAGTTTGGGGGAGGGGGCGCTGCTCACGATGCCCTCCTCAAACCAGCCCTGCGTGGCTGAGGGTGAGGGTGGCACGAGAAGGACCCCAGCCTCAGCGAAAGGCTGTTATGTCCTTCTCATGTGCCCTCCCCAAGCAGCTTTGTGAGGAGCATTTCCATGGCGCTCTGGCCATCAGAGTGACGCCTGACACAGTGGACTCCATTTGCCCTCAGGGAGGGTGTGTAAAAAGGATGCAACAGCCATGTGCCCTTCAATCCAGATGGAAGTCTAGGATCATTCGGCCCTTCCCGAGCACTCCAGGGCGCCTTGGGAACATGCTCTACTGCTGGTTCATAGTGCACTGCAAAAGTAAAAGGTGCAAACGCGGGTGGTGCTGTGGTCTAAACGACTGAGCCTCTTGGGTTTGCCAATTGGAAGTTCGGAGGTTCAAATCTGCACGGCGGTGGTGAGCTCCTGTTGCTCTGTCCCAGCTTCTGCCAACCTAGCAGTTCGAAAACACACCAGTGCAAGTAGATAAATAGGTACCGAAGTGATGTTTCCGTGTGTTCTGGCACCTGTCACAGTGTCCCGTTGTGCCAGAAGCGGCTTAGTCATGCTGGCCACATGACCCGGAAAGCTGTCTGTGGACAAACACCGCTTCCCTCAGCCTGAAGCAAAATGAGCGCCACACCCAATAGTCACCTTTACCTTTTTACCTTTACCGCAAAGCAACTGATATAAAAAAGCAAACAAATCAGCCCAGATCCAAAGCGCTTACAATCTAAACACTGAGAGTGGCGTAGACAAAGGGAGGGGAGAAAGGAGAGAGGCATACTCTACAAGGGATGAATATGAGTCACTGCAATTATTCACACAAAGGCTTCATTTCAGTTGGGTATGAGAGGGTTTAAGTAACATGCATCATGGAAACCTTAGGTTTCATGGAGATTATGGAAAAAAGACAGGTGGTACAATATATGTTATATATAGGCAAGCCCACATGTATCAGGGTCCTCCTTCCACTGATTCCCCACGTCCCTGTTGCCCAGGCATAGGCAAACTCGGCCCTCCAGATGTTTGGGGACTACAACTCCCATCATCCCTGACCACTGGTCCTGGTAGCTAGGGATGATGGGAGCTGTAGTCCCAAAACATCTGGAGGGCAGAGTTTGCCTATGCCTGCTGTTGCCCAACTAACTAGCCAGAATAGCTGAGAGATACTGCTCAGCTATTTCTGTGCTAATCAGCTGGGTGGCAGAAAGGTGCATGATGGCATCTCCTCACCGCTGATGGTGAGATGAGGTGTGGGTGAAAAAGAGAGGGGTGGAAGGGATGCCTGACCCACAGGCTACATGTGCCTTCAACCCACCATCTATGATTGCATGGTAGGTGCCATTGGAAGCAAAGAGGTTGCCTGGCCCTGTAGATGTTCTGGAATTTTCAGGCATAGTAGGCAGTGTGAGTAAATGAAATAAATTGCTTTGGCAGTTGTAGAACAGGAGCAGCAAAGATAACTAACCAAGGTCCTCAAAGGCACCTATTTTAACAGTAGGAAGCTACTTTGCCTGCTAGAAGAGAGCTGTTGGGACACAGCCAATTGTTGGGTTGAATGTTAACCCCACACATGGTTGTAAAAAAAGCTATCTTAATTGTTTGGTTACTGGCAAGGTTTGCAAACTCAGTTAGGTTTCTTCTTATATGCTTAATGTGTGGTCTGACCTTGCCCTCTCCAGAACATAAGCACCACATTAAGTTACAGGGGAAAGGCCATTGCAGGTGGTAAGAGGGAGGAAAAGGAATTATTGAAGAAACAAGTTTTTTGAGCCCGCAAGAAGTTGCAGTGTGCATTCTTTTTAGGAGTAACAAGCTTCTTGCCATTTATGGCCAAAGCTGGGAATATGAAATTGCATGGGATGTGTGTTGCAAGATCCAGCCAGAACCTAAATAACATATTTATGATTTAAGTGCATGTCTAACTTTTGTAAACCACTTTGAGGTTTGTTTGTATTTACAATCGAGTGGCATATAAATTTTATGCAATAACTTTATCCCACTGCAATGAATGGAACATTGGCAGTTAAATTTTGACAAGATTAGTGCTCAAAAACACTGAACATTTAAAATATAACAAAATTGATACAAAGAATCCTTTTGACAGCACTTAGTTCTACAAAAAGACAACTTTGGCTGCAGTCCTGTTTAGCTGTAAGTAAGCTCCTCTGACGACATTTGGATTTACATCTGAGTAAACATGCAAACAAGAATGCACAAAATGTAGGGGTAGGTGGGGCAGCAAGTTTCATTGCCACAGGGACCTATCCCTCCATAACTTCTGGGTTGGTAAATATTTAATAAGGAGAACCATGAAACAAGAATCAACTCCTCTACAGGCAGCTGATTATTATATGACACCAGGAATCACACACACAAAATTCACCTTGGTGAGCACAAGATTACACTGAACAGCTACTGCGTGAACCAAGCTACACCAATTTCTGTTTAAAGAATGCACACTATACACAATGAACTCTCACCTTTAAGTAAATCCGGGTCTACATATCCCAGCACATCAGCAACTCCCAGCTCCTGGCGAGAACAAGTGCCCCCATGAATCCGTAGCCAAGCAGGCTCTGCTAGCGCAGTACACAGGGCAGTTATTGAGAGGGCACCAGGCAATGCAGAAGCCAGGCTTCTTTCTGGCTGCTTTGGCAAGGCACTCCCATCCTGGCCTCTTCGCCTGCGCCCACTGGGCAACACCGAGCCACTTGGGGTGTACATGGATCCTCTTTCTGAGATTAGGCCAAATAAATCCAACGAAACACACTATGCACAGAAGCCCTTGGGATCTTCTGGAATGGGTGAGTGGCCAATGACTTTAGGCACCAGTCCGGGGGAGCAGACTCACAGAAGGCTGCAGGCAGAACAGAGCACCAGATGAAGTGTCTCTTCTGCACTCAGAAGAACCTGAAAAAGACAAACAGATCAAGCCTTGTAAATAGCCTCTCACCTGTGGCAAGGTAAGGGCTGCCTCAAGGTGACCAAGTCTGACCAACATTTCTTCCTTTTTTGGTACAAGTGAGCAGACTCACTGATTTCTATGGAGATTCCCATGGTTAAGCAGATGAAATACAGCAGTTTCCCTGAACCCCGCAAGCACACAATGCCAAGAAACCTGGGTTTAAAAAGTGGTCATTAATTCTCAGGCCAAAGGAGATTAGGGCCAGAGTTCACAAAAGTGGCAAAAATTTTGCTAATGAGTCCTTTTAATAAAAGAACTTCAGTAAAACTATAAGTACTATCATGTATAATGGACTCATTATGTTCCAAGATTAAATTGCACAAAAGCAGTGTTTTTAAGAGAACTTATTGAGGCTCCCATTTTATACTTCATACAACAATACTAGCAAACCAAATCAACTTGTCAAATGGCAATGGCCTATTCAGCATTTGTAAAACCAATGAGTTGGTCATGGATATTAGACATTCCTGTAATGATGTATGAATGTATGGCTTGAAATGAGGAGCAGCAGTAGCCCCCCCCCATAGCATTTCTTTATTTTTAGGCAAGTGGATTTGTGCCTTTGTTATGCATATGCACCTCAACCAACTAAATTGCTTCTAAACAACAGTGAAGCCAGTTAGTGTTCCAAGGGTGCTCCACTGAGACAGAGTATAAATGGAACACGTATCTTGCATATTATCCCACTGAACACTTTCAAAAAACAGTTTGTAGATTTCAGCTGGCTGGAGATAATCAAACATGGCATATAAAAGAGCTGAGAGACAAAGGGACCCTCTCTTGCACTTTTGTCAAAATGGCACCTTTGTTTATCTACACATACACACACACAACTTTTAAGCAGAACAATTAGTGCCTTTGACATAGCCACACTGTGTTGTTCATTTAATTATTGCAAGTCCAATGAATGCATCACACAAGAGCCATTCAGGTTGTGTGAGGTCAGAGGATATTAGACATTTTCATAAGGCACATCTAAGTATTTTGGAATAAAGGATAAAGGGAAATTATCACTCAAACCATCACAGCTCAAGCAGCTGAGTCCATTTAACAGATTCCACAGAAACCATTCAGTTTACTTAATAATATTAGACATTTACCTGATTAAATGGTAACCAAGTCAAAGTAACATAAATAACTATGTATTCTTTCTGCTTTACCTTCCTCTGTTTATCCTCTCATTTGACATAAGGAACCCTGTACATGCTTTCACCAGCCAAAAAAGGAACAAAGATGCCTTTTTTAGTTTGGTTTGCTCCCACTGCTCCCTCCAAATCCCCTTTCCTTTTGTGTTGTATCTTTTAAATTGTAATCCTGAGACCAGGGACCATCTTAATGAGCATTATAGCCTTCTTCAGGAACTTGTATTTTGCTGAGGAGCGAGGTACACATACTTCAAGTACACATGTAACTTGGAAACAACCCTGCCCTCACCTTTCTTAAACTGCTCACTCTCTGAACAACGAAAAGTACCTTAAAGACTTAACAAGTTTGTTACAGAGGAAGCTTTCACGGACTAGGGCACAGCTGGCAAACTTCAGTCTTGTGGAATCTCATTTATTTTTCCTTAGAACCCCAAGACTCACCACCCGGAGTCAGGTGCTAAGGGTTGTCGCCAACGCTAGGTCCGTGGAAATCAATGAGCTTGAGTTACTCGTGCCCTCTGATTTCAGTGGGTCTACTCTTGAGCAGGACTAGCATTGACTACAACCCCCAGAACTAAGGAATCCTACGGTCAGGGATTTGTTTTGGGTAGTAGAACTCAACTCGGACATCTTTTTTAACGTTAGGAAAACATCCACTCGGGGCTCCCCCCCCCCCATTTCAGTGAGTGGCAAAGAGGAGGCGTGATTTTGCTGCCGTTATCAAAACACATCGGAAGCCGGAAATCCAGGCCCCTGGACTTGCGACCCTCCCGGGGAGCCCGATCCACCTCCCACCCACCCCTGGGCCCTCCTTCGCCCCGGCGCCTCCCAGAGAGGGCGCTCTCCCTCGGATCCTGCCCCCGGGGGCCCCTCGGAGACACAAAGGGGCGCCGCCCTGACCTGGCGGGTCGGACTCCCCCACGCACCGCTCGGCTCCCTTCCCGGGCGCTGAGCCCCGTCGGGCCTGGCGTTCCTTCCGCGGGGGCCGGCGCCTTCCTCCTCCTCCTCCTCCTCCGAGCCCGACGACAGCCCGACCCCCCCGCTGCCACCAAACAACAGCCGCCGGCCACTTCCGCTTCCGGCCGGCTGCGCGCACGACGTCACGGCGCCAGAGGCGGGAGGAGGGGCGGGCGCCTCCTGAAGGGGAGAAGAAGGCGAAATACTGAAAGAGATTAAAATTCACCTCAGCATTTCTCAGCCCTGACTTGTTGGTGTTGTTCTTGACTTTTTCTTGCCTTTATCTTTTGGTAAAGCGCTTTGAGGAGGTTTTTTTTTTTCTTTTTCCTTCAAGTAAGTAAGTAAATAAATAAGACAACTTTGTTCCTTTGAAAGTTGCAGGAGGGCCAGTTCAGGAACTGAGTAAAGAGAGGCGGTCCATCTTTCCTTCCTTGTGTTGCGTGTGTGTCTCACACACACATTCTTTCTCGCCTCACACTGACTCTCGCAAAGCATGCTGGGAACCGTAGTTTCCGCGTGGCGTCGTCACTTCCGCTCCAGACACTCGCGGCGAGGGATGGGCTCCAGGGGGCGCTGTGGCGGGAGCGGCGCTGCCCGCGTTGCCCTGCGCGCCTGCGCCTAGAGGGGCCCTGTGGGAAGCGGGGAGGAAGCGCGGAGGCAGGTAGGAGGCAGCGGCGGCGCTGGGTGGCTTCTTCCTTGGGCTGCTGAGGGAGGGTTTGCCGGAGCTGGAGGTACATGGTTCTTCTCCCCCTTGAATTCCCACAACAACCCTGTGAGGTGGGCTGGCCCGAAGTCACACCCAGTGGGCGTCATGGCTAAGGAGGGGGAAGAGTTGGACCCTGCTCTCTCAGCCCAGCCCAGGGATAGGCTAACTCGGCCCTCCAGATGTTTTGGACTACAACTCCCATCATCCCTAGCTAACAGGACCGGTGGTCAGGGATGATGGGAGTTGTAGTCCCAAAACATCTGGAGGGCCGAGTTTGCCTATGCCCGTCCTGGCCCGACACTGCTGCACCGCTCTGGCTCTCTCATCCAGCTACCAGACTAGACTTGCAGCAAGAGTCCTTTACTACCATTTATCTCTTTTCTTTTATGACCAAGACATACAACTGATAGAACTTCCTAGTCCAGAGGCAGAATACCTTTGCATAGTAAACTGCACAAGTAAAATAAAAGAGAAGAGCCACTGCTCTCAGAGGCATCTGCTGTAGGAAGTGAGATGCTATGCTAAGTTGAGGCTTGCTTTGGCCAAGAAGGAGAAGTGCGGCGTAGGGATAGATAGATATGGCTGCATATACGTGATAGCTGTGAATGAACTGTTGTGTACAGAGGCTGTGGAAACGAGTGGCGCTGGGAGTGATCAGTAAGGTTTGGTTGTTGGTCCTGATCTGATGCCCCACTTTGTGGCTCCCTGGAAGCACTGGCTGAGCACTTTGGGAAATAGGATGCCAGACTCTGGGATCTCACTGTGAGCCAGCAAGGTTCGCACACAAACACACAAATCTTTTTTCGCTGGATAGCTAACTCCTGTGGTTTTGGATGTAGCTCAAAGTGTGTATTTTTCTTGGCCCCCACCCCACCCTCTGCAGTGGTTTGATTCTATAAATGTTGACTGCATCTAACGGTCTGCTAAGAAGTCTATTTTGGAAATTAATAAATAATGCAATAGGAATTGGGGTTTATTTCTGGCATGTTCTTAGGTACTGCACATTATATATAGCAGCGGGAAAAAATTAACTCATAAAATTGTAGAGTTAGAAGTGACCCTGGTTATCACCTACTCCAATCTCCTGTAATACAGGAATCACAGCTAACGGGTTACATACTAAATCAAACCAGAGAAATGTAATGTTGAATTGTGTGATATATTTCTTCTTCAGTTTGAATATTCTTTTCCTTTCCTTTTGAATGACATTCTCAACAAATGTTTTACCAGGCCTTAATTCAAATTATGTAGCTTCTGAGAGCCACATAAAACTAACCCTCTACAGCAGTGTTCCCAATTAGTGGTCCACCAAATCCACCCAGGAGGTCTGTGGCACATACCCATCAACTGTCTGGAACATCTCAATTTGGGGCGCCCTCCTCTCCCACAGGTCATGCATCCCAGTTTGCATTGGGACATGTTGGAGGGTATGGTGGCACCATTCACATAACAAAAACTCCCACAGAGATACCAACAATTTCAAAGGCTTGGCTTTTGTAAAACAGGGTCTTCAGTACTTAGCTACAGGCTTGTGGCCCTTGTCCTCCTGTGAGCACAGAGTCAAAAGGAAACCTACATACCATATTTTTCGCCCCATAGGGCGCACCGGCCCATAGGGCGCACCTAGGGGTTTTTTTTTGGGGGGGGGAATAAAGAAAAAAAAGCTTCCCGAGCTTCCCCTGACCCCAGCCCCCAGAACAGGCTGCTATCCGCAAGCCTAGGGAGCCCGGCAGGAAGTCGCGCCGGGCTCCCAAGGGTTGCAGAGAGCTGCCTAAAGCCCGCGGCACGCTCTTCAGCGCGCCCCGGGCTTTGGGATGCAGGCAGCTCTGCGCAACCCTTTATTCCCTTGTTTCTTCCCTTGTCTGCAAACACACAGTTCTGTAGTGTACCAGTTACCAAACTTTCTGCCCCTCCCCACAAGGACCACTTGAAACTTGCTGATGATGTTAGTGAACTACTTTAATGATTTTTCTGCCCATTGTAGCAATTGTAATGCACTGTGCTAGATACTGTATACTTTTAAATTGCATTTTTATTGATTGTTCTATTGCACTGTAGTTTATATTCCATAGAATTCAAATCGTAATGCAATAAAAGAAATAAAAGAAGCAATAACAATAAATATTACTATTGGATGAAGACATGATGTGACCCACTGGAGTGAAGCTTGCAGATCACAGTTTTAAAACACTTGCATAATGCAAAAGGCACGTGGGCTGCGTGCCTGGAGGATTTTCATTACACACCTTGATAAAATAAAGGCTTTATTCTGCAGTTGCAAATCGATGTTAGAATGCTGGGCACTCTTGTTCAGGAGATGCCTGAATTGCAAGTTTTTAAATCATTCTTATTTTTTGTTGGTCTCATTCTTTGCTTCTTCATAGGTTCTGCGGGGACTGTTTGGTGTTATAATGAAGGATTCCCTGACACTTTTGTCTCGCATCCCAGCACACCCAGATTCCCGATGCTGGTTTCTCGCTTGGAACCCTACAGGGAGTCTCTTAGCTTCCTGTGGTGGGGACCGTAGCATTCGAATATGGGGGAAAGAAGGTGAGCTAGTCTGCCAGTTTGGACTGCAATCCTAACATAATTTACTTCACCTCAATGGGACTGAGTAGACATGGTTCAGATTGCTCTCCTTGTTGTCATTCCTTGAAAGTAGGGGGAGAGAAACAGGCAACCAAGTCTTTGGTCAAGAGAGTTCATTGCACTCTGGATTCCCTGCTGCATCTTATGCTGGGAGGGTAGAGAGAGACTTGTGACCCACCTATAGATGAAAGACAGGTGTCAGGAATCTTTGGACCTCCTATCCCTTGGCCATTGGCCATGAATTTCTGTCATCCCATATCAGTGCCTAGGCCTGCTTAAGACAGCTATGACAAAAAAGAGTGTGCCAGTGCCAAAGGGGAGTTGAGTGGGCAGGACTTTATTAGATCTCTTTCCCCATGATGCTTTTTAACTCGGGTGGTGGTAACAGCAGCTCTTGATTTTTCTGGGTAGTTTAGGTGGATCTGATCCCAGTGTAAAGCTGAACCAGGTAAACACCTCTCTAACTTGGTTTCTGTAGTGACCTCTGAGGTGCCAGGAGGAGGGAGAAGGACGCTCCAGTGGGCCCAGAGATGTGTCACAGCTCCTAATCGGCTTTCTCTCTTGGCAGGTGATACCTGGGTATGCAAGTCTGTTCTGGGTGAGGGACACCAGAGAACTATCCGCAAGGTGGCCTGGTCCCCCTGTGGGAACTACCTGGCTTCTGCCAGTTTTGATGCTACCACCTGCATTTGGAAGAAGAACCATGAGGATTTTGAGGTGTCTTGAATCTCCCTTTTGGTTTTGTTGCTGCTGCTGCTTTTCTCATACTTTTCAGTTGATTAAAATCTGTCACAATTGAATACATGCACACATGCAAACACATAACACATAGCAAGAAACCCTTCAGATCTTGCTGGACTCCAGCTCCTGTCAGCCCCAGCCTGTATGACCAATGCTCATAGATAGTGGGATTTGTAATCCAACACTGTCTGGAAGGCACCATTTCTGCTGCCTCCAGCAATAGGAAATGTTTGTTGTGTTTTCAGGTGTATCATCCTGCCACATTGTCAGGTTTTCACACAATTTCCTGGTTACCCTTCTCTTACCCATATCCCTTTTTCTCTTTGCAGTGTGCAGCCACTCTGGAGGGCCATGAGAATGAGGTGAAGTCTGTGTCATGGGCACCATCTGGCAGCCTTCTGGCCACTTGCAGCCGAGACAAAACTGTCTGGGTTTGGGAAGGTGAGAGCCGCAAAAGTGTTTTGAGAGGATGAAGCTGGGGCAAAAGGAATTGGGATTTTCACTGTGTGTGAATATACTTGATGCATGATGGCTGGAGCACAGATATGGGAGGGAATCATAGAATTGTAGAGTTGGAGATGACCCCAAGGCTCATCTAGTCAAACACTGCAGAAATCACTGCTGAGAAGTGCCTTGTTTCTTAAACTGTTCCCCTACATCCCCCCTCTTCTGTGCTGCAGTGGACGAAGAGGATGAATACGAGTGCATGAGTGTCTTGAATTCCCACACGCAGGATGTCAAGCATGTTGTCTGGCATCCCAACCAAGAGGTGAGTGTTCCCTTCCTGTATGGCAGACAGCTGGTATCCTTGGGTGTCTTGGAGACCTATCAAATGGCTGGTCTCTAACCAGGGCAGTGTTTCTATAGCTCCCTGTTATAAACTGTAAACATTTATATTTCTGTCCTTCCTGCCCTCTCCCATTGAAGCCTTATAGCCCTCCTAATCGAACAAGAATACCCTTGTGTTGCAATTTTTGCACTCAGTTGCTGCAGTCTCCTGATGCTAATGGGGTGTGTGGACTGGAGTATTCATTTCAACATGGGCATTTGAAGTAAGACAGGAATGACATGGCTGATCCATAAAACTGCATCCAGGGAATTGTAATGAGTACATAGCAGCAGCTCTCCTTGGGCTTCCCAAATCAGACAGTGGGGAGATGGTCATCCCCACCAACTCAGGGTGGATTAGGGAGAGACCTTTGTGCAAGGAGCCCTGTCCACTCAGGGCCTGGCTGGCAGAGGGAAGAAGACTCCTCAGGAGCCGGTCCTTCCAAGGGCTGACCCAGCATATTTTGCTGCCTGGGGCAAAGGATCAAATGAGGTTGGCATCCAACCTTTATTTCCTTGACATCTGATGGGAGGGCATTCCACAGGGTGGGCGCCACTACTGAGAAGGACCTCTGCTTGGTTCCCTGTAACCTCACTTCTTGCAGTGAGGGAACCGCTAGGAGGCCCTCGGAGCTGGACCTCAGTGTCTGGGCTGAACGATGGGAGTGGAGACGCTCCTTCAGGTATACTGGGCCGAGGCCATTTAAGGATTTAAAGGTCAGCACCAACACTTGGAATTGTGCTCGGAAATGTACAGGGAGCCAGTGTAGGTCTTTCAGCAAGGGCTGAAAGGCTGCAGTGTTTGCTTCACCCACTTTGCAGCAGGGATGCAGGCAAAAGGCTGTTCATCACCCTCCTTGGTGTGACCACCAGCAGTGGGGCTTTGTCATCTTCACAGCTTACGTCTCTATTCCTGTTTCTTCGAAGTTGCTGCTTCTCTGTGGATCTGTTTCTCCTGGAAACTACTGCAGGATCCTTGATATCTTTGTTGCCCTAGGGCACGGATTGCCAAAGTGGTTTGCCCCCCACCCCCATGTTGCTCAGCTGCAACTCTCATCATCCATGATCAGTGGCTGTTCTGACTGGGATTGATGGGCATGGGAGTCCAACATCACCTAGAAGAGAAGGCACACCACTGGCTACCCATACCCTAAGTGCTGTAAACATGCTTTTGGCTTTAAAATAAATTCCGGGATTATCAGGGAGCTGAGCTTTGTGTCTTACACAACATTCTGCATTCCCCTCCATGCTCTCATTGAACAGCCCTGCTCTCAGTTTTGCTCCAGAGGTGTTTTGTTCCAACGCTTACCTGTGATTTTTCCTTTCAATTACCAGCTATTGGCATCAGCGAGTTATGATGACACTGTAAAATTGTACCGGGAGGAAGAGGACGACTGGGTGTGTTTTACCACCCTAGAAGGGCATGAGTCTACGGTGTGGAGCCTGGCCTTTGACCACAGTGGGGAGCGCCTGGCCTCCTGCAGCGATGACAAGACAGTGCGCATTTGGCGCCAGTATAAGCCGGGCAATGAGCAAGGTCAGTGGCATTTGCAAAGATGGAATGGATCTGTTCAAGGAATTGGATCTGCCTAGTTTTCCAAGGGCCATGGCAGCTAAGATTTGAAGTTTTTGTTGTTGGGGCAGCTGAGCCACCCTAAGGAGTCCGCTTCTGTAGGGTCTGAAGAGCTGTTACTGGTGGCAGTGTAGAAGTGCAGCCTCTCTTAGGCTTTCCACTGCTGTTTTTTCATTAGGTCAAGGATGTTGTTTGACTCTGCGTCCCATTACCCGCAGTCAGCAAAGCCAATGTTCAGGGATGATGGGAGCTGTAGTCCAGCAACGCTTAGGGGACCACAGGTTCCATATTACATAGCTAAAATCAACCACCACCACACATGCCAATAGTAAATGCCATGCTCTGTGGGCTGGTTCTGAAGTATGCAAAGCTACAGCATCCACAAACAGGAAGCACCAAGGTTTGCAGATGCACAAAAAAATCCTTAGGAAAACAGCCTAAGGCTGATAGCTCAGTGAGAAATGGGCATGCTCCTTGGACACAAAATGCTGCTGGTAGTGTGGAAGTACAGTGGTACCTCAGGTTAAATACGCTTCAGGTTACATACGCTTCAGGTTACAGACTCCGCTAACCCAGAAATAGTACCTCAGTTTAAGAACTTTGCTTCAGGATGAGAACAGAAATCGTGCTCCGGTGGTGTGCAGCAGCGGGAGGCCCCATTAGCTAAAGTGGTGCTTCAGGTTAAGAACAGTTTCAGGTTAAGAACGGACCTCCAGAACAAATTAAGTACGTAACCAGAGGTAGCACTGTAAGTCAGTATTATTTCCCCCTATATTACATATGGGGAGCCTGGGGCTGAGAGAGCACTGATTCCTGCCCAAGACTCAATGAGTTCGTGATAGAGTTGATGTTTGAACAGGTGTGTGTGTGTGTTCATGTTCAAATTTACAGCTCAGAATCTTAGCCACTGTGCTATATTACCTCCATGCAGATTCTCTGAATACAGACACACACATACACAATTTTGTATTCTTTCATCTTCTTTAACTTCTAGTCTTTGTGATCGTGGAGATGCCTGAAGCATGGAAGAGTTATCTGAGAAGGGGGTTTGGGTAGGGAAGGCAAGCATCTCAGCTCTTATCACTGAACCCTTGTTGAGTAAAAACTGTAATGGGAGGGGAGGAGTGAACCCTATTCTGCCCAATCACATGAGAGAGTGCAGTTATGAAAATCTGTGTGGAAGTTGGAGCAATCTAGAGCTAATTAAGTGATGTTTGAAAAGGTCAGTTCCAGGGTTTTAGTACTTAAGTTGAAGTGCTGACCAAAGACAAGGCTTAAGTGTGTCAGGATCTCCTTGCTCCAGGATGTAAATGGGGAACTTCACAGCTTCTGCATCCAGTGGGGACACCGCTTCCTTCCATACACTTTAGTTTCTGAAGTGAAAAAGCATTGGTGGGGTCTGTAGAGCTTCAAGGTGCCTCTCTTTGCAAATAATATTTTGGCCTATGAAGCACAGAAGACAGGCCCAGCCTAAGGAGTTGTTTGTGTGTTGCAGGTGTTGTCTGCAATGGCACAGATCCTACCTGGAAATGCATCTGCACCCTTTCTGGCTTCCACACAAGAACCATCTACGACGTGGCATGGTGAGTGTGCACGGTAGGGGAGAAGTCTTGTGTAGCAGCTTGCAAGTCATTCTGGGCACCAATCAATCTGTTCCAGTCAAGTGGTAAAGCTTTTCCTGTGATTGTATCACTCCATGTAATAGGGGACAGGACCTTTGCACAGATCAGGCCCATAGTCCATTCTTTTCGTTTCCTCCTCTGCAGGTGCCAGCTAACGGGAGCTTTAGCCACGGCTTGTGGAGATGATGCCATCAGAATATTTGAGGAGGAGCTGCACTCAGACCCCCACCAGCCCACTTTCACCCTTACTGTCCACATGGCCCGGGCTCACTCCCAGGATGTGAACTGTGTGGCCTGGAACCCGAAGGAGCCTGGGCTGCTGGCTTCATGCAGCGATGATGGAGAGATGGCATTTTGGAAATACCAGCGCCCCGAGGTCTGCTGAGGGTCCAAATTTCCCAGCTCCCTCTGACAATAACACAGTTCTAGTAGTGTAACAGTGGCACACCTGTGGGCAGCAAGCTGGACTGCATCCCCTCTGTAAAGGCAATTAAAAAGGTGATATCATGTAACCTTGTTATGAAGTACCTCCCCCCTTTCCACAAGAGCTGCTGTGCCAGAGCTAACACCTAGTGGGGGCATCTGGGTCTTCTGCACAGATTCATGTTGTTGACCAAACAGGGTCTTGTCTTGCAGCTGGGTAGAAAATCCCCAAACTACATAGGCTGGGTTTTCTTAGCTTCATCACTCCTTTAAAACGAAGCCAGGGTTGCCTGCAGAAAGACTGGCCTGCTGATTAGGCGTTTCTTACTAGTTGGGAAGCAAAAGGCTTTGTAACTGCTGGTTTTGTACTAAAATGTGGTTGTATAAGATGTAGGTTTGGATTGGGAGGTGGTGCTGCAGAGGGAGAAGAGCAGTTCTGAGCAAATGAGCTTGTGACACATGTAAAATTTATTTTGACCAAGTGCTATTGTATGTCTGCTGCTATCCCTAAATGGGTTTTTATGTTAAAAATGCAACTAAGACTTTGCCATCCCAACTACTTATTTGACATACAGGGGTCACCATCCAAGAGAGAAAAGTGCTGTTCAGCTATCAGAAATTAGTTGGCAATTTGCCTGGCTGATTCCAAAAATGAAAATGCCAACATAGCTCAGCACAGATGGCTTGAGTTGTCCTTGTCAGTTCATTTCCCCCCTCATTATAAAATGTGTGGGAGTTTCCTCATGGGAAAGGTATCTTTGTCTCATCCGTGTCAAATACTTCAACATGTGAGGCAGGGATAGGTTGTTTCACAAAAAATTCTGCATGAATTGCAACCTCAGAAGGCAGAGGGGGAAGTCAAGGAGCCCTGGTCAAAATGATTTCCAAACTTCCTCTATATGGTACTGTCTTTTGGGTTCTTGTAAGCACTTCAAGATGGTGGTCTCATAGCTCTCCTCATTTTATCCACAAAGCAACCTTGTGATGTTGGTTAAGCTGAGACACAGTGACTAAAGCCCATGTACCTAGTGACCTTCATGACCAAGGTGATCTTTGAATTCTGCTCTGTCCAAGACTCTCTAATAACCACTACATCATGCTGACTCTCCCTGGACACATTTGTTAGGGCTGATGAAAGTTGGGTTCCATCACTATCTGGAAGGCTGGAACAAGGTAACACAAAGGAATTGTTTCCAAAGAGATATTTGTGTTAGTCTGTTGCAGCACAAAACAAATTGGAAAGTCAACTAATTGCAGAGACAAGTATATTAGTTTTGCATGAAGAAGCACATGTATTGATTCTGCCAGCAAGGTAATATTAGATACCTACACTAGAGAGCAGAGAAAGAGCCACAGATGGCTGGGCTGCTGTTTCATATTCCCCAATCAGGATAACTATCTTGCTCATGGTAGGGCATCTTAATTAGCTTCCTGCACCTGACATAGGATCCTAATTACAAGCCAGAAAAGCAAGTGTCAAAGACCTACTTCAAACCGGGGCTAGGCCAATGGGACAGCCCAAAAGACTGTGTGGGGGAAAGGTAAAAATACATGCAGAGAAAGTCTAGGACTGAGTAGTTAACCTTTTTATACCTACCGCCCACTAATGCATCTTTCTTGATAAAATTTCCTTACCACCCACCAGTGCTCAGGGGAAGGAGGATTCACCTTGTGCCGTAGAACCCCCTACCGTAAGGTTACCAGACATCCCCGTTTCCCAGGGACAGTCCCCGGATTTACAAACCAGTCCCCATACAAAATCCATTGAAGTTGGAAAATGTCCCCAGATTCATTGAAAAAAATTTGGTAACCTTACCCTACCACCCACCAGAATCCTGAAACGCCCACTAGTGGGCGGTAGGAACCAGGTTGACAACCCCTGGTCTAGGAATTAGTTCCCCCTCCCACAAGAAAAGTAGCAAGGAGGCTGTTCCTAAATATCTTTATTTGGGAAAACAAGTAGGAACACAGCAGAACCAACTGAGTCCACTCACATAAAAATACTGTGCACAAAACTTTTTGAGTTGCTCAGTTAAAAAAAACAAAACAAAAGAGGAAGGGCAGAGGTAATTTCTCGAATGCCAGTTGAAAGTGAACAGAAACAGTCAAGTACGGAGTAACCTAACTCTCCAGCCAGCAGGAAGCAGAAGTTCACAAACGTCTCTAGAAGCAGATATTGTGGACATCCCAGTCCATGGAGGCTCAGAACTGCACTCATACAAGACAGGCCCAGCTCAATCAGTATCGCTGTCACTCTCTGCCTCCTTTACATCCACACTGAACTTGTACTCCTGGTCGCAGCCCATGTAGGCATCACTCATGAAATAGAGGGTGTAGTTGTGAGTCCCAGTGGCTGGTGCCACAAAGTCCAGTTTCACCTAAAAGGAGAAAGAGCATGAACTGGGGTGTAAAGGGTTTGCTCCACAAGGAAGGGATGGGGTGAGAAGCAAGCTCAGAGGAATGGGGCTCCATGCACATCCTGTGCTGAGAGCTGGGCAGGAAGGAACTGGAGAAGTCGCCCTCTGATATGAGGGTATAGACATTTGATATGACCTGCCTAGCAGAGCAAGGGGGAGAAACAACCCATTCCAGGATTCCCACCTCCTTGCAGGGGGCCTTTGCAGACCACTCTTCATTTTGAAGCTTCAGATTTTCTGTCAATCAGTGACAGTTATGATAAGCAGGACTGTGGGTATTCTGCAATTTAACAGAATGAAGGAAACACAAGGAAATTGGCATTGGGCGTAAGCTGCTGCTTCTAGCAAGTCTACCCTCCCTCTCACTCTTATTGCATGGGGTGGCACTTGCGGCCCTCCAAATGTTGCTGAACTACCTCCCATCAGCCCATGGGAGTTGCATTTCAGCAACAGGTGTCCCCACCCCTGCCTTACTGCAAAGCCATGTTTTAAAGTGTGTGTACAAGGCCTGCTAGAATCCCAGAAGCTGCAGGAGATGGGTTTTCAGCCCAATCAAGGATCAGCAAACCTCAATTTGCACATGCTACATATATCACATAATGCACTTGGATTTCCTGGGGCCAGGAGGAGTCCAGACCCTTGAGCATAAGCACAATTTTATTTTCAGTAATCCCAAACTTAACTTGTATTCTAAAAAAAATGTTGAGGCCAGTAATACCAGGACATGGTCAATAAAGCCAACAAAAATCAGACTGCTGCAAGGTGTGTCAAGCTGTCCATTTGGGAGGAGTATGAGTTAGCTAAAGATCCCACCTCCAACATCCCACACACTACCCATCCTCCTTCACCACCCCCAGCTCCAGCCTGAACAGAATTCAGGTGTGCTTATATAATAAGAGATGCACAGCATGGACTGTTCCTGTGATCCAAAATACGGGTTTATGGGGTGGGGGTGGGGGGTTAGAGGTTGCATCTTAGTCAAAGCTCTCTCCTGACATGATTGCAAGAATACAGCAGGCCTCTCTGGGGGTGGGGGGGTAGTTTTACTGTGCAGTCCACTATGTCCCTTCTTGCTGCTTCAGCAGGTTTTCTGAGCTGCTCAATTTTTCTGTTTGCAGCTAAGAGGCAGAAAATAATCTCAATTGTTTTACATGAGTGATTGCCTGGATCCCTGTTACGCTGCAACTTGTGGGAGGCCAAAGAAGCCACACCCTTAGGCTCTCCCTCACTGGATGCCTTTAACCTCCCCTTTTGCTTGATAATTCTGTCCCATTGGCCAAAAAGCAGGAGGTCCTTGACCTACAATGCTGAGGATGCCCTGGCCTAACACAAGGCTCATGACAGCAGCAATTATGCCTCCCCATAAGGCTCTTCTAGAGGTGAAATGAGATCATCATGGTTGTTCCCAGATCACTCACCTTAGCCTTCTGCTGCAGCGTCAGTCTCTTGATGGAGATAAGGCTGTTGGATTTGGAGTCTCCAATCACTACCCACCAGCCTTCCTCGCGTTTCTGCAGATGAGAGGGGGAAAGTGAGGAAGACGACTTGTGACATCCTCCCTGTCCCTCTGCATCACAACCCTGTAGGTTCCAGCCCCATCCTACCCTTTGCCTCCCACAAGTGGGCCCAGCTGGACTGCATCAGGCACAGGCTGGGCAGGACTCAACATACCTGTGGGAAGAGGGGCGCAATCACTGGTCCGGTGACTTCTTCCTCTCGCTCCAGCTGCACCAATACCACCACTGGCCCTCCGCTGAAGAAACAAACCAGATTAGACACACACACCTGGAACAATGTGCTAAGGGGGAGCATGCAAAGGTTGCTAACTGGCCTGCAAGCGGCAACGTGCATAGAAGCCCATTTGGCAGCAAATCACATGGCAAAATCATAGTCTACAGTGAAAAATCAACCACCGCAGCTTTCGTTTTGAAAACGGAGGAAGCCTTTGTTATTTTGAAGGAAACCCTCTGAAAGGGCACAAAAAATGAGGAATAATGCCCCCCCCCCCAGCTAAGTAACAAGAACTGCTTGGTCAAATTTACATCTTCTGGCTTTATTTTTCATTGCTATGCTCCATTACCTGCGAATACCATCCTTTTCCACCACTTCATAGGAAAGCTCAATGTTAGGGTAGCGGTTACAGAAGCGGGCCACATCAGCAATTTGGGAATCAGAGAGCTGCAGCAGGGCGTTGCGGTCTTCGTCCTCCATTTCCATGATGTCGAATACACTCTCCACTCCCTGCAAAAGGGCAGACATGGGATAAGCCAGCCGGGGTGGCCAAGAAAGGAGCAGGTTCCTGGTGGTGGAACAACCTCCCCACCTCCCTGCCTGAGTCCGCTCTCACCTTCTCCGTGCAGCGCTTGATGTGCTCAGAGGTGAAGTGGGGCAGCTGCTTCAGGTAGGAGTCCTTTGACCACATGGCCTGGGTGACCATCTGGGCCAGCTCCATGGCAGCCAGAGCAGGACTCAGCCAGCCGTTGCTGGACAGAACATCCACGCAAGCTTGGATCAGACGAATTGCCTGGGAGAAAAGACAGAACAAAGGAGCTTAGCATCCCAGACATCAGCAGAAAAGGGGGAACAATGCCCTCAGCTAGCCAAGCTTCAAATATGAGACCAAATGGGAATTGGCAGCATCTGTTGTGAACTCGCCCTGAAGCAGCAGGCAGCTCTGGGTGCCCCCCAGCCGTGTTTTTGCTCTCCCCCAATACCTTGCTGAGAATCTCCTCTGTGTCAGACTGGAGCTCTGCACTCAGCTGCATACGTGACAGATGAGCCTGAAGCAGAAGGTTCGTTTTGACATGGGGGTCGTTGAATTTGGGGTTATTCAGCTTGTGAGGCACTTTCTGGGCAAGCTGAGGAAAGGAGAGAAGCAACATTCAGCACACAGTAATGTTCTCTGACTATCTCTTAGCACCAAATGCAATCACACACACAATTTGCGGGAGCAAGACAGATTGGAACGCAAAGATCAGCACCCATCACCCAGAGAGGGTGGGGGCTTGAGGTGCAGCATAAAAGACAGGCGACACTGCCATGCGGAGGACAAGTCTGGAGCTGGCAAAGATGTAGCCAGCAGGATGTAGAGGCCCTGCTAGCCACAGTGGCCCACGGATCTACCATTTAGTGGTACAGGGATATATTTATTATTCAGTTTTAAAAGGTCATCACAGACTTCAGAATTTGAAACTACAGAAGTGAAAGTTCTCTACGAACAAAACAGAGGACAAAATGTACACAATGAATACAGACTGGGGAACTTAAGTGCACATGTACAGCCCAGTAGGTTAACTGTATTTGGTTCTATAAACTTAGCTCTCAGCCACTGGAAATTTTACCACTTTTACATGCATAATATATTTTTCCCAACAAGTACCAACTTCTATTTTGGTTTTAAGTTGTTTTTTTTAAAGCAGATCACACATTTAAAAAATATTTGCAACGCACATAAAGCAGAAAGAATTTTTTACAAATAAACCATCTCCACACAAAAATCTCTGTTCAGACAATAACAATTTCCCAATTCTTTAAAACCATGTTTGCTTATCTTTAAAATATATATACATAAAACCCCCTCCTAAACAACTCAGTCTTCACCAACTTCACACAAGAAAGGCCTTAGGAGGGAACTCCTAGTTATGGAGCCCTGCTCTGTATCCTCATGGATTTATCTCAGGCAGGTGGATACTAGAGCAGGATCAGGACCACTTGCCCTGCATCTAGCATCTAAATACTACTAACTTGGGTTAAATTATTGCTTCCAAATATATTTTTTTTAATGTTTTGCTAAACCAGAATCTGAGAAGGACTGGGGTCCTCTGCTCTTGGAGGGAAGCCAATGGGCTGTATAAAATTTCCCAAGTCAACCAACCACCCCACCCCCACTACCCATCAAACTGAAGAGCTGGCTCACCTGGCGCAGGAGGTTGTCCTCATGGTGCCGGATGGGAATGTTCTCATACTCAGCAGCATTGGAAATGATTTCAATCAGCCCTCGCACTTTAGTCTTGGCATTCAGGGACATGCTGAAGAGCTCTAGAGGTGGTGGTGGGTTTTTAATAAAAGAAAAGGTAGCATCAGGTATGAGGCTGCAGCCTCAGACAACAAGCAACACACAGCATGCCATGCACAGGTGCCATGATGTCCGTAACTCCCAGCACGCCCCTTACCAATGGTGGTGTAGTTGATGTAGTAATAAGCTGCAATCATGCCCAAGTTCAAAGGTGCCACATCCATCTCATCCTCAATGCTGATACACTTGGACTGCTCAAGGTCACTAAGCGTCTGCTCCACCAACTCTGACAGGTGGTCACTGAGATGCCTGTGCGAAACTCCTGAACGAAGAGACAAAGGAAGACAGATGCAGCACATCCACAGGGGCTGGAAACATAGGAGCTTGAAATAATCTTTGTGTTTTATTACTTCAGAACCAGTACGACTTTGAGGAAGGACAGTGTGAAAACATAAGAAATAATCCTTCCCCATTCCCCTCCCTCTTGTCCAAGTGTGTGGCAGGATAGAGGCACAAAGCAACAAAAACAGGGGGAGGGGTTGGGATTCGGCTTTCCCACCTTGCAGGTTGTAGTAGTTGGGATTCTGAGTCATCCTGCGATACAAGAAAGTCCAGGTGAGATAGTCGACAGCATCCTGCTTGTTCTCAATGGTCTTGGTGACGATCTCAGCATTGAAGTGATCGTGCATGCAGTGGTCTAAATGAGACTCCACTGGCAGGGGCTCGTATAGGAACTTCTTGAAGAAATCCTTTGAGTGGGAGAACCAAAGTGGCATTTTTAGTGTGTCAAACAATTTACCAGTTTCATAAAGATCTCCACTCTGAACAAAGGAATACTCAAATCCAGACTGGAAGAGAAACTGTGCCTCAAGCAAACCTCATCCAGGGAACATATGGAAGAAATGTGATCCTAAATTTCTTCAGGCCCCCAGCCCTAAAGAACATGCAAGTCCACTCATCCCCTGTTGTTTGCTCACCTTTTTGGATCCCTGGCACATAATGACACAGCGTCCCTCATCGTCCTGCAGTGGGCGGTTTGCATGGCCCACCATCTGCAGCACATCATAGATGGGGTAATCCACATACCTGGCACATAGGAAAGTAATTAACTATGTTAACAGAAGCAGAAGGCAAAAGGTTTAGAATTCTGTAGAGGGGAAACTTCTGCAATATGCATGTCATGACAAATTCCAGATTCAGTCTGACTGGCTGAAAGTTAAAAGGTCAGACTTACTCTAGTTAGTTCATTTTCTGCAAGGGATGGTGGAGATCCAATGGATTGCTTCTCCTGCTCATCCATGGATCTCCCTCCTCCACTGCACCAAATCATCACATTCCCTTGTGAAGAAACCAGGGCAGGAGCTTGGAAAACTGAAGAGGCAAAAAATGCGCAGGAATCTTCACCGAGGGCTGAGGGTTCCACTTAAAGAATGAAAGGCCCACTTCAATTCCTTCTGGCCTCTTATGAGGGTACCCGTACCTGGCCACGTATTTTCAGTTGCCCAAATCACAAGAACCAGCAATGTGTGTTGTTGATATGACTGTTTCAATCTGCAGAGGAATTAATACTTGGACTCTGGGTCAGATATTATATTCTGTAAACCATAGCTAAATGGCAGCTATTGATAAAGGTAATGCATGAGACACATGAAAACCCATTTTTTTCACATCAGTGTCACTCTAGGAGTAAGAAATACACATCTGGTTGACCAGCTTCTAGACTATTCCAATTGTGCCTGAGCAGCCAGGATGAAACAAGGCCTATCTTAACAACAAAATCAAAACCAGCCCCAAATGAGATGCTCTCCTCTAGCGTCTGGGGTGAGCCTCACTTTCCCTTTCACCCTGGGCTTCTTTTTCCAGTGGCTCTTACATTCCTCACTGCATAGCCCAACAGTCCTCACCTTTCCCGTGGGCCCAGAACCCAGCAACCCAACTCCCTTCACTCACGCATGGATCTTGCCATTGTAGTATTGCGTGTCCATGATGATCACCAGGTGAGAAGCTACATTCATTCCCCAGCAGAGGCTCCGCGAGGCCACCACCACCTGAATGGCACCTAACAGCAAAACAGAAGAGCAGAACTAGATGAGAACCAATTCACAGCCCAGCTGACTGTGGGGGAACAACACACATAGAAGCAGCGCGGAACAGTCAGCAGTTTGCAAAGTATGATTCAGACACCTAAGCCCTTTCATGACATTATCCGGTGTAGAAATGAACATACATAGTTGAAGGGGTGGAGCCTGCCACCACAATGCCACCTCCTGACATTTCTACTATATCAGATTACATCTGAAAAAAATCTAGATTTCTAATTTCCTACAGGTCACCAAGAAACCTAATCATACACTGAGAATATTATTTAACAAAAGAGATTGTGTGCATAAAGGAAGATATGCAGGTTGCTTGATCTGCATCATAGGATGGCCAATTACTGAATTCTCAGGGGTGGCGAACTTGATTTTGCACACAAACTGAGTAGTTGATCGCCTTATTATTTATTGAATTTATATACCGCCCTATACCCGGAGGTCTCAAGGCAGTTCACAATGTTGCTGGAAGAAATGCTTAGGAAGAAAAGCCTCTCAAATACAGAACACATGAGCTCAGGAAACACATACATAAGCATGAGAGGTGTAACATAAAATGCTCAATATCTCCATTACTTTAAAATATTTTTTTCCCTTATGTATGAAACATTTCAACAGTGAGGCGGGTGATAAACCAGCAGAATCCCTAATCTGTCCTGATTCCCCAGTGCCAGGGACACACACTCTAGATTCCCCCGACTGGACAGAGAGCCTGGAGATAGAGAATCTCTATAGACCACAGCAACTCCCCCTCCCTGACCCTTGAGTATGGCCTGATGCTGCCCTGAGTACCCAGGTGGGCACAGCTGGGTGAGACCAACTCCACCCTGTTCACACACCCAGGTTTCAGTGATACATGCCAGATCAGCCTCCTCATCCATAATCAGATGATAGATGAGGGAGATTTTATTCTGGGTCGACCTGGCATTCAACAGCAGCAGTTGCAGACCCAAGGGTTGGCTGATATGACAACCACAATTCCCCAGGTTGGAGGAGGGGCTGGCACACGGTATAGTCACTAAGTGCCTGAGCCGCGTGCCCCTTACCTGGCCTGCCCCTCCTCCCATACCATACCCCCCCTACCCAGAACCACTGTAATTGGGGCTCCTCCTGCTCTCCTCTCTCCTCTCCTCCCAGGCACATCCCACAAAATGCCCTTACAACTCAGTTAAAAACAGTTAAAACACTAAAAAATAATAATATGAAAAACAATTTAAAAGAAGTATCTTAAATAAATAAAAATCAACAACCGGGAGCCTGATCTGACCTTTAGTCTTGTACACAGCCATCCCTGATTTACATCTTAGTTACTACCTTGTGGGTTTTTGGAATTTCCCCCCTGAATAGAGACATTTCTTTATGGTACCTGATAATCCCTCATTTTCTAAATTGACCCATAAATCTGCAGTCTGCTCCCACCCCACTTTACCTGAGCCAAAAAGCTGCTCCACAACTCTTCGCTCCATGGAGGTCAGTCCCTCATGCAGGTATCCCACCCCGTTCACCAGGGTCTCCTTCAAGGTGTTGTCATTCAGCTTGTCCAAGTAGGGAGCCACATCCTTCTCAGTGCAGTGCAGGAACCTGGCAAGGAGCAACAAGCCAGACCGAAGTCAGGACAGCCAGCAGACCAAGACAAACTTCCTCATTCAGTCAACAGCCTCCATCCTATCACCCAAAAGACTGGTGAAGGCTGACCCCCTCCTGTCCCCAGAACCTTAAAAGCAGACGGGAACCATCAACTGTCAGTGACAGAGTTTCTCATCAACACTTCTCATTTCCCTCAACAGCTTTTGTAAAGCAGTAATTCTGCCGCAGCAGATTTAATTTCTGGGCAGAAAAGTAGCAACTTGAGAAACTCTCATCTCTGCAAAATCCAGTCTACTTCCAACATCCCTTGCCCATGTTTGGCCCTCACAAACTTCATTACTTCCACATCGTCTGCCCCAGACTGAGCTAGATATCCTTCACCCCAGACCCTCCAGCATGTAGACATTAAGCACATACACATCCAGCCAAATACAAATTAAATAAGTGGGCCCATCACACCCATTCTTTCAGATTATTCATATCATTTCTTTGTATAAGAACAAGCATGAAGGAGGTTTCCCAGCCCACTCACAGATCCTTATAGTAGCAGTGGAAACAGCTGGTCCTAGCAAGTGTTAACCACTTTCAATTTTAACCTGAGGATGGTCATTTGTCCAGTTTTAATTTTAACTTTTATTTATTTGAATTAATTTTGGGATGCATTTTAATCAATTGATTGCTTGTTTTTATGCATATTGTATTATTTGTATGATGTTAGCTGCTCTGAGCCCGGCTCCAGCAAGCGTACAAATACATTTTTATTATTATTAATTATTATTATTATTAAATGTCAAAGTCACTGAAAGATTGCAGAGGGAAGGCATTTCAAAGAGCAGGTCCCTCTCTATTCTACTCTAGTGTAGCTCCAGTGTCCTTTAATAGCTTCTTGCCCCTTCTCAATTACTGACAGGGGTACAATAAAAAGGAATCACACACAGGCTGCAAAATTCAGCTTCTCCTCTTGTATCATTAAGTTATCTGGAGCACAGATTACATGGTGTCCTGCCCATACCTTTGTCTCTGGACATCTGATGCGCAGGTGGTGAGGATGTCAATGGCTGTGAGGCGCGTCTGCTTGCGAGACGGAACAAACACGATCACTGGCTTCTTTGGAGAGTGCTTCATGATGGCATGATAGACTGGCTTGGCCATGGACAACAGGCGGGTCTGGGTGTGGCTGATGTTGAAGCCCTAAGGAGCAGCAAAAGAGAAGAGAGAGGGTGATCATGTTGCCAAACCTCAGTGCTTGGAAGAGGCTAATGGAAGGGTCCCAGGTTCGATCCCTAGGGTCTCCAGGGAGGGCTGGAACAAAGGCCTGCCTGAAACCTTCAAGAGCGGCTTCCTGTCAGTATTGACTGTACCAAGCCGAATGGCCCTTTGAGCTAGATGAACGCCAGCTTTCTATGTTCCTAGAGTTCCCCAGAGGTGTGGGGTAGGAACTTACTTGGATGTGTAGCTCCAGGGGCACAGGGCGCACGTTGGGGTGGAAGTTGAAGGTGGCCGTGGCACTGCACCCTAGCCAGTGGGCCACATCCTTGGCGTTGGACAGTGATGAGCTCAAGGCCACAATGCGGATGGGCCGCTCAATCTGGGAGGAGATGTAGCGCATCCGGGAACAGATCACCTCCAAGACTGGCTGCAGAAGGAAGCCAAAGACACCTAGGTTATTTCAAGCACTCTCAGCCATTCCACATCTAGATATTTCCATCATTGATTTCATTTCGCTATCCGCTCCTCCTCCATCACCACTACTAGGATCTTCAGTTTCCAGTTCTTTGCTCAACCATCCCACCTCCCTTCGATCTCTTAGGCAAACTGCAGAAGAATTCCAATAATTCCACCTCGGTGCAACCAGTTAATGTGAACAGGTGATACAATTAACAAGAGATCTCGGCAGGCTGTTTTTCATTTTGAGTATGCATAGATATGTAACTTGTATATAATTAATTGACTTTCTTTTTACATTGTTGAATATTGATATATTGTTTTTGTTTTCAGATCTCTCAAAACATATTGAGCTGTTCTGAAAATAAAATCCTAATTTGGCAGCAAATTAATATATATTCTCCTTTGTTTTGGGGTTCACTTTAAATGCTCAATGGTTTTTGCATTTTCTTGATGCAACCACTAACATTAATACTTCAGTGTCCACCCTCTGGAAGGCCTCATTTCGAGATGATTGAAGGACCCTGACTTTGACTAGCTGGGTAGGCAGAAAGCCTCCAAGAGAGAGATGACAGCTCTATAGGAAAAGCCCACAATCTTCACATCCAGCTGGCACCTGCTATTGCCAACTGCTATCAACAATTACTAAAATTGACAATTTCACTCATCATTTTTGATGCCCAACTGGTTCACTGGCAATATTTATTACTCAGGGGAGGGTGGGAGAACTGAGTTTTGCATCCAAATGTCCCCATGTTTAATCCCTACTATTTCCAGGTAGGTCTGGGAAAAGCTCCCTTCCAAAAACCTCAAGAGCTGTTGTTAGATTGTGTAGATAGACAATGCGGAGATAGGTGGTTCAAATGCCTGCTGATGGAAGGTGTCTTCCTATCCCTGGGTAAGTTATCTTTGAAAACCATCAGCAATAAAATACATGGACCTGTTTGGATGCCTCGCATTCTGCTCAGCACACACTGGCTGTGGGAGCTACTTCTAATTGCAGCCCCTCGTGCAATGTCAGGTGCTGCACAAGATGCTGGGAAGGAGAGAGGTGCTTAGGGGATGCAACGGTTACAGATTTCTGTCTCCTTCTGTTGCCCAGAACGAGAAACTCCTCAGTACACAGGATATGCAGCAGCTCTGAATGGGAAACCCTCCAAGATAGAAAGGTCAGTGTCCTGCTTACTCCCTCCAATCCCCTTTGTGGTGGGCTGCATTCCCCCATGAGACTCACCCCATTCTCGCCACCAATGAGATGCACTTCATCCACAATGAAGAGGTTGACGTTTTGCACGTTCTTGCGCTGCTTCCAGCGCCGGGAAAGGATGTCCCACTTCTCAGGAGTGCTGATTATAATGTTGCCTTTGCCCAACAGCTTCAGGTCAGTGCTGGTCTCCCCCGTCAGCAAGACAACTTTCTTGAGTAGGCGCTCTTGGAACTTCTCATACCAATCTAGGAAGATCTTCCATGGCAAAAGGAAGAGCAGACAATGTTCTTAACAGCCGTCCTTCCAAGCACTCTCTTCCTCACACACACAAAGCACACCTTCTCTAGTTTTTCTAGCTTACAACCAACAAAGTGATCATCCAGACTTATCCACATATATTCTGCAATGCTTTAATTCCATCTTTGCAGAATCTGAACTTCACTCACAAAGCAAAGAGAATAAGGAGGACAATGGGGAAGTAGAGAGAGCTGTGTAAAATATACTTGAGTACTTGTTCCAGCTAAGGCCAACAGCTACCCCTCAGAACACCCTATCCAGACCATCTTCTTTTGTTTTTCTGCCTGAAAAGCTTTCACTGGGAAGAGGAATTGATTAAAGCTATTCTTATCAACCTCCTGAAAAGGGCAGATTTCAAAATAGTTAGGGAGTGCTGTACCTGCTCAGCAAGGGCTTCCATTGGTGTGATGTAGACACAGCGGCCTTCCAAATTCTGCAGCAACATCCTCAGAATGGCAAACTCAGCACAGATCGTTTTTCCACTGCCTGTGGGAGCTCCCACAAACACATTTTCATCGCTGTTATAGACGGTGTTGAAAACTAGACCGAGAAAGAAAAGGCAGAGGAAAATTTCCCTATGGCCAGCAACAGTTACTCCAGAACCCACAAGAACCGAAAAGTATCCTTCCCCAGATGGTGCCCTCTAGATGTTTTGAACTGCAAATCCCATCAAATCCAGGCAACACAACTGGGGACGATGGGAGCATCACAAGAATCATAGAATTGTAGAGTTGGAAGGGGCAACAAGGGTCATATAGTCCAACCCCCTGCAATGCAGGAATCTTTTGCTCACCGTGGGGCTCAAACCCATGAGCCTGAGATTAAAAGTCTCATGACTGAGCTCAGAGGCTTGCTGGCTGGGGCTCATGGGAGTTGCAGTTCAAACTATGTAGAGGGCACCAGTTTGGTGAATGTTGCTAGAAGTGTCGGTATTTAAGAAAATAAGAAGAGCTTGCTGGATCAGGCCAATGGTGCATCATATTCAGCATCCTGTTCTCACAGTGGCCAAGCAGATGCTTGTGGGAAACTCACAAGTGAGATCCAAGCACAAAAGGACTCCCTTCCTGTGGCTTCCAACAACTGGCATTCATCATGGCTAGTAGTGAACTTCCCCAGCAAGACACAGCACCTGAATTTGTAACCACGTCACAAACAAGCACCACATACCGAAGTGATGTTCACAAGACTACTAGACTGAATCCCCCAGCTATGTGATGGAATGTCTGACAATTAAAACTGCAGTTCTGAATTATGCCATTTTGTCTTGCATGCTCCAGGCTGTTGGCACCTAATATATACCGTATTTTTCGCTCTATAAGATGCACCAAGCCATAAGATGCACCTAGTTTTTGGAGGAAGAAAACAAGAAAAAAAATATTCTGAATCTCAGAAGCCAGAACAGCAAGAGGGATCGCTGCGCAGCGAAAGCAGCAATCCCTCTCGCTGTTCTCGCTTCTGGGATAGCTGCGCAGCCTGCATTCGCTCCATAAGACGCACACACATTTTCCCTTACTTTTTAGGAGGGAAAAAGTGAGTCTTATAGAGCAAAAAATACGGTAATACTATGCAGCTCCCCCCCCCCCCCGCCCCTGCTAAGATGGTTCCTACTTTCTTGGCAGCCCTCCTCATCACTGACTCAAGACCCGGCTGCATTGCCCACCTTGAGTCTGGATAGGATTGAAGAAGGGAAACTTGTCCTGGTAGAGGCTCTCAAAGGCGCTGTTCCGCAAAGCGGAGACAGGCAGCGGCTGCAGGTCTAGCAGCTCGGTTGGTGGAGGGTACTTCTCTGGAAGGATCAGATGTCGGAAGGACACAGGCAGCTGTGTCTCACAGGCTGAAATAATCAAGCGCATAAACACAAAGAAGATGAAAACAGAGAATCTAGATCTGTTCTCTGCTTTTACAAGAGGTATTCTTTGAATGAGAAGATCAATAGAGAGAGGTCAGACCCAGAATGTTGTAACAGGGCCTGGGGGAGTCACATTTTAGCCATGGCTGTGCTTGTGCCAGGATACGGTGCTCTTAGCAAATGTTCAACATGATCCCAGGTCTGCCCCCTAAACCCTGGAACATCAGGGTGCTCATCTTTCTTTTGTACCTTCTGCACCCTGAGCAGCAGACTGCAAAGATACTTGCATACTCAGATGCAATCCAGGCATTCTCATGACGGTAGTTAGGGGTAGTAGACCGGTGGGGGTCTACTACCCCAAAGCCAATAATTGTCCTATGCCAATTCTGTCATTCAACAGAGGGAAGATTGGCCTCCAAGAGCTATGAAGCGTTTGGAACACAGGATGGAACAGAAAAAAATGCTTTAAGAACTTGGACAGAACAGCTTTTTTAGATCCAAGGTGAGCGTCTGTCCAAATCTGCACCCCACATAATAACTGTGCTAGGGGTTAGCTTTAAACATTTCAAGTGCTGAAGATACATGATTGCCACCTTTTGTATGGAAAAAGCATGTCCAAATTTTGGCACTCTGAGACACTTTTTCCTTCGTGTATTTCTGATGTGCTGCCCTGTTGACTGAAAATTTGGACCAACATATTTAAAGACTTTAACTGGTTATCCATATACCATCTGTGGGCCCTGTAGTGTCTTCAAGACTTTGGTAATTCACAGCCAGCTGTTCCTTTTGGCAGTATCCTGAGAATGCCCTCGTCAATCTTCTAGGCCGACTTTTGTTTGAGATAGGAGTACTGTGTCATCAGCATATAGTAACAGATGGCTTTTGTGGCCAATTTAGGGGCATGATACTCTGGGGGTGTTAATTTATATTTATATATAAATTAAATAATGCAGGAGCTAGGATACACCTTGCTTAACTTCCTTTGTAGCTGGTATGCAACCTGCAAGCTGCCCGTTTGTAGAGCAACGCACTTTCAGCATGGTGTCTTTATGTAGACATTTAACCAAGAAAAACAATCTTTTATGTATTCTCAAAGAATTTGATTTATCCCAGAATCTTACTCAAGAGATTGATTTGAATGCAGATTTCAGGTCTATGAAAGCTGCATATAGCACGCTACCTGGTTTCTTAATATATTTATCTATAAAATGGGCTAGTACAAAGCAATGGTCTGTGCTGGATCTACCTTGTCGACTCTAGCTAGCATAGTACAGGTGATGTGGCCTTTCTGGAAAATTTTCAGGAGTTAGGGTAATATACATTGGGAAATTTTCAGTTTGCAACATGAAAATTTCTGATGCTCTAAATAGTAACTTAATTTAGCATGTTCATTCTATTTTAGTAAACAAAGCTTAAAAACAGAACTGCCCAGCTTGCTTAAAACTGCATTTGCAGTTTGCATCCATTCTTCATTACCAAGGATCTTAGGACAAGGAACACTTTCCATGGAAAAAATTCCACTCTGCATCACTCCTGTGGCACGACCGACCTGTTATGAACTATCAGAAGAGGTTAGAAGGCAGCCACATTTTTCCAAACATGAAGTACTGAGGGGACAGAATTAACTATGCAGATGAATGCAAACAGTATGGAAGTGATGCTTTTAACTCCTCAGTGTGGCAAAGGAAGACAACACTGGAGGGGCTTCCCTATTATATGATTCCAGGCAGGTCTATGGCTGTTCAGAGAGGAAAGTGAGGTCCTGATTTGGCCCCACATGGGCTGGCAATGTGTAATGTGGGTGGTGCTGGTGGGCTTTCATCTTTAGGGGAGCAAGAGGGGGCAAAAACAGCTAGAAAAAAGACCTGACAGGCAAAGAACATGTCTGGGCTTTCCCCACAATAGACTGTTCACACTGCGGACCCCAGCTGGGGAGCTGGAGAACATCCTTCTGCAAAAGAATGGGGACTTACAGAGCCAGCGATCCGAGACCACCCGGATAAAGTATTGTGGGGGGAGAGGCTCAAAGACCGGCACGAAGAAAGTGATGAGGTGTTCATCCTGAGCATACTTGGCCTTCAGAAGGAAATACTCGTGATGTAGGATCACTTCACTGTCCACATCCTCCACCAGGATCCAAAAGGCCTCTGAAGAACCATGCACCTGGCCCAAGAGAGGAGAAAATTGGGATTTAAATACTGGCCCCAAGTGAAAATTCTTGCTCTCTCTGTGTACTGTTTAAGGAGTGCAACTTGTACTGCTGCTACCATTCAGTCCCCATCAATCCCTGTTCCATGAGCTGCCTCCACCTCAAACTAGCTACCCAGCAACCCTCCCCACCCCACCTTACTGGTGGCCATTACTTCAGACCTCCAGGGGGTCCCTTTACCTTTTCATCCCACTGGAAATCTGGGGTAATTGTCAGCTCTACTTTCAGAGTGGACCTGGTGATGGGCTGCAGGTGGACAGACAACTCCAGTTTGGGGAACAAATGGACATATTTGTGGATTGTCTTCCCCATCTTTGGCATCCGAATCAGCTCCCCTGTGAAGGGATGGTATTAAAAAAAAAAGACGAGTAAGCATGTGCAGAGATGGAGATCTGAGATGAACTGCACACATTCAAGATTCTCAGCAGGTCATAATCAAGTTGGGCCATATTCTGTAGAAAAACTGAGAGACCCTTTAGCCAAGAAACACCGATCTCTTAGATCCCCTCCGCTGCCACACAGACACACACACACACACACACACACACACACAACCACTTCTGTCCACTGACCTATTTCATTGTGATTCAAGTCATAGAGTCGTTCAAATGGGAAGTTTTTCTTCTCAATTTTCTTCACCACCTCTTCAGGCAGTTTCTTGAATTGACGAAGGGGGCACATGGATTGCCACCTGCATGAGCAAGAAGCACCATCAGGATTGTGCCAGCAATGATGGTTAGTAAGTAATGGAAGAGGAATTTAGGCACTACCCAAGTTCCTTGTGTTTTGCCCCGCGCTCTTCCTTCAAATTGAGGAAGAAAGGTGAGGAGGTTCCTCTTCAGCCTCAAAATGAGCCCTCTGTGGCTGTCTGTGCATAACCCCACCCCAACCCGCAGCCCCACAAGGCTTCCCTTTTCCGGTGCCTTTGGCTTGCAAGCCTGCTCAGGAGACTAAGCCAATGCTCTTCACACTGCCATCGCAAGAGACTTGGGTTGCCTGATGGGGCTTGCTTCTTGCCCCCTGCCCTGGCACAGAAACAAACACCATGGTCTGTCCCACTTATGGGAAGTGATTCTGGAAACCAGTACGGATGCAATCACATAACTGGCTTTCTAGGGCAGGACATACTGCTAATTTTGAAATCCCAGAAACTCCAGTCTTCTGGTCCTTAGGGTGGCACAAGTCCTTTCCCCTCTACAGCTGCTTTCCCAACTAACACTTAAAAAAAAAGGGTATACCACCCTACACTCAAAGGTCTCAGGGCGGTTACAGCATGAAATCACTTTTCATCCCTCCCTTTTGACTCCACCTATCTATGAAATCAAACCACTGCCAAAAGACTGCCAAAAGACTGCCCAGGATGAAGTAAGGAGCATGGTAAGGCAGCACAACTGGATCAGGCTGGTGAGGGGCTGCCAAGCTGCTGGGGTCCGCAGCCAGTGCCCAGCCTGGCTGAGTGCTGCTGCTAGGCCCAGCTGCAGGGCAGGGCACTACTGATATAAAGTCTGCAATACATAAAGATTAAGAGCATGCTCTGGAGCCACTACATACATTCGTTTGTCAATCATCTTGCAGAGGTTCAAAGTCTTGTCAGTAAGCTGCGCCCAACCACGGTTGAGGACAATCTCAAAGATTGCACGCATGAGCCGCCCAGCAGACTGAAAGCAGGACAAAACAGATGTCAAATATCAAAGAAAGAAACCTCACAGGGAGGTTTTAGTTGATTTTTTGATTAAAATACAAGCATGTATCCACATCCATCTAAAGATCAATTTTTGAAACTCCGCTTCCACCCTGCAGGTGATCAGGCCCATTAATATAATACATCTGACAAAATGGCTCACAAGAAACAAAGAAGACCTCCAGGTACCTACAAGACTCCTTACTGCAATGAATTTACAGGGCCACCCCTTTGGAATGAAGCCATCTTACACCAAGTTAAGCCACTGGTCCATCTAGTCCAGCCTTTGCCAAACTTGTGCCCTCCAAATTCTTCGGATACGCTGAATATGGCTGTTCAAAATGTTAGTGCAAAAACTCTGGAGGGCACCAGGTTGGCAAAGGTTGGGCAAGCTCTACAATGCCTACTGCAGTGACTTTCCCAGTTCTGCTCCTCTAGATTGAAGGGATGCAACCTAGGGCCTTCTGTATATAAAGTATGGGATCAGGACTTCCGGGGTGGCGCCATCGGCAATGGCAGACTCCCTCTGAACTGGAGGGACTAGCTCCGCGCGAAACAGGTCTTTTCCGCTATGGCGAAGCGGGGACCCTTTGAAAAATCACAGGCAGATGAAGCCTGTGACCATGGGACTCGGCGGGCACCCTTAGCGCCCCCCCCAACCCGCAAAGGAACCCACTAACGGGCTCCGAAGCAAAGAGGGGGAAGCGGCGCGGTGCTGTGAGTCAACTGCTATTTCCATGGAGCGAAGCCGCATAGCCGTTGCCGGAGAGCGCTGCCTTTTTCCTGGGACAATTTGGCTTCTAAAATAAGCACCCGTGAGTACTTAAACTTTGAACAAATTGGACTTTAAATAAGGATTTGCGAGCAGAAAGGAATTGGATTTTAAAATTTACTTCAATTTGGTACTGAAACGGGAAGGTCTAAACAGGAAGTCAGCCTTCCGTTTCTTTGTAGAAAGAACAAAGCAAAGACAACGTAAACTAGATCTTAGAAAATCGCTTCTAAAGGATCAGCTTTCATCATATAAAATCCTCGAACCCCCCTTCAGCAGCAGGAGAAGAAGGGGGATCTTTTTCGGACTGTTTAAACCTGCAGAAGTGAGTTTAAAGTAAAGTAACTTTCCACCGTCCTGATCCTGGAGCGGGGTGTCAGGACTGACGTTTGAAGCTCATTGACCAGAGACAAACGTTTTTGACAGCTAGCTAAAAGAAGAGAAACATAGTGATTCCACTGTTTCCTTTCGCATTTTAAAGGAACAAATATTGACAAAATATCTTGAAAAAGAAACTTTGTTGCAAGAACTACTAGAAGTTTTCCCCCTAGAGGGAGACTGGGAAACTGTAACTAATTCCAGGGAGCTTGCAGCTGTCACCAATTACAATCGTGGGAAAAGGCTTGTGACCTTGTAGGACAATGAATTCAGAAGCTCTGTTGTGTGCTCTCTGTAAAATAAATGCTCTACTGGAACAGTTAACTGAGAAGACGGATTTGATGACTAATGCGGTCAGAATTTTTGAACAGGCAGTGGGAAACTATACGGAGCCCACCCAGGAATTAAATCAGGAGTGTGCCCTGACAGAACAGATGAGAGAAGAGGATGTTGCGCAATCTTGGGCGCCAGAGATGGAGGGAGCTGCGGCCCAGCAGGAACATGAGCTTTTGGATTTGACAAATGAACTTGGAAAAAGCCAGATTAGGAAAGATAAAGTTTGGACTGATTTGGAAATGGGGGGTTGGATAGATCCCCCTATGCAGGGATGTTTGGACTTTCCGAGTCTGGCAATGGGCCGTGAGATGTTTGGAGCTGTGGGGGCTCTCAATTTTGGAGGGATTCTGAAATATGACTTTAAATACTACATGGAGTTTAGTCTGGACTATGGAAAAGGGGCTGATTTGTTGAAAAAGGTCAAAAACATTACCAAGCTGGAGTTCCCACGAGTGAAAGGTGAATATGAAGAAGAGCTGCGGAAGGGACATGGAAGGGACTTAAGGGCCTCGGATATAAGGTTACCAGGTTAATGCGCTAGATCGATGGGATAAAAAGGACTGACAAAACCCGGGACCAGGAGGAAGGGACGCTGGATGAAGATTGGATTGTTTCTATTTCTTTTTTTATCACTAGGATTGTTTTATAAAATTGATGACTGTTAGAAAAATGTTGGAACGAAATTACTTGGCTCTAACAAAAATGTTTAAAGAATTAGGCAAGAATATTATGGTCATGAGAAGTGGGTAAAAATAAGATTTAAGTTTTAAGGTTTTTTATAAGATAAGATGAAAATAGATCAAGGTAATGTAATGACAGAATATTATGAAATATGGAAAGGATTTGCTGCGATAATTAATAACTGGGATACAAAAAAGGGAGGAGGAGGAGGTCAAAGAAAGAAGGTAATGAAAGTTGAAGATTTGAGAATGTTGGTTTTATTTTTATATGTTTGTGGTGTATTTTTGTTTTCTGAATTTGTATTGTTGGATGTGGTTTGCTTTCTTTTTCTCTTTTCTGTTTTTTCTTTTTTCTTTCTCTGCTTTGTCTTTTTCTGTAATTTTAAAAATTTTCAATAAATATCATTAAATATATATATATAAAGTATGGGATCTACCACATGACAAGCTGTACAGGCCACCAAAGATAGTAAGTAAAAGTTCCTCTTTACCCATGCACAACAGAAGGCTTGTGATAGCTAAACAACAAACTTACGTGATCTTTCTCAAAGTGGTGGATTCATGAAAACCTTGTAAATGGAGGATACCGGAGCACAAAAGAGCCACTTCCAATCTGAATGGTTACTCACCTGAGTGACATACACCATGTCTGCCATGAGAGCAAAGCCCTCCAGCTTCAGCTGGGAGATAAAGGCCTGAAGGAGCACATTGATCTAAGGAGAAGACAATAAGGGGCATTAACATCCTCCAAAGAAGGGATGAGGAACCTTTTTCAGGCCCACAGCCACATTCTCCTGGTGTTGGCCAGACCCACAAACAAGAACACACACAACATATTAAACGTATATATATGTAGCTTTGCAAGTACACTCAAGTTTCACCATAGATTTTCTTCATAGTCTTGCTTTTTTAAAATGAAGTTGGTTTAAAACAAAACAGCTCCCAAGAGGGCAGCCAGCCAGTTACTCCCTTGGGTAAAATGACTCCCTGAACAAGTAGAACTAGTCAGAGGACAAAAAATGGGGAATTCATACAACTCAGGAACTTGTAGAACCAACCTCACGCTGGATATAAGCTTGCCCTAGAAGAGACAGGGCTTACCTTAGCACTAGGCTCCTCAATGCTTTCTTTCACTGGGATTGGGACCCGCTCAAGTAGCTTCTGCAGTTCCAGTTTCTCTTCCTGCAGTTGTTTTAAAAATAGTAATTAGGAAAGAACAAAGTAGGCTAGGCCACTCTGCCAAGCCTACAACAGCACAATATCCTTTTGAAATGAATAAAAAAGTAGGCCACTCATCCACTTCTGAGGGCCACAGATCAACAACTGCAGCAAGTTTGCATGATTAATGGAGAAATATGTAGGCAGATATCAGTTTCATTCTCAATGGGTTTTCCACTGAGCTAAGCACCAGTACTTTATTCAAATTTCATTCAGTTCCTTATCAGTTTAAATACAAACATAGAAATGACGGCAATTTGAAAAAATCAGAACAAGTTGTGTTCTCTGGTTAGAGCCTTGCCGATCCAGTACCTTCATGTTTAAAAGTATTTATAGTCACAAAGACTAGGAATGTCTCCTCCACTCCACCAGTAAAAACAAGACCTTGCAGAAGAGGATACAAACTAAACACTAACAAAAATAACTACAAGGGCAGGAGGTGGGTATCCTGCCCAACAGATCTCTGGATTCATACCTCTCTCACGGTGATGTTCTTAAACTCAGAAGAAAGTGAGAAAACCCGGAAGAGTTCAATCTCACTCAAGGTGGGCTTGAGTAGTTGGTTGTAAGTCTGTATGGTCTCATTGGTGATATAGTAGTGACTGGCAATGCGGCCCAGCTCAGTAACCTGGGGAGAGAGGGAGGAAAGCCACTTCTGGTTAACAAAATGGAGAGGAAAGAACAAACCAGGCTTAGGTTACTGAAACACATAGGTGGGGCAGCCCTCAATATTTTGAAACTTCGGTTCAAAATAGGGTGGGGAGGTTGGTGTACTGGAATGAGCACGTTTTAAGAGATTTAAATTTTAACAGATGTTCATTGGCACCCAGACTGTTTTCCAAGCATAACTGAAGGTGCAAGTTTTAACCTTAAAAGCCCCACCAGGTCTTGAATTAGGTACTTGGAAGGACCATTGCCTCCCAACAAGAGAGACTGTTTTTGAAGGCTGTTTTTGGGGTGCCTTTTGAAGTGAAAGGAGAAGCTGCTTCAAGAAACAAACTGGTTCAGACACAACACTAAGCCAGCCACTCTATGGTTTGAATAAAATGGAGAAGCTTGAGCTACGTGCACCAACATGTGACTTGCACATAGACTACTTTGCTTAACCAGTTTGGCTTGGTGCTGTGTAAATACTGCTATATAAAATTGTTTTTTCCTCCACTCAAAATATACAAAAAATGGACAGTGGTGACAGAGATTTAAAGTATTTTTACATTGATTGGAATGACCACAGATGAAAGGGGAGAAAGGATCTTTGCTACATCCCTGTCTTGTCATATATTACTACTTCAGTAAACAGAGGTTCAGTTTGGCTAACAGGCTTAGCCTCCTTTTTTTATTCATTTGGAATGTCTAGTGTGAAAATTTCTATGTAATGCATTCTGAAGCTTTGGAAACGGATAATTCTCATGTATAACAATGGAGAAATATACAATGCTTGGATCAAAGATGCATTTCTGCTCCTAGAGTATGCTGCCATCTTCATGAGGAGCATACATTGCTATTGTTTCCTGCAATTTTCTTAGTTTGTGCATCTCAAAAGTAGGAAAAAATAAGATAATGTGCTTAGATAGCACAGGATGCAACCATCTGCAACTCTTTAGTATTTAGCATACCATTTTTAAACCTATATAGGATGTCATTTTTAGTATACTTACCATTTTGCTTGTACAAACTGAAGCCATATGTCATATAGCAAAATGTTACATACTAAATATACACACATCATTTGGGATTTGTATTATTTTGTATTTGTGTTATTTTATTTGTATTTATCTGCTTATTCTTGGGAGCCACCTAGGAAGCCTTTTTGGCTGAAGGGCAGCATACAAATAGTAACACATTTTATTTTAAAGCAGCAAAATAAGTTTTGTGTGATAAGAATATAACATGTGAAGATGCACCAAGAGGCTGGCAAAGCAGCTGCAAATAAGCATCCTGGGTGGCCAGACTCCTGATAAGACTAGCAGAAAGCACCTGCAAAGAGAGTTTGAACTCCACTCTCACCTGGAAGTTCCCTGTCTTCTTGTCGTACTTGACCAGGTTGTTCTTATCTAGCATCAGAGCTGCAGTGTGCACCAAATCCAGTCGGCGCTGGTCCAACAGTGGGTCTCCTTTCAGGTCATCATGCGATATCCCGTATAGAGTTGGGGAACGTAGCATTCGTATGTAGAGATAAGTATAGCCAAGCCAGTTTACAGCATCCTGCAGCAGCCAAGAAACACAGTGTCAGAGTCAGCAGTTTCCAGCAACCTGTCATGCCTCAAATTCTGGAAGGGATAGAATGGGGCAGAGGCCACAGGGACATCACAGCATGCTTTAAAGGCCACCTCTGCTGGCCATCAGGCAAGGGCAGGCATAGGCAAACTCGGCCCTCCAGATGTTTTGAGACTACAGTTCCCATCATCCCTGACTGCTGGTCCTGTTAGCTAGGGATGATGGGAGTTGTAGTCCCAAAACATTTAGAGGGCCAAGTTTGCCTATGCCGGGGCAAGGGCTTTTCCCACCTGCCTTGCCCCAACCTCCAGCCCTTTCAGCCCTAGAAGCTTTCAGAAGGGAGTTGCTGTCATGACCATTCTGCGTATGTGCCTTCTGATGAACTGAGTAGAAGACTATGAGTCATGGGGTGGAGAGTGTGTGTGTGAATTCAACAGTGCTTAGTTTGTTTTTGGTTGTTAGTTTGTTAATATTGTTTTGTGGATTATGAGTGCTGTCATGCTTTGTGAATTTTATAATATGACTTTTCTTGTGGTTGTGCTGTTTAGCCTATATTTCAAATTGTTTTGTTAATAGCATTTTATAGAAAGTGGTTGTTTTACTGATAATCTGTAATTGCTCTACTAATGATTTGTTTAATTTTTATATGATTTACGTTGTAATTTGTGGTGTTCTAATATATTATTATTTACTGTGTATAAGATGCTTTGTGACTTGTGTGAGTGAAAAGTGGCATAGAAATATAATAAATGGAATGAAAATGCAAAGGACAGGTCCTTCAAATAATAGTGAAGAGGGGCACACCTTTGCAGATTCATTAACTAATGTCACATCCACACCAGCCATTTAAAGCACATTTATACCACTTTAGCAGTCATGGCTCCCCCCTCCAAAGAATCCTGGGAACTGTAGTTTACCCCTCACAAAGCAAGAAACTGCATTTCCCAGGATTTGGCCCGGGTGAGGGAGCCAAGACAGTTAAAAGTGGTGTAAGAGTGTTTTAAACTGATGGTGTGGATGTGGCCTTAAGAGGGGAAGACTGATGATTTTATCAAATGGAGCACTAAGATGTCACTGGTGAAATGTCTGGCAACAACAGAACATTGTTTTGCAAGAGAATGCATAAGCAGGTGGCTCTTTGTTGTACCATCTGTTCCATTATGCATCTGTTGCATAATGGGTTTCCACTAGTCAGCTGTTGCACTGGATTCCTATTTCACAGCATTAAAACTCACCGTCCACAGCACAAGAACCCTTGCACTAGCTGACAGAGAATACTGGATAAAGCCCTGAATTCTGAAATTGTCACGAACTAGGCTGAGAGGCTTCAGAGATGAACTTCTCTCACACACAACCCACTAAATACCACGACTACTGCCCTGCATGATTCTAGATGCCAGATTCACAGCTGAGTATCTAGCCTCCCAAAATGTGACTCTAGAACCATCTGAAGGACTGTTACATTATACTTTATACACACTCTCAAAATCCCTAATCAGGTGTTGTGACTAAATGGTCTCCCTAACACAGCATCCCCCTTTATCTCTACACTGAGACACCAAAAACAGAGCAGCCACAAGTCATGACTGGGGTCTCTCCTCCTCACCTTTGCATTTTGGACGTTGCCCAGCACGACCTCTGCATTCAGCATGTCTGGAAGCTTCGCCACCATTTGGCTCTCAATGGGAAGCTGCTGGTTCAGCAGTGAGAGGTAATACTGCAGCTCTCCATGAGAAGTGATCAGGATTCCCTCGCCCTTGGTGTCGTACTGAGGTCTTCCAGCACGACCCAGCATCTTTAAAAAAAAAACACAAGTCAGAGAGGTAAGTTAGACCTCAAACAGAGTTTCTAACATTAATTAACAGCCAAGTGTCTTAAGAATATTTCTGCAACATCTAAAAAAACACAGAGAGAAACAGTGTCCTTAATCCTAAAATCCACTACAGTGTGTGCCTGTGTCCCATAGGAATTACCTGCAAGATGTCCAGGGCACCCAGTTCAGTCCAGCGACCTTTCTCTGGGCTGTACACCTGTGTCCCCTTGATGATGACGGTGTGAGCAGGAAGATTTACACCCCAAGCCAAAGTTGCTGTGGATACCAAAACCTGTAAGGGGAAAATATCAGGGTTGAAAGAATCTTCTGCTTAGTTTCAAAGGAACTCCCGACAATGCTGCAATACACCGGGGGTGGGGATTAAAAGTGGCACCCAATTTTAATAGAGCTTTGCCATCAACCATCTTTGGAGACTGGGTGGTAAGCAGGAGAAGAGCAGACAGGCTGCGCTACATCAGTTTACAGCAGAGAGGGAACCATGACAAGATTGTTTTGCTTCAGTGCTGTGCTAGGAGAAAGAAAAGCTCCCCATGCTCACCCCTTTGTCTCCCAAGTCTGCCCCTCCAGTCCCTACCCGTGATCTTTCTTTGCCCACATCCCAGTCCCTCAACCTATTTCTTCCCACAGTTCTTAACCTCTTTCCCCAACCCCTAGTTTCACTCTCCATATGCCTTCCACCCCTGAATCTATTTCTTTCCCTTCCCAGTCTCTAGTCTTGCTCTCTCCCCACCATGACAACTTAAAGTTCACGTGTGCCTCTATGTCAAGCATGTTATGGGATTCTGCCTACCCCAAGCTCCACCTGCTGTTTGTTGTCTTGCCCTCCTCCCTGTCTTTCAACTCAATGCCCATCAACTTTGGAGGGGGTGACGCCTTCAAATATTTTGCTGGGGGAAATCTGCTGTCATACCTGGATGTGCTTGTCTGCAAACAGATCTTCCACCAATGTTCGGTCCACCCTGGTCATGCCAGCATGGTGAATTGCAAAGCCATAGGGCAGCAAGTCTTTAAGCTCCAAATTCTGTGAGCAAAAAACAACAACATTGCCGTCAAAAAAACCCCAATGCTTCCTGATTTTCTGTAGCTAAGTGAAGGAAGAGATGCGAACTTGTTCTAGAGAAAGAAAAGAGGTGCTAGCAAGCACTAAAGATATTCTGGTGAATCTCTGAATTCTATCCTCTGAGGAGCCTGGGCTGACCTTCCACTAGGGGAAGGGACTCTTTCCCAAGACTTATGAAAAGAAAAGGTTTCACTTGGCCTTTGAAAGCAAACCACTTTATTTTCTGGTTCTGACACAGATTTTATCACTGCATTGTTTCTTGCCAATTATTTTTTGGTTTGGTTATTTTGGTATTAATTTATATGGGTTAATTTGTGAATCATTATACAAATTAAATATGACAAAGTGGTAGATAAAGGTTGAATAAATACAGAAATAAATACCTTGCATTGCTCAGCTTCTGTCCTCAAGACCTCGGTGGAGGCAGATCCCTCTCGCAGGAAGAGACCCAGGGTGTCTTTCTCCAGACACATGTCCCTGATGGCTCGAGCAGTTTTCCCGGTCTCCTTCCTGGAGTGGACAAACACTAGCACCTGATTGGAGACAACAGAAATCAAAGTTATCAGTCCATGATAGCTATGCAATGAGAAAGCAAGCCATTGGGGACGGGGATCAAAGAGGACAGTATAAGTGCAAGCGGAAAAGTCCAAAAGGTGTTCTGCCTCGTGTGATCAACATCATGTGAGGAAAGGGGAAGAACTATATTTGCTGGCCCTGCATTCTCTTCTAGCCATATGGGTGAGGCCTGCAATGGAGAGCTTGCTCTGTGCAGGTAGGCTCCAGATGCGATTTAGACCCCTGTTCATTCAGATAAATGTTCTAAAATCATGCAGGGAGCCAACATGATTTTTGGTTTATAAGAATACACACATTCTGAATAAATGGAGAGCACCAGAGTCAATTAACAGTGGCATAGAGGAAAACAGTCCCTTTCCCACCCTACTGTGTGAGAGTAGACTGTATTGACATGTCTGAAAGCAGCAGCAGCATCTGCTGGAAAGAGAGAACCCCAAAACACAGATGAACACTATGCATAACTCTGCCTGCTCTTTCCTAAATGTCTGTACAAAGAAAAGCTGGATTAGGGCTCAAGAGGAGAGCAGTTTAGAAGGGCTTACAGGTACTCAACAGATATACCATGACATTAGCTTGCTATGTGCTTCAGATAGACGGCAGCCCACCCTCTTTTTCTCTATACTATAAAATATAGCTGTAGGACCAGGCAAAAAAGGGGAGGCAGCACAGGTTTTTGTAAGCAGAAGATTCCAGGTCCTGTTCATTTAAAGCATTTTTACCGCACTCTTCAGCTGAAGAGGCTCCCAGTGTGGATTAAAAGTCACTAAAGAAAAAGCGAAAGCAGCCTCTGCTCTCAGGCTTGCAATCTAAAACCCAGATACCACCAGTTAAAAAGACCTCGGCACTGAGAATGACACCTGGAGAAATCACAGGAAGCTGCTACCTGTCAAGGTAAGTTATATTGGGTCAGACTTGGCATGTTCAAAATGTACCCAATGTTAAAATTGCAACTCTTGTCCACTTAAGTTCACTGCAGTTACAACCAAGAGACCCATAAAAATAAAAAAGTCAATGTTCAACAAAATGGGGAACTCCAGCTGGGTTATAGAAGAAACACCATAGAGGCTATAATGCAGTTCCAAATCACCAGCTACCCAGCAGCCAGGACGACATTCCCAACAACGCATGCCTCTTCCTGAGAAGATGCACTTCACCACATCCCTGAGCCAAGAACAGATTAAGAAATGATATTTCAAAGTGGGGGAGGGGATAGAAAGCAATGGCCAAATAGGACGCCTGAAGGTAAAGAGGGGTGCACAGAGATGCCTCCACCCACTTGCAAGTTGTTCTTCCAAAATAATAATAAATAATAACAATAATAATAATTTATTATTTATATCCCGCCCATCTGGCTGAGTTTCCCCAGCCATTCTGGGTGGCTTCCAACAAAGTATTAAAATACAATAGTCCGTCAAACATTAAAAGCTTCCCTAAACAGGGCTGCCTTCAGATGTCTTCAAAAAGTCTTGTAGTTGGGCAGATGCCACTACCGAGAAGGCCCTCTGCCTGGTTCCCTGCATCTTTGAGATGCAACCACTCTTCCCACACCCCCTGCCCCAATTTACCCAGAGATGAAAGAACCTACCTGGTTCTTCCCAGCATGCTCCATGATTTTCTCATACACAATCTCATTCATGATCTGGAAGCGCTTGATTGCTTTCTTCTCAGTGATTCCCACATAAGTCTGTTCCAGGGGCACTGGGCGGAAACTGCAAAAAGTGTCAGGCATCAAGTAAGTGACAAGCAAAAAGGTAAGATCTGCAGAAGGCAATTACTTCCTCAGAAATCTACAGTGAAGGAGCAATGGCATATTTATCTACCCTACAAAATACACTGCACATGCCCTTCTTGTTTGACATTAAAAAACAACTCCATAGCTGCAAACAGGTCATTTACCTAGAGAGCAAATATATACAGGCAAACATAGTGCACACAGAACTTTGTGCAGAAACACTTGGTTTATTGAGGCTAGGACTGTAGTGATACATCACCCAGGATGAGGGCCAGAGCATGATGGCGGCTTCACCCCGCAGTATATGGTGAGTGAAACCGCTGCAGCTCCCGAGCCCCACTTCTTTAAACTGCTCTGCTGAGGGGCACATGGCTGCACACACCTCAGCAAAGCCTTTTAAATAACCCGCCCCCCGTGCAAAGCCAGCGTTTGAGGGGGTGCCTCAGCACCTTCACCGCAGCCAACTGCCGCTGTGCGCTGGGGGTCGAGGCACTTCTGGGCTGAATATGATAGAAGGTTGGACAACTTATAGAAATATATTAAAACAGGAGGGAGGAGAGTTTAAATTAAACAAATTAAGGTTTTATCAGAAAGTTAACAACATGGATACAATATAATCATTTGAATGAAATATTTAAGAAAAATAGAATACAAGGGTTTGGGAAACAAATGTAACAACTGGAGAGAGATCTGTTGGAATGCAATGTTAAAGTGCTGCCTAAAATGTATAAGGTATTATTGGAATGGGAGACAAAGGATGAGCAAGTAAAATCTTCAATGGTACATTGGGAAATAGATATTGGTTATAATATAGATATGGAAACAAGGGACCGATTGTGGAATACGGATATAAACTTTAAAGCATGCTATGGTTTAAGAGAAAACTACATGAAAATGTTATAAAGATGGTATCGAATACCGAGTAAATCGGCAAAAATGTATAAATCAAAACTGATTAAGTGTTGGAAATGCAAAGAGGGGAAAAATGTTTTTTTTTATCATATGTGATGGTCCTATAGAAAGGTTAAAGCTTAATGGGAAATGATATACAATGAATTGAAAAAGATGTTTAAAATAACATTTGTAAAAAAAAACCAAAGTTTTTCTTTTGGGAATTATAGAGGGAGAACTACCTGAACAGTATAGAAATGTATTCATGTATGCGACTACAGCGGCGAGAATGCTATTTGCCCAAAAATGGAAAGAAGAAGTCCCGATGAAAGAAGAATGGATACAAAAACTTATGGACTATGCAGAAATAGTGAAATTTAGTGGAAAAATAAGAAATCAAGATAACAAACTTTTTATAAAAGAATGGAAATGGTTTATTTAATATTTACAAACAAACTTTAAACAGATAAGGACATTGGCAGAATTATTGTAATAACCTGCAGTTTCATAAAAGTATATATTTAAAGTAGATGAATAAAAGAGTAAGTTAAGTTAATTTAGAATATGCAGGAAATGATAAAAATAAATTTAAGGAACTGCAGAAAGAGGAGGAATGAAGTCGAGTTTTGAAATGTGAGAATGATTATAAAACTATTGAAATGCATATAACTGAAAGTCATAAAAAATAAAAAAGAAGACTCTCCACAGCACACACACCATACCTGTTGTCAAAGTAGAACAAGCCTTTGGTAGGCTCCACCCTCAAGAACGTGGCCACATCCTCGTAGTTTGGTAGGGTGGCACTCAGCCCAATAAGCCGCACATCTTCTTGAGTCATCTCAATGTTGCGAATGGCTCTGGCCACCAAAGCTTCCAGAACAGGGCCCCGGTCGTCATGCAGGAGGTGGATCTCATCCTGTAAAATGCAGGAAGCATTAACCTCCTTGCTCAGGGGGGTACCACACCATTTACACATCCCCAATAGAGCCCAGAAACCATTACATTTGGCTGGTTGCAATTCTGAGTGTCTCAAATGTTCTCCCACCCAGAAAATATCCCCAGCATTGCTGTGTGTAGCAGAAGCACAGACCCTCATCACAGCTCAACGAGAAGTTTCCAAGGCAACTCACCAAAATAATGAGGCGCACCAGCTGGGTATAGGTACGCTCGCCTCCTTTGCGGGTGATGATGTCCCACTTCTCTGGAGTGCAGACAATTATCTGAGTGGCGTTTATTTCTTCCTTGCACAACTGGTGGTCCCCAGTCAGCTCAGCCACAGTGATGCCATAAGTGGCCAAGCGCTAGAAGGAAAATTGGAACACAGCTATAAATAACAGATGTGCATTCATAGTGTGCTTTCAAGTATTCCACACACATTACTGTTTAAACCCTAACAGCAAGTCAGTACTGCCTCTAAATTACAACAATGTGTGGTTGAGAGTGTGGGGCACACCTGAAAACAGTCTTCCGCAACCTAGAGCCCTCCAGGTGCTTTGGACTACAACTCCCAGCAACCCTAGGCAGCATGAATGACAAGGCTGCCTTAAACTGATTAATAGGCCCAAAGCAAAGATCCAAAGAGCCCCTAATTCAGACTTAAACACTATTCTCCAACAGCTCTCATTAGGTATCGACTCTTCCCCCTAGCATCCATAAGAGAGAGAGGCAAGACAAACAAAGCTCTTTCCATTGGCTGCCTGGACACTTCTGCTAATAGGCCCAGCCCTTTTGAACAGATGGTTAAAAAAAAACTGGTGGAATGGCCGCAAACAAAGTAACCTTGCTTGTTTTCCTCTTCCCTCCACTACTTTTTCCTATTGTGCTGCATCTATTACATTGCAAGTTGTTTTGGCAAACACTTTTCCGTTTAATTCCTTGTACAGTGCTTGTTTTTACTGACCCTTTTTGTTTTAATCTTTCTATTTTTAAAATACTTTGGTTGCTTTTATTTTATAAGTTGCCTTGATACTTTTATTGTTGGGCTGCCATATAAATTTAAATGATAGTAGCAATAATGTATTTTATACACCTAATAAGCACAAGTGGAAAAGCTCCTCAGAACACTGGACACTGCCTCTCCTCCATCCACTCCCACCTGGTGAAGGTCTTATACAAGCCAACTGCTGTTTCCTCTTACCTTCCCAAAGCTGCCCACCATTTCCTGGACTAAAGACCTCATTGGTGCAATGTAGATGATTTTGAAGTCATCCACGTTGATTGTTCCATCAAGGTTGATGTGTTTCCCAATCTCACGCAGCATACACATCAAAGCCACATTTGTCTTCCCAGCACCCTGGAATGAAGAGTGTGTCAAAGAAAATCCTCACTCTCCCATCCCTCCCCTCAAACAGGAGACCAGAAAGACATTTCCCCTAGTAAAAATCAAGGAACAGTGCAGAGGCTCAGAAAGATCAATCATATTTGACATCAGAAAAAGGAACACTCACTGTTGGTGCACAGAGTAGCAAATTTGTATCTGTCTCAAGGGCAGCACGGTACAGTTTGCTCTGAATCCGGTTCAGTGTTTTGAATCCCTCAAATCCAGCCTGTGCATATTTGGGGAGCTTGTCCACAGGAAGTAGTTGCTGAGAATAAGAAAAGAAATAATGGTTTTGTCCAGCAAGTCAGTAACAAACTCATGAGACAGAATCCTTATAGATGGAACAGAAGCAGTTCAAATCCACAATTCTCTCTGAAGTCACTTTAGAGGAAAGAGCCTATGCTGCCCATTGGCCCATAAAAGCAGTGATGCAATTAAGCAGACTAAAGTTGTAAAGAGGATGACAAATCTTAGATGGGCAGCAAATGCCAAAGCAATTCTTCCAAGATGGCCCTGGTGACTGGGAGGACATAGAGCCTTGTCCAAATTCCTAAGACATCACCTGCTCAACAAAGACATCAGCAGCAGTTAGCTGCTACAATGTCTCCTTCATCATCATCATCATCATTATCATCATCATTTTATTATTTCTACCATGCTCATCTGGCTGTATTTATCCAGCCACTCTGGGCAGCCTACAGCATATATAAAACATAATAAAAACCAAAGCATTAAAAACCTCCTGATACAGGGTTGCCTTCAGGGGTCTTCTAAAAGTTGTGTAATTTGTTATCTCCTTGACATCTGAAGGCAGGCGTTCCACAGGGAGGGTGCCTGGTTCCCTGTAACTTCGCTTCTCTCAGTGAGGGAACCAACAGAAGACCCTCTTGATGGATTTCTCACGTTTCCAAGGTTTTCTTTTTTGAGAACAAAGCTCCAGTCACACGGCTCTCTCAATGGTGCCACCTAACCTCCCTAACAGACTGCTGTTATAGACTTTATTTGTCCAGGATTTTTAAACTGGAGCTTTTCCTGGGGTAATACTGCTGCTATTGCTTGGTTCTCTTTACAGTCTCAGGCTATTGTCTAGACTAGCCTAGACTAGCATCTCTGCTTTTTTCTCTGTGGTCTCTCTAATGAGCAACAGAAAAAAAGCAGAGGCCGAGTTCATACAAGGACCCCCTGTGCAAGCACCAAGACACTAGACAATCCAGTGGGACCTCTGGTTAAGTACTTAATTCGTTCCGGAGGTCTGTTCTTAACCTGAAACTGTTCTTAACCTGAAGCACCACTTTAGCTAATGGGGCCTCCTGCTTCTGCCGCGCCGCCGGAGCCCAATTTCTGTTCTTATCCTGAAGCAAAGTTCTTAACCTGAAGCACTATTTCTGGGTTAGCGGAGTGTGTAACCTGAAGCGTATGTAACCTGAAGCGTATGTAACCCGAGGTACCACTGTAGATCAGTAGTTAGCATACAACCTGCTACCAGCCTGAGAGACCAAGAAACAGTAGGATGTGCAAAGAAGGCTTCATGATTGCTGAAGGCATCCAGCAAGGCTGCTAGTTTGTGAATGAGTGTGTTTGGTGCAGTCAAGACCACAAGCCCCCTGCCACAAGTGCTGTCTATATAGAGGGGAAATAAAAAACACATCACCAACCTCTTCTGAACCAAAGGGCTTCGGCTTCAGCGCAGGAACATGAACTTCCTCATAGCCTTTGCGTTGTCTGCGGAAAGAGCCATCTGGCAGCTGGCATCGCTTGTTGGCCATGAAGTGACTGCCTTGGGCAAACACAAGGTCCTCCAAGTCTAAAACTTGCCGAGGGGCCAGTGCCTGAAATGGACAAAATGGAAATTTCCATCAAAAGTAGTTCATTAAATTAAGATGCGATAGCACAGAAACCCGTAAAAACCCCACCCCACCAATCTTTCATTCATAAACAAGCAGGGGAGTTAAGATGAGGAACGATTTCCCCCCCAGTTCGTGTAGCACCTCACATGTAGCTCAGACCCCCCCACCTAAGAATATTTGGTGAAGCAAGAGTACCTCTCCTCCTTGATCCAGATCCATGGTTTCCATGTCAGTGTCCATGCGGGACTGGCGGACACGTTCCCTGCGAGAGCGTTCTTCCTGAAGTGGGAGGACACAAACTCCACGTTAGGGTGAGTTTTTGTTCCAAGGATCCATACCAGGCTGCTCAACAATGGTGAGCTCCTATATACACTCAGCACTTTCTCCTCTCCTGACATCTTGTAGTAAATTGTGTGGCCAATTTGAACTTTGGCCTACAAAAGCTTGCAATTCTGATCCTTCTTCCTTTCCACTGCCCATTGTGTGTATGTCATTCCCAATAAGGCACAATAATAAATACTTTTTCTAAGACATAAAACCCACTGAACCAAAGTTAACATATATAATAGGACTGTGCTGTTACAGACTCACAATAGAGTAGTGGTTCCCCAATATTTTCAGACCACTGCCCCCTTGGTTCTATAAACTCTTCCCCTGTGCCCCCTACCCTAAACTATAAAAAAAGCTTTCAGAATAGCAGTTTCAGAATAGCAGTTTCCATGACCCACTAAGGAAGATAATAACACATTAAAATTCAAACCAGCAACAATTAATTACATATGTTCAAAATCCAAAACTATTTAGTTTAAGTGATTCAACAAAACTGATGAACTTGTTCCACACTGAGTAAAATCATGGGAAGGGAGGCTACAGTTGAAACTTCTGCTTGGTCTTGTAATGTACTAACGGCCTGAGCAAGTCGATCAGCCAAGATTCACTCACTCTCATGGTCTGACCTGCCTTACAGAGCAATCATTGGTGTGAAATGGAACAAGGATGTATTGCAACCCACATTGATGCTTTCAGGCCAAATATATAAGCAAGCCACCACAATTAAATCATTTTTACTCCAGATTCCTTCCCACCTCCATCCCCAATCCTTACCCGGATCAGATCTTCCTTCTCCGTCTCATGTAGCTGATACAGGAACTTTGACAACTCAGGGTCAGATTCCATCTTCCCCATAATCCTCTCCTTCTCAGCTTCACTCTGGGCACTAGCCAAGAGGGTACAGTACAAGACTGGGAGAGAAAACAAATAATTGTAGTATCTTATTCTACTCCTGAGAACTCCAGACAAAACACACAACTGAATCCCCCTTAAGGACAAACAAAGGAAATGAGTGGTGACCGACTGTACTTTTTTGTCTGTACTTCCCAGAGGCAAATGATCTGGTGCAGAATTTGTATTTCTAGGGATCTGTATTAACTTTCTTCTAATAGGTATTTAGGGCTCAGTTTAATTTTTAAATATGTCAGCTACCTGTAGAAGTACAAAATAGGGCAGCATATTTTCATTCTGCACTGCTGTCTCTTCTCTCCCATGTTTTTTATTAATAGTCCTCAACTCACACAACTAACCACATTTTAACACTATCTATGCCCTGTGACAGTCCTGATCTGGATTGGTGGACACACAGGTGCTATTTAATACACAAAAAAGCAACCACACAATAATGAAACGTTGTACAGTTGTACCTTGGATCCAGAACGCCTTGCAAGTTAAACATTTTGGCTCCCAGACGCCACAAACCTGGGAGTGTTCCGGTTTGCGAATGTTCCGCGGCTTCCAATTGGAAATCGTGTCTTGGCTTCCGAATGTTTTGGAAGTCGAATGGACTTCCGGAATGGATTCCATTCAACTTCCAACGTACCACTGTACTTCATATCAATCCAAGTTAGGCCATTCTTATCTAAATATCTTAGTGCAAATGTGATAAGACACCACCTCTCTCTCTCAAGTCTTTTGGCATGTGCAGAGGGCTGGTAGGGGGTGTTATTTCACTTGCACTGCTTTTTATAGAAGGTAAGAAACTGCTAGGTAAGAAATTTCTCCATACAACTCCAAGTTCTCTGTGCACGCCAAGATTTCAGACAACCCAATATTTTGAGATCTCTACATAATAACAATATAGGAAGCACTCACTCATCATTCTGTGTTGCCTCAACACTTTGATGAAGTCAAATGTATTAAAACCCAGAAGCAAGACAAGCTGGTTTTCACATTCTCTGTCATCGCCGGCAGTCTGGGGAGACATGAAAGGGGAGCAGTGGAAATAGGTCATGTGACAAAGGAAATTGCTCAATTGCTTCTCTTTTCCCCTAAGAAAGGCGTCATGCATCTCCCACCAGTTATTCAAATCCCCAGGAATGGCTGACAGGAAGATGCCGGGAAAATAGAAAAATCCAGTTTACACTTGAAATGGCCCATCTCCCATTACACCAGGGGAGGTTTGTCCCCTTCCCAAGCCTCTGGCAAAAGTATTCCCTGCTCACCTATGAAACATGACATTGGCTGTCATTGGGCAGATGGAGGTATGTACCACTCACTCCAATGTGGGGTGAGAGAAACATCAAAAGCTGACCTGTTCTATGCAGCTTTGTCCCCTCCCTCTATCAAGTAGTCCACAAATGTGTTGCCCACAATGCAGTGGCAGCTGACCATTCCCACTGCTTACTCATAAGTAGACTAGAAATACTGTGTTTTTTTTAGTGAATAGGTTAGAAGCAACCAGGTTTTGAGCCCCAAGCTCTCTTGTTTTCAGAATTCTCTTTCACCATCTATCTGCCTTACTTCCAATTTTTAAGTTTCATAATTTGATGAGTGGGAACTGTGTGCATTTGCTAGTCTTGGAATTCTGAAATCCCCACATGTTTAGGCCGTTTGACACTACTAGATGTCTAAGATATGGGTTGTTAAAGACCAGCACACTGCTTTTACTTGGGGAAGACTAGGAGAATGGACTACCTTCCTGTGTAAACTACAAGGGGTCCGAGAGAGAAACAAGCATGCTGCTTTGATCTCCAGGGCAGGCTACACAGCTGGAAGCCAGCCCTATATTGCCCAACAAGTCATCAGAACTTTGGCCTGGGACGGTGGCAGGGAGTACTGACTTGAAGTCCCTTTAAAAGAAATTGCTGAGGAGCATCCCAGGTCAATCTCTGCTAAGAATGTACGGTCTGACAAATTCCTCCATTGCCTCACTGACAATTTCATTTTCCAGAAGGTGGAAGAACCAACAAGGGGATCATCTATCTTGGACCTGGTTCCCACCAATAGGGAGGAACTGATCAATGAAATGGAAGTACTCGGAAACTGGGAAGGAAATGATCATGTTCTCCTGGGTTTCAGGATACAGAGGCAGGGGGAAACTGAGTGTAGTCAGAGAGACACTCTGGACTTTAAAAAGGTCAATTTCAAAAAGTTCAAGAAGCTACTTATGGTCAAAAATACTCAAAGAGAAGGGAGTCCAAGGAGGAGGGGAGTTTCTAAAAAGAGAAATATTGAAGGCCCAAATGCAGACAATACCAACAAGAAATAGGATGTATAAACTTACAGATGAGCTGAGAGTTAAGAAGGGCATGTATAAGAAATGGAAGAAAGAGGAAATCACAAAGGAGGAGTATACTCGAGTAGCCAACAGTTGCAGGGGAAAAGTCAGGCTGGCTAAAGCTCAGTATGAGTTCAGGCCTGCAATATAGGTTAATAATAATTTGTAAAAAGATTTCTTTGGCTATGTCCGAAGTAAGAGGTAGAACAAACAAGTGGTAGGTCCTTTGCATGAAGAAGACGAAGAAATGCCATTGGGTGACAGAGAGAAGGTGGAATTATTCAGCACCTGCTTTGCCTCTGTTTTCACCCAAAAGGAAACCATGCCCAGCCTAGTGATAACAGAATAAATGATGTAAGGAGGGAGCTGCAGCCCATGATAGGAAAAGAGATAGTAAGGGAACACATAGCTACTTTAAATGAATTCAAATCTCCAGGGCCTGATGAGCTGTATCCAAGGGTACTAAAGGAGCATGCAAATGTAATTTCAGAAACTTTGTCTATGATCTTGGAGAATTCTTGGAGCACAGGTGAGGTCCCTACAGACTTGAGGCGGGCAAACGTTGTCCCCATGTTAAAAAGGGGGAAAAGGAAGACCCAGGAAACTACCAACCTGTGAGCTTGATATTGATACCAGGGAAGGTCTTAGAATATATAGCGCACTTTTGCAATCCTCCCCCAAAAAAGGTCAACAACTCTGGGCAATCCTCCCCCAAAAAAGCTTCCTGCATTTTCTTAAATCCCGAAAAATAAGGGGCGTCTTATACACGGGGGCGTCTTATACACTGAAAAATACGGTAATTCAACAGTCGGTCTGTGAGCACTTAGAAAGGATGCTGTGATTATTAAGACCCAGCATGGGTTTCTCAAAAATAAGTCATGCCAGACCAATCTGATTTCTTTTTTTGATGGAATTACAAACTTAATGAATCAGGGAAATGCTGTGGATAGTGTATCTTGATTTCAGTAAAGCTTTTGACAAAGCCCCCCGTGATATTACAGGGAAGTAATAGTGCCACTCTACTGGAAGTTTTTAAGCAGAGGTTGGATATTCATCTCTCATGGAGGCTTTAGCTGGGATTCCTGCGTTGCAGGAAGCTGGACTAGATGACCCATGACTCTTGGGTCCCTTCCAACTCTAAGATTCTATTATTCCTCTCCCACCTCAGGAGAGAAAGTACCCAGAAGACCATGACTTGAGGTCTCAAGAGGAAGACAGGCACAGGTTCTGGCACTGGCCTTCCAGATCCCAACCATTCAGGGCAGATTTTAAAAATGATGGAGAAAAAGCAAAACCTAAAAGGAGCTGCCAAGAGAACCAAAGTAAAAGTAGAAAAATACGAACAAATAAAGCAGGAACCTGAAAGCAGAAATCTAAAATGCAGCTCTATATAGACAAGGCAGAGACTAAATTGAGGGAGGCGGCTAAGGGAGTCACCCATCCCACGTTTCAGGCAAAGATCCCTGCCTCTTCTAAGCCGGAGTGTATGAGTGTGTTAACCCATTGTTGACACCTGCACAATTCCAGGAATCAAGGCAATTCAAAAGCCAGAGCACCTGGGAAACTACACACAGTAGGTCCAGGTCTTCCTCCCTTCTTAGAGAAGCCACACATGCAATATATTGTTGTTTTTCACATTAAGGTACAAATATACAATAACAGCTAGCACCAGTCCAGGAAAGAAGCAAGCAACCAGAAAGAAACAGAAGAAAACAGAGCACCTTTAAGATTTCCAGCACTTCATCAGCTTTTTTCTGGGATACGATGGCATCATCATAGAAACGGCTCAGTTGCCGCTGCAGCCAGAAAGCGTCGATGTCTCGGGGGTGCAGGTCTTTCTTTTTGGAGCTCATCAGTTCACCTGAGGCCACAAGCTAAGAGAAACAGAATTATCTGCACAACTTACTTGGCACACAGACATGAAAGCTTACAGCACACAAGGCATAAGAAGAACTTGGTGAGGAAGGCCACATGTGTAGTGTTTTCCTCCACAGTACGGGATATTCCCCTAAGGAGTTAGGAAGTTCTCCTAATCCACATAGTATCAGAGATTCTTAAGTTATTCTGGACATATGCATACAGGCTATTGACAGTCACCACCCTAATAAATGGCAAAAGCCTTTGAATTTTTCCCTGCATGACTCACATTGGCTGAAAGGGTGCAGCGAACCACTGCCTCATCTCCTTCCATGTCATCGTCAGAAGCCTCATCCCGTACTTCACCGTAAACATCCTCATCACCCTCCTGTGGGTGCAAGATAGTTCATGTTCAGTGCCCTTTCCAAGGACATACCACAACACTTTCAACCACATAACATCTCTGTTAGGAGAACCAAAGACTACCACTGTTGAACATCTACCAGAAGTGATGTTACATTAAAGCAAAGGCAGGCAGGAGTTGAGGCCTAGAAGAAAACCTCTACTTGGAACTAGATACAGTGGTACCTTGGTTTACGAACTTAATCCGTTCTGGAAGTCTGCTCTTAAACCAAAGCGTTCTTAAACCAAGGCATGCTTTCCCATAGCAGTGGGGGACTCAATTTACAAATAGAACAGACTCAACAGGAAGCGGAACATGTTCTGCTTCCAAGGCAAAGTTCACAAACCAAAACACCTACTTCCGGGTTTGCAGCATTCTTAATCCAAGTTGTTCATAAACAAAGCTGTTCTTAAACCAAGGTACCACTGTATTGTTCGCTGATCAAACTTTTTTTTTGTTATTTATATTTTATTGAAGTGATTTTAATTTTAAAAAAAAGAGACAGAAAAAAGGAATAAAAGAACAAAGATAAATATAAAAAGGAATATATATGTGTGTGTGTGTGTGTGTGTGCGCGCGCGCGCGCGCGCAAAAATGCAGTATACAATAGTCCCATACATCCTTCTATAAATTGCTACAGTCGTACCTTGGATCCCGAACACCCTGGACCTTTTCGCTCCTGAACGCCGCAAACCCGGAAGTGATTGTTCTGGTTTGCAAGCATTCTTTTGGAAACCGAACATCCAGTGGGGCTTCCACGGCTTTTGATTGGTTGCAGGAGCTTCCTGCAGCCAATCAGAAGCCACAATTTGGTTTTCGAATGTTTTGGAAGTCAACAGACTCCCAGAATGGATTCCATTCGACTTCCAAGGTATAGTGTTATTATCCTAATTCTTATGTAAATGTTAATAGCCTACTACCAGGGTTCAAATTCTCACTCAACCAGACATTCACTCTCACCCTAACCTACCTCACAGGGTTGTTGGAAGGATAAAACAGAAAGGAGTGGAGAGAAATACAAACTGGTTTGAACTCCTTGGAGGAAGGAAATACCATGTAATCAAGTCAATTGGTACAAAATAATAAACAGTAGTATTGCAGCTACCAGTGTCACTTTAATGTTAAAAACATCAAATGTAGAGTTTTCTAACATGTTGGCAACACTTCACAAACTCAGGGTTGTATTCAACTAAGTCCTTACTCAAAGCAGACCAAGTGAAATTAGTGAACCTAACCTAGTCATGTCCACTAACATCAATGGATCTGCTGAGCAGGACCAGCACTGACTGCCATCCATAAACTGGAAAGGAAGATAATCTTAGAAAAAGGACATGGGAAAAGAGAGGACTGCTTGTGTGATTATTGGATGCCTACATTCATTTTTTTTTTTTAATGATATTTATTAAAGTTTCACAAAAATACAGAAAACAAAGAAAAAAGTGTAAATTACAGCAAAAAAGCAAAAAGTAAGAAAAAACATACAAAATAAAACAGTTAAAAACACACTAATGTTCCATAACCTATCTTCCTTACTCTTATTCCCCAGACCTCCTCATACCTCCCTTCTTTGTATTCCAATTCAGTTTGTTGGTTCAGCAAATCCTTACCATTAATCTTTTACCCAATTGTTAACCTTTTTTTTTTTTTCCATGTCTCTTAAAGCATTACAGCTAAAAACCTCTTAATTTCTATCCAGCATCCTTCTAAAGTTCCTTAATTTTACAATATTTCTGTAAATAGTCCTTAAATTTTTTCCAGTCTTCTTTCACCGACTCTTCTCCCTGGTCTCGGATTCTGCCAGTCATTTCCGCCAATTCCATGTAGTCAATCACCTTCATCTGCCATTCTTCCAAAGTGGGTAGATCTTGTGTCTTCCAATACTTTGCGATAAGTATTCTTGCTGCTGTTGTAGCATACATGAAAAAGGTTCTGTGCTTCTTTGGCACCAGTTGGCCGACAATGCCCAAGAGAAAGGCCTCTGGTTTCTTCAGAAAGGTCTATTTAAATACCTTTTTCAGTTCATTATATATCATTTCCCAGAAAGCCTTAATCTTTGGGCACGTCCACCAAAGGTGAAAGAATGTACCTTCAGTTTCTTTACATTTCCAACATTTATTATCGGGCAAATGATAAATTTTATTGGATGCCTACATTCAAACTCCCATCATCGTGAAGAAAATGGAATGCTCTTTCTCCTTGGGGGTGCATGCAGACAAAAGGGCCACCCTCTGCTTGTCTGGAATATGCATATCCATTGACCCCAAATGAATCACTCACCTCTTCATCAGACTCAAACTGCACATTCACCCCATAGGTCTCGTCAATGTTGTCATCTACAAAGGAGGACAAAAATCAGAAACAAGCAACATCATGTGAGCAGAAGAGGTCACGTGTACTATATAGAATAATCCTGAGCTTTATTTGAAAAGCAGTGTCCTCTGAAGGCAGGCAAGCAATGATCCATGCTCATAAGCAACCTGTAATGCAGCTGTGCAGAATGTCAGACTGTGCTCTTCAAAAGCACTAGTCACAACTTTGCATGCTACCACTAACCAACATTTAAAGTGGTTTGTACTGGCACATAAGCAGCAGAATTCAGTGCATGGTGGATACCTCAATAGCTGCAGGAGGCATCTGGGAGCCAACATATGAAGCTAGCCTACTATTAAACTCTGGCTGAAATTGGCTCCTCAAAGGAGGAAATTCCCCCCGCTGGGGTTACCCAAGAAGCTCTAACTGGAGTTGTTAAGGGCTGAACATGTAATACACGTGCTCCATCAGTCAACTATGATGTCTCCTCAACATGAGCTACCCTGCCCAACAGCCACCACATTCTGCCATGAGAACACATTAGCAGAGGCTTCCAAACTTATTCACATCTCAGTGCTATTTGATGTCCAGGACTGGGAAACAATACTTAGCTCTAATCTCTCTACTACCTATAGCAACCATTCAGGAACAACTTTACAATTTCACTACTATAACTCCCAGCTGTGCTAAGAAATCAGGCTCCTCCCTTCATCAACTGTCACCTGGCATCAGCCGCTACATCACGCTACAGCAGAGGAGAGGAGAGAAGAGAATCAGGGCCACTCCAGCAGCGTAGGTCATAGAATCATAGAATGGGGAGTTGGAAGAGAGCCTGAGAGTCATCTAGTTCTAGTCCAACTCCTGCAATGCAGGAATCTCAAACTTTTAGCTCCTCTCCTTTAACCTTTCCATCCCAGCTAGTCATGAGATGAACTTCCAACTAAGAACTTGTACCTGAGTTTACTTATTTTTTCCTCCATCCCAAACCACTTTCCTTTTGTGTCATACATTTTTAGACTGTAAGCCTGAGAGCTGGTGCAGTATTATATGAAGTAATTTTTAAGTGGCTCTGAAAACCTTTATTATTCTGTACAGAATTTAGTATCCAACTGATAAACACAGAAGAAGCTAAAAGATCCTGAGGCTGCAGGCCCTACCCATGTTCTGGATCTCCTTGTCCCCGCCATAGTCTGTGATCTTCTTGCCCAAGTTCACCAGCACATGATAGCGGGTGTCATCCGTCTGTCCCAGCAGCAGATCGATTTCTTTCCGTCGCTCCTTGTCGCGTAGTTTTTCATTCTTGAGGACCGCCAGGACTTCATCAGCAGCTCCACAGAGAATGTCTCGGGGCTGCAAGAAACAAGACTTGACTTACTCTAGCGCCCAACTCAGGTAATGAGTGCCAACAAGATTGGAGCTAAAAGGGGTAACTGACAAACAAGAGGTGCATCAACAAGCTTGGGAAAATGCCAAGTTTTGCAGAAATATAAATAGTACTTTTAAAATTACACTGACAGGAAGAACTGTTTGACAGTGGAGCAGACTTCCACTTGAGAGGTTTTTAAGCAGAGGCTCAATGGTCATCTGACATGTATGACCTAGTTGATATTCCTGCATTGCAGGGGGTTGGACTAGATGACCCTAGGTATCCTTTCCAACTCTACAATTCTATGATTCTGTGATGACCCTCTCCACCCAAAAAGTCAATGAGGATTAAGTATGCCCAGTTGTCACAGAATGCTGACTACCAGTTTAAAGAAAAAAATGGGATATGGAAGGATAAATGCCTTCCCTGAGCATCTCACAGAATAAATTACTTGGGGATGTGGGTGGTGCTGTGGTCACTGAGCCTCTTGGGCTTGCCGAACGGAAGGTCAGCAGTTCAAATCCATGCAACAGGGTGAACTCCTGTTGCTCTGTCCCAGCTTCTACCAACCTAGCAGTCTTAAAGCATACCAGTGCAAGTAGATAAATAGGTACCGCTACAGCGGGAAGGTAAATGGTGTTTCCATGCACTCTAGCACTCATCACGGTCCTCTGTGCACCAGAAGCGGTTTAGTCATGCTGGCCACATGACCCAGAAAGCTGTCTGTGGACAAGTGCCGTCTCCCTCGGCCTGAAAAGCGAGATGAGCACCACACCCCATAGTCGGCTTTGACTGGACTTAACCGTCCAGGGGTCCTTTACCTTTTACCTTTACCTACACTACAATATTTCATTACAGGTCTGACATGTATTTCCGAGTACGTCTCCATATACCTGAGTTTACTTCAGGATAAGCACTGTTTTTTCTATGGTGTGAAACGAAGGGAAGCAGGTGCAATATTTCAGATGGTGGACACATCATGCAGACACAAGACCAGAAAATCATTTAATAGAAATAAAATACATCTCTGAGAAATGTCCCCATTTGTTATTATTTATTTCTTGTATTCATTTGCATTTCTACCATCTCAGCTCCACCACGGAAGGAAATGATTCCTAATTGCTAAGCCACATATATTTAGTGTTAGCTGATTACATTATTTGCTAGGCTTGTGCAATTAAGTTAACTGAACACATAATGCCGGATATTGGTATAACTACAGAAATTTAAAATGCTTCATATGCTTACATTATTACTCTCTTTGGTCCATACACAGAGCAGAACACACGGGGATATTAGGCATCTAGTTAATCAATGCCCCTAGAGGATTACTTTCTTCACTCACCTGGTCTCCAAGAGCTGCCTGAATGAAGCTCAGCAAGACTTCATAGGTTTCTCGGGTCTCCTTGGTTTTGGGTTTGTAGATAATTCCCACCATCTCATCAATGCCCTCAGAAAGCAGAGTGTAACCTTTCATCTTGTTAATGTCATGTCTGTCCTCATCTCGCTTCCGCCTCCTAGAAAGATGAGATCGATGGCACACAATCAGGAAAGAGAACACCTGACCAATTCATAGCCAGAAGAGATAAGCACATGCACACACACAGAAAGCACATGCTTCTTTCCCGAGGGCAGCCATGTTGAGGGAAATTTTTAATGTTTGATGTTGTATTGTGTTTTAATTTGTTGTAAGCTGCTCAGAGTGGCTGGGGAAACCCAGTCAGATGAGCGGCACATAAGTTTTTTATTTTATTTTATTAATTATTATTATTATTATTACTACTACTACTATCTTAGGGAATAATGTTATTTTTACTGATGTTGGAGTACTACCATGTTTTCAAGGGTGTAGCTCAGCAGTGAATCATATATTGTGCATGCAGAAGGCCCAGGTTTAATCTTCAGCTACAAGGATCAGGGAGTAGTTGATGGGAAAGATCGGAGTTGCTGTCAGTTAAAATAAAGGAGCAGGCTAGAAGTTCCCTGAACAACTTAAATGCCCCTATAGCAACGATGGAAATACAACAGGTAATAAACCAGCTCAAAATAGGTAAAGCACCAGGGCCAGATGGACTATCAGCAAAATATTATAAGAAACTACAGGACTTCTTACTCCAACTACTGAAAGGTGTAATGAATGAAATTTTAGTAGCAGGAAATGTTCCAAATTCATGGACTAATGCTTATATTACACTTATTCCGAAACAAGACTCTAATGTCAGTTAAAAATGACAGGCCGATCTCTCTATTGAACAATTGACTATAAGCTATTTGCATCTATACTGGCGAAACAGACGAAATCCGTATTAAAGGACATAATACATCAAGATCAGGCCGGATTCCTCCTGGGCAGGCAGTTGAAGGATAATGTAAGGAACATAACTGATATTATAGAATACCCTGAAGTAAAAAATGATAAAAAGCAGCGCTGATGTTTACAGACACAGAAAAGGCCTTTGATAACATTTCATGGACTTTTATGACAGAACTTTTAGAAAAGATGAACTGTGGAGAGACATTCTTGAAAGCAATTGAGGTAATTTATTCTAACCAATATGCTATGCTGATAGTTCTTTTAATTTTTTCTGTTAAGACGTTATTTACTAAGGGGATAAGACAAGGCTGCCCCTTGTCACCGTTATTGTTTATATTGGTTTTAGAGGTTCTAGCTAAAAGAATTAGATCTGATGGAGAGATAAAAGGGCTAACAGTGGGGCAGAGAACATATAAACTTAAGGCATTTGCCAACAATGTAGTGATATCGGTAGAGGAACTTTTGGTCAGTATACCAAGGGTTACAGATTAAATTTTTAAAGGTAATTGAGTGAAAGTCTAGAGTTAAGAAGAGCCTAGAAATCTGGGGAAGGATGAACTTATCACTTATAGGGAGGATATATGTGATAAAAATGAAGTATGGGACAAATACAAATATTTATTGGAACACAAAACACTATGGTGGCTCTCTCCACTTGAAGCAATACTGGTAAAAAAAAAAGGAATATGAGAAATGATCGTGCAACATACAAAGAATTATTAATAGAAGTAGATCAAGATTTAAAATTAAGGAGGTTTGAAGATATAAGAGAATTAGAAACTGATTTGCTGCAGTATCACCAACTTAATGAAGTGTTTGACAAAAAGAAGGGTTGTTTAAATAAAACCTCCCAGTTTGAAAGGGAACTGTTAGAGAATAAACTAAGTTAATTTCTAAAATGTATAAACTTCTATTAAATTGGCAAGCTAAAGAACAGGTCAAATTGGTTATGGTCTACTGGGTGAAGCATTTTGGTTATAATATGGAATTAGCAGTGTGGGAGAATATGGACAACAGGATTAAAATTTAGCTTGTTACACTTTGAAGGAGAACTATATGAAAATGACGTATCGTTGGTATTTAACTCCTAGTAAATTAGCTAAAATCTATAAATCAAAGTCTAAAACATTTTGGAAATGGAAAAAGAAAGAGGGTACTTTTTATCACATGTAGTGGTCATTTAAGATGATAAAAGACTTATGGGAAATGATAATACAATTAATTGAAAAAAATATTGAAAATAACTTTTCCTAAGAAACCAGAAGCTCTTCTCTTAGGCATTATAGGTCCAGAGACCCCGAAGGACCAGATGAAACTATTTATGTACGCGACCACAGCTGTGCAGATTCTGTTAGCCCAGAAATGGAAAGATGGTACAACTCTGACCAAGGAAGAGTGGCAGATAAAACTGATGAACTATGCTGAGATGGCAAAACTTACAAGAAGAAATTAGAAACCAAGAAGAGGCGGACTTTAATAAAGAATGGGGAAAGTCTACAATCTATATGAAAAAGTATTGTAAACAATTACACACATTGGTAGGACTGACAGAAAACTTGTAGTAAAAATTTGAAGAATGGAATGATAAAGGATTTGTAAGAATAGAGTTATAAAAAGAGATGCGGAGGGGGAAATGATTATATTAAGATCCACGATGGGGGGAGGGAAGTCAAATAGGATTTTATGTTTATGTTTTTATTTCGTTTGTTTAGGTAAAATAGAAAATACAAAAATAAAATTATAAAAAACACAAATTAAAAAAAGAAGTTCCCTGAACAACTGAGCACTTAGCTCAGCTGATTAGTGACAAAGGCCTGAATATGATAAGCACAGACTTTCAATTATTGGATCCAACTCTAGAATTCAGTGAGCTATTACACAACAGACAAAAGAACATATTAAATAGTCTTCACCTACTTTGCTCGTCTCTCCTCCTGCATCTGGGGTTTGGTCCTCTGGGCCTTGTCACCCATTCGAGTTCCTTCCAGCTTCCCCACCAACGACAGGACCTCTCCCGTAGGTTCATCACGCCGGGTCCTGTCAATCAGGGAGCGATCAGCTTGAAGTACAAGATTAGAGTTCTGGAAGAATCAAGAAGACAATGGGAGGGGGAGAGAAAATCTCAAGTTTAAGAAGAAGGAAATGAAACATATTGTCAAATATTCTGCTATTAGAAGAGCCTCCTTTGCCATACCCCTCCCACAATTATTGACTTCTATCAAGAATAAAAGTAATAGACAACTTCAGCTCTAGGGTTTCACATCATTGTCAGCAGCAGTTTGCAAAACACCACCTGCTGTAGTGGTTAAGAGCTTGTGTTACAATCCCAAGATCTGTGAGTCAAATTTCAGCTCACTCAAATTCACTAGGTGGCATCAGGAAGACACCTATTCTCCACAGTAGGAAGGAGATAGTAAAACTGGTCTGAGAGATTTGTATATTATTTGCTTTGAACAGTAAAAATGTTATGTAATTCCTGCTGTTTTTATTAAAATGGGCAACTGTGTTACTTTACTACAGAGGCGAGGAACCTATGGCTCTCTGGAACTTGTTGGAATACAACTGCCATCAGCCCAAACCACCATGACCAATGGTCAGGAATGATGGGTGTTGTAATCCATCATCATCCAGCAGCGTCCAAAACTCCCATAGTGTTAGGCATGTTTTGTGACAGGAGATTTCATTAGTGTGAGCAGTTTCTGAACTCTTGGTGCAGTATACTGTGCCTAAGATTTCAGATTTAAATTGCCGCTGCTAGCCCTGAGGGTGTGGGAGGAGAAATTCCTCCCGCTCAACTTCCAAGAGATCAGTGCAGCATCATGCAAGCTGACAGGTGCCACCTCTCAGCTGGCCTTACAGATTGGGCTGCTTCCTGCCTGCCCTGCCTGCAAGGAAAGGGAGTCAGGGGGTCAAAAAGAGCTTCTTCATTCTCACCACAAAAAACAGCAACTTCTTCCTAGTAATATTATAAACAATTAACAATACTAACAATCAGCAGTATTTTTATAATTAAAGCGTTAGGACTGGGATGTGGAAAATATGAAAACAATGAGAGGAGGCAGGATTGGAGATACGCTTCAGAGGTCCAGACTATGATGTGGATATATTGATTGGCTATTTTTATTGGGACATCATTAAAAATGATTTCTTTAAAAAACAGTATTTTTATAATTTATTATGAAACATTAAAGCACCTAAAAAGTACTATACTAGGGGGAGCCAAAGCCTTCTGTAGGGGGAAACAACGCTTTTTTGGGGTGAGGGACGCTTCTCCGCCCAACTGCTGGCATGCTTGCGGCCGCACTACAACGTCGCCTCCGACACGCAGCGGAACTCAGTCCCGGTGAGTTCCGGCTGAAAATTTAAGCCCCGTCTGCAGCCATATTTGTAGCCATATTCAGAACAGACCCACTGAACTCCAGTCAGGTTTCAGAGGATGTGGTCTGACTGGAGCAAACGGTGAGCACTGCCCACTAACCACAAGCCCGCTTCATAGCCCCGCGTACCCCCCCGCGCGCGCCACTCACCGCCTTGTACTCGTACTGCAGGCTCCGAGCGGTGACGTCCGCCATGGCGGCTGCCCCGCAGCCCCGCTACCGCCCCGCTTCTGCCCCGCTCGGCCTCGGCGGCGTCTTCTCCCGCTCCTCGAACGCAGCGAAACGATCCCCACACGCAGCAGGCTGCCGCGACACTTCCGCTTCCGGGTGAACCCTACAAGTTCTTCCTCTTTCAAACTGGCTCGGAGGGATAGAGGGCAGACATGAGTTCACAATCCTAGAGCGGCCTGTGCACTGCACTTCCGGGTTCTGGTTGCCATGGTTCCCTCCCTTCTCTTTCCATAGAGGGTGCAAAGCGACAGCCGCTCATGGAAAATAACGGAGAGGGCCCGAAGCCTCGGGCTGCCACCTTGATTCTTCCCAAATACAGGACCGTGTAAGGGGTGGCGCTACTTTTTTTTCATCTGGTGCTGAAGTGATTGCAATCCATCACAATCTATTGCAGCCCAACATGATGGTTCCTCTGGAATTTGTCACACACACACACACGAATGTGTGAATATATCTGCTTGGCTGCCCAGATCTTAAATATTTAAAATATTTTAAAATATTTTAAAAATACTTTTTATTAAAGAATTTCTTATTTTACAAAAGTACATGCATTGTCTCTTTTTTCAGGTTGTGTTTTCTATAGATCAGATACATTTGTTCTGAGATATTAGTGTTACATACAAACCTTGGTTCCCGCATGCCGAAAACCCAGAAGTAAATGTTCTGGTTTTTGAATGTTTTTCAGAAGCTGAACGTCCGACCCTGAGAATAACCCTACCCCTACCCCTAAACCTAACCCAAACTCAAACCCAAACTCTTTCCATAAACCTAAGCCTATCCCTAACTCTAAGGTATCCCTACCCCTAAAAGTAACCCAATGCCTAACCTTAACCCTAATGCTAGCCCAACCCTAATCCTAACCTAAGGTTACCTAACCTAAGATTTTTTTCAATGAATCCGGGGGCACTTTTCAACTTCCTGCTAAGTAGATGGATTTTGTCAGGGGACTGATTTGTAAATCTGGGGACTGTCCCTGAGAATCGGGGACGTCTGATAACCTTATTCCTAACACTAACCCTAATCCTTACCCAACCCTAATTTTAAGCCTAACCCAAACCCTATTCCATAAACCATAACCTAACACTAACCCTTAGGCTAGCCTAACCCTAACAGTAACCCAAAGGCTAAGCCAGTATTTCAATATGAGTAGGAAATGAGAGGACCCCTAAAAATGTTTAGGGTTACTGCCTAACCCTAACCCTAACGTGGACACAATCCTAACCCTAACCCTATCCGCAACTGTAACCCTAACCTACCCCTAAACCTAAACCTAACCCTGAGAATAACCCTAAACCTAAGCCTAACCCAAACCCAAAGCCTAAACCAAACCCTAATGGAACCCAAACCCAAACCTTTGCCATAAGCCTAATCCTGGCCCTAACTCTAAGGTATCCCTACCCCTAAAAGTAACTCAATGCCTAACCCTAACCAACTCTAACCCTAACCCAACCCTAACCGTAGCTGCAATAGTAACCCTAACCCAACCATAACCCTAACCAGAAGCCTAACCCTAACCCTAAAGCTTACTCTAACTCTAACCATAAGGCAACCCTAACCATAACCCTGAGAATAACCATAAACCGGACACAATCCTAACCCTTACCCTAAGACTATGACTAGGTCTAAACCTAAGCCTACATTTAAACCTAAGACTAAGACTAAAACTAAATCTAATCCTAATCCTAAAATGCTAACCCTAACCCTAATCCTTACCCAACCCTAACCACAACATGAACGCTAACCCATCACAACCCTAACCCTAACCTAACCCCAACCCTAACCCCTAACCCTAAGGCAACACTACCCTAACCCTAACTCTAACCCTAAGGCAATCCTAACCCTAAACCTAACCCTGAGAATAACCCTATCCCTAAGGCAACCCTAACCCTGAGAATAACCCTAAACTGGACACAACCCTAACCTTAACCCTAACCCTTAGGTAAAGGGACCCCTGACCATTAGGTCCAGTCGTGACCAACTCTGGGGTTGTGGCGCTCATCTCACTTTATTGGCCGAGGGAGCCGGCGTACAGCTTCCGGGTCATGTGGCCAGCATGACTAAGCCGCTTCTGGCGAACCAGAGCAGCGCACGGAAACGCTGTTTACCTTCCTGCCAGAGCGGTACCTATTTATCTACTTGCACTTTGCCGTGCTTTCGAACTGCTAGGTTGGCAGGAGCAGGGACCGAGCAACGGGAGTTCACCCCGTCGCGAGGATTCGAACCACCGACCTTCTGATCGGCAAGTCCTAGGCTTTGTGGTTTAACCCACAGTGCCACCTGCGTCCCACCTAACCCTAACCCTGACCCTAACCCTAAACCTAAGACTAAAACTAAACCTAATCCTAATCTTCAAATGCTTACCCAACCCTAATTTTAAACCTAACCCAAAACCTATCCCTAACCAAGGAAAATGTCAACCAATATTTTCTTTTTAATCCACCCTGAATCTCAAAGCTGCAAACTTTATTGTATGCTCACACTGATCTGCCCCTGTCAGGCGTCATGGAACCTGGTCCCCCCCACGGTAGGCTGCCAGGAACAGAAAGACAAGGAAAGTTCTTACCAAGGTCTTTTATTCAATATTCACAGAGTCTTAGAAATGTTGCCTCTTGGAGTAATTGCATTGGTCCAAGTAATCTCCACCCCCCTTATCTCCTCAATCAACAACAGCACCATCCACCTTATGGTGGCCGCTTAGGGCCATTTGCCTTTGCTCTCCTACTTTCAATGCTCACCAGGTTCTGGGAGAAGGGGGGGGTCTGGAATGCTTTCTAGTGATAACATGTCAGCCAGCTGCTCTGACTCTGCCTCCTTCTCTCCCATTATATCTCAACTTCATCCCTCTGAGCCGTGACCACTTTTGTAAATCTATACTGTCTTCCTCTTCTCTGGAAGGTTCAAGCTGGGGAGGTGATCTCCACCCTTCCTCCTCTGTCCAGTCCCTGACACCCCTCCTTCTCCTGTACTCTTGTTTTCCTTATGTGGGCAGGGACTATGTTTTTATTTTGGTTTATTTACCTTAGTTGCCATTAGTTCAAGAAATCAGTCACGAGGATAGGTGTGTGACATCAGCATTGCACAATTTGCACATACATACACATTTTTTTAAGTTAAGAGGAGGTTTGGAACATGGCAGTCTGGGAAGAGGGTCCCTGCCCTCTTCTGCAAACAGCATCCAGTCCCAACATGCTCATTAATGGAGAGGTTGATGATGGTCCTCGTCATCCAGTCCAGGAACGGATGAATGGCTCTATTCAGATGCTATTTGCTTAGTTGCATAAGCCCCCTTTCAAGAGTCCCACTCAGCTAAGAGAGGAAAAGCCGAGAGCAGTTATACTCCTGGTGGGAATCAATACGTCCACATAACAAGAGAGTCTTCGCCCATCCTTGATTCTAGAATGTGCGGCTACATTCCACACCTAGCCCAGCCTCCTTTTTGAGTGCTGTAGTTCCAGTCATCAAAGAGGTAAAGCAACAAGCAGCCAAATTGTGTAGCAAATCCTATGGCACTGTAAAGCCCTGAATGAGCCCTACATCTAAGAATCAGTGTAAAAAAATGATGAACAGTTGAACCAGAAGTCAGCAGGTGGTCTTCTTAGGCTTCACACAGGCCTCATTTGCACTATTACTATTACTACTATATAATTTACTATAGAAGTACCACTATACAATTTTAAGCAACTGTGACTTCCCCTCAAAAATCCTGGAACTGTAGCTTTTTAAGGGTTCCGGTAGATGCTTATTTCCCCTACAGAACTACAATTTGCAGAGTTCCCAGGGTTGACTGTTAAACCACTCAGTGTTTAATGTTTAAAATTCCAAAAATGTTCTATGAAAGCTAAGCTGTTATTGATTATGGAGTTTACTGGTGACACTTGCTCCCCACATGAGATAGGGGAGCCCAAGTCTGGCATATCCACAAGACAACAGATCAGTCCTGCAGAGGGGAACAGTAAGAATATGAGGGAGACAACAGGGTTTGGGATTAAGAATAATCTCCAATGTAGACTGAAGAACAGATTTACCACATAAAATTGCATGGAAAAGTCAAATTTTCTGACTATACCTGCGGATAAAGGGTGGTAAATAAATTCAATAACAACAACAATCATAATAATATTTCCCAGCAATTTTTTTAAAGTCCTGAGAGGAAGGAGAGACAGAGAAATGTTCTGTAAAAATAAAGAAGACACTATGCCCATTCCAGACTAACCAGCTGGTGTGGAAGCACCAGAATAGAACAGTTGAAGGGTTCCTAGGACTGGAATGGTTGCAGAAATGGACTGTAATTCGGAACTGAATAATATGTGCCAACTAATTCAGGGCTGTATCTTCATGTTATGCCACTGGTCAGGGCCTCCACTGTAGCAGAGTTACATGGGAATTCTCAAACACAAAGTACCTGTAACTCTAATTCCTCACTACATCTCAGAACTGAGGGGCTACATGCCCAACAGGAAGCCAAGCTTGAGCGTGAGTGAAACTGTAGATGTGTCAGTAACATGATGCTTTCAGCTGGGCAGGATCTCCGCAGATCTTCTCCACTGGTGCCACACAAGCCCCTCCTTCTACAGCAGAACTATAAAAGAGAACCGTATTCAGGGGTCTTTACACAGCACAACCATGTGGCACCTGCTTCTCGTCATTCTGCTCTGTGGAGGTCCTGCTGGTAAGCACTGGGGAAGGGGCAGGTGGAGGATGGGGCATCCTTTCCCCCACGGCCATTAGGAACTTCAAATAGAATGTTGGAAGATTCAGGACAGATAAAATAAGTAACTTATTCACGCACCACACTGGTACTCACACAGCAGGCAGTGATCACCACTAACTTAGTGGCTTTAAAGGAGGATTAGGCAAATTCATGGGGGATATCAATGGCTACTAGTCATGCTTGGTGTGCACTACCTCCATTGGTTTGCATAGTGTTCTTTAATTTTTTATCATTTATTCATGTCAAGTTATTAATGTCACTTAAATTTAAAAGATCCATGGGGTCACAAAGAGTCGGACACGACTAAACGACTAAACAACAACAACAACAATTTAAAAAAAATCTAAGTGAATTACTTCCAATAGTATAAAACATGCAAAAATTAGCAATAAAACAGTATATATAATAAATTTATCAAAATATAGGTAAAAAAAAAACCCAGTTAAAAATAAAAGGACCCAAAATAAGCAGACAGCAAGAGTAGATGATAACAATCTTTAATTTAGGAGGGCAAACAAATACTCTGGTATTACTGGTCAGTATAGATAACTGGGGACGCGGGTGGCGCTGTGGGTTAAACCACAGAGCCTAGGACTTGCCAATCAGAAGGTTGGCAGTTCAAATCCCCGCGATGGGGTGAGCTCCCGTTGCCAACCTAGCAGTTCGAAAGCACATCAAAGTGCAAGTAGATAAATAGGTACCGCTCCGGTGGGAAGGTAAACAGCGTTTCCATGCGCTGCTCTGGTTCGCCAGAAGCGGCTTAGTCATGCTGGCCACATGACCCGGAAGCTGTACTCCGGCTCCCTCGGCCAATGAAGCGAGATGAGCGCCGCAACCCCAGAGTCGGCCACGACTGGACCTAATGGTCAGGGGTCCCTTTACCTTTATAGATAACTGAGCTAGATGAGCTGATGTTCTGAATCAGGCTAAGGTAGCTTCCTGTATTCCTGATACCAGACAACAGAGGCAAGTCACCCACAGGGCAGGTTTAGCCTTCACTGGGTGGGGGCTGAGCCTGGTTCCTGACAAAACCCAATAGCTCCAGCCATAAAGAATCCAGCTTACTCCTCACTGAATTACCTCCCTCTCTAGAAAGACAGGATGTTGTAATAGTTAAGAGTGTTGGGCTAGGACTGGAGAAAGACACAAATCCTCACAGAGCCAGTTAAGCCATGAGCCGGCCACACTTGCTCAGGCTAATCTATCACAGTGGGGGAGATGCAGGCACTGCTACCCTGAGCTCCTTGGAGGAAAGGAGGGGTTAAAATGGAAGAAAAAAGAGTGCAACAGAAGGCAAGGTAAGAGCAACTGGTAGGGTTGAGTCCACACCCTCTGAAGCCTGTGAGGTCCAGGTCTGTTCCCTGCTCCTGCGCTAGGAGTGCCAAAGAATCTCTGACCACAGCTGGCTTGCAAACCAGGCAGCCTCTTTTGCTTCCACTTCAAATGTTGGACAAACCTGAGTAAACAACCTGAGTGGTAAAATTTCTCAACCATGCCCTGATGCCCCTCCTCATCATGCGACTGAGGAAAATTAGTCCAGGAGAGCCTGAGCTGCAAACACTGGAAATACTGAGATTGTTTCCCTCCCTGGCTTTTCAAGTGCGTCAACTGAGATTTCATTGCACTGCTTCCTGTGGTCTACGACTCAGAGACTTGACTTTAAGATGAGCACATTGTCTTGTGTACCCTATTCCTTGAGCAGAAAGAGACTTCGGGAGTTCCAGTGCTTATCCAGGGTTCAGATTGCTTGGAATGGTCAACAGAGACTGTGGTTTCTTTAGGATATATGGTTTTATTTTCATGTATACAGTCTGTGGACAAACGCCGGCTCCTTCGGCCTGAAGCTAGATGAGCGCCACACCCCATAGTTGCCTTTAACTGGACTTAACTGTCCAGGGGTCTTTTACCTTTACATTTTTACCTATATACCTGAGCATAGGATGGAAGGGTTTACAGAATCAACACCTCAGCAGATTTGCTTCCCCATCAGGTTTCCAGGGGAGCCCCAAGTCCAGCACAGAGCAAGACATGTCTCCATCTTTCCAGTTTCCCAAATCAGCCCAGCTCTCACATACACAGTCCTCTCATGGCCTATTATTCTACATCCTAGGATGATGTATCATCCAGACAGATGAGGTGGGGAAAGGGCTCCTCATTTGTCTCTAAGGCAATAGCGCTCACCCTTTAAGGTGCAGATGACAGGTGTATTCTAACCTCACATATACAGGATCACAGGTTTGGAAAGGATCACGTGTGTCATCCAGATTCCAGACTGCCCTCCACACCACTTCCCACCAAACCTATAAAACAATATTATCCTGCCCACATTATGATGCTGCTCACAAGGGCATGTCCTTCTCTGCCCTTTTCCAGTGCTGGCTGGCAAGATTTCCATTGAGGATGGATGTGCCAAAGGTCCTACATATTGGTGCAAGAACCTCGTGACGGCCATCCAGTGTGGTGCCTGGGAACACTGCATGCAGGCTGGATGGAACAGTGCCACCCAAGTGAGTAGCTGCTGTTCTCTCTCTCTCTATCCCTCCTCTGACTTGACTTTGGTGCAGGAAGTTAAAACTTGGGGGTGGGGTTAGTTGGGGACAGCTGCACTGTCTCTGTCTTTGGCATACTGGGTTGCTGTGTCAAGAAGCCCAGTGGTTGCCTGCCCACATTCTGCCGGTGACCCAGGGTTTTGTGACAGCTGCATTTTCAGGTTGCCCTCATTTCCTTAATTTTTCCTCCAGGAAGACACTTGTGCAGACTGCAAAGAGATTGTTACCATCCTTGTTCGCATGGCCAAGGAGTCAACCTTTAAGGTAACCCAGGTAGCTGGAATGTGTGGAATTAGTGCTGCTGCTGCTGCCCACAAGGTTGTTCTCTCTCTTTTTTTGCAGCAGCATTTAGTCTGTACCTTTTGTTGACATTTAACCCAGATTTCCCTTCATACCATGGAGAATCCAGTAAATAAAAATAACCCATTATGCATCTGCAGTCTAAAACATGTGGGTTTCAGGCTGAAACCCTACATACTCATTTATTTACCTGGGAGTAAGTGTCACTAAATTCAGTGGTTCTTACTTATGAGTGAACATGTGTAGGGTGGTGCTGTTAAAGAGGACAGACCAGTGAGAAGAGGGCCATTACACTCAGGTCTTGCTTGTGACGTCTGGTTGGCTACTATGCAAACGGGCTGTTAGACTAGAAAGGGCTTCCTTGGGGGTCTTCTGATGTTCTTAGCTAAGCTGATTGTATGAATAGTCCCAGGAGAGGCAGGCATTGTGAGAGACAGCTGGACAGAGATCTCAGTCTTGCCCAAACAGCTCCCAGACACCAGAACTTAGAAACATCCAATGAAGCTGAGTGTTGGATGAAATAAAGTTCTTCACACAACACACAGTTAAATTATGGAACTTGCTCCCACAGGAGGCAGTGATGGCCACCAACTTGAATGGCTTTAAAAGAAGAGAACAGAATCATAGCTGTCAACGTTTCCCTTTCTTAAAGGGAAATTCCCTTATTCCAAATAGGATTCCTCACAAAAAAAGGGAAAAGTTGACAGCTATGAACAGAATGCTGGACTCGGTGGACCATTGGCCTGATCCAGCAGGCTTTTCCTATGTGTGGGGTAACCAGCCTCATATCACAAACATGCATGTCTATTTAATATAGGAAGAGGTTAATACCATAGTGTAAGCTATACTGCCAGGCTTAGCTATGTCCACTTCCCACCACCTTGGGAGGAACTTTGTTCTTCACTCTACTTGATTGCTTCCGCTCACCCGCATGAGCCACTCTTGAATTCCTATAGGAAGTTTCACCACTTGGCAAAGTTTTACTCCCTGTATAACTATTTCTGAAGCACATGACTCTCACCTATGGAGAATTTGTAAGTACGGTAAACCATTTTTTAAACTTACGAAACATGGTCTTTTTCCTATGCTGGGGAAACAAGGAAAAGAAACATTTTAAGGGGACATTTTGGAACTCATGTGGAGGGGCACATTTTAAAGGTGTTACAGCCTATATTTCCACACTTTACTTTGCTGCATGTTTAAAGTATCTGCTGGGGTTCTCTCCCCAAAAAGTACTTCCCCTAAACTTGGATCTTGGCACCCAGAAATTGTCCTATGTTCTCCCCTCTACTCTCTAAACATTGCTGTTCCCACACAGAAGGCCATCCAGAACTACTTGAAACACGAATGTGCGGCTTTTTCACTTCAGACCTTAATCCCAAGATGCCAGGAGCTTGTGGATACCTACTATTCTCTATTCATCACCGCCTTAGAAGGACAGATTGTAAGTGGCCCTTTCCCCACACACATCAATGGCAAATAATTTCTCCACAACAAACAACACAGTGGCTGTTGTGTGGAGGGAGGGCAAGGGAGGGAAAGCAGAGGCTGCTCTGTCATGAGGTAGTTGGTTTTGGATGCCCTGAAAGGGCAGCCAAGCAGCTGACAGGCTCATCTGGTCCATTCCACTGGGAAGTTCTTGCACATTACAATGGGGCTTGTGCAGGAAAACTTCCCCAGGGCCTGTGCTGCAAGGACCACCTCTTCATACCCTCCAGCATTCCTCAGATTAAAATAGGAACATTTCTCACTCCCCCCCCACAAATGACCTCCCCATTTTTGTGTGTCCCCCCCGCAAATTAAATTTCTATCAGAAAATTTGTTTTATGAAAAGAAGCGCACACACCAATAAATGTATTTAAAAATAAATAATAAATATATTTTAGAAAGAGGCAAGATTAGATGTGGATGCTGGAATCATTTTTTTAAAAACCTCAAGGCTTCTTTTCACACTGCTCATCTCCCCCTTTCTTCCTGCCCAGGGCAGCCCTGTGCTCTGCCTGAACCTCAGAGCTGGTGTGTCATGGGGGGGTTCCCCTCACAGGTGGCAGCCTCTCTTCCTCACCTGCAGTCCAGCAGCTGCTACAAGCTGCCCAAGGGGGGAATCTGGCAGCGGTAGCCATGGAGAGGCAACAGGATGCTCCTTCGCGGCAGCCAGTGGGAGAAGTAGGGGCATTCCAGGTTCAAATCAGAAGCTGGGTTGGCTTTCGTAATTCTGGGACTGTCCCTGGAAAATCAGGCCACTTGGTGGGCATGCCTCTGCCTTGCCTGTCAGAGTAGGGCAACTGGAGATGGAGTATTCCTTTCTCATGCCTTATCCCTTCTGCCCTTCAGCAACCCGATGCTGTATGTGCAAAGTTTGGCCTCTGCCAGTCTGACCCACTGGAGAGCAAGGACATCTTTGGTATGCTGGTTCAAAAGATGGCAGAACAGATCCAGCTCCTGCAAGGCAAAGCTTTTATTATGCCCAACAACAAGACCCAGGTAAGGAGAGCCTCTTCTGATGACTTGAACTCCAGTCCAGTGAAAGAAAATTGTATAAACCCCTAAGCCAGCCTTCCACAACATTGTAACCTCCATATGTTTGACAGTACAACCCACAAACATCTGGAGGGCATTGGGTCAGAGAAGGCTGATCTAAGCAGTTGTCTAGGAAAGCATATTGCATCCTACTTCATTCTACTTTCCCATTATAATGGTTTCAAAAGAGAGCCAGTATGTTCTAGTGGCTAGAGAGTGTCAGACTAGGACCTGGAAAACCAGGGCAAAAATCCCTATTCAGCCATGACATGGTGGTGCACAAGAGCATATATAGAGCCACTTTGAAACCATTATAAGGCAACAAATACCACTAAAAATATGCTAATCACCCAGTTACAGCTGCACTGCAGTGGGCAATGCAGGAGGGCAGAGATAGAAAGGAAGAGGAATGAGGTAAGGGTAGGGGAGAATGGGCAGAGAAAGAGTCCAGTGGGTGGGTCACTAGGAGAATCAAGAGACCTAGGTAAAGGGACCCCTGACTGTTAGGTCCAGTCATGGCCGACTCTGGGGTTGCGGTGCTCATCTCGCTTTACTGGCCAAGGGAGCCGGCGTACAGCTTCCGGATCATGTGGCCAGCATGACCCAAGCCGCTTCTGGCGAACCAGAGCAGCGCATGGAAACGTCGTTTACCTTCCTGCCGGAGTGGTACCTATTTATCTACTTGCACTTTGACGTGCTTTCGAACTGCTAGGTTGGCAGGAGCTGGGATCGAGCAACGGAGCTCACCCTGTTGCGGAGATTCGAACCGCTGACCTTCTGATCAGCAAGCCCTAGGCTTTTATGGTACATAAATGGTAAAGCTGGGGGGCGGGGAGTGCACCCCTCAGGTGGGTGCAATGAAGTAGCCGAAGCTGGAACATTTATGCTCCAGTAAGAACAGGGCGTTAATCTTCCCAAAATGAGATCTGCTCTGTTGCACCTTTGATTAATTTCTGTGCCTACCTGTTACACGACTTATTCCTCTTTCTTTTCTCAGGATAATCCCAAGGAGGAGCTGCTCTTCCCTTGGCCCTGGCGTTATGTTTTGCCTCAGTGTTGGCTGTGCAAGAACCTTGTAGGCCGGATTGAATCCAGCCTCCCCAAGGTATCGTATTCTCCTTTCTTTGTGCCTTAATTCAGCCTTCTCCAACACGATGCCCATTAGCCCCAGACAGAAGAGTCCTATCATACTGGGTTTGATGGATATTTTGGTCTGAAACATCTGAAGAAGGCTGCTTTACACATCCAAACTCTGGTCCAGAATGCAACCTCACAAGACTCTAAATTGTTCTTTTATTTATTTATTTATCAAATGTTTCTGGACCTCAGCATTAAGCTTGTGAAAGTGTCTGCAACCAAAGCTCAGGAAGCTAAAAGTTTAACTGATAGAAAAGGTGGAGTAGAAGCTCCTGGGATGAGTGGACTGGGCAGGTCTTTGTCTTTTCAACTTTCAGCCTCTTCTCCCAGGAAACAAAGCACTGCTCACAGCTGATATTAAGTATATGGCAAAATCTATGTCAGAAAAAAACCCACATCTCTGATTTGCTTAAATTTGCAGTTCTTAGCTGAGAGAGCATGTCACAATTTGATATGATGAACAGCTGTGAAACTTACTGAATGCCGAAAATTGGGGGCCCCCTTTGAGCTTGAGGCCACTGGCCCCCCACAACCCTAACTGGCCCTATGAATAAAACCCTGTGATGATTCTTGGCATCTTCCTCATTTCCACCTTCATGTGTCCTAAACTGCAAGGCAGGCGGCAGCTTTCAAGTTGAGAATGATGTCTCCGAGTCTGGATTCAGACGCAGGGCAGGCCACTAACTTCACCCAAAGTCCTTTGTCTTCTTCCTTAGGAAGCTATTGGCAAATCCATGGCCCAGCTCTGCCGCTTTGCACCAGGAGCCGCTGCTGGGATGTGCCAGTGCTTGATGGAGAAATACACTGTGACCATTGTAGACGCGGTTCTGGGCAAGGTGGGGCCAAACCTGATCTGCGGGATGATGCTCATGTGTGCCACAGAAGAAAACTTTGGCCCAGGTACAGACAACTTAAAACCTTGGTGGGCTAGGTGGTGTTTTGTGATCAAACACTAGTGTTTTGTGGTAATCTATGATGTTTGTCACTCTGAGAAATTTCTGGACAGTTTCCATCATTTTGGCTGGTTCTGTGTGTAGCACCTTGCCATCCAGAACAAGAAGCAGCCTGGCCACATACTCACCTCTGCTCCTCCACAGGCCACATCAGGCTAAGTCAAGGGGTCAGAAAATCAGGACCAGGGGCCAAATGTGTGGCCCTCAAAACTCTCTCTAGGCCACACCTCTCACTGGCCCTGCTTCACACCAAGGCCTGGATTAAGCTAAACCAGCAGAAGCCAGAATTTAAGATTCTGCCTGGTCTTCACTGAACCTCCATCCTGATCGGTTTGTGTGATGTTTGCACATCTTCCCATTAACCATTGCATTATTCCACACTTTTCAAGGCATTACCATGTCACTTACCCAATTGCAAAAAGTCTGTATTTTTTTCTCTCCCAAGTAGACTTGTACTAGGATGATAGTTTTTATTCACTTTAATACTGCCAAACTAGATTTCCCCCATATGCCCTTGAATCCCTCCCCCCAATAGTGACAGCCTGGAGACGCCCTAGCAATGGAATGACAATTGGTATGCAAGCCCAGCTATTCTCTACAATGGGCAAACCGGCTTTGCATACGATTCTGGGAACAACAAAGAGTTTTTAGAAAGCAGAGGCTGGCTCTGTCCACACTCCTGTTTCCTGTGCATTCTCTGCATTCCCAGTACTGGGTTTTTAATCTGTGTTCGCAGTATCTTATCCAAAATGCAGGAGTAACCTGTACTTTGCCAGTCTGATGCATTACTTCTCAAATCAGCTGCACACTTCAGAGTCCTTAAAACATTCCTAATTCGTCTCTAGCCAAGGTGCGACCCCCCTATGCAAACAGTAAAGACATCCTCTCCCTGTGTACATCTTCTGTGTACAGAAACAGAATGAGGCCCTGCTGATGTGGACAGCTGGAGGAGGGGGAGAGCTATGAAACATGGGGGGGGGGACTTTGCTACCCTTTAAGGCGGTAATGTGGACACCCTTTGCCTCCCTCCCATTCATTTTCACTAACTGCTGCCTCCTACTGCAGATAGTAAAAATGAGCAAGCTCCCTGCAGGCAGGCATGCACCAAAGTTGGGGTGCACTTGGCTGCAGGGCACTAATTCTCCCCAGAAGGTGCTGGAAGAGGAGGTTGTGGAGGGTGGGGGTCCGCCAGTTTGAACAAGCATTTGATTGGGTGGCATGCTTGTCTGTCAGTCCAGCTGTGCAAACAGCATCCTTTGACACTTTGCCTGTATTCTTCCACTGTTTGACAGATGCAGAGGCTTACCTAGGGGTTGGCTAGGTTGGCCCTTGCCAATGGTGCAGGCCCAGGGAGGCGGCTGAGAGTGGCTAGGAGCCCACCCACCCATGTGCACGCTCCCTGGGCTGCTTCTCTGCTGCTCTAAGCGGCCAACATCTCTTTGCCAAGGGGACAAGGGATGTGGGCAGGGGCACCAATACATCTCATTGCTAGGGGTGCAAGGTAGAGCATCATCTCCTCCCCCAGTGCAATTGCACTGATTGCACTGATTTAAGTCCTTAAGCTGTTCCTAATTTGCCTCCAGCTAAGGTAAAGACATTCCCACCCCTGTCAACTCCCCTTGGTGTGTACACAAACAGAAGTGAATCAGACACTAATGAAGCCAATAGCTTTGGGTTGAGTGTGGAACTTCATTGCCCTCTGAGGTGGTAATGTGATCACACCCTAGGTCACAACTTGCTAGAGCAAGTTGGCTGCTTAGACTGAGATCCAACTGAGGGCAGTGGGTAGCTGGGAAAGTATAAAGCTTTCTCGTGTGTGTGCGTGCGCACACGCGCAAAACACCACACTGCTCCACAGCCCTGCCTCTTTGTGCTTTCCCCCCTTGCAGAGACCCCTCCACTGTCACTCTCTGGCCCAGCTGACCGCTGCCAAGCCTGCCTGGCTCTCAAGACCCAGGTGAAGGCAACCCTCAAGCCCAACAGCAGCAGGGCTGAAATGGAAGCAGCTCTGTTGACAGCCTGCAGCAACACTTTTCGGAGCTGGGAAGAGGTGGGTTACCCTAACGAGCAGAAAGCCACAGCCTTCTTCAAAGGATTGTTAAAAATATGCAAAGGCCAGTTCCCATACAAACATGGCATGAGATGAACACTGCAAGGCCTTCCTTGTCCTCCTAGCTGGAGGAAGAGGCCCAGGACCCTCACCACACCCCTTTATGCCGCTGCTTCTTCCTGACTGATGCAGCAGGGAATGAGTGTGTGGCTTGCCCCGTGTCACAATCACAAACGGGGACCCAGGCAGTAGCTGCCTTTCTTAAGCTCTTAGTCTGGTGTCTTCCAACAGTTATTAGACTACAACTCCCATCATCCCTAACCATTGGCTATGCTGGTTGGGGATGATGATGATGAGTCTTTTTATTTATTTATTATATTTATATCCCAGCTTTCCTCCAAAGAGCTCAAGGTAGAAGACATAGTTCTCCTCCCCACAGTTGCCTCACAACAACCAGGTGAGGTTGGTTAGGTTATGAGTGGCTCAAGGTTACCCAGTGAGCTTCATGGCTGAGTGGGGATTTGAACCCTGGTCTCCCAGATTCTAGACCAACACTCTAACCATTATACCACACTAGGAATTGTAGTCTAACGATATCTGGAGAGCACCTCACTGGGTTTGTCAGATGGGAGACAGAACTAAATGTGTCAGTTCAGTTAGTCTTCGGTTTCAGCAGGACATGGGGAGGCTAAGAAGTTGTGAGAGAGGTGAGTTTTGAGGGATTTGAAAGATGGTGGTCTTCCATAGATATGCTGGGAAGCAGCCCAATGCATAACAGGCAGCGAGAGAGTAAGGACAAAATCACAGCTTCCCAAAATTCTACTTGGGGACTCTTCACAATTACATCAGCCTTCCTCAACCTGATGCCCTGCAGATGGTTTGGACTACAACTCCTATCACTGCAAACATCTAGGAGACTGAATAATTACTGCCACTTATAAAACAGCCTTACCCAACCTGGTGCCCTCTGGATTTTTTAAGACTCATCAATAGCAGCCAGAATGGCCAATTATCAGGGATAATGGGAGTTGCAGCCCAACATCTGGATACCATATTAACTATCCCTGCCCATGAGAAAGACATGATAGGAGCAAGGAATGGGGGCAATCATAATACTCTGTCTCAGTGTTGTTGTGGTTGTTATTATTAAACAGTGGAGAGAGGGATGGTTCCCAATTTCCATTTGTACCCAACTTCACTTGTACCAGCCCATGGACAATAGATAGTGAAATAGCCAGTCCCAATACTCCACTAACACCCTCTGTGCACAGGTGGCCAAGCCAAAGAGGCCAGATGAGCAGTGGCTCAATATTTACTTCTCTTCCTCCTGTTTTGTAGTGCAAAAGTTTCATTGATCAGCATGAGCCAAAGTTGTTCCTACTGCTTGCCAAGCCTTGGAGCGCCCAGAGGACATGCCAGGTACGAGGCTATCATCCTTGAGAGAACAACAACATTCAATTTCACATTGCTCACTGTTGGCGTAGCATTTTCAGATGTTATAGTTGAGGAGCACAGCATAGAGGCTTTGGAAAGCATTTTCAAAGTGTAGCAAGCTGACACTCAGCTTCTGGACACAAGCAAGACATGTGGATCAGTCCCCAACTAAACAGCAGACGCTCTCCTGAACATAACTAAACTTTCTGGAAGTTGGTTCTTCAGTTCCCCTAGTACAGCATACCTTGCTTACTCCTGTGTACTGTATTGACATTTGGTCATTGCCCTTCTGGCAGGTACTCTTAAGTGATGGCCAGCAGAACCAAATTCAGATATGGGAAGTTGTCAGATACTAAAGTTTAAGATGACCTGTAAAGCAATCAATGCAAAAGAGGAAGATGAAAAGCCAAATGGGTGCTGCTAGAACATCAGGGCGATGGTCCTCTATAGCTCCTTGACGCTATAGAGAAAGAAGAGGTGTGAGTGGGGAAAACCCCTTTTCAAGCCATTCTAACCATCTCAGAATCTCCCAGAGAGGCCCCCAATTGATACTATCCCTATATTGAAACAGGAAGTTTCTAGCAACAAAGGTGAACACATTATGTCAAGTAAAGGTGCCAAGCAGCATGGACTGCTCTGCTTCTTCTCTTCATAGAATTGTAGATTTGGAAGGGACACCATCATCTGTTCTAACCCCCTGCAAGTTTTTTCCTTGCTAACAGGAACTAGGAGCCTGCATGGCTGAGAAGCCTTTTCCACGAACTACTGCCTGTGCCCAGGGCCCCACTTATTGGTGCTCCAGCCTGAGCACTGCTGAGGAATGCAAGGTGAGAATGGAGTGTTGGTTCTTTGGGTTTGTAATGTGCCAAAAGAAGAAATCTATCTCCAGATGCCAGGATTTTGCCCTAATGGTCTTTGACAACAGGAAGCTTTGAGACTGGTTCACTAAGGGCTCATCTGCTTGCCCTGCTGCTTTCCCCCAGGAAAACCCAGTCTTTACCACTGAATCAGAGCAAACATCAACCAGTTTTTCCACAGATTGACATTTGTTCCAATTCAGCGCTAAAGAGCAGGCTTTCCTGGAGAAAGTGGTGGGGCAAGTGGAAAGCCACTTGGACCCATGCTTTCTAGGCAAGGGGACGAGTGCAAGTGTGGACAAGCCCTAAGAAACAAGGAAAAAACCCACTGACAAAGGCATTTGTGGGTGAAGTCTTTGGGCATATTGTAAAAATAAAATAAGTCATCCTTCTTCGCATCTGTGAGATAGATGGATATAAAACTATTATTGTGTGTTTCCATATTTTAGTGTTTTTCTGTTTATTAGTAGACATGTGAAACACCCCTCCCCGCACAGGAAAAGAAAAGCTAGCTGCAATGTTTCAAAAGTTTCCGTCTGTCAATGGCTACCAAGATAATCACTGTAGGACAACAGCTTGGAATCCCATGGAAGCCCCTCTCATTATATTGCGTGGAATTGGCACAGGAGGTCCTGGTGAAAGAGTGTAATAAGATTGGGCTTTTGCGGCACTTGCAGTCTATAAATGCAACCATTTCCCACAAGCTAATTCCACTTTCAGCTGTTAAACCAGAGCTTTCACATGCCCCCAGCACAGAAACTGCAGAGACCCTGAAGTTCCCAGGTAGCTTCTGTACCTTCATCTACTACAGAATGTCTGCATTGCCTCTTTTGGGTATGGATCTAATTTCTCTCTTCTCTCCCTTCTAGGCTGTGCAGCACTGCCAGGATCACGTGTGGCTGTAGCCAAAGAACGGGGAGCCAGGAGCATACAGCGAATAGGGGAGGGTTACACAGCCTTGCCCCACGAACCACTTGCTTGGATTCTTCCTGATGACTGATCATTGTGGCAGGGGATGAGGGAAACCATGAAGCTCTCATACTCTCAACTATTACAGTTATGCCTCATCCCCCAATTTGCGTTTGATTTTATTTATAAAAATATTTATAGGCTCATAGCAGGGCAGCATAGAGCAAAATTTACAAGAGAAAGAAAATACTGTTAAAACCATTCCAAATGATCATGAAAAAGGCAGGTGTATCTGAAAAACTTAAACTGATGAACAGGCCTGTTGACATTTTAAAAAGTCTTCAAGAGACTCCAGGAGGCAAGGATACCCACCTAATTTCTGTTGGAAGACTCTTCCGCAGCATGGGTCTGATGACACTAAATGCCCAGCTTCTAGTTGAGACCTGCTGGGCCTCTGTGACACAGGGGACAACTAACAGTGTTCCTCTGGATGACCTCAGTGACTGAGCTGGGATATAAGGGCTCAGTCAATCCTTAAGGTATCCTGGACTCAAGGTATTCAAGGATTTGTATATTAATGCAGGAACCTTGATACTTGACCCAGCAGATGAGCAGCCGTGTAGATGTTTTAACAGAGGTGTTATATGCTGGCAGCCATTTGCCTCCATTGGTAGTCTAGCCATTGCATTCTACACCAGCTGGAGATTTGGGATCGAGCCCAAGGGCAGCCCCGCATGCAGTGCATTGCAATAATTCAGTCCTGAGGTCACTAATGCATGGAATGCAGAGGCCAGGCTACCCCAGTTCAGAAATAGCCCAAGTTGGCAAAAGTTGCTCCTAGGCACAGGGGTCACTTGGGCCTCCAATGACATGGATGTAATCCAGGAGTACCACCCCAACCCACGGACCGGCAACCCTCACCAGAACAGACACATGAACCTCCTACCCAAAGAGCCTCCATCTTCCCTGGATCCAAACAGTTTATTGGCTCTCATTCAGTCCACCACTGCATTCAGTCATGGGTCCAGGACTTCCACAGCCTCTCCCGATTCAGATATTATGAAAGATATATCCCACCCTACCTCCCAAAAAAAGCTCCAAAAGTCCTGCTCTCAATAGATCTACAGTGGTGCCTCGCAAGACGAAATTAATTCGTTCCGCGATTTTTTTCGTCTTGCGATTTTTTTCGTCTTGCGAAGCACGGTGTCGGGAAAGTTTTGGAAAAGCTTCAAAAATCACCAAAGTCTTTAAAAACCTCAAAAAAGGCTACCACACCGCGTTCTATGAGTTGCTCCTCGAAGTCAATTCAATACTGTATTAACGGTGTTAAGTAAAAGGAAACAAACTTGCAAGACGTTTCCGTCTTGCGAAGCAAGCCCATAGGGAAAATCGTCTTGCGAAGCAGCTCAAGAAACAAAAAACCCTTTCGTCTAGCGAGTTTTTTGTCTTGCGAGGCATTCGTCTTGCGAGGTACCACTGTATGTAGATATTAAATAACATTGGGGACCAATGTGGAACTCTACAGCACAAGTGCCAGGGAGCCGAACCCCCCTCCCCATATTACTCTCAGGATTCAAGCCACACAGGTAGGAACAAAGCCACTGTAAAAGTGCCTTCAATATCCATCCTGAGCAGTTGGTCCAGGAGGATACTATGGTCAAACTCTTGGTCTAATTTCATACGTGTCTGAGCATGAAGCTGTTGCAGCAAAGGGAACCAGAAGACCATGCTCCAGTTTTCAAGCATCATCAATTCAAACATTTGTTGTTAGCAATACCTCAGTGAGACACAAGTTCTGAGATGCTACTTGACGGTTAGAACTCTTGTATGAAAGTTGTAACTATTAGCAAAATCAGTGTCCAAGTGAAGTGCTACTTTCCAACTCAGGTGGCTGAACTGTGGCCTGCAGGCCATAAGCGGCCACCAAAGGGATTTCCGGTGGTCCTCCAAGTGGAAGTGGCACCTGACTGGGATGGTGGTGAAGGCAGAGTGTTCATTCTCCACCTGCCATCATAATCCTGCTTCACTACATTAAGGGGAAGCTATTGTGGCAAAGGAGGGAAGGGGTGGAAATTAATAACAACTACAGAGAGTGGACATGGCCTAGGGATGTCATTGATGCAAATGAAGTTAATAAGAGGACATGGCCCCTTTCACTCACTTTAGCCATCACTGCACTTGCTCATCACGTGACCATTTCTGCTGAATGCTAGTCCAGTTTTCAGCAAAAGAGTTTGCTCTGGAGAAAAGACATACCATATTAGAAAACCAAGTATACACATTTAATGCACACAGGACTCAGAAGTAGTAGCCTTGAACAAAACACAAGGGAAAGGCCTTCTCCTGTCGCCCCCTGAAATTGATTTCAGCACTAGGTAGACTTGCTGGACAATGAAATGGGATGCAGAGTTAGCTGTGCCCAAAGAAGTCGAGAAAATACACTCTTGCCCTGTCTTCTTGCTTGTTCTTCTCCAATGAAAACATAGCCAGGACTGAGCTGCCAAGTGGCACCAAGGAGTCCATTCCCTGCTGGGCTGCTTAATGAACAGAGCCAGGAACAGGAAGAGAGAGGCTTCTAAAAGACAACACCAGCTTGACTGACCGAACACCAAACACCAGTCTCCATTTCACAGTAGAGGTGATGCTGTGATTGCATCTGCATCCTTCTGGCGCTCTCCGTTTCCCTTTTCAAGCCCCTTGCTGGTTGGTCTCCTCTTTGCTATCTCGTCTTTTCCAGATCTACAGAATCGAAACGCATTGTAAGCAGAGATTGCATGCAACCAAACTTTGTTGTCTACTTCAGCTGCCTGTGCAACTGCACTCAGGTTTCTTCTTATGCCACCGAAAGGAATTACTCCTGTTAGAGCCAGACTGATTCCAGCCCACTTGTTTAGGTTTTATGCTTTACCCCCAACAGCAAAATCCGCAAAGCTTGCACACAGAGGGAGATGTCACCAGCAGGCACCTCATTGCTGCTTGTCTTGGGACCCTGCAGGGCCTTTTTGTGCTCTTGAGGGCTCCCTGGGACCTCACGGTGGCAAAAGGCACAGCAGGCGGTTTCCATGGGATTTCACTACCTAGCAAAACTAGAGCTCCCTTCAAAACCCCACCATCACCATCACCAAAACCCAGTACTAACCTGAATGTAAGCCTCAGAGAGGGTGATCATCTGGGGAAGAATGTCTGTCACCTGCAAATCTTGCAGCTCATACCACTTGCCTGTGCCCTGCAACACCAGGAAAGGAAAGCCACATCAGGAGATAGGCTAGCAAGGAGAACAACATGGCAAAAGAGTTTGCTGCTGGAACTCAGACCAAGTTAAAGCTGCATTTTGAATGCCACTTTCAAAATCTCAGGAATCAACAAGACCAAGTCTGAGCTAAGACTCACGTGGTGCAATACATGGTGCAATGGACCCAAGACTCACATGGTGCAATACATGTATCCGGTAGGCCCCTTCTGTTGGTTTCCCATCATGCACGATGTTTGCGATGAGATCATAGGTTGTGTTCTTATGTACAGCCTGCACTTCCTCAGACAGGTATTCCCGGAGATCTACATTCCTATAGCAGGAAGGGAGGCAAGTGAGAAACTGTAAGATACAGGAGTGCCTGCAGCCTCCCTTTTGAAAGGCAGAGGCCCATACAGTTCAGAAAGTTGCCTGCCAGCCTTGAATGGTCATCCCAACATGCTCAGCCCAGAAATCCTGCTTGCTGGGCTCGAGTGGTGGTGGTGGGGCAGCCACCACTTGAGCTGCTGCAGTGCATCCTGCAAAAGTCACACTTGCATGGGAGAAGCCCTCTGGAAGGGGGCTGTTGACAGCTACACACTTTGACTAGTAAGCAAGCCAAAATGTGTGGACCCCTGCCAAATAGAGCGCCTTCTGCTTCAGGTCTGATAGCCTGGTTCAAGGTTTGCAACATCCAAGGGTTAGTAACAAATAAATAGGTTTGTATGCTGAAAGAAACAGGAAACAGAGAGAAGGTACGACCTCCTTTACTTGACAGTTTCAAGAGCCAGTGTCCAATTATTTGAATGCCAGCATGGGATGGGTCACAATTGTGAGAACCAGGAGACTAACAAAAGTGAAATGCGGGAAAGGCTCACTCCTGCTGAGACCCTGCTCAGAATGCTGTAGGCGATACTCAGAAGTGTACAGTAAGAGGCAAAGTCTGTGCCACGAGCTACGTACAATCACATATAGAGCCATTGCCATAAACTAGTTTTAAAGAAGGGGCTAAGAGGGTGATATACAGGCTGCTCTCTCCCACCCCAAAGTGGGCTGCCAGCGAGTGGTTTCCACTGTCACTACTTTCAGCAAATGGCTCTCTGGCCTTTGAAGTAATAGGCAGCTGCAGAAAGGAGAGAAACAAGCTATTAACTTGGTGGTAGTAATGGTGGTTCCTGACAGTAATGCCCCCCATTGCCACTGCACTGAGAACGTCAGTGCCCCTGCCAAACAGCTTGATGAAAAGCAGCTTGATGAAAAGTGGTGTGCAAATACTTGAAATAAAAATGGAAATTAAAATTCTTGGCATCCCCAGGTATTATTATTTATTTAGAGCATTAGTACCTCGCTCTTCATCCCCAAAGGCTCCCAGAACAGCTTACATACAATCAAAATAAGACAGTCCCTGTCCACAGGCTTACAATCTAAAAAACATGACATACATGGCCAGCTGCTGGCACAGTTCAGGGGCAGAAGGTGCTTGATGGAGGCGACCTCTCACACCAGAGCCAATGGAGTGAGCCCTGCTTTGCACTCAGGGGGAGGAAAGACTGCTGGGGGAAACTCTGGAGAGTCCTAGCCAGTCAGTGTGGACAATACCAAAGTAGATTGACTAATGGTCTGCCTCAATATAGAGGCCTTCCGCAATTTGATGCTGTCAGGTGTTTTCAACTACAAATCTCATCAGCCCCAGCAAGAAAGGCCATATAATGCTGGAGCTGATGATAGTTGTAGTCCAAAACACTAAGAGCACCAGGCTGGGTTAGTTTGGTATAAAGCAGGGGTAGGCAACCTAAGGCCCGGGGGCTGGATGTGGCCCAATCGCCTGCTCAATCCAGCCCAAGGACGGTCCAGGAATCAGTGTGTTTTTACATTAGTAGAATGTGTGCTTTTATTTAAAATGCATCTCTGGGGTTTTGTGGGGCATAGGAATTCGTTCATTTTTTTCTTCAAAATATAGTCCTGCCCACCCAATGTTTTGAGGGACGGTGGACTGGCCCACAACTGAAAAAGGTTGCTGACCCCTGGTATAAAGCAACACAATGGCAACTGGTCATTTTAAGAACTCTAAGAAAAAGTGCCTGGGTTTTCTTTTTCCCTTCTAAACCATTTTCCTTTCTGTGTTTTGTCTTTCGGATTTTAAGTCTGAGAGCAGGGACTGACTCAACACTGATATCTGCAGGCAGCTCTGGGAGCCTTTGCATCAGACAGCGCCTCAAGTTCATGAAGACAAACCAGGACACAGGTCACGGCCGCATCCCATAGAGAAAGGCAGCACCTACGTGATGGGGAAGTTGACAATGGTGGGGTTCTTCTCCACAAAGAAATTGTTTTTGGTGAACCTCTTGATGCAGAAGATGAGGTAAGGAGGCAACTTGGTGAGCTGGAAACGCTTTAGGAAGTTCTCCTTATAGGTTTTATATTCCTGAAGGAGAGAAAAACAATGCTTGGAAACATACTTTTCTCAGGGAATCTTGCACTGTGCTGAACTCTGCAACTTTGGGATCTCTTTTCAACTAGCATGATTGCCCTGCATCTACCCAAAGCACCACTTTTAAGTCAGAGAAAAGTAAACCATGTTTAGGCACAGAACTAGAACACTGGGCTTCCCTTGATATTCTCTTGAATCTCAAGAGTACTCTCACCAAAAACTTCAACATTCCCTTTTTGTGGGATCTTTCTTGGGATTGTTCTAATAAAAGTCAGCTTGTTCCTCCCTTCTGCACCCCAGTGCCCTTTGTTTCCCTTGTTATTTTATTGATTGCATTTACATCCTACACAGTCTCGTGTTCCCCCTTTCAAGCCACGTTTTTCTCCACTGATTAATGAGAGTGTCACGATACCAACATTTGGAAGGTGTGATGCCTGAAGTCAGCACCACGGACCTCTCAATCTGGATTGTGGCTTCCAGCTCCAATCCTCCTTGGTGGGGGATGTGGGTGTGGAAGCAGAGAGGGGGGAATGTATAGTTACCTTCTCTGTAATTCCGTTGAACTTGGCCAGGATGTTGAAAAGCGGTACTTGGGGAATGATGAGTTGCTCCTTCTCATCCTTGTACAGGGGAGCCGTGGGGAGGTCCAGGGTTAGATACATGAAAGTGGATTCCACCATTTTCTCCTGGTATTCGTCATTCTGGAGCAGCTGCTCCTTCTCCTCTGCTGGCTGAGAGAGGGAGACACAGAGAATGAGAAAAACAAAGCAGGTAGTGCAGGAGAAAAAGACTTGTGGCAGACACAGCTGAATGCAAGGCTCCAGTAAGAAAAGTGTGAGGAACCTTCAGGCCACCAGACTTTGATATATACAGAAGTGTTTACTGACTGCCTACACTGGTGTTTCCCAAAGCTTTTCAGGACCCCACCCCCTTAGTTCCATAAACTCATCCCCTAGCGTACCCTATCCTATTAAAAGCATTATTCAGAATAGTAGTTTGCACAACCCACTACGAAAGATTGTAAGACAATTCAAAACAGTGGCAACTAATTGCACATTTATTAAAAATTTAGTTAAACCTATTTAATTTAATCAACTCAACAAAACTGATGACCTTGATCCAGTGATACCAGCTATTCAAAGTCTGATAGCCATCTATACCTCCAGCACCTCCATGTAGCCTCATTATTTATTCTTCATTAGATTTGTATACCCGTAAAAATCAGGGCAGTTCACATAACATTACAATATAAGCACAAAATACATAATAAAAACAAAAACAAACTGATAATGCCCCCTTCCACAACACATTTAAAAGGGATGTCAATCAGCCTGGGTAAAGAGGAACCTGTATGCCTGGTGCCTAAAGGTATATAATGAAGGTGCCTCCCTAGGGAGGCCTGGGGAGAGCATTCCACAAGCAGGGAGCCACTGCAGAAAAGGCCCAGATCTCTGTGTCCAGGTAGGCTCAAATGGAGATCCTTGAGGTCCTGCGGTCTTGAGACATTTCAGGCTCTTACCATCCCCCTGGTAACCCCCCTCCCCCCAGAGGATGGTAATGTCCACTTCGGAACCCACTGATCTACATGGTCAAACACAGACTTAGGACTGCTTGTGGGTGTCCAGTGTCACTAATTAAACTCTACAACACTTTCCTGCAGTGATAGGCTCAACAAGCATTAGCCACCTCTCGCCATCAAGGTTTTCCCGACTCCATGTGCTTTTCCCTTTTGTAATCAAGAATCTAACCCATACAATAAAGAACTTACCAGATCAGGGTGTGGCAATTTCTTGGTGAATATCCGCATGGAGCCCTGGAAAACGTCTGTCACAATGGCTACAGACATAAAGAACCAAGTAAAGGAAATTGCTTTTCATCCCTTCTTGCCCAACCTCCTCAAAGTTTGATATATATACTTCTTTGTTATACTAATTATTCTAATAGTTTATGTTCCATTTTCTTCTGTTTGCCATTAGTCACTTTGCAGTTCTCTCAGGAAGGAAAAGGGGGATAAAAGCAATGAATGCAATAAAAAAGACAGTAAAGGTTAATGCCAGCCCTTCCCATTTATCCCAGTTCATTAACTGGCGACCAATGGAACTGGGGTGCAAAATCAGTGTAAACATCTACTTCTTTAAGCTCAGTCCTGAGAATCTGGGAAATGATCATCTGATTTGGAAGATGGTGTGTAGCCTGTTCTGGATTGGAGTTGCACTTGACACCTTGAACAGCAGGCTTCCAATTAGGGAAGGGGTACTGGATCCAGCCATATCACTAGAAGCACATATGGCCTTGGACAAAGGAAGACCCTTCCTCTGGGCTTACGTTCATCAGGTATGGTTTCTACTAGTCAGAGGTAACCTAGCCACAATTACTGCATGATATTGTCCTACTTGGGACTATTGCAAAGCACAGCTTGTTGGACTGCCCTTGAAGACCGTCTGGAAGCTACAGCTAGTACCTGAACTTCTGTACACTGCAGTAACTGAGACAGAGCAGATGCCATGCATCTTGCCAGTCTTCAATCAGCTTCATAGTCTGTTTCTAACCCCAATTCAAGGTGCTGGCTTTAATTTCAAAGCTCTCAATGCTTTAAGACCAGGATACCTCAATAACTTGATCTTTCCATGTAAACTTTCTTTGTAGTAAGACACTCAGGGACCCTTCCACTGGTCCCACCTGTGGTAAGGTGTAAATAGATTGTCCTTTTCGGTTGTTGCACCCACCTCTGGAACTCACTCCCAAGGGAAGCTTACTTGACAGTCCCTTTGCTCAGGTGAATACTTAAAAAATAAAAAAAATCACCCAGGTCGTTTAGTTTTGACTGCCTGATTTCAAATGGCCACCTGTACTACTCCATACATCTTTAATGATGTTGTATCTTTTCCTGCATTTTGAGTGGCTGTACGTATATCTGAAACACAGCACACGGGTTATTGCAGGGGTCTCAACCTCTTTTACTTACTCTTTTTCTTCTTCTTTGTCCCCCCAAGAGCAGAATGCAAGGCATTCAGGAACCAGGATAGAAAGTCAACCCCATCACCTGCAACGAGGGAAAAGGTAGAGATGAAGAGCATGAAAAAGTGACAACTTCTAAAGGTAGTTCGAGGTAGAGCAGGGCTATAAGCCTAGCACACTGCTGGGCACAAGGACTCTCACCTCTTCAGCACCTTCCGTAACCAGATCTTTTGGACTACAACTCCCATCAGCCCCAGCCAGCAAATGGAAGGCACTGAGGCAGGGAAGTCTGCTCTACAGTTAAAAGCCAACCTCCTTCCTATGAGGTGGGCAATCATGAGCTTCAGTCCTAGCAAAAGAAGGGGCCAAGTCCTCCCCCTCTTGTTATTTATTTACACTCCTGCTCTTCTCCAGAGGCATCCAACCATGCAAGAAGAGGAAGGAAATACTGAGTGGGATAGAGAAAGGGCCTGGGGAACAGAGGGGTGAAAAGTAGGTTGACAAAGTGGAGCAACAGTTGAGTTGAGCTGAAGGTGGAAAAGGCAGACAATGGTTTGGAGAAAACCACTAGAGCTATGAACAGAGGTCATAGAAGGAGGGTTCAGAATGTGGGGAGGGCAAATAATGAGAAATGCTTATCAGGTACTGTGCAACTTCCTTGGAGGAAGAGGAAGATGAAATCCATTAAAATAAATAAAACCCTTTAGAGAGTTGCCTGCCACTACAGTGGTACTTCTGGTTAAGAACTTAATTCGTTCTGGAGGTCTGTTCTTAACCTGAGGTACCACTTTAGCTAATGGGGCCTCCCCCTGCCACTGCACCGTGATTTCTGTTCTCATCCTGAAGCAAATTTCTTAACCTGAGGTACTATTTCTGGGTTAGAAGAGTCTGTAACCTGAAGTGTCTGTAACCCGAGGTACTACTGTATTTAAGAGTAGCTACATCTGATAAAGGTGGCCACCGCAGCGTTCCTCTAATCTCTTAGTACCAGCAGAAAACAATAAGCTTCCCCCCCCCCCCATGTCCCACCTTGCTTGGTGATCTGGAAGTTCTTCTTGCTGCAGAGAACCACAGCCTGCAGCATTTCATGGGGAGAGACGTGAGCTTTGAAATTTCGAGGATTCCATAGTTTCCTCATGAGCTCTCCAAACCTCTGAACCAGCAGAAACATGATGTCTCCTGGAGGGCGCTTGATATTCTTGTAGTTCTCCTCTTCCAAAAAATAATTCCGCAGTGGTGGGACATTAGACAGGGCCTAGGCACGGAGAGGTTAAAGATCAGGGACAAAATACTCCACTTATGTCAAAGTACAGCCTCTACCACCACAAAAACTTATCAGGTTAAAAATCTAACATTTTGTAACCCACTCAGTTAATTTAAGATACAATACAAATATCAGAGTGCCATCCCAAGTCCACCATATCACCTTGCTCCATTTAATTTTAATCATTGTGTATTCCAGTCTTCCTATGTATGATGCCCTCAAGATGTCTTGGACAACAACTCCCAACAGCCCCAGCCAGCACTGCTGTATGATGGTGGGCCGAAAGAGTGTCATGCTGACTGGGGATGATACAGGGTTATAGTCCAAAACATCTCAAAGGCTTAGGTTTGGGAAGGCTGGATTATTCCCTTTCACCCATTGTATTATTTTAATGTGTGAATTATAGGAACTCCAACATTAAATTTTGTAATCCTGCCAGGCACCAATCAGAAAATAGTAGCACTAAGTAACTGTTATGAAGGCATGAATGATGATTGCCAGGCACAAACTGAACATGCTCAGCTGGTAGTGAATGAGACTCCTCACCTCAGGGCCATGGGTTTGAGCCCTATGTAGTGCAAAAGATTCCTCATGGTCCCTTCCAACTCTATAATTCTATGCCCAAACCCACCCTGCCCATTATCTTGAATTCAGTGTCTGCATTTGAGCTGGTAGCACCAACAGGTCAGATACAAGCAAATAAGATGTTCAAGTATCTGGAAGAAGATAGTCTGGGTTCACCAGGCTGTTAGACACGTAAACAACCACACAAACCATACTGCATATTCTTTGGCCTCAGCATTTTGTCTCTGACCCAGAGTCAGGTCAACAAGCAAATCCCAGCAATACAATGGAGCAAAATTCCTTTACATGGAGAAGTTTACACTGACGTTATAGTGATGAATTTCCTAGCCACTCAATGCTTCCAAGAAAAAAGGAGAGTTGTGAAAAACGATTCCATTCTCAAAAGAAAACTCGTGGAACTAAAGCAGCTTTTGGAAAACAGAACAGATTTCTGACAGCTGGCTAAGACTACTGTGTGTACTTTCAATACTTAGAATTATAGCCTTGGAAGGGACCCCCTTCCCCGCTGACAAGGCAGAAAACCCAACTATTATAACCTCCCCTAATGTGTGGCCATCAAACCTCCCAAACCTTCAGTGAAGTATCACCCTCTTCTCCATTTCAAAGATGTCACAGTACCTGGAGAATCGCATTCGCGTAATCATTTGCTTTGATGTTGTTCAATCCCACAATGCCCGGCAGATATGTGGTGCCATCATAGGCTCGAGAGAGTTTGGCTTGCTTATCCAAGTTGGAAATGTGTTGCTTGGTGAAGGTGGGCTTCAGGACATACTGGGGGGGGGGGGGGAGAAGATAAACAGGACTGAATAGGCTGCTGAAAATTCCGGCTTGACCTTTATGTAAAGATGAAGGCTTTTTTATAAAAAAGAATTAGTTAAGACTTAGTTCTTACTAGATTAAAACAAAGTCTACAAAAATACGTATCTCTAAAGTTCCATTCCAGACATATGTGAGACATGCTCAGGTAAAGACAACTTTCTGGGGCGCAACAAAAACTGCCTCTGAAACGAGGGTTGGGGGCAGCAGAAAAAGCACACGGAAGCTCAATGTGGCAGAGTCACAATGTCTGGCAAGAGCCTACTGTTTCCACCCCCCACATCCTTCATAGGGAAGACAACATACGGTGATATCCTCAAGTGAAGAGTCAATGATTTCATAGTTGTCTGGCAGACAATAGAACTTCAAGGTGTGAAGGTTGAGGAAGACGTGATGGCTGAACTGTACACTGTGAATGTAAGCATGGGATTTCAAGCCCCGACCTGCAAAGAAGACAGGAGGCAAGCAAGAAACAAACTGTGAATAAGACAGGATTGCAGTATTGGCTTCTAGTAACGGAACTTCCCTGAGCAATCCTAAGAACTACCCATGGATATTTGTTATCTGTATTATACTGTGCTTGTGGTAGTAAAGCCACAGTGATACAATTAGCTGGTGGCAAAGAATGACCAGCTGTTTTGGGAACTAAATAACTTCAAATCCACATGGAAAGTTTTCAGCTTGGTTAGGTTTAAAACCTCCCAAAGGTAGGCTGTGGACTTGAAAGAAGTCCAGATTTAAGGAAATTAATAGTGAGGAGGTTCAAAGGCAAGGAAGATGAAGGAAGAGAGCAGCAAGGATTCAGAAAGCGGAACCAAGCTGGTTGGGAAATGAAGCTTGAGAAAAAGGGCCAAGGCAACAAAGAACTGAGAGATAATGCATCATGTTTAATAGGCTGGAGGACTTTGTGCAAGTGAGGGGAAAAGTGAGCACCAGCGAGCCTGGGCAATGGAAGCGTGGCTGAAGGAAATGGCCCAGGGCAGTCAATGGCCTGGACTGCGATGGATAGTTGAGACAGAGATGAAGAAGTGAAGAGGAAACGAGAAAAGTAGACCTATTTGTAGAGGGGCAGCCAAAGGAGGTTTGGAAGGCTGGGGATTATGCACCAGAGAGGCACAGAGTTGCTAGGACTGACATCTAGACCCAGATGGGACTGTTGCCACCTCTGACTTCCGTTGCCACTGCAGCATTGTGATCAGCCAACTTGAAGGACCAACCAAGGGTAGATTAAAGCCTGCATTTCAAATGCTGATTTCAGCAGATCAATTTATTCCATGACTGCAGGCTTCTAGCAGTATAGTAAAAAGATTATAATAGATCACCATCACCCCAGCTTCATTTGTGAGATCTCTTTGATCATAAGAGCCACATTAGCAGTAACGTCATGCAAGGCATGGATCACAAAGTCTTTATTTCACATTACAACTATTCCTGCTAGTTTGGTCCCAGGTTCATTTGCCACAGAGGTAGTGTAGTCGCACTGAACTGGTATTCTGTCTGTAAAGGAAGCATATAATACCAAAGCATACTTACTTACCCTGAAAATATTTCCCACACACCAAACAAGCATAAACGTTGATATGGGAGAGCGAGATTGAACACAGCTTCTCAAAGTCAAAGTCGAGAACGCTCCTACAGTGGCAGAACATTGGTAAATTAATCCCACCAGACAGATACCCCAATCAAACACTATTCAACTTAATCCAGGAGGAAGCCAGCATGGTCCACATGACACTACACAAAAAAACCTGGACTATAAAGGTACTGCTCAGCTGTAGAGTTTGGAGGTTTTTCTTGTGGACAAAAAGCCACCTTTGCTTTGTATAAACATACAATGCACTAAAGTGTTTCTGTACCATGGTGTACATAACCCATAACAACCTCAATTTAGATCCGATAAGTAAATATTACATATATTTCAGTAAGTCTTGTTTAGTTTACTAATTGTTCCCCATCGTTTGAACATTTAAAGAAATTCTACATCTTTGCTAAAGTTGCAAACTGCCTATTTTAATTTTTCACCACCACCAACATGGTTTTAAATCTCTGCATGTGCATTGCCACAATATATACTGCTCCCTGCTTTGCTTCATCTCGGTACTGACTTGTTTATGGTGTCCAAGTATGGGCAGTGCCTGCTCCGTCGGTCCTCTGGGTCGAATCGACCATATTTCACTGAAAGAGAGGACCAAACAAGAAACATGCTATACTGACATTGTTATAGATATATGTATAGATATAGATACACACACACTTAAATTTAAATGAATATATATATGAGATATGCTGGAGTCTTTAGCATGAAAGAATAAAAAGCATACAGAAGTAGTTTTAAAATATGCAGTAATTTGAACTACTGTAAATTGAACTTGTCCTTGGCCAAATAATTATTTGTATTGATTAGCTTCCTTGGTTACTCTTTTCAGCAGCAAAGTGACACAGAAGAAGCTAATAGCAGAATAAAAACACACCACAGCAACAGACAACCAGTGTATTAGAATCCCCTGTGCAAATTTATCTAAGATAGCACAAAAGGGGCTTTAGACCTTTATTCATGCAATTTAACCCCTTACAGTGGGATAAAGATGCACTTTCAATAATTGTCAATAAGCATCCTAATACTGAATACATGATCACAGTAGTGTGTGTTTAAGACAGCAACTATCTAAGAATGAAAGCATCAACCACTTCAATTGTTGTCATTAACCCTGTGCCAAGTATTGATCATTAGCTTGGCTTTAACCAGATGAAGAGCCTGACATACAGGTGAAACTTGAAGAATTAGAATATTGTGGAAAAGTTCATTTATTTCAGTAATTCAACTTAAAGGGGAAACTAATATATGAGATAGACTCATGACATGCAAAGCGAGAGATGTCAAGCCTTTATTTGTTATAATTGTGATGATTATGGTGTACAGCTGATGAAAACCCCAAATTAACAATCTCACAAAATTAGAATATTAAATGAAATCAGCAAAACAAGGATTGCATATAGAGCAATATTGGACCTCTGAGAAGTAGAAGCATGCATATGTGCTCAGTACTTGGTTTGGGCCCCTTTTGCATCAATTACTGCCTCAATGCGGCGTGGCATGGATGCTCTCAGCCTGTGGCACTGCTGAGATGTTATGGAAGACCAGGAAGCTTCAATAGCAGCCTTCAGCTCTTCTGCATTGCTCGGTCTCATGTCTCTCATCTTGCACTTGGCAACGCCCCATAGATTCTCTATGGGGTTCAGGTCAGGCGAGTTTGCTGGCCATTCAAGCACAGCAATCCCATGGGCATTGAACCAGGTTTTGGTACTTTGGGCAGTGTGGGCAGGTGCCAAGTCCTGCTGGAAAATGAAGTCAGCATCCCCATAAAGCTCATCTGCGGAAGGAAGCATGAAGTGCTCCAAAATCTCCTGGTATACGGCTGCGTTGACCCTGGACTTAATGAAGCACAGTGGACCAATACCAGCTGATGACATGGCTCCCCAAATCAACACAGACTGTGGGAACTTCACACTGGACTTCAAGCATCTAACATTGTGTGCCTCCCCATTCTTCCTCCAGACTCTGGGTCCTTGGTTTCCAAATGAGATGCAAAAGTTGCTCTCATCAGAAAAGAGGACTTGGGACCACTGAGCAACAGACCAGTTCTTTTTAACTTTAGCCCAGGTAAGACGCTTCTGACGTTGTTTCTTGTTCAGGAGCGGCTTGACAAGAGGAATATGACATTTGAAGCCCATCTCCAGGATCCATCTGTGTGTGGTGGCTCTTGGTGCACTAACTCCAGCCTCAGCCCACTCCTTGTGAAAGTCCCCAACATGTTTGAATACTCTTTTCCTGTCAATCCTCTCCAGGCCGCGGTCATCCCTGCTGCTTGTGCACCTTTTTCTTCCACACTTTTCCCTTCCGCGTAACTTTCCATTAATGTGCTTTGATACAGCACCGTGGGAACATCCAACCTCTTCTGCAATTATCCTTTGAGGCTTTCCCTCCTTATGGAGGGTCTCAATGATGGCTTTCTGCACAACTGTCAGGTCAGCAGCCTTCCCCATGATTGTGCTTCCGAATGAACCCATTGCAGGTGTTATGGATTGAATAGCTACTGCACCTTTTCACAATATTCTAATTTTATGGGATTGTTAATTTGGGGTTTTCATCAGCTGTACACCATAATCATCACAATTATAACAAATAAAGGCTTGACATCTCTTGCTTTGCATGTCATGAGTCTATCTCATATATTAGTTTCACCTTTTAAGTTGAATTACTGAAATAAATGAACTTTTCCACGATATTCTAATTTTTCGACTTTCACTTAAAGATTCTATCTGTCCACGCTACTAATAAAGAGTTGTGTAGAATTCAAAAGCATGCATAGTGTTTCATCAACTGGGACTCTTGACAAGCTAAATAATTTAAAAACAAAATACAAACTAACTCCACACAGGGGTCACATAAAGGAGTAATGGCAGCAAAACAACTCATATGGACTAAGTGGCAACTTATGAAATACCCAAAGACTTGATATTTACAGACATGGCATCAGCATGGACTGACATTTTTAATTTATGAGCCGTTTACAAACTCTATTGTATTGAGCCACACAGTCAGCCAGAACGATGTGCAACTACTGTACTACTGCTTCTGTTTTACCAATAGAGTGGCTAGGTTGCAGGGAGAGATCATAACTCAGAGACAATTCGATCTCTACCTAATCTGGAAAAGACCCCTGCGTGGAACCCTGGAGAGCTGCTAGATTCCTTCTAGGCCAGCGCACTATTTCCAGCTGCAGCTGGACAACCAAAAAGGCAGCTCACAAGCAGAGCGAAAATGCCTTCTGCCCTTAAACGTCCACTACTCTGAAGTAAAGCGCATCTGTGCAGCGAGGCTCCAGATACCAGCAAGTGGTATCGGAAGCTGTCTCACACCCAGGCTACTTGCCCATCCACCTCTTCTCTGCTCAGACTGGCAGTAGCTCTCTAGAAGCAGCTCCCCCTTTCCTCCGCCAAACCCTTTAAACTGGGGGGTCGAGCATGGGGCGTTCTGCAGGCAAAGCAGCAGCTCTACGGCCACCGGCGCACATCATGTGGCAGTGAGTTCCACAGGTTGGCGCGCGTTGATTGATGGACGGGCGGCTCCCCCCCCCCCGCACCCACCGGTGGGCTCGTCGTCGTCGTCCTCCTCGTCGAGGGGCTCCTGCTTGACCCGGGGCTCCTCGTCGGCGGGCTCCCGCTTGACCCGCAGGCCCCGAGGCGCGCCGCCCTCCCCGCCCAGCTCCTGCGGGCCGCGGCTGGACAGCGAGCTCCGCACCGACGGCGGGCGGGAATCCCGCTCCCGCTTCACCCGCCCGGACATCGCCGCGGAAGCGCCACCTTCGCAGGCGCACGCGCAGAGGAGCCTCCGGCGCGCCGTTGTTGCCGTCACGTGGAGGGTAACGGTCGCGTCTACGTCTTACGTGAGTCACTTAAGAGAGCGTCCGCAACGCGCGTCGCCCTTCATTTGCGCATGCGCATTCATTTGCCCTTTCCTGTAGCTTCTGTCGAGCTGCTGCGCAGGCGCATCGGAAGCGCGTTTGCTCAGGCTTGAGTCAGCCTTGCTCCGGAGTGCGATGGGCGCCTACATCTGCTGTTGCAGAAGGCCAGCAGCAATTTGCAGTGCATCGTGGGCTGCATTACCCGGTGCTTTTTCTTTCTTTCTTATTTATTTATTTTATTCATTAAAATATTTTATTTTTTGCTCAACAAAGCATTTAATATTCATAATATTTATGAATATTCCTAATATTTATGAGTATTTAAAAAAAGATATCCAAGCGGTGGCCTTTCCCCAGCTGGTGCCCCGCAGAAGTTTTCGACGGAGGCTGGCTGCCTCAGACAAGTGGCCAGGAGCACAGCCTCTGAGAATTCGCCTTGTTACGGTAAAATCTGGGTGCGGGGCTACTCTGCCACCCAGCTCGTCGGACTAAGTCCGCGGGTCCCTGCGGAAGAAAATGAGCTCAGCCGGAGACTGGAGCAAACTGCAGAAGATCCAAGTTTATTGCGCAACAGGTTCAAGACGAGATTGAACCCCGAGAAAGGGGTGACATGAGTTTTTGAAACTTCCCTCCATGTCCCAGAATACAGTGCAAAATACATCATAGTTACATCATGAATACATTAGAGAGAGGTTGGGTTACACAGATTACATCATGAATATTTTAAGGAGAGGTTGGGTTACACAGATTAACATATGGAGGAGGGAGGGGGAATATGCAGAGCTGGAGATATGCGCTGATAAGCGCTTCCTGAGTACCGGTGATGAGAAGACAATAGTCCAAGTATGTAAAGTCTGCCACCTGGAAACGATGCCTTATGAGGAACGGCTAAGGGAGCTGGGCATGTTTAGCCTGGAGAAGAGGAGGTTAAGGGGTGATATGATAGCCATGTTCAACTATATAAAAGGATGTCACATAGAGGAGGGAGAAAGGTTGTTTTCTGCTGCTCCAGAGAAGCGGACACGGAGCAATGGATCCAAACTACAAGAAAGAAGATTCCACCTAAACATTAGGAAGAACTTCCTGACAGTAAGAGCTGTTCAACAGTGGAATTTGCTGCCAAGGAGTGTGGTGGAGTCTCCTTCTTTGGAGGTCTTTAAGCAGAGGCTTGACAACCATATGTCAGGAGTGCTCTGATGGTGTTTCCTGCTTGGCAGGGGGTTGGACTCGATGGCCCTTGTGGTCTCTTCCAACTCTATGATTCTATGATTCTATGACCTGGCATTGCCCGGAGGAAAGGTTGGGCAGAGTGATTTGACTGGATTAGGGTCTTCCTGAGTATGTGACTCCTCGCTCAAGGGATTATGGAGGCAGAGGAGGTGTCATGGAGTCCTGAAGAAACTGAGTCGATCGACACCAAAACCAAGGAAATCGGAGCTGCGGTTGATTTTATACGAATTTTAGAAGTTTTTAGTCCGTTTCAGTCCATTCTTATATTGATAATTGAAGTAGGAAACAAAATAGATACATTGTTGCAAGATTTGACACTTTCATGGGTTCACGAGTTTCAGTTCCATTGTTCTCCCAGCGGGGAGCCGTCAGCAGCTTGTCAAGAGGTTAAATAAGGCGTGCAGGGGCTCGCTGAGCTAGCTCTGCAAGGCGAATGCATGGTTCTGATTGGATAGAACACAGCCATTGAAACGAATGGGGGATAGAGTTTGATACGGTCTACCCACGATAAAGATGGAGCGAGAGAGAGGCTTACGAGAAAGAGGCTTAAGAGTTTGGGCTTATTTCGCCCGTGTGGAAAAAGGGAAAGGCACTTTAATTTTGGGGCTTGGATAGGGTGTGGTGCTTGTGCAACGGTGTGGGGGCTGAGGGGTGAGTGTAGGGCTGGGTGCCCTGTGAGGTCATCGCCTCGGACCCTCGGGTGACTGGCGGAAGGGTGAAGGAAGGCACCCCCCCCTTCCGTATCAGCCTGCTCGTCTTTCAAAGCTGCATCTGATGGGAGTCTAGCAAAAGCGGAGGGCTAACGCTGTCATAATAAATTAAGACTTGCAGGCGTTGCATGAAAGGCCCTTTGATGCTTTGGCTTGCAAGGCACAGCTAATGGCTACAGCGACGGAACAGGAGCTCTCGGCGCTGCAACATTTTGCTGCGCTTGCACTAGTCTAGATGTCAGCCGCTTTTGTTCCAGTTGCAGCGCCTGGCGCTTTTTAGCAGTGGCTCCCAAACTATTTTTGGGCCACCGTCCTCAACCCTTGACTCTCTCAACTCCCCGCCCAGGGCCTTACCCTGTAAAAAGCATCTTTTAGAATAGCGGTTTCCTTGCACGACCCCCTAAGGAAGATAACAGCGTGACAAAACTCAAAAACAGTCGCAATTAATTGCACACATTTCTTCAATAGCCAATAAAATTATTTCGTTTAATTTGACAAAAGTGATGAACTCGATCCAGGGCTACCAGCTTTTCACAGCCTGACAGTCGTTTATACCTCCAGCGTCCCTTTGCCCCTTAGCGCTACCCCCAGGGGCGTATCCAGGATTTGGGGGGGGCGCAAGCTTTTTGTTGTGGGGGGGGCCAGAACCTCAGCTATGCATTTTTATGGATTTAGGGGGGGGGCAGCTAAATTTGCTACGCCTATGTCCCTCTCTAGGTAAACCCACCACCCGCTTTGACACCACTGCTTTAGAGGAGGCGGGAGAGGATGCGAAGTGTGGTGGGAAGTTTCAAATAAACATGTAAATATTTCGGTGTAGTGTATAGTAAGTATCAATTATTATTATTAATATTATTATTATTTGCACAATATGTATAGATATCTTTTGAAAATGGGAGCAAGAGCATCAAGTGGATACTTTTGTCAATCAAGCGGCGCTAGCTGTTGTATCCAATGTATTTCTTGTTGTTGTTTAGCCGTTTAGTCGTGTCCGACTCTTCGTGACCCCCTAGACCAGAGCACACCAGGCACTCCTGTCTTCCACTGCCTCCCACAGTTTGGTCAAACTCATGCTGGTAGCTTCGAGAACACTGTCCCACCATCTCGTCCTCTGTCGTCCCCTTCTCCTTGTGCCCTCCATCTTTCCCAACATCAGGGTCTTTTCCAGGGAGTCTTCTCTTCTCATGAGGTGGCCAAATTCTTGGAGCCTCAGCTTCAGGATCTGTCCTTCCAGTGAGCACTCAGGGCTGATTTCCTTAAGAATGGAGAGGTTTGATTTTCTTGCAGTCCATGGGACTCTCAAGAGTCTCCTCCAGCACCAGAATTCAAAAGCATCAATTCTTCGGCGATCAGCCTTCTTTATGGTCCAGCTCTCACTTCCATACATCACTACTGGGAAAACCAGAGCTTTTACTATACGGACCTTTGTTGACTTTATAAGATGCTGTATTTCTTACCCCTAAGAAAATTCGCTGTGCTGCAAGAAGCAACTTTCTGTTCTGAAAGTGCGGGCCAGAGGGGAAAAGTTCGCGACCCGCCGGCTTCGCGGCTGCTGGAGGCGGGTCCCTGCCCCGAGGGCCTGGCAAGCGGGGCTTCTGGGCTCGCCCGGGGGCTCCTGGCTCGGCTCGGGGGCTCCTCCCACCCCGCTCCCGCCGCCCGCGCCAACCAGCGGAGAAGGCGGCGCCGGGCCTGGCGGAGGCCTTCCTCGGGGCCTGGCGGCGCGGCGGAGGCTTCCGGAGGCCGAGAGGGAGGCGGGCCGGCTTCGATGGACGCGGCGGGGACGCGGGCGGCGCGGGAGAGCCCGGCCTGGGGCAGCTGCCGGCCGGGAGGGCGCCTGGACATGAGCCACGGCTTCGTGCGGCACATCCGGCGCAACCAGATCGCCAGGTACCGGCGCGGGAGCTCCTGGGCCGAGTGGGGAGCCGAGCCGAGGCCCGCCCCACTTCCAGGGGGGCTTTGCTGCTGCTCCCGCCGGCCGGCCGGCCGCCCTCCCTTCTTTGGGGGCCAAGGAACGGCAGCAGCAGCAGCAGGAAAGCGATGGCTCGGAGACCTCGCTTGGGAGGCCCGTCTTGTTTGAATGCTCAGCCCAACCCCGTAAAGTAGGCCATTGTGGCTGGGAGGAGTTGTTTGGGTGAGTTCATGGCAAAGAAGGAGATTCGGGTTCAGTCTCCGGGTCTTACTCGCAGGTATGTGGGGTACGATGAGGACCACACCTTTCTTCGGATGTGCTGCATCTCCCTTCTTTTTATTGTTAACTATTGCAATGTGCGAGAAATAACACCAGCTTGAATAATTCCATTTTTGGTGATCATTGCGTTTTCCAGGTGGTATTTCAGTAACTTATGCCAGCCCTGTTAGGTTAGGTCAGTATTTTCTCAAAATCAAAGTGAGATATTATGTTGATTTCTCTAGGTATGTATGGAATATAAGTCATTGGTCTTCTTTTGCAGTTTTTGCTGTTGCTAAAACAATGGAACTGTCTGCATACAAAAAGCACGACTGAAATCCAGTCCAATACTATCACCGCAATCCTACTTAGAAATCTTACTTAGAAATCCGAGGGAATAAGGCAGCAAGCCTGCTCCCACTTACCTGGGAGTAAACCCCATTGAATTGCGTAGTACTTGCTTCTGAGTAGACATGGTAAGGATTGTGTTGCAAGTCCTGTGGAATGCAGTGGGCTTTACTACTAACATGCAGAGAATTAAACAGCTATTAAATAGTAAAAACAAAAATGTAGGTTTCATTTCTGAAAACATTTATCTGAGACTCTGAGTAAGTTTATTGAAATCACTTGGATTGGTCTCTGAACATGTGTCCTATAGGGTTCTTTTGGGTGTTTATAGCCAGTGGAGGGAAAGATGGTGCTCATCTTGCAAAACCTTAAATAATCAATTATTGTAATAATAAAATGTATCAATTGACAAGCTAATTCCTTTTATAACTGTTTGCAGGATTGCGCTCAAAGGGAACAAAGTTTTGGCCAAACTTGGGTTGGGTATAAATGAAGCTGACATTTTTAGCAATAAAAATATTAAATGAAATTGTTTTAAAGGATTTATTGGTGAGGAGACAGGACTATTTGACAGGTCTGGAGTACCACATGAGATTTCTTCCCAGCAATTGTGCATTTCTTCAACCCTCGAAAGTGTCCTATGAAAAGACTGTGTTGTCTTCCCACTTGCTCTCCAGGGACGACTATGATAAGGAGATGAAGGAAGCTAAGGAAAAGGTAAAGAAGAGGCATACACCAGCCCCAGCCAGGCCCAAGAAACCAGATCAGCAGGTCTATCACCCCTGCCGGAGAAGTGAGTTAACTATCAAATATCCATCTTCCCATGTTTCTGTTGTTGTAACAATTACTCTGGCAAAGGGAGATGTCAGGACTCCATACTCCGTGCTTCAAAGAACACGGCCCTTTGAAGGTTCTGCTGAAGCTTTTATTGGCATAGATAGGATGGGGCCAAGATGTGAATACCTTTTCCTGGGACCACATTTTATATGTGCCTCCCTTGCCATTTCCTCTTTTCTTTTCAGGTAGAGCTGAAACCATATCTGGCCTGGAGTATGAGGGATCCAGTGAAAGCAGCTCCAGTACAGAACCAGACCAGCTCTCTTCTGGACCAGCTCTCTTCTGCCTGGAATACGAGGCTGACAGTGGAAAGATCACTTCCATTGTTGTACACCAGGTATGTGACTGGGTGACATGCTGGGGCAAACTTGGGTTTCCTTTTGCATTGCTATCATGTCTGCTGCCTGGCCTCTTCCTCCAGATCCATAGTCCTTTGTTCTTTATCTTAATAATTTCATTGCATGTTTACTGCTAAAACACAAAATAAAATGAAAGAAAGAGTAAGCTGAAGGATTGCCCTATCTGGAAAAAAAATGAAATTACTGTTTAAAGGATGGGTCTCAGTAATGGAGGAAATGGGAAGTTACTAATTTAAAGGTTGATTCCAGTAACACTGAGAGAAGTAGGACCCATTTTAAATGGTACTGCATGGAAAGACTTTTGCTAATTGAAAGCTACAGTCAAGCACACTTTCAAGGACCAAAAGGGACTTGCTTCTGAGCCTAAATATATACATCTTAAGATCTTGGTTTTGAGATTGTGGGATTTTTGTGCGGAATATAGTTATATATTAACTGCTGTGTAGAACCATCATTTTATTCTTCTTTTCTTAAATGAAAATAAAAAATATAACTTAAGTAACACAAGTTCAGTAAATATGTTAATTCCATTTACGAAAATAAACTACAGTTACAAGTTACTAAAAATAGATTGTCATGCAGAAGCTTAGCACATAGTTAGGCCAAAATAGTGCACTTTAAACAGAAGTTTGCAAATCACCCAGGAAATGCATCCATTCCACTCAAGAGTACAGGCATCCCTCCTTTTACATGGGGCTACATTCCGGGTCCCGTGCATGTAGGTGAAATCGCACAACGTAGGGAGAACCCTCCATAAATACTTTAAATGCCTGTTTTCCCCTGCTATCCACCTCCCTCTCCCCTGTTCTCTCTAATCCAGACAAAAATATCTAGAGTTGAAGCTCTGGAGCTTGCTGAAGGATGTGCGGGAAAACTGCAGCAGCAGCTGCACTACCCCACACATCAGCTGTTTGGCAGGGAAGCCGAGCAGCCTAAATAAAGCCCCTCTGCACCCCAGGCCTGTTTGGGGCTTCTTCAGGTCTGAGGAGGGTTTCCTCATGAGGACTCTCCAGCTCTCTTCCGTCATTTTCTGGTATGATTCTATTTCTTTCCCAGCACTGTGTGTCTGTGCGGTTGCGCACAAGTTGTGTAAATGGAGGCATGCCTGTAGTTATTATGTATTAATAACCTTCCACATATATCCAAAGGTGATTTATGAAATATAATAAAAACAGGTAAAAATAGTTCCAAAGCAGTTAAAAACAACAACGGAAGAGAAGTTTCAGAACCATAGAAAGTGGATGTATATGGCAGAAACCTATTTAGCCGCCTAGGAAAGCTTACAGAATCAACAGTACTTAGGAAGCTGGCTGGCTTACATAAAACCAGGACACCCCAAAATTGTTGGGCTTCTTTTTGTGAAACCACCAAAATTACTGACCTTTTTTTAAGGAAAACCCTAAAATGCCAAAAAAACGTGATTTTTCGATTGACTTGCGTAGGATCCAGGACAAAGTGCCACCTTTTGGAAACGCCCCCCAAACATCAGTTCCGCCTTTGAAATCCTGGTAATGTCCAGCAAAATCTGGACATATGGCAGTCGTAGCTTACAGGCTTTTCAGCCACGGGGTGGAGTGCAAAGGGTTTTGCTTTCGGAAATCTGCCTAGTGGTTTCCCATTCCCTGCGCATGGTAATGTAGATGTTTTGAACCTGCCATTTTAATGGGGCCTTTCCTTCTTTCACATAGGACAATGACCCTGATGAGGTAGCTGAGAAGGTCAGTGCTCAGAACCAGCTGGAACCAGCTATGCGCGAGGCCCTGAGGCAGCGGGTGCAGGAGGAGCTGGAGAAACGGCGGGTGAAGCGCTGAGGGACTCGTCTGGAGGCCTGTGCTGTTTGCTAATGCTTACCTGGGAAACACTTTCTGGGAAGGGGCCAGTGGGACATGTCCCATAGCTGTTGGTTTGAAGCCTTTAAGAGGGGCAGGGAATTAGCTGAACCCTGGCACAAGGTGGGACTGGCCATTGTAGCTTCCTCCTCCTGAGACACAGCTGAGACACTGCGCCCTGGATGAGTGATTTGGAGGAGCAGTAGGAGAATCTCTTTTGCGAACAGCTTGCGTTCCCTTGGAGACCTACACAGAAAGAAGCAGACCAGTTGAAACTTGGTCAGACGTCTCCTTTATAGCCCTGGGCAATTGGCTCATGACCAAACCTTCTGTCAAACCTTCTGTCTCCCCTCTCTTGGGATTAGCCAAACTGCTGGCTGTTGTATCTCTAGGTGTTAGGTGAATACAGACCAAGAGGGACATTTCATATTGTTGCTCAGCAATCTTTCTGTGGGTGAAAAGTGCTTGGACCCATGTCGTAGCATTTGGGTGAGCACTTACTAGTTCCCTGCAATTTGTCTGGGCAGGAGACATAAGCAACTTTACAACTGGAATGCCTTAGGGTGATTGTGATTTGACCCAGCATCTCTCGGGTGGGACTGGCAGGTCAGTCTTCCAAGAGCAAGGGGGCTGTTGGAGTCAACAAGCCTTGTTCAGACTTAGACATGTCCTTTCTACAGCATATTTTTTCTGCCTGTAGACTCTTTCCCCTCAAAATAGGGCTGCATAGGTTGATTTTTAGCTTTCAATTATGTTGTTAGGATATGGGCAATTGACTGGGTTTTATCCAACATTTGGCGGGATTTTCTTGGGGCTAGGGATGCTGTTGTGCAGTGCTCTTTTCATCAACAAATCTGAAAAACACGCCACATGATTGTTAATAAACGCATGCAACTTGCTGTTTCGCATTAGTCCTTTGCTGCAGCTAAGAACAGAATCCTGGAATTTGTTCTAAGGGCTTTGATCCTCCCATGACCCTTCCTCTGGAAGGAAAATATATTTCTGTCTGCCTATGTTTCCTGATGCAATTTTTTGTCAAATATAAGTTTACAGCATCCTCCATAAATCTGCTTTGAGATTTAGCTGCCTATAGAAACACAGGAAACTTATTTCTGCCAGTGCAGGCTACTTGTTCATCTAGCCTAGTAGCTAGTTCTAAAAGGAGAAGGGATTTTACAAAATTGAGGTGGAGGCACACAAACACACAGCAGAGAGGGGGGTAATAATGGAATTTCACTCTCATGAATACTCAGTGGATTTTCCATAGTCAACATTTGGTGTTTGCAATCCATTATTATTGGAAACTGGACTTGGAGGCCAAGACTCAGGTCCAGTTGCTCGTCTTGCCTGAACTGGTGCAGTGCCAGCCCACCAAGGTTCAGGCAGTGACCAGCATGGTAGATGAGAAGCAAATACCTCAGAAACAAGTTCAGGTATTTGTTGACTGTCTCTTTGCTCTTTGAATCTCGGAGCTTACATCTGTAATATTTGTATCATCTACCCTGCTGGTCAGTGGCTGAACCCTGGTGGGCTGGCGCTGCACCAGTTCAGGCAAGACGAGCAACTGGACCTGAGACTTCCTCTTGGATCCAGAAACTAATTGGCAGCTGGTGCAGTCAGGCCAGGATCAGTGTAAGATGTTCAAACCGTCTTGAGCAACCTTGCTGCCAAATTCTGCACTAACTGAAATGTCTGAACTGTTTTCAGAGACAGCCCTGTTGGGTTGAAAGAAAACTTCCCTTTACAGCCCTACATATAACGTATATCACCAAGTTGCGATTTCAGCTCTGCAACACTATCTGGTGCCACAGTGTTAAAATGCATTTAAAACATCATAATTTGACTAATGTAGCTAAGTCCCAGGATTGGTTTAGCAAACAATCCTCCTTTCCCAGGAGCTCTGGGAATTGTAGCCCTGGGAGGAGAATTAGGGGGTGGGGGGGTCTCCCAACAACTATTAGCACCCTTAACAAACTACAGCTTTGGGGGAAGCCCTGCCCCTCTCTTTTTTTTCCTACTCGCTGAGATGCAGAGGACTGAAATAGTGCCTGGTGAATGGGTACAATTTCAGGGTATGGCAGGGGAGGTGCCAGGAATAGGTGGGGCAGTGACAAGCTGTAGGGAGACTAGAAGTACCTCCCTGTACTTGAGTCATGCGGATTATGGTTTCCATCGCTTGGTGTAAGACTGAGAGCGATGCCAGCGGCTCCTCTTTGATAACCTCCTGTTGTGGGGAAGCACACAGCATGTCAGGGAACTGGAGACACCATCCCTGCCTCCACCACACCAAGTGGGTCCTCCTAGGGGAGAAGAGTGGGCACTGAAGAAGAAAGAAAAAGAAGGGGGGAGGAAATAAACCGGGTGCACTGTACCTGGCCAAGGGGTACAATTTCAGGGTATGGCAAGGGAGGTGCCAGGAATAGGTGGGGCAGTGACAAGCTGTAGGGAGACTAGAAGTACCTCCCCATACTTACGTCATGTGGATTATGGTTTCCATCGCTTGGTGTAAGACAGAGCGATGCCAGCGGCTCCTCTTCAATAACTTCCTGTTGTGGGGAAGCACCCAGCATGTCGGGGAACTGGAGACACCATCCCTGCCTCCACCACATTATTATTGGAAACTGGACTTGGTTGCCACTAGTTCCTCATTCATATGAAAGCGCGGGGTGTGTGTGTGTGTGTTGTATGTTCACTAAGCGTTTGGACACCTTTAGATATTGGCAAACTTTCCATGGTGGTTTCTGACTAGGCAGAAACCAGATCCCTTTCGGGTTCCCCTTGGCAAATCCTGTATCATACAAGGCCAACCCCTAGCAATGCAGAACAGAACAGGGGCAGCCACCCAGAAGTCCCTGCTCCGTGTTACACTGGCCTCGTATGATGCAGGCCTTGCCAAGGGGAACCCAGAAGGGATCTGGTTTCTGCCTAGTCAGAAACCACCATGGAAAATTTGTTGACAATAAAGAGGTGTCTGAATGCCTAGTGAACATACAACACCCCCCGCAAAAAAAACCCCCACTTTAATATGAATGAGGAACTACTGGCAACCAAGTCCAATTTCCAATAATAATGGATTCCAAACACCAAATGTTGACCGTGGAAAATCCACTGAGTATTAATGAGTGAAATTAAAATTATAATAAAACATCAGACATTTAAAACTTCCCTAAACAGGGCTGCTTTCAGTGCCTTCTAAAAGTCAGATAGTTGCTTGTTTCCACAGGGCGGGTGCCACTACCAAGAAGGCCCTCAGCCTTGTTCCCTATAACTTCGTTTCTTGCAGTGAGGGAACCACCAGGAGGCCCTCGGAGCTGGACCTCAGTGTCTGGGCTCAATGATGGGGGTGGAGATGCTCCTTCAGGCATACTGGGCGGAAGCCGTTTAGGGCTTTAAAGGTCAGCACCAACACATATATTTTTTTAAATGATTTTTTTATTAGTTTCCAGTTTTATACATCTTATCTCTCACACATATATCCAATAACAAGGTCCTCTGAACCTTCTGACTTCCCTCCCTCCCATGGGTTCTTAAATCTTAAAAATTAATTTTTTGCATCTTACACTTTTCCCAACTATTATGTATTCCTAATTTATCACAATCAATTTCACATTACAAATGTCATTATAATGCTGCCAATGATTTTAACTGTTTAAATTGTGTTTTTTAAATAAACTACAAATTTACCCCACACTCTACAAGTATTTGGTCATCTTGGTTTCTGATCTTCCCCGTCAGTTTCGCCATTTCTGCATAGTCCATCAATTTTGTCTGCCATTCTTCCTTTGTTGGCAATGCTTTCAATCTTTGGGTTAATAACATTCTTGCCACCACCACTGCATACATAAAAAGTCTTTTATCCTCTCTTGGCACTTCCTGATTAAACCTAAAAGGCAGGCTTCTGGTTTTTTAACAAATGTATTTTTAAACATTTTCTTTAATTCATTATAAATCATTTCCCATAAGTCTTTTATCTTACAACATGTAAAGGTCAGCACCAGATATGAATGTATTTATTTTGTGTGAGTTTCATAGCAATTATTATTTTTATTATTATTATATATTACTCTGGGCGGCTCCCAACCAAATATTAAAAACATAATACAGTGGAACCTTGTTTTGCGAACGTAATCCATGCAGGAGGCATATTCGCAACCTGCAGCACTGCGTATGCGCATGCGCGGGTCGCAACTCTGCACTTCTGTGCATGTGCAAAGCGCAATTTAGCACTTCGCATGCGCAAGTGCTGAAACCCGGAAGTAACCCGTTCCAGCACTTCCGGGTTCGGTGTGGTGCACGACCCAAAAATGCGTAACTTGAAGCGTCTGCAACCCAAGGTACCACTGTACAGCATTAAACATTAAAAACTTCAATAAACACGGCTGCCTTCAGATGCCTTGTAAAAGTAAGGAAGCTGCTTATTGCCTTGACATCTGATGGGAGGGCGTTCCACAGGACGGGCGCCACAACTGAGAAGGCCCTGTACCTGGTTCCCTGTAACCTCACTTCTCACAGCAAGGGAACCGCCAGAAGGCCCCTGGTGTTGGACCTTAGAGTCTGGGCTGAACAATGAGGGTGGAGACACTCCTTCAGGTATACAGGACTGAGGCCGTTTAGGGCTTTAAAGGTCAGCACCAACACTTTAAATTGTGCTCGGAAATGTACTGGGAGCCAATTTAGGTCTTTCAAGACCGGTGTTATGTGGTCTCAGTGGCCACTCCCAGTCACCAGTCTAGCTGCCGCATTCTGGATTAATTGCAGTTTCTGAGTCACCTTCAAAGGTAGCCCCACATAGAGCGCATTGCAGTAGTCCAAGCAAGAGATAACCAGAGCATGCACCACTGTGGAGAGACACTGCGGGCAAGTAGGGTCTCTGCCTGTGTACCAGATGGAGCTGGTAGACAGCTGCCCTGGACACAGAATTGACCTGCGCCTCCATGGACAGCTGTGAGTCCAAAATGACTCCCAGGCTGCGCACCTGCTCCTTCAGTGGCACAGTTACCCCATTCAGGATCAGGGAGTCTTCCACACCAGCCCACCCCCTGTCCCCCAAGTACAGTACTTATGTCTTGTCAGGATTCAACCTCAATCTGTTAGCAGCCATCCATCCTCCAATTGCCTCCAGATACTCGCACAAGACCTTCACTGCCCTGGTTCTGATTTAAAAAAGAACTGTGGTCTAAACCACAGAGCCTAGGGCTTGCCAATCAGAAGGTCAGCAGTTTGAATCCCCACGATGGGGTGAGCTTCCCTTGCTCAGTCCCAGCTCCTGCCAACCTAGCAGTTCGATAGCACCTCAAAGTGCAAGTAGATAAATAGGTACTGCTCTGGCGGGAAGGTAAACGCCTTTTCCGTGTGCTGCTCTGATTCGCCAGAAGCGGCTTAGTCATGCTGGTCACATGACTTGGAAGCTGTACGCCGGCTCCCTCGGCCAGTAAAGCGAGATGAGCGCTGCAACCCCAGAGTTGGCCACGACTGGACCTAACAGTCAGGGGTCCCTTTACCTTTACCTTAGAACTCGGTATCATCTGCATACTGATGAACACCCAGCCCAAACCCCCTGATGATCTCTCAATGGCTTCAAATAGATGTTAAAAAGCATGGGGGAGAGGACGGAACTCTGAGGCACCCCACAAGTGAGAGCCCAGGAGTCTGAACACTCATCCCCCAACACCACTTTCCAGGAGGAAGGAGCGGAACCACTGAATAAAAGTGCCCCCAGCTCTTCTAGACGATCCAGAAGGATGTCATGGTTGATGGTATCAAAGGCCGCTTAGGGAGAACTAGGAAACAGCTTTCACCTTTGTCCCTAGCCCACCAGAGATCATCGACCAGTGTGACCAAGACAGTTTCAGTCCCATGGTGAGGCCTGAATCCTGATTGGAAGGGATCCAAATGGTTCGCATACCTGGAGTTGTTCAGCAACCACCCACTGAATCTCCTTGCCCAAGAATGGAGGATTTGAGACTGGGCGATAGGTGGCCATATTGGCCAGGTCTAAGGATGATTTTAAAGAAGCGGTTTAATGACCGCCTCTTTCAGCAGATCTGGGAAGGCTCCCTCACAGAGGGAAGTATTCACCACCCCACAGAGCCCGTTGCCCAGCCCTTCCCGGCTCACTTTTATTAGCCAGGATGGGCAAGGATCAAGGAGACAGGTGGTTGGTTTCACGTCCTCGGAGGTAACAGATTGGAACTGATCCCACACAACTTGACTAGACAGGACTCTAGCACTCTCCTGCCCCGGCCCTGCTCCCACGGTGGAGTCTACCTCTTTCCGAATCTGAGCGACTTTATCTGCAAAAAACTTTGCAAAATAATTGCAGGAGATCTTGGGGTCTTTACCAGGCGCCGATGGCAAAGGTGGTTCTGTTAAATTGCAAACCACCTGAAAGAGTCTCCTGCTGCTATTTTCTGCAGATGCAATAGAGGCAAGTGAAGAAAGTCCTCTTCGCCGTCGCTATCGCCACTTGGTAGGCTCGACGTTGAGCTCTAACCCGTGTCTGGTCTGATTCAGAATGAGTTAGCCGCCACCGGCGCTCTAGCCGTCTCAACGATTGTTTCATTGTCCTCCACTCTGGGGAAAACCATGGGGCTGTCTGGGCTCCATGCAATCGGAGAGGGCGATTCAGAGCCAAAACGTCAATAGCTCTGGTTAACTCCACATTCCAGTGGGCCACCAGGGAATCAGCTGAAAGGCCATCAACATTAAATAAAACATCCCCTACCACTCTCAGGAAACTATTTGGATCCATTAAGTGGTGGGGGCGGACCATCCGAATCGGTTCCACCTCCCTGCAGAGGGGAAGGGTTGCGGAGAAGTCCAGTTGCACCAGGAAGTGATCTGACCATGGCACTTCTTTTGTTTCACCTTTACTTAATGTCAGATCACCCATGTCAACAGAGGTGAACACCAGGTCTAAGGCATGTCCGCGACTATGAGCTGGGCCACACTTATTCAGGGACAGCCCCAAGGAGGCCATGCTTTCCATGAAGTCCTGAGCAGTCCCTTGCAAGGTCATGTCAGCATGGATGTTAAAATCCCACAGGACAACAAAACTAGGTGTCTCCAGGAGAACATCCGCCACGACCTGTAGCAGCTCGGGCAGGGAATCCGTGTTGCAGCGGGGAGGTTGGTACACCAAAAGGAATCCTGTACTGCCCCTATTGCCCAACTTCAAGAACATGCACTCAGAGAACTCGATCTTCCCAATAGGATGCCTGGTGTTAACTAGTGTCTTCCTAAAAATCACTGCAAACCCCCCTCCCCACCCACATGACCTGGGTTGTTGTGCGTACAAGAAATCTGGTGGACAAGCAGCAGCAAGGACAGGCCCATCTGCTTCATCCAACCAAGTCTCTGTCACACATGCCAGGTCAAGTCCTCCATCCAAGCTGTTTGTCGGATGTTCGTTTTCTGAGAAATGTTTGAAAACCAGAGCATTTACTTCCGGGTTTTCGACATTCGGGAGCCAAAATGTTAAGCAACAGAGACTCGTGAAAACTGAGATTTGACTGTAAAAATAAGCAGAAAAACAAACCAATAACACCCCCCCCCATTTGCTGGTTAGCACACTCCACAAAGCAAGGATGACCTCCAGATGTTGGGAAATGATTGTAGCTTAATGGTAGAACAACTTGCACACATTTTCCGTCGTCTGCAGATCGTGCTGGGAGAGCCTCCCTACCTGAAACCCTGGGGAGCACCTGAACCTTGGAGACAATAGTGAATTAGATGGCCCAATGGTCTGGTTAAGCATAAGGCAGCTTCCCATGTCCCTATGTTGCAGTACTCCAACTCCCATCACCCCAATCCTTGCCCATGCTGCCTGGCGCCTATGGGAGTTGGGGTCCAACCATATCTAGACGGAGCCAAACTGGCAATGGCTGCTGCAGAGGCAGTGGCTGCTGCTTGATTCTCTTTTTCTTCTGCCCTCGCCTCTTCTTGCAGAAGAATGCCTGTGTCTTGCCTGAGGATTTAAAGAATTTCTACCTGATGACAGACGGCTTCTACATGACTTGGAGCATAAAGTTTGACGGTAAGAAGAAGCCTTTCACAGCTTGGGACTAGTTTACTTGCAAAGGCCACCTTCCCCACTCAGCCACCTCGATCTGCGGAACCAACAAGCACCCCATAATGCTCACTCTGCATATGTAATAAATCAATAGTTTAGTGCAGCAGCGCCCCACTTTGGAACTCGCTGCTTATTGACAAGAGGCAGGCGACTTTGCTGTATTCTTTTTCGGTGCCTGTTAAAAGCATTATTGTTCAGGCAAGCCTACCCAGATGCTAAGAAGTATGGCATGTGTTTGAATCCGGTTTTTAGCTTATCATTGATTTTAATTAATGGAAAGGGTGTTATTGGTTTGTTTTGTTTTTGTTCCTGTTTCTACCGAGCGTTTTGCGTTTGCCCCTTGTGTCTTTGTGCAGGGATCTTCAGATGATGGGCAGTATACAAAAAAACAACAACTTTTGAATGTTTTTAAATACAGTGGTACCTCGGGTTAAGAACTTAATTTGTTCTGGAAGTCCGTTCTTAACCTGAAACTGTTCATAACCTGAGGTACCACTTTAGCTAATGGGGCCTCCCGCTGCTGCCGTGCCACCGCTGCACAATTTCTGTTCCCATCCTGAAGCAAAGTTCTTAACCCGAGGTACTATTTCTGGGTTAGCGGAGTCTGTAACCTGAAGTGTCTGTAACCCAAGGTACCACTGTAGCTGTTTTTAACTTTTTGTTAATCATTTTATCCATAACCACTCTGAGGGTTTTTCTGACAACAGTATATGAAACTCACACAAAATAAATACGTTCTTATCTGATCAACAATTGCATCCACACACCCATTTCCTCTGATTAAATTGTGTTCTGTCTTTAATTTGGGAAGTGGGGCAATGAAATGGGAGCTGTTCAGCAGGAGAAAGATTCCTATTTATGGCGAGTGGGGATTCGAACCCCTGTCTCCCAGCTGCTAGTCCAGCACTCTTGACCGCTATGGCTCTCAGTCGGGCTGGCTTCCAGACTTGAGAAGGCCCAAGGATAACCCTGCCCAACACCAAGAACCCTGCACCGTGGACTTACTCTTCCCATCTGGAGACAGGGGCCGAACGTTTGGTTGAAGAGTCCTGCAGGATTACACCATAGACCAAAGATTAATAGTCTTTTTATAGACCCCCATTATTACATCAGCTGCCTGACTATTCTCAACACTTTTATAAGAAGAAGCTCAATTATTTTGTATACCAAACAGATTTTTAATGGCTTTGGAGGTACTTGATAAAGCTTTATAATTCCATGAGCAATTAGCCTATGCTCCTCCCTACAATTTCTTAGACAATCATGAAGTCAACAAGTCTTATTCCAAGCCATGTTTCAGTGGCTAGAACAGGATCAATCACAACACAGAACCAAAGACCAGAGAGGAGGACAAGCATAGTTTTTGCTGCCTTGTTCCTAAACTCAGAGCAAGTTTCCACACTTCTGTCATTCAGGGCTGGAACATCCTATTGTATGTAATTCACTACCTATCAATATGGGCTGGCTGCTTTGGCATAACCCCAGCTTCTCTCTGGATTTGAAGGGCCCAGCCAGGACCCAAGGAGTGGGTGGGTGGCAACAATTAGCGCAATACAAAGAGACTGCAAGCTGATCAACCACTGCACCAGTACTTAGCCAAATAAAGAGGTTGAAATCCAAGGCACAGGGTCAGTAGTAAATGCAGGTCAGCAGTCACTGCTAAAGACCCGTTGGGGGGAGGAGGTGCAGCAACAGTTACGTGCACCCGGAATGTGACCACACGGAGTTAATCGTAAGCTGCTCATCTAGCTCTTTTTAGCTGGAGATGCAAGATGTGTGCCCTCCCTTAGAGATGATCGAATCACAGACCTGCAGAATTAGAAGGAATCCTAAGGGTCCTCTGAGTCTAGTCCAACCCCCTGAAATGCAGGTGGCCCTTAGGAAGATCAAACCTGCAACCTTGGCATTATCAGCACCAGCTCTAACCAGCCAAGCTAACTAGTGCAGGGGGGCCTTCTTTTGTAGAGCTGCAGTGCGAGGCCTCCCAGAACCTCCTAACTTTGCCTGTGGGAGCCTGGAGGTCGGAGCCTCCCTTTCCAGCTCCATAGAGAAGTGGGACCATTTGGGGGCAGGGACCGTCAGTCTTTCCTGCTGCGAGGGGGACGCCTCATTCTGGGGCCGAGAGGAGGCGAGGAGGCTCTGGCTCTGTTTGGCGGGTCCCGGGCTCGGGGGTCCCGGGGTGAGAGGCTATGGAGACACACAAGATCATGCAGAGGACCCCTCAAGGGCCACGCCATACACGTCTCCCCCCCCCAGCCCGGTCTTCGTCCCCAGGAGCGGCGAGGAGGGAGCGGCGAGGGGGCTCTGGCTCTGTTTGGCGGGTCCCGGGCTCGGGGGCAACAGCCGAGATCTTGAAGCAACGGCCAACGGCCCCCCGCCCTGCCACGCCCCCCGCGCCCGACTCTCGCCTCCCATTGGCTGAGAGGACCCGGACTTCGCCCAGATACAGAGTCGGAAGAGCCGGCCAATGGGGAGGCCTCGGAGCGGGCGCGGGGGGGGGGAGAGAGGAAAGAGGGGTTGGCGCCGGCTCGCCCACTGCCTTCTGGGAGTCGTAGTGCCTGCCCTCTATTCTTCCCCCCAGAGAACGGAAATGAATGACAGGGAGGACTGCTTTTCCCAAACGGCACGGCGGTGCTGCTTCTGAGCTACGGGTCGCGAGAAGAGGCAAAAGCCCCCCCCCGGTGCTGTTTTCCCTCCCAGGTGTGCAGGTGGTCAGAGGCTGATGCGGGAGGGAGGAGGAAGGAGAGGGAGGAGAAGGCCCTGCGCAGCCTCAGCAGCTCCAGCCACACCAAGCCCTGGCATCCCTGGTTGGCATGGAAACTGCCCAGAGCCTTTCTTCCCTCCCTTGTTCATTCCATGGCGCTTCCTCCCAACACAACTCCCAACAGCCCTGGGAGGGAGGCCAGAAGGAGAAGCACGGAAAATGCTCCAAGGCGACTTATTTGATTGCATTTCTATCCCGCCTTTTTCTCCGAGGAGCCCAAGGTGGCACAGATGGTTCTCTCCCTCCTCGTTTAATCCCCACAGCAACACTGAGGTAGGTTACTCTGGCAGGCACTGATTGACACACACACCCGACGTCACCCTTAATGGCCGAGGGGGGATTTGAACCCTGGTCTCCCAGGTCACAGTCCAACACTCTAGCCACTGCACCACACTGCCTCTCCTTCGACTTTGCTATGGCAGAAAATCCTGCCTGGAGCCTCCCATCTTTTGGACCTGACCTTCGGCACACTTGCCCCCCCAAAATTAGTTACCTTTGTTTGGAGGAAAAATATCTGCTACTTTCCCCTTTTCTTCTTCTTTTTTAAAGGCATGCCTTCTCCAAAGTGTACATGTGATCTTCTCTTTTGCCCCTGGGATATTTCTAATCTAACATCCAGGCTTTTAAGGCAGAATTTCCTATTTGATCTAGGATCAAGGGGTCAGCAAACCTTTTCAGCAGGGGGCCGGTCCACTGTCCCTCAGACCTTGTGGGGGGCCAGACTATATTTTTTAGGGGGAGAGGGGATGAACGAATTCCTATGCCCCACAAATAACCCAGAGATGCATTTTAAATAAAAGCACACATTCTACTCATGTAAAAACATCAGGCAGGCCCCACAAATAACCCAGAAATGCATTTTAAATAAAAGGATACATTCTACTCATGTAAAAACATGCTGGACCATCCGTGGGTCGGATCTAGAAGGCGATTGGGCTGGATCCTGCCCCTGGGCCTTAGTTCACCTACCCATGATCTAGGATTTGGTTCAAGCCCCAACAGAACCTGCCGCTCACTCATCCCTTGAAACCTTTGTGCAACTGATGCAATATGCAATCTCCCTCCATTCCCCATCCTGTCTGTTTCCCCTATGATCTCAGGAGAACTGAATTTATTCTGTTTATAATTTGCCAGCTTGTTAAATGCCTCCCATGGCAGCGGTGCGGAGGAGGAAGGCCCCGCTGGAAGATTGGTCCTTTGCATAAAGGAGATCCGTAGTTTTGTATTAAGGCTGGAACTAAATTATTTTAGGCGTGAAGCCCAGGAGACAGCACCGCAGACTGTTCTGCCGGGAGCCCAGGGGGATGAACTAAATGACCTAACAGGATTCCCCCCATCTTTTACCCTTGACACTTCAAAGGGCTCCCTAAAGGCGGGACCCCCTATCTGTCCTCTTTTCCATGCAAAAACCTAAGATCTGCCTGCTTGACAGCTTCCAAACATCGCGTGCTGTGCGGCACCTTTCTTCCTCTAATTCCATCTTCCTGCAGCTGGTGACCTGTAGGAGTTTTGCAGCTGATGGAAGCTGTAATAATAATAATAATAATTTTTTATTTATACCCCGCCCTCCCCAGCCAAGGCCGGGCTCAGGGCGGCTTACAAGCAATAATAAAAACAAGTTGAATGATTACAACTTAAAAACAAAATTAAAATACAACATTAAAATATTGAAACATTAAAATATTAAAATGTAGCCTCATCGCAGGAGGAGAAGGAAAAGAAAAAAGAGAGGGAGGGAATCAAATTGGCTCCAAGCCAAAGGCCAGGCGGAACAACTCTGTCTTACAGGCCCAGCGGAAAGAAATCAGATCCTGTAGGGCCCTGGTCTCATGAGGCAGAGCGTTCCACCAGGCCGGAGCCAGTGTTGAAAAGGCCCTGGCTCTGGTTGAAGCTAATCTAACTTCCTTAGGGCCCAGGACCACTAGGGTGTTGCTATTTATGGACCTTGAGGCTCTCCGTGGGGCATACCGGGAGAGACGGTCCCGTAGGTACGAGGGTCCTAGGCCGTGAAGGGCTTTAAGGGTCAAAAGCAGCACCTTAAATCTGACCCTGTACTCCACCGGGAGCCAGTGCAGCTGGAAAAGCACTGGGTGAATATGCTCCCATGGCAGAGACCCCGTGAGGAGCCTCGCTGCAGCATTCTGCACCTGCTGGAGTTTCTGGGACAGCTTCAAGGGCAGCCCCGAATAACAGTAGTCAAGTAGAGCGAATTACAGTAGTCAAGCCAGGAGGTGACCGTCGCATGGATCACTGTGGCCAGGTCGGGGCGGGAAACGTAAGGGACCAAGTGCTTGATGCGGCGAAGGTGGAAAAATGTAATGCAGTGGTGTCATAGACTGGCTGGATGCAGAGAAGCTGGGGAACCCCAAAGGGAACCCCCAGGGAAGAAGGGTCTTAGAATCATAGAATCAAAGAAAAGCCCCAAACGACTAGGGCCCCAATTATCTCAGGGACAGCCGGATTCCTTATGCTTCACCTCAGTCACTGAGAACCTCTGGTGGTTCCCAGCACCCCTGAGTTTTAACTAGTCTTCACTAGGGATGTACCCTATAGTGTGACAGGCCAAGCCCTGTGGAACTCCCTGCTACTAGAGGTTTGTCAAGGACCAGACCTCCTTTCCTTCAGAAATCTTTTGAAAACTTTGTTTAAACAGACAACATGATTTTAACCAATTAGTATTGATTGATATTCCTTGATGTTTTATGGATCTTTTCTTGATTCTCCCGTCTTTATTTTCCCACTTGCTATATTTCTACAAAGGGCAGATTATAAAATTTGTAAGTAAATAAATAAATCAACATGTGGCCTTCCAGCCCCCTGCAGCGCGAGAATCTTTTTGCCCAACAACCCTGGGAGGCTCATGCTACGGACTGAGCTATCTGTTTGTTTGCAAGCTGTATTGCTTCTATCTTGCGTGTGAGGATCTTGGTGGTCTCTCTCCCCCCCCCCCCCTCCCCGGTTAGCTTCCTTTGCTCACTGGGTGTAAGCAGCGCTGGATTTCCCAGCTGGCAGATGAAGAATGTGCTTAGGGCACCAGCAAAGCAGGGTCACCCAAAAATGAGCTTTTGTTTGTTTATTAAGTATCAAATGTCTAATTCTTAACAAACACTGAAGCAGTCTATTACAGGGAAACTCAGAGCTTTGTTCGACTTCCTTAAGATTTCACACTCTTGCCTCATTTTTCTCTTCTCTTTATAGTACTTATCCCCACCTAAACCCAGGGATGACCTAGCAGTGTAGATTCAAATAAGGCAAGAAAATAAATTCCTGTCATGTGTGGCAATAAATCTATGGGGGTTTGTAAAATTTCATGCTTCTGTTTTGCATGACATATGGGGGCACTATGGTATTTTCAGCGCTTAGGGGTCTTAATGCAGTCCCAGGCCAGATTTGAATGTGTCTGTGGGGGTCCATAACAGTTGTCATGCCGGGCAGCCCTGAAGGGACCTCTCTGTGTAGTTTTCAAATTCTGCAACAACTTAAGAAGAATTGAAAACAAAGTCTGGAGATCACCTTCTAGTTATGCTCCCCAAACAGTAAGGCATTGTGGCTCTGATCTATGTGCATAATGTGATAGGAATTTTGAGGTCTTAGATATATGGTAATGTTCATAAGTGTACCAACCAAGCATGTACATAGATCAGCACAGGAAGACCAACCTGGAACCGTTTTGATTCATTTTGAGCAAATGATTTCTCTGCAAGGTCAAAATGGGAAACCTCCCCATTGTTTCTTTCCTCACAAACCCTGTCTTAAGGGTATATCTGTGTTTGAATAGGGTGTGAGCCTGTGCCTGGCCCAGGAACTAAGTATTTATCATTACAAAAGAGTGGCTAGGCTCCCCAGGCAATCCAGTCAAGTAACCTGCCAGACAGGAGATAAACAATGACAGGAGAAAAACAACATTCAAATTTCTGTTTTAGACCACCTTTTCTGTGATGTAGGTATGATGTATCTGAGGGGTGGTCTTAGGTTACACCCCTTCTGTGATGTATGTATGATGTTTCTGGGGGTGGTCTTGATCTAGGTAAAGGTAAATGGACCCCTGACCATTAGGTCCAGTCGTGACCGACTCTGGGGTTGCGGCACTCATCTTGCCTTATTGGCTGAGGGAGCTGGCGTACAGCTTCCGGGTCATGTGGCCAGCAGGACTAAGCCACTTCTGGCGAACCAGAGCAGCGCACGGAAACGGCGTTTACCTTCCCACTGGAGCGGTACCTATTTATCTACTTGCACTTTGACGTGCTTTTGAACTGCTAGGTGGGCAGGAGCAGGGACCGAGCAATGGGAGCTCACCCCGTCGCAGGGATTCGAACCACCGACCTTCCGATCAGCAAGTCCTAGGCTCTGTGGTTTAACCTACAGCGCCACCCGTGTCTTGATCTACAGGGTAGCAATTTCAAAAGTCTTTATAAGGCCTTGTGTGCCATTGTTATGGGTTCCTCCTTCTTTCCTGTGAGTGAGGGGAGCACCCTGTTGCAACAGATCAATAAAGATCAAGCTTACTAGCTGCTTTGCTTCTCAATATTCTCTGGTTGGCCTCTGTTATTTTCTCCTACCAATAGGGAACCTATGTAGGGACTCTATATGGGCTCTTGGATACCCCATAAGGGAAAAAGGGCAATTTTTGTTTACAACAATAACGTGTGCTGGTTCATAGTAAAAACAGATTTCCAAAAATGCTTTCAGTGTTCAGGTGAAAGTTTATTTGCATTTGCTGTTTTTTGCTTTTTTGTGTATTTTTTAAGAGCAATCAAAGGAGACAAAAGCTGTTTAAGGAGTTTCAGATGCAGATATTTAGCAGTCGTATCTTGCTTGGCAACCCAGTGACAGCCCAGGCCTCTCGCCTGACTCAGCTCAGTCGCTTTCATACCGCACTATCCATTAGGTCAAGAAGAAGAGCATCTACCATCATCTGTACAGAGGAACATGCAGCATGAGCAGAAGGCGGCACCGTTGGGAAGGGGTCAGCTGCTGACTCGTCAAACTCTCTTGAAGACAGCAAGTATTCAAAGGTTTAAAAACCAAAGTACAATACAAAAAGGAAGATATAAAATTGCAAAGGAAAAACAAACCAAATTGCCAGTCTGAGCTGCCCCAATGGTTGTGGCAAGTACAGAAAAGAAAGAAAGAAAAGTAGAGGCTTTTGTGTCATAACGCATAAAGAGAAGAGTCTTAAGTTGCCAGAGAAAGATTATTTACATCAGAACCTCAAAGGCAGACTTCACAATATTAGTCAAAGGCCAAACACGGGGGCTTTATTTACAGAGGGCAACATTAAATAGCACTTTGAAGCAACGATTGTCAGACACAGACACTGAAGTTTTTGCAGCCCGACTGATAACACAGAGCGTTATTGTGACCTCTGCTTCTGGCTAATCTGGGCCAGGCCTGGCCCCAATCCCTTTTTGGTGGGGAGAGAGGCAGCTTGGAGATCTGCAGTGTGTGGAGGGGAGTCGGGGATTGCACTGGGGCTGGGCTTGGTGGACCCCTGCCCTGCCAATCGACAAGGACATGGGCCAGCCGTGATCAGGGCTGCTGTTAATGTCAGTGTGTGGCAGTGGGCAAAATCCCAAGGAGTTACTGTGGAGTCCCAGAGTGGGAATTGTGGCTTTACCGATTGGGAGGCGCCTATTGCTGCCTTTGCTCCTTTCCCTTGCTCTTCCACGAAACCGGTGCTATATCCACACACTCAGTCTCGCTACGTGTAACTCTCCTGAGATGGCCGCGGGACCAAATTCTGCTATGTATATTTTGCAGTCACACTTTCCAGCTGTGAAATGTGGTATTGGCCCCAGAACCGAAGCATCCTAGGAATCCTGGGTGTGGTGGGCAGATGAGAGTAGCTTACATACACCATCCCTAAACTGGATGCACTGGCTGCTGACGGGGGACAAATCAGGGCTAGCTTCTGACCTTAGTAACCTGTGAGCAGCTCACCTCAAAGACTCCCTCCTCCCCGCGCAAGTCTTGCAGCTCAGCAGAGTTGGCCTCACCTTCTTAACTCTTCCACCTCTGCACCAAGTTCAGGAGTTGTTGATTGCTGGTTGAAATCTAGAGGGGAATGAAGGCCTGGGAGGTGCAGCCCCTCTCTGGGAAGAGGCTACAAGTTGACCCCCACGTAGAATCATAAAGGTTGGAGGGGCCCGTAAGGGTCCTCTAGTCCAGCCCCTGCAATCAGTAACCATGGCTAGGCTGAAAGAAGACAATTAATAGGCTCTCCTAGTAACTTTGGTGGGGTGGAAGAAGGAGCCAAAATGCCGTTCTTTCAAAAGCTGCCTAGCTGCACCCCTCATAATATATCCATTGTCTCCCAATCTTCCATTGTAAACCCGGGGCAGGGGCGGGAAAAGATACGACCCATCACAAAACTGCTACTTTTACACCCTAGGAAAACCACTTTCCCTCCTCAGGGAGTGAATGCCCACAGATCAGCTGCATAAGGATGGTGATGATGACAGGCTTGCTTCATAATAATTCAGCATTTGCTTATGCCTTGCTGCTTACATGGAATAAGTGCTCTTGTGATCAGATGCACAGTTATAAATGAATAATTACTAAGTGAATATTGTGTAATTGCAGAGTGAGAGTGGGAGTCTGTTCTCCGCTAACTTCTCTTCTAAACATTATTTTAAAAAATAAGAATTGGGACTTGATAATCTTTGATTACTCAGAGCTTGCTATGCTCAAATAAATGGGGGCACATTTCATCAGGAATGTACCCAAGACAAACCCCGAATGCATCCAGGGCAGTCCCTTCACAAGAATAAAGGTAATGCTGTAGGATGGATGGGCTGGGCCTGCTTCCAAATGTGCTGGCAAACTGGGCTTTCAGGTGGTTCTTGCTTTCCAGATACAATAGCCTCCAGTTCACAAAATCATAAATTTGTAGAGTTGGAAGGGATCACGAAGGTCCTCTAGTCCAACCCCCTGCAATGCAGGAATCTTTTGCCCAGTGTGGGGCTTGAGGCCACAGCCCTGAGCTTAAGAGTCTCATGCTCTACCAGCTGAACTATCCCAGTTGGCTGTGAGGGGCTCTCACTCCACCTTCTCCAACTGGGTGCCCTCCAGATATTTTAGACCACAACTCCCATCAGCTCCAGCCAGCACACTTGTTCTGACTGGGAACTGTAGTCCAAAACATTTGGAGCATTCCCAGCTGGGGAAAGCTGAATAACTTGTGAGACCTGGCCAGAGTAATGAGCCACCCTTTCTGGCCTCACTCTGTGTCCTCTGCAAGGCTTCAGCATTTATTTTCTAGCCTTCCTGTGGTCTCCTTGAAGCCCTGCCTCTGCTCAGCCCCTCTGTTTAACCAGCCTACCTCCATGTACTCAACACCCTTTTCTCCCTATAGCCCCTTTAAAGACTTGGGGAAGAGGGGAACAAAAGAGAAAGTTCCTCTGGCAGCAACCGCAGAATGCCATGACCTCCCCACTTAGCAGTGGTTCCCCATGTGCTTGGCAAGCCTTGCTTTTCTTTCCTGTGCCCATGCCTCTGTAAACTGAAGGGAGTGTGTCACACAATGAAAGCTGTTGGCGCAGCAAAAGCAGCAGCCCTTAGAGAGCAACAGGATTCTTTACAGAGTTGTTTTGGCCTTTGGAATCAAAAGAGCAGTTTCCTTCCAGGGTAGCTGGCATGACTCCCAACTGAATCTGAGAAAATATGAGCCCCCAAGCATCTTTCCATAGCATTCATGAGCCCCTGAGCCCCTCTCAGCAACGATACGCCCACATCTCCACTGACAACATTCTGCAAACACAGTGTCGCCACCACCCCTTCCTCACACATCATGGGGAAACTTGTAAAGTGTAGAGCTTATATGGTGGTCCACTTCTGCTCCTAAATATTATTTTCCTGACCAGATCTGCTCTGTTTCACAGCAACTGCCTTTCCTGGAGAGAATTTGGACCTTGGTTTGCATTGCGTGGCCTCAGTCCGCCAGATTCTGACTACACACCTATAATCAGGGCTTCCCCCCCAGCTGGAACTCACCAGAACTCAGTTCTGGCACCTCTCAGGTGGGCACCATTGCTTCCAGCACCTCCTTTTCTAGAAAAATTGCACTGCCTGGAATCATAGAATTGTAGAATTGGAAGGGACCCAATAGGTCATCTGTTCCAACCCCCTGGGTGAAATCGAGCAGCCGTTCTTCAGACTCACTGCCTGAGCTGGCGACTTGGTCTTTGGAGGTGCCATTTCAGTGCTGGGAAAAGGAAGATTCTCAGTGAGGTTTAAAGGTCTGGGATACAAATATAGCAATGAATAAATTCAAGATTACATTGAGTGATATATATGAGAGCATTGGTTGTGGCTTACATAGGAAGCTGCCCTATACAGATTCCATATAGCTCAATATTGTCTACACTGATTGGCAGCAGCTCTCTAGGGTTTCAGGCAGAACTTTCTCCCAGTCCTGAAGATGCCAGGGATTGAACCTGGGATCTTCTGCTTGCAAGGCAGATGTTTGGCCACTAAGCTATGGCTCCTCCCCACACTTTGCATTTGTTTGCATTGAATGGCTATAGCAAACTTAACAGCTCAGGCCAATCAGGTAATTCCGCCACCTTCAGTTTTCATGATTTTGACATGCACACCTAGCAAATGAAATCGAGGCTACAGCAGGCAGGACCAGTGAGTTGCCCAGAAATTGGAGGGCTTCCCAGGAAGAAGGAGACATGGCCCCAACCCTTCCCAAAGGGATCTCCTGCATAAACCGCCCATTCAACCTACCATTTAAGCAACGTTTGTGTATAATGAACATCGTTTGATGTTATTAGCTGGTCTGTGGAAGCACCAGAACCAGAGAAGCCTTTTGTTGTAGTAGTTTCAAAACAGCAGGACATCTCCAGTCACTTATTCTTTATAAAAATGACTGAGTTCTAAAATATTCATTCCCTTTTGTCTGTTGAGGAAAAGGGGAGGATTTGGTCCTTATTACAAGAGAAATGAGTTTCTCTATGCAAAGCACCAGTATAATTTTTGAGGTACAAGAAGAGTGAAATCTCTCCTTCAGTGAGTTTAAAAGGAGAAATGCATAGCTGTCAACTTTCAGATTTGAAAATAAGGGATCAGCAGCCTCACCTGTCCCGGGAACAGTCTACGGGATATCTAATAATCCGGGATAGCAGCGGGAAGCGGCGCTGGAATAAGGGAATTTTCCGCATAAAAAGGGAAGGTTGACAGCTATGGAAATGGGGTTGGTTATTTTACTCTCAAAATGTACTTGTATGCACCAGCGGAGCTCCCTGTGTGGACACACACTCCCCACTTTCTAACAAATGGGATAAAAGAAGCAACTTCTCTGGCTCAGATAGGAGATGGTTCCTTTATGAAGGTGTTGCTTTCTGGGTATTGTGACACAGAAACCTGATCTACTCCATGTGAGCAGCTCTCGCCCATTTCAGTGTGTCTTGTGCAGGAGAACATGCACGTAGATTGTGCCCAAATAGATTTGCATTACCCTTGTGATTCTTTGCATGGACATGTTCACACGAGAGCAAAAGGCCATTGATTAAGTCTCCCTAACTGGCCAGTGGCAGAGGTAATGCATAGGGGACTCTTGTCAATTTCAGTTTCTCTCTGTTATTCCAATCTTAAATCCAGTTCTTCACATTTCCACATCAGTTTGCAATGTATTTTTTAAGGCCTGCTGGAAATTCATTAGCATTTTAGTGTGAATTTCCTCTAACACGCACATTTCTGTATGCCATTTTGCCTAATAACAAATTTTAGCAAAGCATATTTTCTTCAAACACAACACATATTTGTATGTTATTTTTACTAGTCTATGCATAGGTACAGTATGCACAACTTTACCTCTGTAGATGCATTACTGTACACACCACTTTCTAAGAAAACTGCAATGCAAAATTTGGAGGATAGTTGTTCTTCAATTTGTATATTGTTTTGGGAAGTGTGAATTGGTAGTGTTGCCTTTCAGTGCAAACTGAATCATATTTCTTCCCCCATCTCTAGTGCTAGAACACACAAATTTGTTCTGGAGTGGGAAATAGCAGGGGTTGAAGTGTTAAAGTCTCCTGCAACACCCCCAAGAATCCTGATCTGGATTGTTTCCCCCACCCACAGCACCCCAGCAACACCCACAGAAAAAACCCCACCCACAAAATAACCCCACCATTCACACTTTTGCTAATTGTGCAATGGTGTCGTGCTTAGTTTGGCCCCAGCGCTAGTGAAGGATCACACTTGTGTGTAACCTAATCCTAACTGTTCTTTTCTTAACTTTAGAAAAACCTACTTCTGGTGGGGCAATAAGAGAAGTGGCTTCACATATCCACCTAACATTTTCACCTTTCTTAAATCACCCCGCAAATGTTTCTTCTTCTTGCTGAGTCTCAAAATGCAGAACAAAGAACAATGTTCAACTACCAGAGTGGAGGCTCGGATTGGAACAGGGAACTAACTGACTGGCAGGGAAAGTGTTAAACACGGCTCAGCCCCCCAATTTTCTCAGTCCTGGTCACTCCACCAGAAGCAGCAGCTTCATTTTCAGATGAGGTGAAACTGCCATGATGTGCCTGTAATGCTCAGCATGGCTTGAAGAATTTAAGGGCAGGAGCATCCAGATGTCTTGGACCACAACTCCCATCAGCCCCAACCAGCATGGCTAATGGGCAGGAATGATGGAAACTGTAGTCAGACTACACCTGGCTGTCCCCAACCCTGCCTGGGAGGAACAAAGATTGCAGCAGACCTCTTTGGTGGGTCCCCAGCCACTGCCCCCCCCCCCCGGATCCGGCCAAACAAAGGAAAACACTAACGGCTCTAATTAACTTCCGTTGGAAATCTGTATCTGTGTCCCAGCCAAGCATCGCGAGTGATGCTCAGATCACTTCTAAATGTGAATGCAGTAGAGAGAGCAGAGGCAGGCCATTTCTGTGCAGAACCTGCACCCCCATCCAAGTGGCTCTCAAAAGCAATTTACAGCTGCAGCAAATTTTACAATCACTTGTGAAAACACCTCAAGCGTGATAAAATCCCTTAATAGTGCAGTAAGTGAGAAAATAGTATTTTTGTAAGCTTTCCATCGTATTATCTGTTGTGATTACACAAGTGACATTATCGGCAGTGTTTGTGGCTGTCTTGATAGTCCAGACAACCAAACTAGCACTTACGTGGCTGAAATGGAGTTATCGTAATACATATTTTCCTTAATGTAGTGCAGGTGGAACTTGGGAGTATCTGATTTATTTCCCACTAGGGCATCAGCACTTTACCAGCAGCTGGAACAGAGAGGGCCTCTCTAGATCTGATGGAGCTGCTGGGTGGCCACAACTGACCATCTAAGGACAAGAAGCTCCCTTAGATCAAGCCAGGTCCCTGATACACCTCACCAAGCTTCAGCCACTGCAACTGGCAACAGATCTCAGAGGCGTCATCAGGTGAGAGACCTCCTTTGGTCCTGTGACCTGGTGTCCTTTTCTCACCCGAGACACCTCAAATTGATCCCTGGATCATGTGCATGCAAAGCACATGCTCTACCCCCGAGGAGACGTGTGCGTGCGTGGGGATATTGCAGCCCATAAATCTAAGCGGGTTTCAATCCAGAACCAGTAGACAGTCCTCAAAACAAGGGAAATCATTCCACCATTTGTTAGCCTGGATTGTGAACCGGGGACCAGCCCCCTGCTCATTTTGAAGCCTGGAGCAGAAAATCCACAGGGTACCCCCAGTACGTTGAGAAGTTCTCCTGCACAAGCCCCATCAAAAAGAATATGAGATGTGCAAGAGACTCACCATCCTCTTGTACACCTCACAGCGACTTCCAATGAGGAAGAGCTTCTTGGTGGATTGTGCCCCAGGGGTCAGCTCTGTTCTCTTCCCCTTTGCCAGCCTAATGGCACCTGCCCAACCTTGTTCCACCTGCAGGGCAATCCGCTGGCACAGGGGGAGCCAGTCCTTATATTAAAACACCCACCTTCCCCAAAGGCATTTAGTGTCACTCGTTCGTACGGAAAGGAGGTCCCTGGTGCTCAGCTGGCTCCTGGGTCAGATCCTTGCCCAAGAAATCCCACACCCTTCTCCAAGGGCATCTCGGCAGCCGAAACAGCTTGTCTGCTTCAAAGTCCAGAGCAATTTCCGTCAGAGATTAATAGCGGCAATTGGATCAAGCAACCAAAAAACCAGTCCAACCTCCCGTTCCGCAGGTTCCCTGCTTCAGCAAGGGATCAGCACTCTCCCCAGTGCACACCATTATTTCTGAAAGTGACCCGCTGTGCACTAGAAAGCAGTCCATGGGAAACTTCCACGCATGGGCCTGACGTGGCTTGGGACGTTTGCGCTGTGAAGTGGCTGGCATTCAGTGGCAAGCACCTCTCCGTCCCAAAGGGAGCATTTAAAAGGACAGACTATCTTGGTTATATCCTTGGATTCGTGGCTGGGAGGAGGGTTGTCTCACAAATCCTCAGAAAGCATTTCCTCACCTTCCCAAGCAAATCCCATGGGGGAAAAACATTCCAGGGTCCTCAGCCTCTCTTTTTCGCCGTCCAAAGAGATGCCACTGTAAGGAGAAGTTTTCCCTGTGGTGGCAAGAGCAGAGGGAGTAGCGGAAGGCAAGAGGAAGAAGAAAAAGAGGAGAAAGGAGGAGGAAGAAGAAGAGGAGGAGGAAGAAGAGCAGGGAGAAGCATCCAGGAGAGGACCTCAAGACTCTGTCTTCTCTTTCTTTTTGCTCTTTTTCAGAAAGGAGGGGGCCCGGAATTTCTTTTTCTTCTTTGAAGGAGACTTGGATGGGGAGCCCTCGGGTGACACAGGTCCACTGGTGACCGTCTCTGTTTTGTCCTTAGGGGCGTCGGTGTCTGCGTTGGTGGTCATCTGGCTCATTCCTTTGCTGAGCAGGTCCTCTATGTTTTGATCATCGTCCTTGCCGTTCACCACCACTGTGCCTGGGTCGTCCGCCTTCTGGTCAGCTTCGGCAGGCGCCTGGCCACCGTCCGCCTTCTTCCCACCTTTCCAAAAGAAACAAGAAATGAGAGCTGAAGATTCAACTGATGTCGTCTTTGGATTGCACCAGGAGTGATGCAAAACAAGTAGTTCAAGTGCAAGACATAGACGGGAGAGACCTGCTCAGCCAGGAGGCTCACTGGGTGACCTTGGGGCCAGTCCCTGTCTCTCATCCTGATCTACCTCACGGGGTTGTTCTGCAGAAAGGGGCACAGGGGTGTGTGTGAAACAATAATAAAGGGCTAGAACAGATGGGTGACAATACGATTGGGAGTGAGGGGATGGAGAGAATAAATAAGGTGCGTTCAAGAAAACAAACACCAGTAACTAATATTGCTTCCTCACCAAAATGCAACAATTATTATTATTTATTATTATTATTACTACTACTACTACTGTATTAAAATAAATAAATAACTTTTTTATTGTTAAGAATGGCTAACAATAAAACTGTAACATTAGCAAAAGTTAGAACTACAATGCATAATGACTGCCTTTCCTTTGGAGAGCCAGCGGTGGTGCAATGGTTAGTGTTGGAATCTGACCTGGGAGAACCGGGTTCGAATCCCAGCTCAGCCATGAAGCTGGGCCAATCACTACCCCCTCAGCCTAACCTACCCCACAGGGTTGTTGTGAGTATGAAACGGGGAGAGGGAGAACCACCCACACCACCTTGAGCTGCTTGGAAGAAAAGGTGGGTTGTAAATGTAATGAGCACATAAATAACTACTGAAATACTTTGTACAGCAAGAACCATCATGTCATCCAAATGGTGCCTGCTCCAAAGGCCTGCCTGAGCAGAGCCCTTGAGCGGATGCCTGAATGAACGTTGGGATGGGGAGGGACAAGCTGGTCTCAAGAGGAAGAGAGTTCCACACTTGGAGCCTCTCCTGCAGACTGCAAAAGCCTGGGGCTGGCCGGAGCTGCAGAGAGAAGAGGCGCTTCTTCAAGCAGCTGGGTCCAAGTGCCGCCATCTTGAACTGGTCCTGCTGCAGACACTGCAATGCTTTCATGATCAGTGTCATCAGACCCTACTGGACGCGCAGCAGGATTCTGCCCCACTTTTCGAGGGAGCGCACAGCAGTAATCCAAGCAGCAGGTTAGCAAAGCATGAACTACCGTGGGTAGGCTAGTCTCCACAGGGCGGTAGGAGGGCCTGCTAGGGCTGGGCATAGGGACTCGTAGCCGCGGAGGCCACGAGAGTCTCTGTCGACAGTTTGGAATCTAGGAACAGAGGAAGACAGGAATGTGCCTTATACTGAGTCAAACTGCTGGCCCATCAAGCTCACTATTGCCTGCACTGACTGGCAGCAGCTGTCCAGGATTTCAAGCAGGAGTCTCTCCCAGCCCTATCAGGAGCTGCCTTTGAGGACTGGACCTGGGATCTTCTGCTTGCCCAGTGAGCTGCGGTCCAAGCTGCACATCTGTTCCTTTCGGGGGAAGGCTACCTGGTTCGGAACAGGCCATCTAGGGATTTCTCAGATCCAGGAACCCTTACCCACACAGCTTCCACCTTACCAAGATCCTTCCTCAGCTTATTGGCCTTCGTGCAGCCCATACAGCCTCTTCAGATTAAGCCCTCTAGTTCTTTCCTACAGATGTTTAATAGCATATTGGTGTTAAACAGAGCTTTAAAGTGTTCCAAGTGCAATCTATAGGCGCACATTATCTATAACCCTTACAACAACCCCACAGGTAGGGGTTAGGAATATTGCAGATGGCATGGGGTTCAGGCTTAGGGATGGTGGCAAGCACTAAAGGAACCTAGAAAGTTCCCAGCGCATGTGAGATTTGAATATAATACTACTAAAATACTAATAATAATATTTCTACCCCGCCCATCTGGCTGGGTTTCCCCAGCCACTCTGGGCAGCTTCCAGCAAAAGATTAAAAATACATCAGTCATTAAAAACTTCCCTAAACAGGGCTGCCATATAGTTGTTTATTTCTTTGACATCTGATGGGAGGGCGTTCCACAGGGCGGGCGCCACTACCTGGTTCCCTGTAACTTCGCTTCTCACAGTGAGGGAACCGCCAGAAGGCCCTCGGAGCTGAACCTCAGTGTCCGGGCTGAACGATGGGGGTGGAGAAGAAGGGGCTTCCTGGTCTGTTCCTGGATCTCTTATGCTACACCACTTCTTGTACATATTCCGTACTACATGTTACACTAAATATTTTTGCAATATGCCACAAAACACAATGTATTTTTTGCTAATCAGCAGACTGCATATGATGTAGGGGAGCCACCCCAACCATAGAGAGGTTTCTATACTGCTCCAGGGTGGGCCTACTCCATTAACCCATTAGGAAAAGTCTTAACAATGATGAGAGCTGCAACAAAGTCCAACATTCAGTTCTGTTCTGTTCAGTACAAATTTATTACATCTCCCCAGTACAAATGTAGGCTGCAGTACTCTATGAAAGCCTCCTTCCCTTCCCCTGAGTGGAATCAGAAACGGAGACGGGGGCAATTCAGAGAGGCTGCTCAAGAGGCAGTTCAAAGGCTGTTCATCACGAATCCTGCCGTCACATTCATCAGGATGCAATAAAAGAGGCCAAACTACAACGATGGTTGCCACAGGTCCCCCATCCCTGCTATATTATTGTTATTATTATTTACCCATCGCTAACTCTAAGGTCCCAGGGTGGGTTACAACATTGAAACCTTAATATTAAAAACTGTTCCAAACAACTTACAATCACAAAGCAATGGTGGGTCCTAAAAACTTACACCTCAAGTGTCAGAAGCCAGAATAAAGAGGTGCATCTTCAACATTCTCGGGCAACTGTTAAATGATGGTGCCAGACACACCTCTGGGGGCCACCACAAAGATAGCCCTTTCCTCCTGGGCCACCAAGCCTCCGAGGGCAGACAAGCTACCAGGAGGCCCCCCCTCTGCCTATCATAGCACCCAAGGGGGACTGTAGGGAAGGAAGGAAGTCTTTCAGTTATTTGGGGTCTGAGACATTTAGGGCTTTAAATACTAATGTAAGCAGCTTAAATGGGGCCCCGGAACGAACTGGCAACCAGAGCAGCTGTTTTGAAATGAGTTAAAAGAAATTTAAAGGGAACCCCAGCCAGCAGTTTGGCTGCCCCTCTCTAGACAGAGATTCTGGCGGAGGCTTTTCCTAACCATGCTTAGCCAAGACCCTGTTTAACTGGAGCTTTTGGGGACGGATCCTGAAACTCTGCTTGCAAAGCGGATGGCCTGCCACTGCCCTGTGGGCCCTCTTGGCATCATGCAACTGAGTCCATGTTTTACACACGTTTGCAGCTCCAAAAATGAAAGGGTTGCTCAGCCCTGAGATGCTGAAATGGAGGCTGGATTGAGGACCCCGTCCCTCCCCCCGGGAGCAGCTGAAAATTGAGAAAACAGCCTCTCTATACTTACTAAAGTGACAAGTATTCAGAATCAGAGGGAACTCCTTTGATGAGAGCAACACATGGAAAGAGAAAGGAGACAGTGTGGAGACAAGCACACCAAACACAACGAGGCACAAATGAGACAATGCAGGGGAGGGCGGAAGCGACAACACTACACCCCCCCATAGCCACAAGAAACCATGCCCCTCTCGGATCAGGGCCACACTTCCACTACACCCTTGAATAGGGTGGGGCATCACATCCTGGGGAGGGTAAGATTTCATAGCATCACAGAATTGTAGAGTGGAAGGTTCCCCAGGGGTCATCTAGTCCAACCCCCTGCCATGCAGGAATTACAGCTAAAGAGTCCCTGGCAGGTGGCCACCCAAGGAAGGAGGGCCCACCAGAGCAGGGCCAGGAGGGAAGGCAGGCCTTAATTCTCCCCCTGCCAGTAGCTGCTAGAATTAGCTAGCTGCTGCACATCTTGTTATCTTACAGGCACCAGGGGGTGGACCTTTTCCGCTGTGCTGCCCAGCCTTCAGGAGTTGCACCCCACCCCTCGATAAGACATCATCTGGGAATCTTTTAAGACTCTCTTGTTCACCCAAGCATTTGCCAGAAATTAGTGCAGAGGAAACAGATGTACCAGGCCTTGTTAGCAGGGACCCCCGGCTGAAATTCCATTATAAAGAAACAAAAAAGAAGCAAGTCTCATATATCCTAGACTCAGGTATGAAGCAAAAGGTATAGGTACTGTTCTAAGTGGTTTTTGTGGGATGAGCTAGCCTGGCTGCTCCTGCCTTTCAGCGTTTTTAGCCACCCCCATTTCTCCAATCCTATTAAAAGCATCTAATCCAGTGGCCACCAGCTCATCTTGTTGCTGTGAGTTCCAAAGCCTAACCTTTCATGGTGTGAAGAAGCAGGTGCTTGATTCTCAGAGCGCTGCAAAGGCTTCCCTTACCTTCTGAAGTCTTGGGTGGGCTTTTTAACGGAGGCTTGGCTGGGCTCTGGACTGTGGGGTCTGCAGTCGACTCCAAAGGGGCCGTCACCTCTTCCTCCAGGCTTGTGTCTTTCTCACCTGGGAGGAGATGGGAATACAATGGAAGAAAGCATGTCTCAGGATGCCTGGATGTCCACAAGGAGGGAGCAAATCCCCCCATCTCACTGTTTCTAAACTGTTTCGGACACAAAGCTGAAGGAGACTGCCAGGTGTCCTCCTTGCTCCTTTGCAAGGAGAAGGAGGTCTTTCAATCTCCCAGGACAGGGAGTTCAAAGGGAGGCATCACAACTTGCTGGGGGCTGTGGTCATCAGCACAGCAGCCCAAAATTCTGTGCAGCCAAGGCAACATTTCAGGCGGCTCCCCTACTACCAAGCTGGGTTTGAGGTCCCTGTACATCTTAGGTCCAGGGTATCACAGGGATCACCTGAGGCCCTGGATCCCAGCTCAGTCACTGCAGGAGCATTGATGGTAGTTCCTGGCGTTGGTAAGGCTCCTTTGACAACAGCAAGTAACTGAGCCTTTAGTGCCATCAGTCCAGTCCTGTGGAATTTCCTGCCACTAGGGGATGAGTTTACGGAACCAAGGGAGCGGTGGCCCTGAAAAGAGTTGGAAGCCACTGCCCTAGGGATGAACTATTTTTCACTCTGTGATGACTATATCATAGGATAGGTATTATAATACATAATTCTCTCTCTCCAGGGTCAGAGCAAGGCAGTGGACTTTGGACTGTGAGAAGGAGAGTCCTGTTATAGAATGGGGAGGGGTTGGTTTGGATGTCATCTCTCGGTCCCCTCCAAGTCTGTGGTGCTATGTCTGTGAGATGGGATTCTGTAGTAATAAACAACTCACGTGGTAAAAAATAAATGTGGAAAAAATAAAATTCTCCCCCACCCCTGTGTCTCTAGCACACCACCTACAAATTCCTTGGAACCATCCATATCCCCTCCTTCACAACTAATGCTTCTTTCTTCTCTCTCTCAGCTGATGACACAGCACTAATCTCCCCAGAGTGTTTAGGTGGCCCCTATTTTATCAAGGGTCATTAGTTGCTAATACCAAAGCAAGCGCTGTGGTCTTTCAGCCCACTCAAGTTTCTAGTTCTCAGCCGCAACCAGCCCCTGTGCTCCTGAACCAAGATATTTACCATCGAGACCCAGTTTCTTTCTTTCCACTTCCTTCTTGTACTCCTCCAGCTCCTGGTCTGTCAGCTGACTAAAAGGGTTTGGTGGCTCTGGCTCCGGAGGAACCTCGTTGTGGGATACATCCTTCATTTCTCCGTCTGCCAAGTGACTCTCTGTAGACTGCATTGGGAGGCAAGAATGAGGTAAATATGGGGGGGAGCCTGCGGGCAGAACCATGGAGGCTGGAAAGCAGAAAGGTGCCCTGGGCCCACGGATCAATCCTATCATGCTTCGATCCCACCCTTTCTCAGTGGCTGCTCCCAACCTTTGGAACTCCCTTCCTAGTGAAGCTAGACTGGCTCCCTCCTCGTGGTCCTTCTGCCGGCAGGTGAATACCAGTTTATACCGAGAGGGAAGGGAAGGACTTTTAATAGCACCGTCCTGTTTTTATTATTTGTATTTTAATAGATTTGTCTTTTTACATTGTTTAAATTCTATTGGAGTTTAATTACTTTTTAACAATGTTTTCAGCATTTTTATTTTATTTTACCTGTGCTTTAATTTGTGCAAGCCATCTTGAGTCCTGGCCCATGAAAAAGGTGGGACATTGATGATGGTCTAACCCTCCACTGCAAAACATTTCGGCTAAATGGCAGGACGCCTCTTTAAAGGTCATTATAAGATGGCACTGGATGCCCCTATGCCTTTCCAGACTTCACTGTACTCCCTTGCCCTTATGCTTAAAGGCACATCCTTCCATGTGTGGTGGGAGCGTCCGTTGCTTAAAGATTTCTGGACCTGATATCTTTCAATGTCATCCATCATTATAGCATTTATGGAACGTTTAACTCACTCTTGGAGGGTGATAAAAGGATCAGCCAGGAAAGTTGCATTTGACTCTGTATGGTCTCAATTTATATTGTTTATTAACAACAGTACAGTAATCTCCCTTCCCCCTCAGTCATAGCAGCCGCTATGGAGAAATTATCTTAATGCTCTAGACTGAAGTACATCCTGTGGATGGGAGCTTAACCTGGAATGTAAAAGATTTTCCAAATCTGTTTTGATGCCATATGGATAATAGAAGACTTAACATTTGTACATGTATTTGTCCTGGGAGACAACACTTTATGGTTTGTAATTGGTTTTTTTAAAAAATGTCAATATCGTTTGCAAATAATAGTAAAAGTAATAGTAATAGTGAGGGGCCTTTTGTGGGACATTATTACAGTCAAACTCATATTCTGTCAGATAAGCACATGAAGAGGCTGAGGTTCACAGAGCTTTCCTGTTAAATTTGCTAGAGAGAACTCTGTGACATCTCTTCCTTCGTTTGCCTTGGCAGTAAGCTGTAACACTACATCCTTCCTTCCTGCCTGCCTGAGCATCTCTCTCTTTCCCTCATGCCTCCAAGCTGACTACTCAGACAACATTTTGAACTTAGATTTTGTGCTTTTGTAACTTAGTAGTTATAAACCTGCCTTCATTTTGCTACTGTAAACTGCTGCTTCAAGACCCAGGTTAGGTAAGCAAATACTACTTTCACTTCTTCTCAAAACAATGTGTGTGATGGTCATTTTTAAGGGAGAGAAAAGCAGTAATACCAGGGAAAATCCCATCTGCCTTAAAGCATCCTGGATTCTTGTCTGTAGAAAGTTAAATCAACCTTGTCTTAGCTTCCAAGTTAAATGCTGCAAAGGATGGTACTCTGCTGATCTCATAAACGTGAGCAAGGATCCTCTCCTACTGCCTAAATCCATTCCTACACTTTTCAGTGCTAAATTCTTGAGGGTGAAATTTAATTCCCAGTGAGATCAGGAAAGCCCCAACCCTCTATTATTTGAAATGAGCTTAAGCGGTTTAAGTGCTGGGATTCAGCCAAGGAGCCCATGAAGGACTTCCGCTAGTGCAACTGGACTTCCTCCTGCTATCCTCCTCCATGCACACACAATTGACTCTTTGGGGGTCCGGAGATACCCCAGAACTGCAGGGAGGTGGTGTTGGTGAAGAGGACAGATAGTTGCATCAGGCAAGCTTGCACAAACAGAGCGATCTGCTTAGCGCTACTTTGAATCCCCGCCCCCCAGATGTCTATAGAATAAATAAGTAAAATATGCTTGTCCTCATAACAGCCTGGTGAGATCAATGTGGTAGAGAAATGGTGCCTGATTTGGGGTCTCCACCCCAATGACGCTTATGGCACTGGAGCCAGCACCCTCCAGTCGACAGCCATTGGGGGGTGGCAGCTAGATGATCCTCCCAACTTTACAATTCAGTGATGCTATGATTCTATTCCAGGACATTCCCTGCGGGTTTTTGCACCGGGAGGCTCCCTGAATGACAAGTACCGGGCTCCTGCTTTTCTCTGCTATCACGCTGGCGAGCAACTGGGACTGGGGTCCGGCTGATTTCACGTCCTGGCGGTTTTGTTCTCTAATCTGCAAGTGGAAATGAAGGAAAAGAGGAGAAAGTTTGTGGTCTGTGGGATTGAAGCAATGCCCCTGAAGAAGAGAAAGCAACACGCAAAGTTTCTTGGTGCCATCAGGGGCTGTGGATCAGGACCAGGCTCCCTGTTACCAGCACTGATGGGATACCTGGCTGGAGTTCTGACCTAGTCCAGCGCATTGCAGGGGGTGGACTAGGTGACTTCCAACCCTACAATTCTGTGACTCTACGCTGCGTTACACCAGCTCTCCCCATTGTATTTCTGCTAGGGAGAGAGGCTGCGGGGATTCTTCCCCAATACACAATTCCCAGGATTATTTTGGGGATGCCATAGCAACGGAGGCCGTACCAACAGAGATGGAAAGTGTCCAAAGAGCAAATGGGAAGGAGGCGGCTGTACCTTATTCCTCATTTCCAGAACTTCTTGTGGGTCTGTGTAGAGAGGCACAAATTGGTTTGGGTTTTCAATTCGGATCGGTGTTCCACTGCTGGTTTTCTCCACCTCGTCCGCTTTCATCCACTGGGCAGCATGAAAAGTCAAGGGCAAATTGTAAGGGCAAAGGGAGGTCTCTTAAGGGTGGGGAGAGGGCACAGAGGGATTCCTTAGCTGAGATTCTGGCATTGCAAGGGGTTGTGCTGGATTATCCTTGGGGTCCCTTCCAACTCCGCAAATGATCTGCAAAGCTGAGAGGCAGGATGGGATTTGGGGCTTCTGAATTCAAACTGATGAGTCAGCTTTTGCATCCACACTGAGAAAGAGCCCAGATATGTAAAGCTACAGACATTCAGGTTCCTAATTCAGCGAGAAGAGCTTTTCAGATCATTGTGACCCCCATCTTCTCTCGCTCACCTCACTGTGTGGGCCCTGCTGTCATGTGACTAGTCCTCATGAACTGTATAATCTGCCACTACTGAAGGTCACAACTCTTATTACCTATTTCCTGATTGTCACTGAAAACAGAAACGTATGTCCTCTGATTTTCTGAATAGTCCAAGGCAGAAATTTTCTTCAAATGAGTTAAATGGCCTGACTGAATTAAAACAGCTTTTCGAATCTTTAAATTCTCCCCCACAGTGAATATGTTTCATCCTCCTATACCAGCCAGTGGCTGCTACTGGGGGTGGGGGAACGGACGGACCTGGAGGAGTAGCCTCAGCGCAAGAGGACAGAGGTTTGTCACACAAATAATGGGACTCAGAAAAGGGCAGCCAAAATTATCAAGGGGGTTGACTGACTCCCCTGGGAAGAAAAGTTGCAGTATTGGGGACTTTTTAGTGTAGGGAAAAGGTGAGTATGACAGAAGTTTATAGAATAGTGCATGGATAGAAAGCAAGTTTTTATCCTTCTGTCATAACATTACTGAAGCTGAATTCAGAACAGAGAAAAGAAAGTCCTTTTTCACCCAGCACAGTTAAACTATGGAACTGTAGGCGCTGTAACTCTCCAAAGGTGCACTCCTCCACTGTCTCCTGAGACAGATGTCAACCAACCAACTAACCAACCAACCAACTGTCCCCTAAATTTCTGCTGTAGCCAATTGGATGGGGGAAGAGGGCCCTGCCTTTCTTTCAGCATGGAAAATGGTGGCCACTTCGCTTATGTGGAGCATTTCGCAGGGACAAGAGGCAGTGAATGGTGTTCTCCTTACGGTGGTTTTGGTTCTGCTGGCGCTGCCTTGGCTTTCCTCGGCCACATTCACCCGCAGATAAGTGTTAGGTGTGTTCAGCCAGCGGGTCTTCTCCTTCTGCTGCTTCTGGGCATGCTGCCGGAGAGTTGAGATGGGGGCTACGTCCTCCTCAAACACAAAGGCTGTGACCGTGGCTGGGATCTCCACCTCACTCTTGTGCTTGGTTTTCTCCTGGACAAACGGATAGCGGTAGGCGTAGCCGGTCCGGTAGCCCTAGGAAGGACAAAGAGGCTTCCCTGAAGGCTCCCCTGCATGCTGACACAGAGGCAAAAGCTGAAGCTGTGAGGCCACTTGCCTTCTGCACAGAAACTACCTGCTGATGTAGAGCAGGATTTTCAGTCCCCCAAGCCCACCCCAGTTTCTGGAGCTGGTGGCTGTTGGCATGCATGAAAAACGTTTGTATTTTTACTATCTTAGAGATTACCACATTTCCTATCAGTAACATCTACCAAGAGTCAATTGATAGCAGTTCTGATTTATGGGTTAATTAATGGGATCTGGCAGCTTGCAAATGCTCAGCTTGAAGTTATAAAATGGTAACCATCCATTGTTAGACAATTTCGGCAGACGGCATCCAGGAACTCATTGAATTAAGTTGGGGAAAGGTTTGCTAAAGCCAGGGTGGGAAACCTCAGTGGCCCTCAAGTCACTCTATGTGGCCCTTGGGTTTCTCCCCACCACACCCCCTGCTGTGCCTCTCCTGGAGTGCTTTTGCCCTGGAGTGTGGGGGTGTCAAAGCCACCCTGCTTACGGACTCATTGTTAAAACCGTGTTTATGGAAGACCATCTTACTCGGCTCTGAGTGATCGCCAAAGAAGAAGACTGTTCCAAGGTAACATCTGCATCAATTGCTCTGCCCATTTTTGCCTCTGGCCCCACCCACCGCTGGCATGTGGGTCCCAGAAGGTTCCCCAGAAGGAAACGCATCCCTCAGGTGGGAAGAGGCTCCCCTGCACTAGACAGAGAAAGTGAGGATGGGACACATGTCCAGGAAAATGGGCGCTGTGGCATCTGCGCTTGCAAACGCACCAGGTTGTCGAGCATCCTCATCAGAGCCTCAAACTCGTGCTCTCCCAGCCGGCTCTTCTGCATGGGTCCAAAGGTACTGCCGGCCCATCGGACAGAGCCAACGTCATGGGGCCGGTGCTTCTCTCGCTCCAGGACTATCAGATTCTCTGCTCCGCCGGCACTGGACAAGGCTGAGACCTGGAAAGATGCAAACCACAAGAGAGGCCATTTATCCACATGTGGTGTCCAAGCCAAATATCTGAGCACCAAGAGAATATCTGGAGAATAATTCAGAGATCAAAAAGTGCCGGGGAGAACCAGTTGGGAGCCAATTTGTTGCAGCCCCAGCAGGAGCCCAAGGGTGCGGGGAGGGGGGGCAAGACAGTAGCATCCTTTGGTCATCAAGGAAGTGTGGAAGGAGCCCATGCATTGCCACCCTTCCACCTGCAGACGGCGCTCATGCGCTGGGCCTTGGCACATGGCTGACCTAGTTTTTTCCAGCTGAAGAAGTAGGCTGATGCTCAGAGGGGCAGACAATGGCACTGAGCATCAAAGGCAGGAATTGCAGGAAGTCCAACCTGCCTCCCCCCACCCCCACCCTGCCTGGGGTTGCAGAGCTTATTAGTTCCTGACAAGGGCGGGCAGAGCCAGAACGACAGAGAAGAGGGCCGGGGAAGACTGTTGCCTTTTGGGGATAACATTTTTACAGCCCCAGAAGAGGAAATAGCTGATGAAGCCCACCTGTGTAAATAATAATACAATTGAATAATTTATGGAGTATGAAGCTTGATGTTCTATTCTTTAACTTTCTGCCTATGCAAAAAAGTAAACATTACCAAGTAAAGCAGGTGCAATACTCTCCGTGATGCTTTTCAATATCTTTATGCGCCCTCTCGCCCAGCTTGTCCGGAGTTTTGGGCTGGGCTGCCATCAGTATGCTGATGACACCCAACTCTATCTGTTGATGGATCCTGACTCGGCCCCAGACACATTGATCAGATGTTTAGAAGCTGTGGCTGGATGGTTACGTGGGAACCGGTTGAAGTTAAATCCTTCGAAGACAGAGGTCCTTTGGCTGGGTCGGGACGATATGGGATTGGGGGGGGCAACTCCCATCTCTTGCGGGGGCGCAATTAGTGCCAGCACCGTCAGTTAAGAGTTTGGGTGTAATCTTTGACACCACCCTTTCCATGGAGGCGCAGATTGCAGCTAAAACAAAGGCGGCATTTTTTCATCTCTGCCAAGCTAAGCAGTTGGCTCCTTACCTCTCTCGCCCTGACCTAGCCACTGTGATCCACGCGACGGTCACCTCCAGACTGGATTATTGTAACTTGCTCTATGTTGGGCTACCCTTGAGACTGACCCAGAAACTCCAGCGGGTGCAGAATGCCACGGCGAGACTCCTTACGGGGTCCTCACTGCGGGATCACATTCACCCGGTGCTATACCAGCTGCACTGGCTCCCGGTGGAGTACAGGATCAGGTTTAAGGTGTTGGTTTTAACCTTTAAAGCCCTATACGGCCTAGGACCCTCGTACCTACGGGACCGCCTCTTCTGGTATGTCCCACGGAGGACTTTACGGTCTTCCAATAAAAACATCTTGGAGATCCCGGGCCACAGGGAGGTTAGGCTGGCCTCAACCAGAGCCAGGGCTTTTTCGGCTGTGGCCCCGATCTGGTGGAACACTCTGTCACAAGAGACTAGGGCCCTGCGGGACTTGACATCTTTCCGCAGGGCCTGCAAGACAGAGCTGTTCCACCAGGCCTTTGGCCAAGGCACAGCCTGGCCCCTTCCTTTGGTAATTCTTCACAGAACTCTAGCCGAATGGTTGCCATCAATTTGATTTTAACTGATTTTATAATGAATTGATTTTAGAATGCTGTATTATTTTACTGTTGTTAGCCACTCTGAGCCCGGCTTCGGCTGGGTAGGGTGGGATATAAATAAAATGTTATTATTATTATTATTATTAAATTATGCAAAGCAAGAAAATGGGTGCAACTTTTTAAATTTTTTTGCAGATCTTAGCAGGAACCAGCTTGGAGGAAGGGAGGGGGAGTTTTCCCTTTCTTCTGAGATTCATCAGCATAGAGTGGGGTAGTGATTTTCTTTAGGATCATGACTGGAGCATGGAGGGTTAAACTCCCCCCCCCGCAGTGGAAATAGTGCCCCTCTTGGCTTAATTGCTAATTTATTTATTTGTTACATTTATACCCCACCTTTCCCTGAAGGAGCTCAGAGCGGCAGACATAGTTCTCCCCCTCCTCATTTTATCATCACAACAACCCTGTGAGGTAGGTTAGGTGACAGGGCCCTGTAATGTTGGGGCTGGTGGGTTTTGTACTCCAAAATGCCTGGAGGGCACCAGGCTGGGGAAGGACAACGTTCAACCGGCACTTTCCCTCTTCAAAGGCTCTTACCATCCCCAAGCTGCAAATGCGAAGCTGAGCTTGAGAAAAGCAGGCTTTCCTAAAGCGTCCCAGAGAGTTCAGAACAGAAGCGTGATTTTCACTGGGGACTTCACAGCTGCCAGGAACCACCATACTCTGCCAAATTTCACTCTGCAGCATGTTAGGAGGAACACAATGTTCCTTCCATACCACAACTTCTGTAGGAGAAAAACATCATTTCCCTGTGCCTAAAAATTCAATTATTGCAGCTGAAGCTACTAAGATGCTACTTGGTTGTAGCCAGCTAAGAACTACTCAGAGTAGGTGCACAGGAATGAAGGAAACTACATCAGTTATGTCCACTAATTCCATGGGATCTACTTGGAATGTGGCTAATATTGGAAATAAACCATTGCTAATTTAACAGGGGTATGCGTGTGTGTGTCATATGTGTGACGTGTGTGAAGGCACAACCAGATGCCTTCATCTGCTCCAACTGCAACAAAACAGGTATTTCCCATAACAGTCTCTACAGTCAGAGCAGGTGCTGCAAGCTTCGAACAGTTGGACCTCACCCCCAAAGGCGTCCTCTTCCATTGTTTCCAAGACAGGTGGAAGCCAACCAACATGCGTTAACATATACACTATCAATAGTAACTGATACAAACTATCAATATCAATGGATATTGCTTACTTTAGAATGGTTTTAAAATACTGTCACATGAGTATTCTCAGAATGAATTATCTGGGTTGGTTGCCACCTTGTGAACTTAAATGAACTGGCATTAGACTGACTAGAGTGAGGATGTCCTGATGTGCATGTTTGCTCCTGTGGTGTTACTGTGGCTGCTTTGGACATGCTTACGTGGAGAAAGGACATACAGTAGATTCCGGCATATAAGACAACTTCTTAACCCCAGAAAAGAGGTTAAAAAGTCAGGGGTCGTCTTATATGCCGGGTATGGGCGGCGCAGAGTGGAGCCTGTCCACTGCTGCTTCGGAAGCAGCAGCGGCGGCGGCGGCAGGCTTTTCTCCTCGCCGGGTGGCTTTCTCCCGGCGTGGAGCTACCCAGTGTATTAGGCGACTGGGCTTATAAGACGAACCCCCAAATTGAAGCTGCCAATTTGGGGGGGGGGTCGTCTAATACGCCCAACTGCCTAATACGCCAGAATCTGTGGCACACAAATTGAAATAATAATGGTGTCTCTAATGCTGTAAGGGGTCCCTTTACCTTTACCTTTAATGCTGTCAAGCAGTTGGAGTAGATGACCCTTTGAGTCCCTTCCAACTCTATAATTATATGATTAGATAAAACGTGCCTGGTGACTAAAAGAAGGGTGTGGGTGGGTGTGCTCTGCTGCTCACCTGCACTTCACAGGCAGCCTGCAAATGGAAGATCTTGTAGAAGGCTTCTTCCACCGTGTCTCCCAAGGCCACCACACCATGATTCCGCAACACTAGAACCTGCCAAGAGAAGGAAGGAGAAAGGGTCAGTGAAAATGGGGAAAGCCATAGGTGCTCCTCAATTCTGTATAATTTTTCACACTGCCTCTTGCCCGAGGATTTCAAAAAGTCTGGCTAAGCCCTACTTCAGAGGTCTAGATCCCAAATGCCAGCTCCTCCACAGTTCCGCATGTCCGGCCGTCCCCCCTGCCCCCACCAGGGAAACTGGCACTTTACCATTGAATCAGAGCAAACATCAGTCAGGTTTTCTGTGAATTGATGCTTCCTCTGGTTCCGTGTTAAAGAGCAGGTTTTCCTGGGGAAAGTCGTGAGGCAAACAGACAGAAAACCACTTGGACCCCTGCCTGGAATGCATGGGGCAAGCAGAAACCCTCTTGCACCTGGGCTTTCTGGGCACAAACAAGCAGTGTGGACAATCCCTAAGGGCTGTTTGATGCGCCACAGTGCCAGAGGATGCTGAAGCCTGAATGCTACCTCTCAACCCTCACCTTGCAGGTGGGTCCTAGACACTTCTGCAACTCGATTCTGTCCGCTTCTTCCTCCATCTCCCCGTTGAAGTCAAAGTACACCATGTTCCCTGCCAGCAGTGCATCGTGGGAAATGGGCAAGAGGCCGTGCTTCATGGCAGACACCTGGGAAGGAAGAGAGGGCAGAGACAGAGAGGCAAAGATGAGCAGGTAGAGCCTTCCCTTGTCTTTCCATTGACGCATCTACACTGTGCCTTGGATGGGCAACAGAGGTGGGCCTGACCTTTGCACCGTAGGTCACATCCCAGGCATGCTAGAGTCAGAGATTTCTCCATCCCCCCCTTCCAGGCAAGCGAAGGGTATCCTAGTGCAAGGGCCCCTTCCAGCCAGGCAAAAGCACCCGGTGGCAAAAAGTGCCTTTTACCAACTGCAGTTGCTCCAACAGTTGTGGCCATTCCTGGACTGGGAAAGCCTGGGCACAGTAATTCATTGGTTACTTCAAGGCTGGATTACTGCAATGCATTCTATGTGGGGCTTCCCTTGTACTTGATACGGAAGTTTCAGTTAATGTGCAATGCTGCAGCATGATCGCTGACAGGATCGAGGCCTTGTCAGCATACAACACGTGCGTTCATAGATCTGCACTGGTTGGCAATTTGCTACCAGGCCAGGTTCAAGGTGTGACTATTAGCATATAAAGCCCTTAACAACTTGGGACCTGTTCTGTATGTGAGATGGCCTTACCCCGCCTGTGCCCGCTCGACTGCTTTGAATGGAACTGGCACTGTTACAGGGGCCACATAATACCCCTTCCACATCTCTAAGGACGCCATCTTTTAGTGTGGCAGCACCAACACTTTGGAACTCCCTCCCTATTGACATCAGCCTTCACTGTACTCTTTCGGGCGCCTGCTAAAACATTTTTTTGTTTAGACAAGCCCACCCAGATGCTTAGGAAGTTGTTGCGAGCCTTGTTGGTGGTTGCATAGGAGTCATGAGTTTCTGCTCTCCTCCCACCCACCCACAAGCCTGGAATCTAGCCATTTTCTGTCCCTTCCCTTAACACAGGGGTGCCCAAACTTTTTTCAAAGAGGGCCAGATTTGATGAAGTGAACATGCATGAGGGCCGACCAGGTTGTTTAGCTTTTTTACGATTTTACCCCAAAACTGTTGAGCAGTCACAGTCCCCTGCAGTTTTCCCAATGACTGCAAAGCAGTGCAAGAGTCCTATATCCATCCAGCTCCTTCAGGGAGGTGGAATCTACCAGCCAATCTACTTAAGGCTTCTTCAGCTGGCTATAGCTCTTTGCAGAGACTACAGCCTCCATAGCTGATTCAGAAGCTGTCCAAGGTCCTGATCTTGACTGAGCCTAGACTTTGACTGGACCCTGCCTGATTCCTGGCCATAGAACCAGGTGCAGGAATTCTGTTCCTCTTCCCTGTCTCATTTGCTGCTTTGTGGTTTCCTCTAAACTTCTCATTTCTCTTCTCCTGCCACCTCTGTACTGCTGGCGAGTATTCTCCCTAAAACCCAGAGCCAGTGCATAGTTAAACTATGGAACTCCCTCCCACAGGAGGAAGTGATGACTTGGAGGGCTTTAAAAGAGGATGGGACAAGTTCATGGAGGAGTAGAGGACTATTGGTGGCTACGAGCCATGGTGGCTGGACTCTGCCTCCACAGTTGGAGGCAATCGCTGGAAACCACAGGAGGGGAGAGCGCTCTTGCGTTTGAATCCTGCTTGCTGGTTTCCCAATGGTGTCTGGTTGGTCCCTGCGAGGACAAGATGCTGGACTAGATGGGCCTTTGGTCTGATCCAGCAGGCGCTTCTGATGTTCTTATTTGAATAAACTCAAAAGATGCCCTAGTTTACACGATGCCTTCCAGATAGCACTGTTGGGTTCAGTGTTGGGCATCCTGGATACTGTGAAACTGGGGTCCCCCTGACTATTCCTAAGACCTTCTCCCATTCAGAGTCTCCCAGAGTCTCTGCAGTGCACAAGGAGGGATGGAGAGGCCAAGCTGTTCCAAGCTTAATGCTCTTCTATAAATCAGCCTCGGAGCGAGCCCAAATGTCTGGGCAGGAGGCTCTGTCTGCTGTTTCTCGTTGCTCTGTCAGCAAGACGAATGGACAGCGTTCCTTACTGCAGCAGTGGCTGGCGTGTGCAGATGGATGATGCATCTCACGTCTGGTCTGGCTGCATAGATGGCAGAGTGCAGGCTGAACCTACGGGTATCCACTGGGAAGCTGGTGCTGCCAGCCTCCACCACTTCTCCCAGGATGTTCACTTTAACCTGCAGTGCAAAAGAAAAGGTGGAAGCACAGATGGGTGAGACGTTAGGGTGCTGAATTGCACCCTAAAGGTGACGCCTGGATGGCAGCTTCCTTTTGGGGATAGAGGGGGTAGGGGACACAGTCTTTCCCAAACCAGGTGGCAAGCTAGGTTGACATGTGCCATGATAAATACATTTTTGACAATATTCAAACCCTAACCCTAACCCTCCCCCAAGGACAGACAATTCTTAACCTTACCCATTCTAAGAAGAAATATTTTCAGTCACAAGAGTGACAGGTACTTCCCATTTTAATTCAGACCCAGAGTGTGCCCTTTTATCAGAATTCTGCACTTTCTCATTTTACCCCCTCTCAATTCACACCCGGCCCCAGCAATCCTTTGCACATCAGACAGCAAAATATGAAACAGAGACCTCACCCATCCAAGCCTCTCTACAGTTGGTGATTCCTTGGGTTTATAAGGCTTACATTGCCTCCTCCAACCTCCAGGTATTTTAGTCTCCAATTCCTATCAGCTGACCAAGTCATTTGCCCTCCATGATGCCAAGGGAACTGGGGGCGAAGACTCCGCCCATGCCTCCCATGATGTGTTGTCTGACCCTCAAGGGAGATGTTGTGCTTATTTATTAATAATGCCTTAAGCGTGAAGATGCTCAAACCCTCAAGTTAGCTAGTTTTGGCAATGGAGAGAGGAAGAGGGGTCTTGTGTGCTCACCAGGCTAGAAGCTGTAACTTCAGGACAGGAAAGGCCCACAGGGCAAATCAGGAAGTGGTCCTGTTCTTTGCTGACTCTCAGCTGTGAAAGGAAGACCAGAAGAGAATGGTGAGCTCGTCTTCATTTCCTTGGGCTCCTGTGGCCTCCTTCTTCCCTAGGGAAATTAAGGTCAGAAGGCTCTTCCATTCATTTCGTTATTTCCCCCTGAGTCTTCATCCACCTTTAAGACACCGTTTATTTCTGCCATTTCTTACTATAAGATCCCAGGATGGCTTATGACAATATAATTTACTGTTATAAAAACAGATAAAACAATTACAGGTATAAAAACAAGTAAAACTGTTCCAGTCAGCTCAGAACAGTGTAAATTATGCCAAAGAGGTGGGTCCCACAAAACAAAAAACAAAACAAAACAAAACACACCCTAACTGCAAAGGGTGTCAGTATCTGGTGAAACCTAGACAATGAAGATGGTAGAACACCTCTATGGGGAGGGAGGTCCACGGTTTAGTGGCTACCGCAGGGGAAGTCCTCTCCCGAGCTGCCATTTCCTGGGCGGAACATCCAAGAGGGTCAGCAGAGATAGAGACCATCTTTCAGATATTTGGGGCCTAAGCCACTCAGGGCTTTAAATACTGTTGCACGTCACCACAATCTTTGAGTGTTGAAAGACTGACTCCAGGGGTTCCAGGCACTTATGTTCCTTGGAAGGAAGGTCAGCAGAGACTGTGGTGTCTTTAGGATGTATGATTTCATTTACAAGCATCTACAACCTGAGCATAAGATGGAGGGGCTCACAGCACTTACACCCCAACAGATCTTGCTTCTCTATTAGTCACGGCTTTGGATCCAGCACAGAGCAAGCTGGTCCCTGTGTCTCCAGCTTCCAGCCTGCTTCCAGCTCAGCCCTTTCACACACACTCTGGCTATTGTTTTCTTACCTAGAAGCTGGGTGAGGGGGGTGGAGGAAAGAGGCAGCTTAGCCTGGAGGGGCACCTCACTTAGCTGTAGCTTTTACACCCTAGCTCATTCTTTTGGGACAGTTAAGGTCACTGTCTTAAAAAGAAACTTGTCTGACCAGTTCGGCAACCACCTGTTAGATTTTAATCCTCACTGGGTACAGGAGAATTAGCAGGGACTCAGGGCATCATCCAAACTGACCCCACCAAACACACAACAATATCATTGCAAGGACCTTCTTGGGCCTGGAAACAAACTGGCGCACCGTTGCCTTGAGCCAAAGGGGATAAAGTGGGCATTGACCAAGAAAAAGGAGATTTCAAGGCGCCTTGTTTCCTGGCCACTGAAGGAGCCCCTGAGCAAAGTGGGTGGTGGGTGGCAGGGAAGGGATCCCTCACCGTGACGCAGGTGCTGCTGAGCTGCGCCCAGCCATAGAGGTCCAGCAGCCGGTAGACGCTGCTGACTTTGCAGCGCATGAGCCTCTCCCCTTTGGCGAAGGACGTTGAGTCAATGCCCTGGAGGTCATTGATGGGGGTCACCGTGGAGAGGTCTGCAGGAGAGAAAGCGCACAGGAGGGGTCAGCTGGTTAAACAAACACAGTCAAGGCATCGCTGGAGCTGGGTGAGACGGTCCATTTGCATGTTCCACCCATGGCTCTGGAAAAGCACATTGCCTCTCACTTTCCTCTATTCCTTGTGGATGATTTAATTTTCTATTTGAAACAGAGGTGGGGAATCTATTTGACACCACAGGACACATTCTTATCCAGATAGGCCTTGCAGACCAAATTTGACAGGTGGGTGGGAAATTGCTTGATGTCACAATGACGCCAGATTCAAGGTGCCTTGAAGTTCTGAAATCAGGACTTCAAAGCACCATTTAAGATACTGCTGAAATGAAGACCCCCTTCTGGCTTTAGCAAACAATTATGAATCTGGAAGAACATATGAAGAGTGTTCTGGATCAGGCCAATGGCCCATCTAGTCCAGGATCCTGTTCTCCCATTGCTGCCTCTGACCATGAAAGCAGAGCAGAGCCATTGTGGCTCATAGCGATATGGCTTTGCCCTGGCCTCTTTTAAAGCCATGCAAGTTGGTGGCCATCACTGCCTCCTGTGGGAGTGAGTTCCATAGTTTAACTCTGTGCTGTGTGAAGGAGGACTTTCCTTTATCTGTCTTGAAGGGGCTGGCATCAGATGCCCTGCTAAAATGGAGGGGGACCACTTCAATTTAGCCGGGGACTTGACGCAAGTGACTTTCTGAATCAGGAAAGCGTTTGCATGGAATCTGGTCAAACTGAGCAGGGCTCAACCCCACCCCCACCCCACTGGTCAGCTGGCGGGCAGGGAGTTACAGGTGAAACTCGGAAAATTAGAATATCGTGGAAAAGTTCATTATTTCAGTAATTCAACTTAAAAGGTGAAACTAATATATGAGATAGACACATGACATGCAAAGCGAGATATGTCAAGCCTTTATTTGTTATAATTGTGATGATCATGGCATACAGCTGATGAAAACCCCAAATTAACAATCTTAGAAAATTACTGCCTCAGTGCGGTGTGGCATGGATTTTGCATCTCATTTGGAAACCAAGGACCCAGAGTCTGGAGGAAGAATGGGGAGGCACACAATGCCAGATGCTTGAAGTCCAGTGTGAAGTTTCCACAGTCTGTGTTGATTTGGGGAGCCATGTCATCAGCTGGTATTGGTCCACTGTGCTTCATTAAGTCCAGGGTCAACGCAGCCGTATACCAGGAGATTTTGGAGCACTTCATGCTTCCTTCCGCAGACGAGCTTTATGGGGATGCTGACTTCATTTTCCAGCAGGACTTTGGCACCTGCCCACACTGCCCAAAGTACCAAAACCTGGTTCAATGCCCATGGGATTGCTGTGCTTGAATGGCCAGCAAACTCGCCTGACCTGAACCCCATAGAGAATCTATGGGGCATTGCCAAGAGAAAGATGAGAGACATGAGACCGAGCAATGCAGAAGAGCTGAAGGCTGCTATTGAAGCTTCCTGGTCTTCCATAACACCTCAGCAGTGCCACAGGCTGATAGCATCCATGCCACGCCGCATTGAGGCAGGAATTGATGCAAAAGGGGCCCAAACCAAGTACTGAGCACATATGCATGCTTCTACTTCTCAGAGGTCCAATATTGCTCTATTTGCAGTACTTGTTTTGCTGATTTCATTTAATATTCTAATTTTCTGAGATTGTTAATTTGGGGTTTTCATCAGCTGTACGCCATGATCATCACAATTGTAGCAAATAAAGGCTTGACATATCTCGCTTTGCATGTCATGAGTCTATCTCATATATTAGTTTCACCTTTTAAGTTGAATTACTGAAATAAATGAACGATATTCTACGATATTCTAATTTTCCGAGTTTCACCTGTAAATCCTGCTGCTTTGGTTACAGGCACCTGTTCCTGGCTGGAAACAGGCATGAGCAGCCAATGCAGGATTTAATTCTGACCTTCTGGCCCATCAGCTGACCTTACAACCATTTGGCTAGGCCAAACCATCACTTCCTCCTACCATTTCAGGAGAAAGACCCTCCCTCACTGGACGTCAAGTATCTCAAGGGACAGGATGGAGAGAGAGGAAGGCGGTCAGGAATTGTGGCTGGGGTGAGGGTAGCTGCAGAACGAAGAGCTGGATCCCTTTTGGGGCTGGCGGCTCATGTGTCGGGTGGGTGGGGGTTTCTGCAGAAGTGAATGCTGAGAGCAATGCGCGGGTCCGCCAAATTCAAAACAAGGTTGAAAAGTGTGGGGGGGGGGGGGGGAGGTGGCCAGGCCAGGGTGCAGTGTGGGGCCAAAGGCTGAGCACACCATACATTTAAACCCCTGTGACACCACTTTAAACAGTCACAGCTTCCCCCAAAAAACTTCTGGGAGCTGTAGTTTGTTAAGGGTCCTGAGCATTGTTAGGAGACCTCTTCCCTATTCCCCTCCCAGAGCTACCGTTCTCCATGGAGAGGGGCTGATTATTAGACCGCTCTAGGCCTTGTAGTTCTGGGAGGGGAATAGGGGTCTCTTCACAACGCTCAGCCCCATATATATTCTTTGGGGGAAGCCGTACGTGTTTAAAAAGTGGTATGACATTCCTTCAGATGTAATGGTGTGAATGACACCTGTGTGGTGGCCAGGAGGCTTGTGTTGATGTGAGGCACAGGCAGATTTGTAGGCAAAAGGAGGGAGGGGGGAGGAAAGGGGCTCAGGAGACGGAGAAGGTGCTTTGGCACCAGACCCATTCATACAAGGGATGCCAACTTACTCAAGGGTGAAGGTGGGAAGACGGAAGGGGCAGTGCTGGCCATGAAGTCTGCAATCTGCCGGAGGGCCCAGATATTGGAGTTGTTTCCTTTCTTCATTTGCTCCTGGATGAGGCTCTCCAGCTCCTCCCTGAAAGACTGGGGTGGGGGAAACCCACAGAGACCCTGAATGATCCAGGCTGCAGCAGCTCTGAGTCCTCCTCCTCCTCCTCCTCTGTACCCTTCAAACTCTGACATTCGTTTGCTCAAGAATGACCACTTCATTCATTTGGATATTCAAGAACCAGAGAGAGACCCTTTCATCTACCCAGGAAGACTCTCTGGCTGGTCCGAAAGTGGTCTGTCTTACAATAAAGGGAGACTTCATTGTAAAACCACTGCAGGGCAGACCCATCCATGAGAAGTGGTGCCACTGTTTTTTGGGCAAGATCTTGTGAGATCTCACCCACGTCCCGCAAGATCTCGCCAGAACCAACCTCTGCTCAGCTAGGCAAGGGATGCTTTGGCGGCAGGGCAGCGTAGCTTTTCCTGTTTCACCTCAAATGGTGCAATGGGATGAATCATCCCTGAACCACTGAAGGACTCTGGATTCAATCACAGTAATGGCTTTCTATCCCACTGCAGCTGTTAATTAACTTCACAGCGCTGGGATCATTGTTAATCTTTAAGGTACCCACATAATTTGGGGAAATGAGAAGTGGAATTGTAACATTTATTGGTTTCCATAGCCGTGTGTGTGGTAAGGGGGGCGGGCTTTCCTATTGCCAGGAGTCAGAAACCCTTATTGATCAACTGCAAATCACTCAGGAGATCAGCTAGTAGACCCAAATATGCACAGGTCCTGAATCAAGCACAGGAGGAAAGTTTGAACAAAAGAATGTAAAGAATTACTTTGATAAAATGCATATTTTGTTATGTGCAAATGGCTTTAGATCCTATTAGGTCCATAAATTACCATATAGCATATATTCAACACAAAAAACAGTGACAATTTGTTGTTGACAAAGGACAGTTGGACATATAAAGGGCCCCAATACCTTCAGTAGCTTAGGGCCTCATCAAACCTAAATCTGGCCCTGCCTGTAGCCCAGAGCAGGTCATGTGGCCCTGCCTCAAGGTCAGACATGCTCACCGGCTCAAGCTGAGCCCTGCTGTTCCTGAGGGGAATGGCTCTTGCCTTGCTGCACAATGTCCCCCCGCCCGTCAAATCTGGCTTGCGCCACTGAGGTGGGTGATACTCACAGGGCTTTGCAGAATCATGGTGACCCTTTTCTTCTGCTCCATCAGGTTGAAGTCTTGGCGCAGGTCGGCAGCCATGTTCCTGATGCGCAGGTACTCAGGGTCATCTTCTGCGAACCGGTCGAAGTAATGCTGGCTTTGGGTGGGGAGGGAGGAGACCTCCTCGGGGATGGTCTCGCTGCTCATTTTGGATGTTCTAGTCTACTTTGGGGGCCTGCACAAACAAAGATGGAAAGGCCAATCACATCCTCTCTCTCTAAAATCCTAGAACCACAGAAGTGCAGAGCTGGAAGGGACACCCAAGGGTCATCTAGTCCAAATGTCTGCAATGCAGGAATCACAGTTGAACAATCCCTGACAGATGGCCATCCAATCTCTGTTTAAAAACCTCCAGCGAAGGAGAGTCCATCACCTTCCAACTGCCATACAGCTCTTGCCCTCAGAAAGTTCTTCCTCGTGTTTAGTTGGAATCTCCTTCCGTGTCATTTGAATCCTACCCTCTGGAGCAGCAAAAAACAGGCTTGTTCTATCTACCATGTGGCACAGCCCTTCGGATATTTGAAGGTGGCTATTATGTCATCCACACTTCCCTTTGTCCCACAATTTCTTCCATTGCTCCGTGACTCCAAGGCACAAGTCCAAGAGGTTTTCCCTTTGTCCTGCCTCTTTCCCCGAGAAAACCCACTGTTTACCGCTGAATCGGAACAGAAGCCAACCCACAGGAAACCTGATTGATGAGCCCAGGCTAACCATACCCAGCTCCCTCCCAAGGCTTGGTTTCCAGACCCTTCATCATCTTGGTCACCCTCCTCCGCACACCTTCCAGCTCTAATATCAACACAGCAATGTTAAGAAATTGCCCAAGCCTCCTTTCCAAGAATCCAGCACTTTAATGTCAGAACGCACCTCTTGACAATGCTTGAGGGGGGTTATATACTTCTAGGATCACAGGGGGAAGTGGGCAGGGTGTGTGTGTGGGGGAGCTGCAGGCTGAGTCACAAACAACTGCAGCTTTATCGGGACATCAGGCTGACAGAAAGCCCCGGCGTAAATTACACATTGCAGCAAATCTTCTCTGTTCATTATTGCTAAAAACGTTTAATTACAACCAAGGAGCCCAGATGGCATGTGGCTTGAAGGCAAAAGCACGTGAGTCTCTTACTTCCAGCAAGAAGAGTAGGCAGAAAACCTAGAGAGACCTGAAACCGTTACTCATCTGGTCGCCTGTGGCAAGGAAAAATCTTCTCCAGGGGACCAAGCCTAACAAAAAGCCACAAATTACTTACTCAAAGTATATGTGGTCAGGGAGGAAGAGAACATTATTTGCACGGTTGTAATGCTCTTATTGCGGGTGGCACTGTGGGTTAAACCACAGAGCCTAGGACTTGCTGATCAGAAGGTTGGCAGTTCGAATCCCCGCAACGGGGTGAGCTCCCATTGTTCGGTCCCTGCTTATGCCAACCTAGCAGTTTGAAAGCACATCAAGGTGCAAGTAGATAAATAGGTACTGCTCCGGTGGGAAGGTAAACGGTGTTTCCGTGCGCTGCTCTGGTTCGCCAGAAGCGCCTTAGTCATGCTGGCCACATGACCTGGAAGCTGTCTGCAGACAAATGCCGGCTCCCTCGGCCAATAAAGCGAGATGAGCGCTGCAACCCCAGAGTCGGCCACGACTGGACCTAATGGCCAGGGGTCCCTTTACCTTTAATGCTCTTATTGCACTACTTACAAGCAGCTGGACCAGCCTAAGTGTTTTGTGCCACATATGATTCTCCCTCCCAGCAGAGCATCCAGCACAATCAACCTGCCCCCCCATGTCCGTGAAGGCTGCTAGGAGGATATGCTGTTCCCTTGTGTGTACTAGGTCAGACTTGCTCCCTTCCCTTCTGCCATCCCTCATGGCATCCGTAATCTGCCAGCTGAGAGGGTCTGCTTCCCTTGGTCTCATGGTATGGCCAGCCCCTGACAAACAGGGCTGCAAACAGGAAAGGTGTGTTTTACTTATTTATTTCAGAAAATTTATATACTGCTTGACTGTAAAAAAAACCAAAAACATTGTTAGTAAGAAGACTTAACTGTGTTCATGCACTGAAAATCAATGAACAAAATATGAAGAATTAACAGCAAAAATGCAAGACATTCGAAAAGTTGACATAACAGTAGACTAAAGACAGATCGAAACCTGTATGAACTTTCCAAATGTCTCGGTAGGTTTGTCTGACCAAGAAGGTTTTAGCAAGTGCTGAGAAGAGTTCAGTGAAGGAGCCTGACTGCTGTCAAGAGGCAGGGAGTTCCAGAGGGTAGCTGCTACTACTGCTGCTGCACTAAAAGATTGGTTCCATGCAAATGGAGAAGGGGTCTTATGTGACACCTGTAACAGAGCCAGTCTCGCCAATTGAAGCTGTCAGGTGGGCGTACATGGGCGAGGCGATCTCACAGGTAAACTGGTCCCAAGCTATTATACTAATATACTATATATATATATAGAGAGAGAGAGAGAGACACACACACACACATTAATAGTAACACTACGAACTTTGCCCAGAAGCAAACTGGCAGCCAGTGCAAGACCCTGTGCTGACAAGGCCTTATGTAGCACATCCCCTGCCAGACAGGACTATGGAGCAGAATTTCATTCCTTGGGCTTCTGAGTTTGCATGTGTGTGTGTCTGGGGCACATCTCTCACTCTCACTCGTCTAAATATTTGAACACATGCTGCCTGTTAGCATCGATGTATGGACCAAAAACCCAACACCCACTGTGTTCACACAACATTCCTTTCTAGAATCAATGGAGGCAGAGTGCTTGTTTTTCCCACGTAGTTTGTTCACAATCCTGATATATTGCACATTATTCTTGCCCCTGAAGACTGCTTCCTGAGAAACTGGTTTCATTTTTAATATAAGAACTCAGCTCGATTCTGCATTACCCTGCAGCACATCCATTTGAAAACAGAGGAAGACAGGTGTAGGTGGTTTGGGCAATGGGTGGCGAGTGTCTCTACCTCTACCCAATGATGTTGTGGGTGAGCATAAACCAAGATCACAACCCCCACCTCCTTCTCTATTCACCTGGGGCAAATGGAAAAAGCAAGGATAGCCTCATCAAAGGGAGGATTTTTATTGCCTATCAAGTCACCAAACCCACCATTGTAGATGGCAGGATCTAGACTCAACCTGGATGCAGAACAGCATGCTGAGGAAGAGCATGAACAATGCTGGACTGAGTAAAAAAATTACATTTTTTGTGTGACAAACAAGTCACTGTGTACACAGCCGCAGTGTTGGGGAGTGTAATGCATTTGTGGGTAATCACAGAATTGTCGAGTTGGGAGGGATCCCAAGGGTCATATAGCCCAACCTCCTGCAGTCACAAATGTCGAGATTTGAAAAACACACATGGAAGAGGCTATTGAGAATTTAAAAGTAAGAGGCACGTATAATGAAAAGTTATGACTCTGCCGTGTGCTTTTCTGCCCTGCTTTGAACCCCTCAGCCTGGGTGCTCATGTCACTCCCCAGGCTGGCACATTAGATGACCTGCTCTGGGGATCCTGAATTCAGACAACACTTTTGCTTTCCATTTCTCTCCAGGGTCAGCTTGTGTTTGGATGGAGACTTCTCTCGAACTTTGCAGAACAACCACTTCCTTTTCGCCTCTTACTCTTCCAAGGCAGTGCCATGTTACCGTTGCCTGGTAACCCAGATGCACCAGGACTTAAAAATAAAGATCTGAGTAGGATTAAGAGAGGAGGGAAGCTGGAAAGGTCTTCCTGCCTTTCAGCCAGGTCCCAGTTGTGATGGGAAGGGGCACTATGGAAAAGGGGTTATATACATGATATATGATATCAGAGAAGTAAAAAAAAATGCTCACATGGTTTAGCCATCATCTAACTTTCATGCAAGGTTATTGCATGCTTGCAAAATAAACAAATAAATAAATAAAATCCCCCAGCATTTGAGCAAGCAGAACTGCTAGAAATTTCCCCACAATAGGGGCCGGCAGGAGGAATTGTGTCTGCAAAACCCCTCTTTTGTGTCGCCCTTGACACAGAGCTGCGCTTGCACATTCTTGCCGACCCAGATTGCTTTTAGCTGGCTGCCTGCCAGCCTCTCTGTCCTGCAAACAGCTCTTAGTCCGCACCGCAGGATGGTCACTAGTTCAAAGCTTGTCCTCACATGACTGCCTTATGAACTCAGACTGGACCCCATCTCCCTCCGGCAAGGTTTGGAGACTGGCGGTGTCAAAGGCCACCTCTGACTGTACTGTTCCAATGCATGAGGAGAAGGAAGGCCTGTGTCCCCTGTGGGACTTGCCCTCTCCTGACACCTTTGCAGCCTTAAAGGGCTTAACAGTATATAATAATCTGAAAGGCTTGCAAATGGCTACAAGGTTACAGCTACACCCTGGTGCTTAGACCATGAGTAGGATACTAGCTTCCAAAGCTGCAAAGCTAAGCGGAGGCTAAATCTCATCACCACTGGGCTCCATTCTCTGCCCAATGACTAGCAGGGCCACAATGCAAGGAAAAATATGTATATTGGCTTGCTTTATGCTGATGGCAAGCTTCAGGAACATGTAGCCCTGACTGTAACTCGCTCAGCCTCCAGCTGCTTCTGGATGAGTGTGCAGTTGCTATACTGTATCCTGTTAAGTCATGTTTAACCGTGTGTTGTGCTTCATCATGGTGATCAGCCTGTGCTCCATGACTGGCCATATGCAGAGGGCAAGGATGAGGGTGCCATCAAAGGCAGCAGCAGGAGATTGGCACTATCCAAAATGGAAAATGACAGCAAGGGTGAGGATTGCCTTGCGCCACGTTGCCAGGATGAGGCAGACGTGAGGGACCCAGATGAGGGCAACAGCAGGAGCTGAGGCATAAGCAGGGCACTGGTGCAAGACTTACTTCACCAGAGGAGCCTGTTCAAAGCAAGGAGGGAGCCCAAACGCCCCTCTCCCTACCTCCACTGTCTCCTGAGTCTGTAGGTGGGCAAGGAGGGAATTAACAACATTGTTAGGAGAAGGAATGAGCCACTGTGCACCTGGTCAGCAGCCTGGAAGCACAGGTGGGGAATGCCTAAGGAAATGCTCGCAGCTGTGGCTGGCCAGGCTAAGATGGGGTTGGAAGCTCAGGGCAGGTGATCCCTACACCTATGGCTGACTCAGATGGAAACCGCCTTAATAGTAGT